TGCCCCTCGTTAAGGAGCAGTTACATGTATCCAGTCCGAACATTACATTTGGCCCTTCGAAGGCAACCGTGGGGCTGATGTGGGCCCCAGTGGAAATGAGTTTGGCACCCCTGCATGGGCAAGCCCCCGGTTTATCAGCCTGGGAGGAATGGAAGCCTGCCCATAACCGGAAACGAGGTTGGAGGCGGAGCCTTCAATCCCCTTCACTTGGGGTGATCATTTCGGCCCCGCCCAGTCACACTTGGTGGGACTGCGGCCGCCTGGGATCCCGAGCCAGAACCACCCAGCTAGGCTGGTCCCATATTCCTGACCAACAGAAGGTGGTTAGTGATACGTGTTTACTGTCTTAAGCTGCTACGGTTTAAAGCCATCTGTTAACGCAGCAGCAGATCGCATAACGACTCTCAGTGGACTCATAGCTTTCCACACAAGGCTGCTGCTGCTCAAGGCACCCATTTCCCAGCTGAAGAAGTGACCCAGTGAGTTCACTGACGCCCACGGCTTACTGGTCTCGCCAGGTTTGCTGTCCCTCAGGAGCCTGGAGCTGACAGGCAGCCTCCTGAAGATTCGCTGACAGCTCCTTTGGGGAACCACACGCTGAAAGGTTAGGGCGCTGTTGTTTTATGGAATGTGGGCGACTCTCGAGATCTGAGGCTACTGGGGTCCTCCCCTTCCACAGCCAGGACACACCGGTTCGTCGGGGCAGAGGTGGGGCAGCTCCTCCACCATCGCAGTTCATTACCACCCCCGACATTCTGCTTCCCACCCCTCACCTTTGAGCTGATTCCCTAAGGGAGAAGGCTTCCCCTGGAGGTCGCAACAAAGGGTCCCATGACGGAGGGCGAGGCTGGCAGTGGCCACGCCGAATCCTCGTGCCCTTGACATGACGAGCAGGGGTCATTGTTCCTGTTTCCGTGGGGCAATTGCTCCCTACGACAAGGGGTGGCCGAGGGGTGCCGCAACAATGGCACAGGGAGGGCTGTGTGCAGAGCCCAAGGCGCTCCGAGGGGCCTCTGAGTGCCCTCAGACCCAGGGGTAAAAGTGAAGGCGGAACCTCAGCTGAACAGTGAAGACGGCCCATGAAGGGGACCTCATGTGAGTGAGCACTGGGAGGGGACAGGGGACAGAGTGGGGACGGGCCAGAGCACACCGGATGGGGCAGCGGGGCAAACTGCTTCCTTGTGTGATGCGCACATTGGTGTTTATGTAGTTATCCCTGCCCCGCCCCCTCACCCCTCTTTATTGTATAAAAAAAGGATTGTTCCCCGTGAATCACTTTACAGTTCAGTCCACCTGCTACAGAGTTCTCGGTGGGGATGGAGCAAGAGAGACAGGGAAATTGCCCAGAGACGGTAATGGTGATAAATGTCTTTGTGAAAAGGACGGCTGTATTTCATCAGGCAAGAGCACAGAGGTGGAAGTCCCTGTCGCGGTTAGAAACATGTACTGAATTCTGGAGGGCGACGGCGTCCACTCCACGGGAAGCTCACTGTGTCTCAGCTCCGAACGCCCCTTTCCAAATGCTGGTCCGTGAAGTCCGGGCGTGTGAACTGTGGTTTCCAGATTCCGTGGCTTGGGGTTGGGCACCGTCAGGGGAAGCCCTGGGTGAGCCTGGAAAGAGGAAGGAGAGCGGGCTCTTCCTGCTCCCAGTTCCCGTTGGGGCCGCTTCAGGAGACAGCGCCTGTCGCTTGGCCCTGCCACACACCCTGCTCTGCCTCCCCCGCCCCCCCGCAGTAGGAACTCGAGCCCCACTGTGCTCATCCAGTGGGCTATGATGCTTGAAACATCCAAGTGCCTGCCCGGCTGCATCCCCACCCTTAAGGGCCAGAGTACCAGCTGCACTGGCCCTGTGGTCTGCTCACTGGGGAAAGTCCCCTGTTGAGGGGCTGGACCTTGTGTCCCTGAGAAGCCCTCCTCCAAACTCCGATTCCTGTGACGTCACTTGCACCAGTCAGGGTTCTCCAGAGAAGCCCGACCGATAGGACATACACTGGTATGTTGAGGAGCCCAGTGTCTGTACCGAGAGGATGATCTGTTGCTGTTATCACCTCCTGTGACTGCGGGGCTGCCCTCTGCAGGCTGGGCCCCAGGGAGGCCAGCGGTGTTGTTCACAGGCCTGAGTCTGAGAGCCGATGGTGATGGATCCAGTTGGGGTCCCGGGGCTTGGCAGCCAGGGGCACAGAGGGCCAGGGGAAGATGGGGGGCCCTGGGCCAGCAGTCAGGCAGAAGGGGCGCCCGGCCTTCTTCCTGTTGGCTCTGCCCAGACCCTCCGTGGACTGGGGGAGGCCCACGCCCCTGGGGAGGCCGGCTGCTGGACCCAGTGGGCCCCTCTTCCCAAACACCCTCAGAGGCCACGGAGAAGGGCTGTCCAACCAGGTGTTTGGCCCGCAACATGTCTCATCGCACATTTCAACAGTTGTTCCAAAGGATCCCCTTCCAACGCCGTGAACGCAGACGGACCTCACAGGCATCGCGGGGCGGTTCCACCACCACAATACGGCGAGTCACACAACGTCCGGTTTGCCCAGGGCACAAGAGTTATGTTTGTACTCCGCTGTAGTCTGCTAAGTGCATAGTAACTGTGTCTGAAACAGTGTGTGTGCCCCAATTTGAAAATGCTCCCTTGCTAAAAAGTGCTAACATTCATCTGAGCCTTCAGGGAGTCCTGATGTTTTTGCTGGTGGAGGGTCTTGCCTTCCATTTGTGAAAAACCGTAGTGTGTGCAAAGCGAAACAAGTCCCAACAAAATAAGGTACACCGGCACTGCCGTGTTAGCATAAAACGGTGCCATTCACCGGAGTCCAAACACCACGGCTTTCAGATACCCACAAAGAAGTGCATTCTAGTTACCTCACTTTGACACCCGTATGCTCAAGAGTTCATCTGGTCATTTTTCTCTGCAGGAAAAATAGGCACATTAATTTGCATTAAGTTAAAATTTTTGGTGAAGACTCCTAGAAATGTTGAAAATTTCTCCTGGCTTGCTTAATAATAATTAGCTTTACTACACAATTGAGAGTAACAAATCTGCTTTTAAAAATATTATTAAACACAAGCGTAACATTTTATGGAGACGTAGGCCCATGAGATTAATGCCCTTTAAAAAAGTGGATCGTGGATCTGTGGGTGGTTATTGTGGGTTCCTGGGATGAGGTGGGGCACAGTGGGAATTAGGACCAACAAGGTCATCCAGCAAGTGTGGGGCTTTAAAAATAATTGTCATGTGCACGATTCACGGAGTATTAATAATATGGATTCTAGAAGTTACAACACTCCACGTGGGAGGGATGTATAAGAGCAAACAAGTAATTCATAGTCCCTTACTAAGCAGCCAACTCCCAAAGTTTTAAAAAATGGATTTAAACTCTCTAGTAAGATTTTGGCAAACTGATGAAAATGTTTCTCCTAACAGCCAGAAAAATAAGCTTTATTGGAAGATGTGACATTGATGTGCGAAAAGGAGACCTGGGGGCTTTCACCTCCTGCTTAAATCATGCCCCCACGTGAGACGCGGACTTGACCCTGGTCGGGAGACCAGTGTTTCAAATTGTCCCTGTATCGGGCGCCTTGGAGGTCTTATTCTTCTTCTTCAGGGAAATGGAGCCTTGTAAAAATAAAGCAGGTAAAAACTGAACTTGTCTTCGGTAATGAGGAAGCGTGGTGTTGGTAAAACAGAAGTTCAAAAGGGCAGCCGCAAAGCCCTGGCTGCAGGAGGAAGTCCGTTTGGGGAGGGGATGTCGGGAACACATTCTCTAAGTGTCGCTGGCGTCTGCAAACTGGAAATTTATGGGGAGGCTGCGGGAGACCAGTGAGATGAAGACCCCTGTTTGAAGGCCGTGGGTCAAGGGAGACTCTCAAAGGCAGACAGTGCTGAATCAGCAGCTAGATGGTCTTAAACAAGAGAAGAAACACGCTGAGATAAAATGTTAGAAATAGAATTTTGCTTATAGAACATAGAAACTCGGATCATTTCTGGGACTTCATAAGAAGTTCTCTGCCGTAGTCACACGGTCACTTTTATCAAAACTAAGACTGACTAAGAGGGATGCACCTGGGCCCAGATTAACCTCGAACTCCTCCTGTACGCTGCTGACCTCGACTCTCACTCCCAAGTCCCCAGCCTCCACATTCCGAGTGACCTCTTCCAGCTGTGGGCCCCTTGTCAGAAGCCGCCGGGATCACATGAGCCTAAAGACCTCAAATTTATCACAGCCCCTCCAAAAAACCATCCTAAAAGTGCAGTTTTGCTCTAACACAGAAACACCTTTCATATCTCATGTTAGAAACAGAACATATAAAATTAATCTACAGTGTGAATATATAAGTAACACTGTGCCCCTTATCTTCACAGCAAATGAAGCCCAACGGTCATCCAGAGCCACAGAAATCACAGACCAGTCACGGTCGTGTGCATGGGGTCACCTTTTCCATTCTACTGCCCTACATGGACTCACCCAGCACTTTCTGAGCGTACCCCACCCTTTCTTAGACCCCACCCTCGGGATCTAAGTCTTGGATGGCTTCGGTCATCACGGGGTGACGTACCCAACAGAATCAAGTGCTTAAGGAGCCCTCGGACACTCCAGCTCTGCACTTCTCCCTCATACACCAAACCAGTTTCGTGGGGGTCACAACCTCAGGGCCCCAGGGCAGGAAGCAATCTCAGGGTGGAAGGGCCGGGGCTGAGACAGCACAGCCCACGGAAGGCACATTCTGCTCTGAAGGCCCTGGATGACCTCACGGCACGAGCCCAACAGGAGAAACACAGCAGGGCCTGACATTCTGCCGCTCTCCGGGTCTGGCTTTCCCAAAGAGTGCCCGGGTCTGAAATCAGGATTACCTAGGGCCCAACGAGGAGGAAGGAGCGTGGAGTCAGGAGGAGAACATGCTCACTAAGTCACGGACCCAGCGAGGACGCGGTGCGGGAAGCCGGCTGGTTAACAACCTTCACCCGAGACTTCGGCGCAGTGGTCCAAACGGCACACACACCGCAGCCGATGCACCGTTCTGGGCTTTATTGCACAAAAAGGGAAGAACATTTTACACCAACACGTTCACGCTGAGACCAGCTGTCAGCAGACACATCTCGTCCACATCACAGGAGACGAATCCCAGGGGGCGACCTCAGCGGATGGAGAACACTAGGTGCCCCGCCTCCCAGGTGAAGTCAGGTGCTCGAATGAGTCGCTTCTTGCTCGTCGTTTTGCAGTATTTACTGAAATGAGTTAGTGCCAGTGTTCACCGAGGTGTCGTTTAAAAGGCACACACGCTATAGATTTGAATTTGTCATCCCGATTCCTTGGCACTCGATAATATAGGCATCTTTGGAAGCATCTTCTTCATCTTCTGATTTCTTCACAGTAAATTTAGCCTGAAACCAGAAGAGTATTTAGTACATAACAGGGTAGGAATAAGCCCGTAATTCCAGCTTACAGAAGCAGGTGGTTAATATCAAAGTCCTTTTACTGAGGAAGCTGGAGGAGAGAAGTCAAATGAGTCTTGAGAAATTCAGCAGCCCGGACAGCACACAGTTTGTTCCAGAACCAGGTTCTTATCCAGAGGCACAGCAGCCTGTGCAGTGGAGTGAGAACAAGCGGCTGGGCCCACTCCACACCCCCTGAATCAGAGCCCCGGGCGGGCAGTGTAAGCAAATACTCGATTTTTACCTTCCATTGTTAAGGACAATGCCCCCCACTACCTACTTCCTAAGTTTTTCTACAACGTGGCGGCGCCGAAGCATTTATGCTTGCTTATTTTTATCTTGTCAAGTATCAAGTTAACCAGGGTGCATTACTTTTATAATTTTTAAAAATGCTTAAGGTCAGCACCTTTCTTCATAACATTGAGTTATACGTTTTATCTTACAAAATTACATTAAAAAGACTATAGTAAAATGGAAATAGGCTGAATATTTCTGAAAAAGGCAAGAAATAAGCTGTGTGCATTAACTGTAAAAAACACAGCAAAATAGTTGTAAGAGGAGAGAAAAATGCTTAAATGTCAACAGTGGTTTTACTAGCAAAGGGGAACTATGGGCAAGTATTTTTTCTCTATTTTCCAAATTTTCTATAAAGAAATCACTGATTTCAGATGAAGAGGACTGGTACATGTTAAAATATCAGCAAATATTCTAGTCTACCAATAAAATCACAAGAAAGTAAAATACTGTATTTTGCTGTGTATAATGCATACATTTCCCCCAAAATTTTTGAGGGGAAAAATAAGGATGAGTATCATACACAGGTAAAGCCTGAAATACCTTATATCTGTTCTTGTGTTTTGTAATAATTTGTTACGTAAAATTTCTTGTACCATATGTTCAAAAATAAATGTTAAAATTCCTTTATAATACAAAAAACACAAGTATCTAAATATAAGTAAATAAAAAGTTGAATTAAATAATTAAAGCAAAAGGTTTTTTTCCTGAAAACTTGGGCCAAAAGCATGGGTGTGCATTACATACAGGAGTGTATTATACACGACAAAATACAGAGTTTAAAACTTTATACAAATATTTTAAGTTTACAGCCAAGGACAAGAGCCTTGCAATTTGATTTCCTGGTTCCCATGGAAACATCTCTGCTTCCTGGACTGGGCAGCGCCACAGGTGGGCTTTGACATGTACTTTCCTGGGTTTGCTTAAAGCCCAGCCCCGCCCCTCAGAAACCCTGAGGTCTTAGCAATTGCTTTCCCCCTCCACTTCACCTCACTTATGTGTGAAATGGGAGTGACAGGCACCTCCAGGGGTCATGTGTCTGCCACACAGGAGTGTCAATGAGGGACAGCCAGGTTTCCATTGACTCAGACTGGACCCAAAACTGGCTACAGTGAAAATCAGTTACTCCTTTCGGATGGAATACTCACCTTTGCCAGCTGTTCAGCAAAATGAATAGCCGTTTTTGTGTGCAGCGTGACTGGTCCGGTTTTTATTCTGGAAACGCCACTGGCTAACGCCATGAAAATGATCAGCTATTGGGAAAAGGAAAAAAGAAGAGACATCTCGCAGAGTCACTGAGACTTGGAGTCAAAATTCTATCACTTTCCATATAAAAAAACATGAGAAATCAAAGTAGCTAAAAGAATTTCTATTTCTTTTGGTTTCCAGAAGTCCTAAGAAGATTTCAGAACATCGTGTCCCCCAAAGGCCGTAGTGTTGCAGAGAGACACTGAACAATCCTCAATAGAGAGTTTTTAAAATTAACATTGAAGAATGAAACAGAGATTTAAAATTAACCTATTCCATCAGACCAACTACGTGTACAGGCTGGCGTGTATAATGATAAGCTTCTTCCACTCTCTAACATTACAACCATTCAAGGGGTAAATCAATACACTAACACAGAAATATGTTGAGTGTAGAGTAAACCTGGCCAAGAAGAAAGAGACTGGAAATAAGGGAAACTGCCTTAAGAAACTGGCTAAGAAATCCTAAAGAACACATTTGTAAATGTAGACCACAGACTTGAGGTCAAGGAGAGAAAAGTGTAGCAGAAAGAAAAATCTATCGAGGCAAGTGGGCCATAAAGAGAGGTTATCTGGAAACATTCTTAGCATTTCTCAATGTGAGTAGATGCGTTAGGCTTGAGAGGGGAGAGGTTGGTGGGCATAAGATGGGAGGAGGAAGGTCTGGGCGGGTGAGGTGGGTCTGGGAGTTGTCAGCATCCAGACGAAGCCCTCAAGTGGGACAGACAGCGGACGGAGGGGCGGCATAGGACACATGGGAGAGAGGTGCGCCTGTGTGAGAGGTGCTGCAACGTTCAGAAGTGGGGAAGGTGAAAGCGACGACAACGACCAACTAGCAAAAAGCCTGGAACAGATGACCAGTGAGACAGAAAGGTAACAGTGTGTCAGACACCACGGGAAGAAAGCCTTCGGGGAGGAGGGGAGATCCACTGAAGTACCACACGCCGATCAGTACATGGAAGTCAGTGGTTAAAACGCACCTTCAACCCAACTACCAAATATTCAAATCTAACAGGCTCGGAGGTTGTACCTGGAAGTGCCATTACCTGGTCTTGCAGATGCTCATCCACGGCACCACCGTGCCTCAGGTTTGCCAAGAGCATTTCGGCAGCTTCGATTCCAACCTTGTCTGCGTTTACACCTGTGATGAGCACAGTGCAAAAAAGCTAATTGAACGGCAAAAACTTGAATGAATAAATCACCATTGGCACTGAGTCAACTGTTTTTAGGGCTCTCAACTCACCCAATGCAACTTCTAGAACAAGAGTTTTATGTAATCTTCTGAGCACCTAGCCTATGCAAATACTATATCTGATCATGAAACAATCAAGCAAACCCAAACTGCGGGAAATCTTAGGAGAACAGCTTGGACTTTCCAAAGGGCTAATATCATTAAAGGAAAAAAGGAGACGAGACTATTCTGCAGGAAAAAGGAGAAGCTTCAACAGACAGGACAACCCAATGCTGGGCGTGTTCAAACAGAAAGATCCCACCCTGCTTTATCTCAAGAGTATTTTGGAGGCAACTGGCTATGTCTAAAGATGGGAGACACATTCTTTGGGCGTAAAAATGGCGCTGGGACCACGCAGGTGCTGCCTCTGGATGCACACACTGCCGTCCTCGGGATTCCGACACCTTCCACTGAAGCACTTCAGAAACCCACACGCCGCTGCTCAGTGCTCACTGTTCGTGGATGGGGGGGGGGCAGTGCATGGATGTTCACTGGTCATCCAGCCTTTCTATGGGCTTGACATCTTTCACAGTACGAAGTTAGGGGGAAGACTGAAAATTTCATTAACCCTAAAACAGAATCGGTTAACCATCTCCTCCTCAACTTGTCGCCCATCGCTGGGAAGAGCGGACCCCCTTCATTTGTCTGTACCTCGTTTACCGAGTGACGACCCGGCCAGCAAACAGCCCGTGGACGTCTCCGCAGTGATGCTGCACAGGAAAAAGAAAGTATTAGCACCTTGGTCATAAATATTCTAAAGTTACGTGCAACTACAACACAGAATAGTGACTGTTGAACACAAAGAATCAGATCTGGCTAGAACGTTGCAACAGCAAAATTGTTCACACAGAAAACAGCATGATGAGTGATCTCCATCTTCATCGAGGCCTTGGTCCTTCACGTAGAGAGTCACCCCAGGTTCTGATCCACTCGCAGGTTAGGGGGCGGCACCCCCTGAAGTGCTGTCCAGCACTAAGGGGAACCACTTCACAACCATGCTGTACTATAAACTCTCCTATGGTCACCTTAAAGGGAAAAGTCTCTCTATAGAGATGTGTGGTTTTGTTTGATAGTTTTTAGATAGTGTTATTATATGTAGAGCACACATTTACTTTAAACCCTTTAACAGAAACTCTAAAATAAGAGACTTTAAAATTTAAACATACACAAAGGATACTTTCATACTTCAAGAGCATCAATTAAAGTATTTTTCTAGCACTTAAATCAATAACTCCTAACAGGACTAATATAATAGTTATATTTATTTTCCAGAAGATTATTGCCATATCTAATATTTGATTATAAGCTGGAAACATTTGCCTGTAAACTGGAAATATTTCTCTGAGGATCAGCTTCAAAGGCTAACTTCTGATTCCAGTCAAGTTGAAGCTGACAATGTAGACAAAGGGATCTTACAACGTAATAAAGGCAAACCACCCTCAGGAAGAAACTTGGAATAAAATAATCATCTTCATTGATTGTACAATTGTTTTAGGTATAAATGGCCTTTCAAATACAGGGTCCAGCACAAATGACCCCCCTGCTTTATTACAAACTCTTTTATTACAAAATCGTAAGCATATCATCCTGTAACATAACGATATCACACTCAAGCACACTCAAGTTCCTGCTGGGAACTGGCCTGCAACCTAGGCATGTGACATTTTAGGTGAAATGTTCAGATTGAAACTATAAATTATTACCCCCATATTATTATCCTACCAAGCACACTCAAGCAGGCCTTACTTCTGCTAGACCTCGTATATCTTCTTTTTAAGTGAAGAACAGCTACAAATCTTGCATTTAAATACCACAATTATTTCAGGGCTCTCAACCAGCATGCGGGAGAGAGCACAGGGTCGTACATGATTCCGCTGCCGTTGCCAAAGGCCTGGTCCCCTGGCTCCTGGACGGGCTGGATGTTCACGTACAGGTCCCGGAACTCCTTCCTGAGGCACCTCACCGCCGCCGCCGCCATGTCCTTTGCCATCTGCTTTGGCAAAACAGAAAAAACAGAGTAAAATAAGTTCATGGGTATTTTGACCATTGTTTTCATGCCTTAAAGGCAAAATAACTTCCACATGCATTGTACAAAGACTTGATTTTCATGGCTCAAGAGCACAGAATTTTAAGAAAAAAACTTTTTTTAATAAAAAGAGTTATTTAAAGATTAAGTTCTTCCAGTAATTTTAAAATGTCGAGGATATAGCACATATCGAGACGCACCTGAGCTTCTAAGAACATCTAGACAACTCACTTTAAATGGCAAGACACCAGCCACAAATGCTCTTCCGTGTATCTTAGTCACAGAGCCACGGTCAGTTAAATTTATGGGGTTCAGTTGTTTAACTGGTGACATCTGGACAATCACTTCACCACCCCCCTTTGGGTAGTAGCCCCTATAAGAGAATATAACAAACACTCATATAAGCTGATTGCACGACAGAAATAAAGCTCCGTATCTGCCATAAAAGAACACGTGAATGACATGCAACCATGTAACTGAGCTTTGAAATTTCCAAATAACCTTTCGGATCTGTACTGCCCAACGTGATAGCCTCAATCCCCAAGTGACCCTTTGCCTGAAATAAAATTTGAGACTCGGCTCCCGAGTCGCATCAGCCACATTTCAAGGGCTCAACAGCCATATGGGGCGAGTGACTGCCATGCTGGACAGACTGGGGGACAGAAAGGGGACATTTCCTGCAATGCAGGAAGGCCTACTTGACAGGGCTTTTTCAGAATAAAAGTTCCTTGCTGTAGGACGTTGTCTATTTTGCAACAATGCCTGGCACATAGAAGATGCTCAGTCAACACTGTGAGTATTTAAGTGGCTGAACACTAATAAAATTGAACTCCAATTCTTAGCGTCATTGATTTCTACAGCAGATGCTGCGAACATGCAGGAGAGTCTGGGAGGGGCTCCCCTCCCCCCCGGGAGGTAGGTGGCGCCCCACACCAACAGCACGCAAGTTAGTGTATGGAAAACTACATCACAGGAGCAGGGATGGGCTCATGGACGAGCCACGCCAGAAATTATGTTTCATTTGGACAGAATAAAGGATTTCCAATTTTTCAGAGAGCAGGGGAGGGAACACCTGTACAAAGACATAAAAGTCTGAAGGCACCAGGATGTTTACGGGGTAGCAGGCAGTCAGGTAATTGGAATGTGTGGGGTGGTGAACAGGGACCGCAAGACTGCACAGCACGCAAATGCCAGAAACTCGGCCTCTGTCTTAGGACAAAAACCGTGGCTGCGTTGCTGGGAGAGCGCCTTGCATGACCCCACAGTCCCGCTGTAGACACACAGTAGGTGTTCAGCCAGAGCCGAGCCGCGGGAGCACTAGACCCGAAGGGGCCTCGGTGCAGAGTTCCCTTGAAGGTGTCTCCCCCCCGAGAAGGGGACGGTCCCCAGCAGCTGCCTTCTCTCTTCAGACCACAAAGCACAATTATTTCCTACAGGAAATGTCAGGTAAATGGGCTCCTGTCTTCCCCACAAATGGCCAAGAAATAAGCAACTTACCTCATTTTAATGTCACAATTAAACTTGAAGCCAAATTTTTCAACAATGGGCTTGAAAACCTGAAAGATCAGATCACCGTCACCTCAACAACCAACAGTCACTGATTCGACAAGTACATTTATTACACCGGGTGCTCTGCACTGAGCTACTTACGAGACACTATAAAGAGAGAAATGAAAATGTGGAGACTGGTTCCCGTGTTCCAATACAGGAGGTGGCACGTGACTATAATTAAAGGTTTACTTTATCGGGGTTGTGCCAATCTGTCTAGTGAAAATAGAACCCACAGCTCAACGGATTCCAATGGTCACTCTACCCCAGAGGCCGGTATTCCCCAGCCCTCCCCAACATAACGCACGGTAAGAAATTAGGGGGTCCGGGTGACCAGGATTCTACTCCACCCTCTCATCAGCCATTAAGAATACTCCTCCAGTGAACCCAGGAATGCTGGTATCTCTTTGCAACTTTAATTTATCACTCCTTTTGGACTAATACCCAGAGGCAGGATTACTAGATCACACGGTGATTTTATGTTTGATGTTTTTGAGGAACCTGTGTACTGTTCTCCACAGTGGACACACCCTACTGAGTTCCCACCAACGGTGGACAAGGGCACCGACTTCCCCGCATCCTCACCAAGCCTGTGAAACGTGGAATTTAACTCTGGTTGGGAGGTTTTCCTTCCCAATCACAATTCCTGTATTTATTAAAAAAACTGGTTTCTATAAAAAGGAAGAGACCTCACATAACAATTACACTTGATAGTCTTAAAGAAGTCACCATGAACACATCTAAGCTACAGCCTAGAATCCAGAGAACACACGATCCCACAATGAAGAACCACGCGGGTACACCCACAAAACCGCTCCGGGTATATTTAAACGGAGAACGCGCCAGCCCATCTTGGTTTGTCAACAACCTCCACGGTTCTCACCATGGTCGTGTAATCAATCTGCGGGGCCATCTCAGCGTTGGTCCCGCCTCTCAGACGCAGCTCCGATGGGGACGCGGCGAAGAGGACACAGGGCATGGACACCTGCAGCAAGAGGCACACGCTCCTGGGGGGGAGGCAGAGAGGGCTTAGCTGTGTGTGCTTCTCGGAGTTACAAGAAAGTGGCGTTTACCCATCACTGTGGGCGGAGGCACCCACGACTGCAAAGACAGGTACATGCCCCAAGTTTAACGTTAAAAAACACGTCAGTGACTGAGGACAGCCTCAGTCTGAAAGACGGTATTTCATCGTAAATGAAGCCAGCCCTCCATGTAATGGTTATATATCCAGTTTTCCAATGGGAAGAAAGAAAACCAAGATCACACCCCAACTGAAAGCAGTATATAATCCATAATTAGCCACAAGTCGAGAATGAAATATACTACAATGCAAAGGCTGCTATGACTACAAAGTATGAAGACAGTTGTTTTCAGATATATCATTTATAATAATAAAAAGGAAACAATAATATGCTATATTATACATGCGAGAAAATTCTCCATATAGTAACAGCTACAATTAATCAACCATTAAGTACCCAAAATGTCTCAAACTCTAAAAGGTGTTTTATCTACACTTCGAAAGGTAGGAAACTAGAGGTCAGAGAGGTTAAGCCACGTGTCCAGGTGGTGGCAGGACCTGCCCTTGAATCCAGGTCCGGCTCCGGCGGAGCCCAGCCCGGAGGGGAAGGAAGCACCTCGTACCCTGCTGTCTTCGTATCCGCTGTGTGGGTCCCGCCTCTGATCCTTCCCGGCGTGAACGTTATCTCCGTGGAGCCGATCTCTGCCCCGTCCAGTTGCCCATCACACAGATCCCGAACCATTTCCAGTCCAGATAAATGCTGAGGCCTTGAGGTCATAAAACTGCGTCAAAACGCGTGGACCCAGACTGCCTGTCCCCCCCTCATCTGTGACTCAGTTACAAAGTTTCAGCGGCACAAGAACGGCCAGCTCTGACCACCGGACCTGCCGGGAAATCTTCAGTGTCAGAGCTTCTTTGGGGTCTTATGCACCTGGAGGAGCTGCTAGGAGGCATCCTGTTAAGGGATCCTTCCTGACCTTCAGCTATAAACACTTGGCTGGTGTCTGTGCAAAGAGGAAAAATCATAAAGCTACCCAAGTGTCAGCGCTCTCACCTGCACTTTCCTGGGTAACCTATGGTTACGTGTTTCCCCAAGATTCCTATGCTGAAGCCCTGATGGCCAGTATCTCAGAATGTGACTGAATTTGGAGACAGGCCTTTAGAGGACGAGATTAAGTTAAAAGAGGATGTTAGGATAATCCATTCCCATTGGTGTCTTTCTGTTAGTAAGAGGAGTCTAGTACCCCCAGGGAGACACCAGGGATGTGCAGGCACAGAAGGATGACCCTGTGAAAGGCAGCCAAGGGGCAGCCAGGGAGGGAAGGCTGAAAGGCACCCTCCCTTACGGGTCTCAGAGGAAACCAGCCCTGCCCGCACTGTGATCTTAGACCTCCAGCCTCCAGAACTGTGAGCAAATGAAGTTCTGTTGTTGAGGCCACCCAGTCTGTGCTATGTTGTTGTGGCAACCCTAGCAAAGTGATCAAGTCCCTATCACAGCCTCCATGGGTCAGACTTCCCTCCAGGCCAAAGGGGCTGCCGCAAACAACTGGGGCAAAGGTAACGAATGTTCACCATGTCACTAGCTGCCCCTCGGTAATTTCAGAATGGATTGTGGGTAAAATAAAAGGCTAAGAGATGGCTGAGCTGCCACAGTGGACTATATACAAAATACATACAAAGGAACCAGTGTGGCTTCAACCTGGGTCCTCTGCTAACAGGTGTGTATACCTGAACCTCATCTGGGGGCATGCCTAGCCTCCCAGACAGAAGAAACAAGGTCAAGTGCCAATGTTTGCCCCTTCTCCAACAGCCCATCGTTCAGGTCCTAGTCACAGCTTCCTAGAGGGCTGGATGAAAGTGGAATGACACATCTCTGGGCCCTTTCCTGGTCGGTCTATAATCCAAAAACGAGTGAACGGCAGCAGAGAACGGCTGGTTAAGCATCGGGGCTGCCTCGGGCTCCAGAGGCCCATCTGGCCTGATCAATCCTGCCCGCTGCTCCCAGCTCTCCAGGTGGCTGGACTTTCTGATGAGGTGGAGAAACATTTTAAAAGCTGGGTCTTTAGGAAATGAGACAATTCCAGCCAGCGCAAACATGGGCCGAAACTTGCCTCTGGAGGGTTTCAAGACCGCACAATCCAGGCCACAGCCAACAGCCCAGGCTGGAGCGCTGCACCTCGGGACCCTGCAGCCCTATTTTCTCAGCATCACTGCGGGGGATGCTGAGTCCCCAGCCCCAGGCCCTCCCCCAGGCCCTAGAGCCCATTTTCCTCCGCCTCTCCAGGTAGCCCCTGGGTCCCCAGGCCCCGCCCCCAGCTCGGGGTTACCGCAGGCCCGGCGTGCTGCGGCCGGCTCGGATCTTCTCCACGCGCAAGGGCACGCCCAGGAGACAGCTCAGGGCCGTGGACACCCTCAGGATCTGGCCGCCCTGCCCAGGGTGGGGCGGGGGGGAGAGAAAAGGGACCGTGAGACCACAGAGCTTGCCCCACCACGCTCCCACCCCATGGCCTCCGCCCGGCACTCACCCCTTCCAGGACTCCTCCGTCCACCTCCACCCGCGGACCCGCCATCGGGGGCGCCTTGGGGCCGGGCCCGCAGGCACACAGCCTCCGCCCGAGCGCTGCGACTAGGACGCGCTGGCTCCTGCCCCGCAGCTCCGAAAGCTAGTTCTCGCTCGGGCCCGCGGGGGCCGGGCAGGTCCGGCGGAAAGGGAAGAAACGGCGGATCCCCAAGAACCCGATGCCCCGGAAACCACGCGGGACACTCAGCTGGGGAAACCGGGTCCGCACGCCCAGCGGCGGCCAATGCGCGTGCGCGGAGCACGGCGTAACAAAATCGCAGCGAATCCTGGCCTCCGGCGGCGCTGCGGCGGTGGCTAGGCTGCGTCCCCGAACACGGCAGGAGGTGTGTACCGAATCCCGGTGTGCCGAACCCAAACTGCAATGCCTGTTGGTTGCAGAAGCCTTTGTCTCCTCTGTTGCCGGCTCCTCCGTCGTCTGGCAGGCTTGTGCGAACATCGGTACTTATCTCTGTTTTCTCGACGAGCCGGTACCCAGAGCTGGAGACCCTTAGAGCTGAGATGCACGGAAGGGCGGGCCCCCGCAATGCGCCGACCTCTTGGACTGGTCGGGTGTGTCTTCTCCATGGGCTGTATTTTGAAATGCGTATGCCCTGGTGTAGAGTACTGTTTTGTTTTGTTTTTTCTCTCGTGAGACACATGTAAAATGGTGTGGCCACTTTTGAAAGTAGTCCGGCAAGTTCCTTATTATCTTGGTTAAAGTTAAACACTCACATAAACCCTTGTCTCAACAATTCCATGTTTAGGTATATATTCTTACCTTACTAATCAAAATGTAACCGACCAACCAATAGCATTGGTATCACCTAGAACCTGTTACAAATGCAGAACCGCAGGCCCTACCCAGTTCGGTAGAATTGGAATCTGCATGTTAATAAGATCCCTAGCTGATAGGAATGCTCATTACAGTCTAAAAAGCACTGCCGTAAAGAAACACGTGCACAGACACCGAGAGAAAAAAGATCGAGAATGCAATATGTGTACTTTCAGATCTGGCTTCTTTGACTTAGCATTAAATTTTGGTTCATCCATATGAAAGCATGTATCAGTACTCAGGTCATTGTTAGGGATGGATGAATAATATTCCATTATATGGATGTACCACATTTTGTTTATCCATTCACCTGTTGAAGGACATTTGGGCTGTTTCTAGTTTTTGGTTGTTAGGAACAATGCTGTTACAATTATTCTTGTACTAGCCTTTGTGTAAATGTATGTTTCCATTTCTCTTGGGAAGACGCCGAGGAGTGGAATGGCTGGGTCATAATCATTTTTATTCATTAAAAAACAGATGAAATAAGTTGTGTCTTTTGAAAGAATAGGTGGCATGTCCCCAGATTTTGGAAGAAAACAAACGAAACAATACTAAATTTGGAAGAAGTAATTCATTGTGGTAAAAAGAGGGTAATAAAAGGAAATGAACTAGATGTTTTTTCTTGGGAGAAGATAGAGTTAAAAGGAACTTTAAAAGGAAGAAGGTGGTATAGGGACCCTAGGAAGAAAAAAATCACTTTTAACGCACAGCTACTTTATCTTTTTATATAAACACGTGCATGCAGTATTATCAAATATGTTAATAGTGCCTGTAAAGTGCTCTGTTAGCGGGAAACTTAAAAAAATCAAAGTTTTGCCCAGGATGGTGTGGCTCAGTGGACTGAAAACTGGCCTGTGAACCACATGGTCACTGGTTGAATTCCCGGTCAGGGCACATGCCTGGGTTTGCGGTCAGGTCCCCAGTAGAGGGTGCAGGAGAGGCACCCACACATTGATCTTTCTCTCCCTCTCTTTCTCCTTCCCTTCCCCCGTCTAAAAGTAAATAAATAAAATCTTTTTTTTTTAAATCAAAGTTTTGACTATCCCAGCCTTTCTTACAAAGGTAACAATTTAGATGTATTGTTTATGTTAGGGTGTGTGTATGAAATGCACTGAGAGACAACTAAGGCAAAAAAGGGTGAGTTTGGATAATACTAGAGAGTGAATTTGTGAAAAAACTGAAATTTTGTTCCACAGCCACTAATCTTCAGTACTGAAGACTATAATGTTCTCTTTGCTCCAGTTTTTTTTTTAACCCAATAATTTTTCAGACAATCTGCAGATTTTCATGCCCCTGAAAGAGACAAGACAAGACAAATGCCATCCTGGAAGAGTGACTGTGCAAGCTTTGATCTTTCTTTTACTGGTTCTAAATTTGACATTTAAGAAGCAAATAAATCAAGTTTTTATGTCTCTGACCTGTATTGCATGAGCTGGGTGGTTGCATCTGACAACACTCTCTAAGAAGGAAAGATCATGTAAATAACGTTTATTTTAGACCTTGTTCATCTTCTGTGGAAACAAATGGAAAAGTCCATTCCAACAGTCATGAACACTCAGATGGGTGTAACAAATGCAAACCATTGGGAAATATTTCAAGTAATCAAGGCGGTTACAACATATACGAGCTTAAGACACTAGGTTTCATCCTCAGGTCTTAGGTGACATAACTTTCTCCAGGTAAGTGCCTTTCTTTTGTGTTCTTCCTCCCCCCCCCCCAAAGATTTTATTTATTTATTTTTAGAGAGGGGGAAGGGAGGGAGAGAAACAAGAGTGTGTGGTTGCATCTCGCACACCCCCCACTGGGACTGGCCAGTAACCCAGGCATGTGCCCTGACTTGGATGGGTCCGGTGACCCGGGAGTCCGCGACTCAATACACTGAGCCACACCAGCCAGGGCCCTTTGTGTTCTCTTAACACTATTTCCCCTCCACTGCAGGGACTGCAAAGATGACCCTTGGTGCACATGTCCCACACTGTCCCCTAAATTAAATTTGGACTATTCTCCTTCCCACTCGTTTCCCCTCTTCGAGCTCTTACTTCTGGGAGGGCTTCCCAACCTCCCCCAAAAGTCCCTCCTGCCCCGCCCCACTCCCTGATTGGCTGTCTGGTGTGCTGCTCTTTTGCTCTCATTGGTCCCTCGGAGGGGGCACGTTTCCCGGCTACCAATAAGTGGCTGGGCAAGGGCCACGCCCCCAACCGCAGAGCAGCTGTCATTTCCGGAGTAAGATGGCCGCAGCGCGTGTGCTGAGGACCTGGAGCCAGACTGTTGGGCGGCGGGTAAGGAGACTGGGTCCGAGCTGAGCTCAGGAAGGAGTGATTTGTCCGCAGTCATCCGGGAGAGGTGTGTTAGTTTGTCCCCCGTGTGCCGTGCGTACCTGGCACGCGTGATGGAGAGGTGTAGGGATGTACGCAAAACGAAGGGTAGAGAATGGGGCGAGCCGACCCGTTTGGACACCCACTCCTTCCCTTACCTGGGCGCGCACCTGGCGTGACTCAGTCGCCCTCCCGCTCCATCTGGCTTTTCATTGAGCAGCATCTCGGTGCCGGGCAGTGTGACAGGCACTAGGGATACAGTCGCTCAGCATTTATGGGGCACCCACTGGGTGCCAGATGCGATGCTGCAACACCTGCCCACAAGGAACTTAGAACAGTGTAGAAGAGACCCTTCAAGCAAAGCGTAACTTCATGGGCGCTTGCCCCCAGCAGCAGAGACACTTGCTCAAGCTTCACTTCTTGGGCATGTACTTGTCTCCCAGTCTGCACCAGTCTTTCCAAACTTTTTCTCTCTTGAGCTTTGACCCACTACCGTCTCCCTTGAGATCTCCCACTTTCACAGTCTTTCAGCACTAAACAATTCACAGCCGGTAACTGCAGTGTTCCATCCAATTTGCATGGCGTTTTTACCCTCTAGGTCCCCTCTCCCCTAGATCTTTACATAGTGGTCGACCCCTAATCTTACCAGAGTCCGACACCAGCTATTATGTTAGGCATTGAGGCTGCAAATACGAACAACACAGCCACCATCCCTGCCCGCCCAGAGGTTTATTACAGCCTTGTGGTGGAGAACAGAGACAGACATTAAACAAGCAGGTACAGCCCATCATAAAAGTACTATGATGTACCCTGGCCCGTATGGCTCTCTTGGTTGGAGCAAGCATCGTCCTGTAATGGAAAGGCTGCAGGTTCAGTTCCCCATCAGGGCATATACCTAGGTTGCGGATTCTATACCCAGCTGAGGTGCATACGATCCTGGCCCAGGCACATATGGGAAGCAACTGATGGATGCTTTTCTCCCGCATTTATATTTCTCTCTCCTGCACTGATATTTCTCCCTCCCTCTGTCTAAAAGCAATGGGGAAAAAGAAGTGCTATGATGGGACAAGGGCATACAACTCCAGGACCACACAGGAGGGGCCGTGGTGATCAGACCAGAGAACACCGTGTAAGATGATATTTGTGAAAGAGGCAGAAGAAGCAGCTGCCCTAGGTAGCACCTTCCTAGGCACTGGCCACCCTCCTGTGAGAGCTGCCACCCTTGGCTTCTCTGCCACCAGCTTCCTGATATTTGTCTTTCTGTCACTGACGCCACTGTGATCTGGGCCTTGATGGTTTCGTATTGTGTATATTGTGATAACGACTGTTCTGCTTTTAGAACCCTTGAAATTCAACGTGTACTTCCAGAGAGAAGCCATGAAGATCATTTACCAAAGCTTTTACGTTTGTTTGTTTTTTCATCTCTAGGTTTGTGTTCGCTACTTTCAAACATGTAATAATGTTCATGCTTCGCAGCCAAAATATGTGCGTTTCGTTGGTTATCCTTCATTCAAGTATAGTCATCCGCTTCGATTGCTGAAAACAACTGCTGGTGAGTATGATCAAAATATGTGATATAAAATAATGTTTTGTATTTAACTCAGTAGTTTATGTTAAGTGATTGTAGACTTAATAAAGTGAAAAAAAGTTGCCCTTTTTTTGAAGATTTTTTTTTTTTTAGAGAGAGGAAGGGAGGGAGAAAGAGGTGAGAAACATCCGTGTGTGACAGATACATTGATTGGTTGCCTTTCACATGTGCCCAACTGGGAACCTAGCCTGCAACCCAGGCATGTACCTACCCCAACTGAGAATCGAACTGGCAACCTTTGGGTTCACGGGCCAGCTCTCAGTCCACTGAGCCACACCAGCCAGGGCAAAAGTGGACCTTTTATTTCTAGCCTGGCCCTCCTTGCTCTCTCCACATCTATCCATTTCTTATTTTCTCTGCACCTCACCTCCACCCCATTCCACTATCACACACTCTCCTGGGATGCTTGTGTCGTCATCCTGTTGGGGACGGTTGTCTTGGGCCATCTGTCCATTATCATCTGACCCATCTGAGTGCACCAGTTAGCATGGAGACGCCTTTCTTGTCCGGGGAGGTGGCTGACATCAGGGTTGGTGCCCTCACACTCCCTGCAGTGCTGTGTGTTGTAGGAGACACTGCCTTGCTCTGCGGGACGGTTTGATGAGCACCTGGTGTGCTCCCACGGAGAACGTTCCTGGCTTTCACCATTTAACTGCCCTTCCCCAAGGCTTTTTTCCCTTTGTGAAGACTTGGAGGCTGCAAGCATTGGATGTGCGAGGACTCTAACACCATCTTCCTGGTGTTCTCTTTAGAGCCCTGATAAAAAACCCTGGACTTCTGTTACATGAGTAACCTCCACATGTGAGGTGCCTTCGTCTGTGCTAACAATGAAAGGGGATTCAAGATTTTTATTTTCAAAAGCTGACCTTTTCTTAGGGAAGAGAGAGGCTGTTCAAGCTCCAGAGTCTAAGCAGCTGTCCTGAGCTATGGGTTCCTGGCCGAACAGTCGCTGGCTGTGCAACAACTTTATGTCCTTCTGTGCCATCATCTGGAAAATGGGAGCGGTCATCGTGTCTGGCCCTTTGTATTGTCAGAATCAGTTCATCACAGACGGCTGCTGGCCACCTGCTGTGTGCCCAAGGGCTGCCCTCAGTGCTGGGATGCGCTGTCTTCCGATGGGCCCTAATGTAGCAAGCAGTTACGTTGGAAACCTGGAGCCGTCCCAATTCCTGTCTCCCCTCAAGTTGGATTATCAGGGTCAATGGATTTTATATCTTACATGTTTCTTAAATCTGTCTTCTCATTTTCAGACAGCTTCAAAAATATATTGCTTCCTGCTTCAGCTTCTGCCCCTGCACGGCCCCCTCACCGCTCTCTCTGCCTCCCTGTCTCTGACATTATTTGCCACATCCTCGCCAGAGAGAATTTTCTCCTAAAATTGTAAAAAATGGCAGACGGGACTTCCTCAGTAAATTAGTGCTGAATAACAACCCTGCCCATGACCGAGTGCCTTAAAGCAGCTGTGATTTTTTTCTTTGCCAGGATTTGGGGTGCTGGCCTGGCTCACTACCGCGACTGCATTCGGCCAGAGGATCCCCTGGGCCGCAGGGTCCGCGGTGGCCTCACTCACGCGTCTGACCATTAGTGTTGGTCTCTGGCTGGGGCCTCTCTCATCCTCCCCCAGGTAGTTCCCTTACAGGGAACATGGAACGACCTTTCTCGAGGCAGCATTCCAGGACAGGCAAGAGAGGAGGTGGGAGGTCTTCTGAGGCCCGGGCTGCAACATGTGCACACGTCACTTCTGCTGTGTTCTCTGGCTCAGAGCCAGTCCTAGGCCAGCATAGACTCACCTCTCATGGGGGCGACTGCAAAGATTTTTCTAAGCAGGTTTATTTACTCCTGGCTCCTGACTACCTTCAGGGTAAGTTCCCAACAGCTGGCCCTCGCTTAGCATAGAAAGTCTTGTTAAGCCTGGGCTGATTCCTTGCCACACAGAACTGTCTGTCATCCCCTGCCCGTGCTGTATGCTGCCACCTTTCGTGCTGTTGCACACGCTGTGCCTTGCATAATACGGCTTGGTGCGGAGGCGTCCTAATGTTTGTACTTGGGAGTTTGTAGTTACTCAGGCTGGTTTCCAGTTCTCCCCTACAATCCCACGTAACCATTCTTGAGCCCAGGTCTATGTGCCTCTCTCCGTCTTTGGGCAAAAAAGTCTTAAAACTAGAATTACTTGCTGACTCAAAGTTAAGGGCTTTTTTAAAGGCTTTTGATACTTAATACCAACTATTTTTTGGAAAGGTTCCAATTTATACTATAGCAGCAGGCTGAGAGAGGGCCCAACTTACTAGAAAGGAAACAAGAGGCTCCCAAGACCCCCAAGTCAAAGATCCACTTTGTATTTCTTTACTGCTAACTTACCTCCTCATGTTAAAGAAAAATTTGCTGCCTTAGTCCGCTTGTGTATTTTATAAGCAGTTATCATTATGAGCAGTCTGAAAATAGAAGCACACTCTTGAATCAGTTCAGAGCCATTTGTTAACAAAAATACTTTCTGGGGAATAATTACCATAAACGATCATTGGCATCCAAGTGTTATAAAAAGGGGTAACAGTTTCAAAAGTGGAAGCAGAAAAGATTCAAATTTAATGATAAATTGGCAGAACCACGGTTTGGGCAACTCGGACTTTTCATTGAGTTTTCTACCAAGGCATCTGCCCGACCTTGCACGGTGAAGAATGAGAGTATGAAGTCAGGACACGAACTCAGAAGAGATCTCAAAGCAGGTTGTTAAGGGCTATTTCAGTTTTACTACGTGAAGCAAGGGGATCCAGTGCGGTCTCCCATCTGTTCATTGTAACTGTTCCGAATCTCATTTGTCGGAGGTCTCCCACGCCCTTGTGAAAGAGCGCCCTTCCGAAAGTTGGAAAAAGCCAGTGGCAGTGGCAGTGGGTCTGTGCCACTGATTAATTTATTTAAATCTGATGGTTATGAATGATGATTATGCAGTTCCAAGTTATGACACAACCCTGGCTGGGTTTCTCAATGGGTTGGAGTGTCATCCCGATAGGCCAAGGGTGCAGGTTCAGTCCCCGGTCGGTGCACAGATAAGAATCAACCAAAGATGCATCAGTAAGTGTTACGACAAATCAATGTTTGTCTCTCGCACCGAGAAAAAAAGAAACAAAAAAATTATGAAATGCTTTTTTTTAGGTGTAAAATGGAATGATTTCTGCCTCCGCTTAGGAATCTTTTCTCATTTTAGGTGTAACAGCATCTCTTAGCAACACGTGACATGTTTCATGAGCTAGTTTCTCTTTTTTCTTTGAAGCTCAACGGGGGCAGATTGTTCAGTTCAAACTCTCAGACATTGGAGAAGGCATCAGAGAAGTAACTATTAAAGAATGGTGAGTTGTTAGTCCTGTAGACAGGACTCTACTTAAATTGAGAAACTTCTTCCTGCGACACGCAACGCTTGTTGTAAAGCAGGCAGTAACACTGTCTCGTCTGTATGCTAGTGACGTAGCTCATCGTGCGTCACAGAATTTCACTCAGTGTCAGTTATGAAGAATCACTTTTTTCCTCTTTTTAAAAGCCCCTTTTACTGCCCTCCCCTCATTTCAGCTAAAAAAAAAGAGAGGTTGACCCTCTACGAGGTGACGTTTGTCAGTGTTCTTGTGGCTTTTCTGGAGGAGCAGTATCTTAGAGGTCCTCCTTCTGTTCTGGAAAGGAAGTCCCCTGAAGTCCTTTCAAACGTCATTTGCATGTCACAGGTGAGGTTTTATTAGGGACTGAGAACTGGTTAAGACAGGAAGACAAGGGATAAGAATGACCGAGCAATTATGTTAATGAAGAGTTGGTGGTAATAGATCAGAAATATGCTAGGTACATCAAGAACGGTATTGGAATCGACATGTAGTATTTCAGGTGTGGTCTCACCTGTTCTGCCTGGCAAAGCGTACTTAAGATGACCACGGAATGAAGGGATTGATATGCTAGGCAGGCTGAAAGAATTCTAGAAAGAAAGAGAGAACTCAAACCAGACTTCATGGATTTACGAAAGATGTGTCTTGGGGATATCAATTTAAAGTTGAATTCTAGAAATAAAAGGCATCCCTTAGAGTTTGAGTAAGATTAATATAAGACAATGAAGGGAGAAAAATAACACATTTGAAATACTTATTTAGAACTTCTTCCTAGGAGTGGCTGGAGCAGAAAACCTGAAAGTTTAATTACATTTTTAGATGACAGATCTATGAATGGTTTTTATAATTTTGGTATTTCTTGGAGATACGCCAAAGAGATTCTGGAAGCCACTATCGAAGTTTCTGAAACCTTCTTTGGTGCACCGTCTTGGGCCGGATGGATTGCGATCCGATTCAGCGTCGCACTTACATTGCAAGGTCATGTGTGTTCACAGCTGGTCGCGCAGCAGGGTCTGACATCTTTTTCTTTCAGGTACGTGAAAGTGGGAGACACAGTATCTCAGTTTGATAGCATCTGTGAAGTTCAAAGCGATAAGGCTTCTGTCACTATCAGCAGTCGTTACGACGGAGTCATTAAAAAACTGTATTATAACCTGGAGGACACCGCCTACGTGGGGAAGCCCCTGGTGGACATTGAAACGGAAGCTTTAAAAGGTACTGTACGTGTATTTATCTCTTTGCCAAATTGGTTCTTTTGTCATGGGGACCAATCGAAAGTGCTGTTTACTTTTAATAACTTACAGGACATCAGGAAAATAGGAAAGGTCCTTTGTGATGCGTGCTTATCTTTGGGCTCATCACCATGTCAAAATCACATACAGGAACAGTTATCTGGTGACCAGGTTCTGGGTCCACAGCATTCCAAGAAGCAGCAAGCTCTCCGGAGTGAGAGACTCGGGGCACTGGTCACTAATAACCGCAGCTGTAGCGTGCACAGACTGACAGAACGGAACGGCTCTGTCGGCTGCCCATCCAGACAGCAGCAAGCACTCTCACTGGCGGTGGTTGAGAAAGCCAGGCGTCGTGAAGTACGTAGGAGAGGAAAGTGAGATTGAAAAGCGAAGAGACGCATTTTCAGGGGGAGCAGCAGCCTTGCAACTCGGGAGCAGTGCGTGTCTGACAGCAGAAATTCGCTATGAGACGGTTACAGAGGAAAGCTAACCCGGGCTGCTCCCGGGGGGCTGACAGCTGGCTGTCCACCCCTGAAGGTCCAAGATTAGCTCATCTAGGCAACAGCTTTGACCCCGGAGACTGTGGGAAGCTGTGACGTGGTCTCGGCCAGCAACCTCCAGGAAGTGCTAGGGTTAGGACAAGTCTGCTGTGTAACTCAGGGTCCAGAAGGGCCGAATTACAGAGAGGCTCTGCAGACTGCACAAGAACGCAACAGCCAGCGTCGTGATCACGCTGCACAGCCTAGCAAGCGTTTCACGCTTATGACTGTTTTTTATCCCTTATGACGGAGCCAAATTTAGAACTCGATGTCCTCAGCCTCTTACCCACAGTGACAAGCTGCCCCCAAAAGCTGGACGATGGCTTACAGAAGCCTTTCTATTAGTTATTTAATTTCTGTTATAAAAGCCAGATGTAGCATTCTAGAAACTTATCAAGTACAGAAAACCAACAATAAGAAAGCCCATCCCTTCTGCTCAGAAATCACCCCGTGAACACACAAGTGTATGGCACAACAGACTCTCATCTGGTGAAATCATGCTGTGAACTACAGGACTGGAACCCCAGCTTGTCTGACCAGAAAGAGACGTTACTAAGTCCATGACCTGATTTTCCTTCTGGCCTCTTGAGTTCTTAACTGAGACCTCCTGTGATGAATGAGAGATTAACAAGAGAGAAGCAAGTTTATTGACACGTATACCTTATGTAAAGGGGAGGCAGGCAGCAAAAAGTCACTCCGAGAGGTGGCAGAATTCCGGCTTAATATCATTTTAATAGGGAGGGGGGTGTGGGGGAAATGCATGCCCCTTAGGGGAGAGTAAATGATGTTCAGGAAAGACAATGGGCCATTATTTGCTTAGAGCTGAATGTCAAAGCAAACTCAGTCGCCTACTGAATGTCAGAGGGCTGGCCTCCCGTCCACAGATCCCCGCAGAGGTTCAATCCCCACACAGCGCTGATTCCCTGGCATCAGGCTCTGACAGTTAAATCTCTCAGAAACTCTGTTTGCTTGCAAAAGTACATGCTGATAGCCCTAGATTTTGTCCTTGTATCAGGTCTCTCAAGTTAGAGACTAGAACAACCAAAGTGGCGTTGGCCGTGGAAATAAAGTCTTTCATGGCATCCTTCCAGCCATATTGAGAGCAGAGAAAAAATGTAAGTGCCATAGCCTCTTAGGAAATCTAAGAGGATAGACTGCCTCTTAGGAAAGCGTTTAGATCTGTCACAGACTTTGCATGATTTGTTCATGTAATTTACATCACATTTCATTAGTTCCTGCTACGTATAAATATACACGAGAAAGCTATTAGGAAAGTATGTATGTATTTATTTATTTTTAGACAGAGGGAAAGGGTGGAAGAAAGAAAGGGAGGGAAACATCAGTGTGTGGTTGCCTCTCACACGCCCCCTACTGGTGACCTGGCCTGCAACCCAGGCATGTGCCCTGAATGGGAATCAAACCAGCGACCCTTTGGTTTGCAGGCCGGCACTCAATTCACCGAGCCACACCAGCCAGGGCAGGAGAGTATTTAAAATACAACGTGTTTTAGACTTTATGGGAGAAGCTCTTATTTTGTAACTGGTAGCTGGCTACACGATATTAACAGAAATGAAATAAGCCAACGCCAGGTAGTAACAGATATTGGGCACCACCAGGTCCCAGAACCCCCCAACACACTCTGCTTGTTGGTTTTCATTCTGAAGTAGCCGGACTGTTAGGCTTTTTGACTCTAAAGGTTAAATTGAATCTACTTATAGATTATACACAACTGAGCTTGTTTTTTGTGCGTCTTGTTTTTTTGACCCTCCACTGAAGAGTAAACTTTACCTGTCCCCAGACTCGGAGGAGGACGTGGTGGAGACCCCCGCCGTGCACCACGAGGAGCACACACACCAGGAGATAAAAGGCCGGAAGACGCTGGCCACGCCCGCCGTGCGCCGCCTGGCCATGGAGAACAACGTACGTGGGCTCCGCCGTGGGCGTGAGGTCCCGTGAAAAGCGCATGTTCCTATCTGAACAGTTAGCCCGTTGTCCCACCATGAGATGGCCCAAGGTGGGAATGAGGAAGACAGGAAAATGCCCGGTACCGAAGGGTGATGGCTACCTGAAGGTACTCGAGAGAAATGAGAAAAACTCCTTTGGCTAATGGAGGGGCGGGATTTTATTATTCCTCCCTAGAGACCAGTGAGGAGGCCGGCACTGGGAAGCGCTGGTAAACACTGCCGCCTCCCAGCAGGGCCCAGAAGCACAGACTGAGACCAGGACCGGGTTCCTGGGGTGGACACACGGGTGGTCCGTCCGCTGAGAGAGTGAAGCCCTTTCCTAAAAATGAGTGGAGGGGAGGGCGGAGGTGGGGAACGACCCAGCAAGGGTGTGGTCTCCAGGCTGGGCCCTGGTCCCAGGGTGCAGGGAGAACCCCACACCCGCACTGACTTGTCCTGGGGCTGGCCTCCCCCTTCCTCTCTCAGCCAGTCCTCAGTGCTCAGCCAGGCGCTCAGCGAAGGTGACTCCCTGGCAGGTGATCTGCGTTTAGGTGGTATTTCATTTAATGGTCACAGCCCTGGAAGATTAAGGGGGCTGGTCTAAGATACGAGGAGGGCAAGGTACTGGGCAAGGTCACAAGCGGTGAAGCAGGGACTGCGAAGGCAGCCTCGGGGGCTCCCAAACCCGCGCCGCTGCTCACGACGTGCTACCTCAGCAGCCACTGCTGTCGCTCCTGGAGCGCTCCCGAGCCAGCCAGGGGCACGCACCCACACGCCCTCACAGCACCCCGCAAGCGGGCTTGGCCTGTGCCCATCTTGCAGAGGTGCAGGGGCAGAGAATTGATGCAGTGGCCCGCAATAAAATAAGCAGCTGATGGGGGTTTGAACACAGATCTGCCCGGTTCCAATGCCCAAGTCCTTCCCAGTATGTCCCACAACGTGGGGTTTTTGTTTGCTTGTTTGTTTTTGAGAGAAGTAGTTAAGTCACGGTGAGAAAAACAGGTGTTTACATTTTGGAAATATAAGGGTCGTTAAGATGTTCATATCCCCTCAGGTAGTTACCTGACCATTGTTCCAGAAAACTGTCCCAAGGAAGTGATCAAGGGGACAGTTTTCCAAGTGCTTTGCCGCTCAAAATCAGGAAGTGCGTGTGTTCGAAAGCAGGAGAAATGCCGTGGCAAATTATGTTATAAACCCTAAGTGATGCTTTGTTAGCCATGAAACGTGTTCAGACATGAAGACCATTTAGCATAACGGAAAATACAAATAACAGCATAGAACACTAGATTGTTAGAGCACCAGATGACCTTCATATTGCTATAAAGCATTTTACCAATGTTTTTCCTTAATCGACAGAAAGACCACTTGTGGGAACATATGACTTGGCCTTCTGGTACTACTTCCTAAGGAAGTATATAACAGCTAGAGTATTTGCATAATTGCTAGAAATCCAATAGTAGATTTATTATCATAAATCATCTTTTTTAAATTTGCAGTTTGCATATTGAGTTTGATTAAAATGAAAAAAACCAACAGCATTTATAGTTGTTTGTAAATACATAAAAATTGCTTGTTTGAATTCTCAGAGTTCATTTGTTAAGAGTGAAAGGGTTCCCATGTAAAGTCCTTTACAAGTGTGAAGTTGCCCCGAGAGAAACTCTGGCACAAGTGAAGCAGCACCTGCCCCAGACACTTGACCGCCGTGCACCAGGCACGAGGGCGCTGCCCCGGCCCTAGACAGAGTCAAGTACAGTGAGAATGTGTCATCTCCGTGACTAACATAGGGCCTGGTTAAACACAGCAAGGCCATGTGTGTTTCCAGAAAGTATCGAGAGTATCCAGTGGAAAGTGGAACACATCGTCTATTGTTTAGTCTGCAGAAAGCAATGATAAAACGCATGTACGTGACCCTGAACTTGGGCTGAGGAACTCGCCTTCCAAATAGACCTTCAGTAAAAGTGATTGCATTGCTTCGTAGTGCTCTTTCTGGAATAACCATCGGAAAATACCAAAGTAGGAGAGCTTTTGTGAGAATTATTTTAACTATGGCACGTTTACTAGTCTACTTTTATGGTATTTAACTCTTTTAAAATTCTTAGTTCTTATACAGTTTCCAAAAATAGGAAAAAAAATCAAATAAGAATTATGCCAAAAATTGACGAACAGTTGACTATTTAAAAAGTGTGGGCAGGGATCACAGATGGGCAGGGATCAGCCGCCCCACAGACCCTGCTCTGTTGCCGCCAGGGCAGGCGCACAGGGTCCGAGAAGGCGGCGTGGTCGCTCGGGTGATGAAAACGGTGTTTCTTTATACACCAGTTTACCGGCAGAGGGTCCTTTTTTTAAATCTGCGGTTCATTAAATTCCGTTTAGAGACCTTAATGATGGATTTATTTTGAGGAAGTTTCATTTTTTAGCGTTGAAAATGTGTCATTTTTTAGATTAAGCTGAGTGAAGTGGTTGGCACCGGAAAAGACGGCAGGATACTTAAAGAAGACATTCTCAACTACCTGGAAAAGCAGACAGGAGCTATATTGCCTCCTTCACCGAAAGCTGAAATCATGCCGCCTGCACCCAAACCGAAAGACAGCACCGTCCCCGCACCCCTGTCTAAGCCTCCCGTGTTCATAGGCAAAGACAGAACTGAACCCGTAACAGGTACTAATAATGGCATGTACGGAAACAGTGTAGTTTGTTTGCGGGGAAGCCCCCTCCGCAGATTCATCCATACACGGCAACGCGGTGCTTTTTGGTGAGCTCTCGAAAGAACTGCTTCTGACTTGTTATGCACGAACTCGTCGGTGGTAACTTGCAGATGGGCTCAAGTGCAGGAAAGCCGCTGGGTGGAGATGTGACCTGCATCTTCTAGAACCTTTACACTCACAGCCTTGGAAGCAGGCGCCTGTTGTATTACGGACCTTGGCCCTGGGCTTCAGCATTGAAACTGGCAGCTTCCAAACTTCTGTGGTGACGTAGGCAGCTCCTAGAGGAAGCCCGACTGAGAGCGAACAGCGTTAGAGGACCGTCTGTTTTAGGTCAAGGGCGGGAGGACCGGGGCTTTCACGCGGACTGTCTTGCAGGCTTCCAGAAGGCCATGGTGAGGACCATGACGGCAGCCCTGCAGATTCCGCACTTCGGGTACTGCGACGAGGTCGACCTGACGGAGCTGGTGAGGCTGCGCGAGGAGCTGAAGCCTGTGGCTTCTGCTCGTGGAATCCGACTGTCCTTCATGCCCTTCTTCATAAAGGTGAGGCTTCACTCACGTCCAACAGGGTCGAGGAGGACATTTCGACTTTGTTTTCCCAATAGTGTGTTAACTGTGGCTTTGAATAAGTGTTGCTTCTTGCCATATCACCTGGTACAGTTTCCTGTACAGTTTCCGGGTTCCACAGGAATTGATAAAACTGAGACATTTGAGTCCCGCTTTCCCCCACCGCCTCTGTGGGCTGGGTGAGCCTTGTCCTGTCCGCCAGGGGAGGCCCTTGCTCCAGCGAAGTCCTGGCTTGACAGAACGGAGACCTGGCGTTGATTTTGCGTGTCGCCGACATACAGTTGATTTCATGGACTCACCAAACTCCTGGAACTCACGTTGCAACTCACGTTGCATCTCCTGCAAATCGTTTCTGGCTCCAGGCCTTGGGACCAGCATAAAAGGGGCCAGACCGTCTGCCGACCTGGCAGCTCACGGTCAAGCTCATGATAACCAGCACTTAACAAAGCTGTCACCTGGGTCAGACCCTCACCAGGCATGCTGCAGACGGGGTGTGCTTTGCTTCTGAGCGTAACCCTGCCTCCCCCACTTCCCATTGAAAGAAACAGGGGCCCGGAGAAGAGAGAAGCTAAGTACCCAGTTCTGGTCTGTTTGACTCAGAATGGGTACTGTTGTCTCTAACTGCAGAGTGGCTTCCCTCCTCACCCTCCCCCTGCCCCACACTGTGCCAATACTGATCCCTAAGTCAGTCTGTTATTCCCTGGTTCTTTTCAGTGGCTCCCCTCATTGCCTTCTGGGTAGTTTCTAACCTGCTGCGTGTGGCAGACAGTGATTGCCCACAGGCTCTGCTGCCTCCCTCCCACCCCCCCTCTGCTTTAATCAAACTTTGTTCAGGTACAGTACCCTTTGTTTCCCATTGAAATGCATCTCTGTGTGTTACAAGTGTTTACCCCTTAGGCAGAAACTGTGCTCCTTTACCTCCGCCTTTTAGCAGCTGCCCTAACAAGCAAACACGAGATGTGATAGATGTCAGTTAATGAGCGTGGACTGGATTACAGCTGCAGCGTCTGATCTGCAGAGGCGGCAGTTGACACACGTGGATGAGATCCCCCAAGTTGTGTGTGAATGAGAAGACGAGAAGGCTCAGGGTTTCCCATCAGTGTTTGAGAGGAAGGGAGACGTTGAGTTGGCCGAGACAAAGGACGAGGGTAAGTGGGGTCAGCCGTCCGATGATAGGAAAACCAGGGAAGAGCCACTTGGAAGCCAAGCGTATCTATTGCTACATAACAAACCATGCCCAAATTTAATGGTTTGCAACAGCAGCCATCTATTATTTCATTTCTCACGAGTCAACAGTTGAGCAGGCCCCGTAGGCTGACTTGGCAGAGCTCCCTCCTGTCTGCAGGTAGCTGGTAAGTTTACTAGGGCTGCTGCTAGTGTAGGTGGGGCTTGGTACGGAGGACTCACTTCTCGTCCTTACGCGCCTGGCATCTCCCCAGCATAGTAGCTCATACGTGGTCTCCTGATGCTGGCGGGGAGAGGAAGCAGATTATAAGCACCTTGTCCAAGCTCTGCTGCGTGGAGTTCGTTCTTAGCTTATGGACCAAAGCTGGTCGTATGCCCGAGCCCAGAATCAGCTCACGAGAGCAGTACCACCAGTGAGTGTGGGTAGGGAGGGGCGGGACAGACTGGGGACACGGGTTCAGTCTCTCACACCAAGAGAGAGGAAGAGTGTTTTCAGAGGCGACCGGACAGTGGTCATCTGCATCCCAGAGATCAAACTACAGCGATGGGGACAGGCCACTGGACTAGTGAGGAAGAGGTCTGAGCAGCCCGAGCCAGAACTGATTGAATAAAGTATCGCTGGGTAGAAGCTTGCTTGCAGTTAGTTGGGGAAGGAAGAGTATGGGGGAGGAAACAATGATTTTTCCCTACCTGTCTTAAATTCTTCCAACGAGACTCATGACCAGATTGTGTGAGACAGAGGAACAGCAGGGAAGGACCGAACTCGTGTCATATGTGCGTGCAGGGATCCCGTAGCCATGTGAGGCCTGCAGGTGGTGTTTAGGTTTCGGTAACATCTTAGCTCAGGTGGGAAAGGGGTCGGCGGGGTGGGAGGAGCGGGCTGGATTTCAAAGGGCAGGAAGGCAATTCACATGGAGACAAACGTTCCGGAAGTGAGTGATCGCTGGGACCCAGGCGGGACTTAGACCAAAGTGGCCCCTCACGCTGGTTCACCCCGAACTGCGCGGTGGCAGCCCCTCCTGGAGCAGGCCCTGTGCCTGAGTGTTTCCAGGCAGTGAGTGGGGAGGTCGGAGGTTTCCCCTGAGTCTTCTGTTTCTTAACAATAACCAGCCTGAAATAATCAGTATCCCCAAAGAGAGTGTTTTGGGGTGGCAAACTCTACCTCCCTCAGTGGAGAGTGAGTTAGAGGGGACTCTAAAGTGATCCATTGAAAGGCAGACAGGACAGAGGTCCAGAGGGGGTAAGTGGTTGTTGGGGAGGGTGACCCCTGCCCCCTGCCCTCTTAAACTCGGTTAAGGAAACTTGGAGGAGCTTTGTGGGCTGGGGACAGGAGCTGGAGGATGGGAGATTTAAAGTCCCTAAGGGGGGAAGGGTGTAAGAACAGGAGAGGGGACCTGTTCTGCGCCTGGGTCCCTCCTACCGGTGCTGGCGACTGGTCTGTTTCAGAGCAAGGGGAGACCAGCTCTGTAATGCATCGAATTGGCTTTATCATTATTTTTCTTCATTGTTTCCATCTGAACGAAGTGCCTGATCCTTATTTCGAAAGTAAAATTTAGTAGGCTTTCTTTCACGGTAACATTTTTTTCTGCCTGAACAAGTTTCAGAACTTGTGGGCCCTACTTTTGCCCCACCCTGTAGTTATTCTGAAAAATATACTTTTTAATCTTTAAAAAAAAAAAACCACAACTTTTTTTTAGCCCTGGCCTGGTAGCTCAGTTGCTCAGAATGTCGTCCAATATTCCAGATTGCAGGTTCAGTCTCCGGTCAGGGCACGTACAAGAATCAACCAATGATGCTTCTATAAGTGGAATAGCAAACTAGTCTCTCAAATCAATCAATAAAAACTTTTTAAGTTTTTCCGTTATAAAAATCTTCCTTGATGTTTATAAGCTGCTCGGCTACTTTTTTTTTAATTAAAAGATTTTATTTGTCTATTTTTAGAGAGAGAGGGGAAAGGAGGAAGAAAGAGAGGGAGAGGAAACATCAATATGCGGTTGCCTCTGATTCGACCCCCACTGGGGACCTGGCCTGCAAACCAGGCGTGTGCCCTGACTGGGAATTGAACCAACAACTCTTTGGTTCACAGGCTGGCACTCAATCCACTGAGCCACACCAGCCAGGGCTGCTTGGCTACTTTTATCTTTCGTTCTTAAATGGTCAGGCTGGCCTCTAGGTACGCGCGGTCTGGACATTGACCTTGGCATAAGAGAGCGTTCCCTCCCTTCTCCTCCACACCCTTCTTAGTGCTCGGAACCCTCCTTCCTGAGTGAGGAGAGCTAACGCCGTCCTCTCTTGCCGTTGAACAGGCCGCCTCCCTGGCGTTACTGCAGTTCCCCATCCTCAACGCGTCCGTGGACGAGCAGTGCCAGAAGGTCACATACAAGGTTGGCTGTGTGTTGTGAAAATGCCCTTGTTCTCTAAACAGGACGGCGCGCTGGTCAGTTAGATAAGTGCCTGTTGCACCTCCCATCGCCGTCCCTCCTAGAGTAGAATTCAAGGGAGGGGAGGGGACAGAAAACCACAGACACTCACTCTGTCATTGCTGCTGCCGGCTTCCTGGTCGGTGGTGACAGTGTTCAGACGCGCAGATTGCCGTCTCCGTCCCTTTTGGTTTGGGAAACGTGAATGATGGAAACTGATGATGCTGAGACAATGGGTTGCACTACCCACCCTACACCCTTCTCTCGAAAAGAATGGGCTCTCGAAACGATTTCCCACCGCTTCTAAAACAAGAGCAATGTCAGTGGGGAAAGGAAGGCGAGTTTGAATTCTGCTGGAGCGAACTCTTCCATTTGGGGTGGAAGTTTATTAAGGTCGAGCCTTTGGGGGTACCGTTCTTATTGATATTCTCACTGGAAACGAGCCCAGACGCTCTGACGGGCTGGATCATGGTCCCCCCGTGTGACTGACACAGTTTCCCGGCCAAGCAGGCGCCGGCTGCAGAGGGTCAGACGAGAAAACAGTGACGTTTGTCTCAACCTCAGGCCCCGAGGCAGCTCACCGTTTGCACTGACACGGGCGTCCTTCCGGGGCTGTGCTGTCACGTGTTTCACATTGACATCTGTGGGACTGGCCACGTGGCTGGTTCAACTCTGAACCTCCTACAAATTTAAATGTTTTTCTCTTCCATGCAGTACCTTCAGGACACTGTCACGTGTCAGTCAATAAATACAGCCCCCGGCGCCGTTCAGTTAGCCAGGGACCTCCGGTAAACACTGTGGTCGTTCTCAGCTCTCAGAGCTGCAGACCACCTGCACTCAGACCGCCCCTGCGGAGCTCCACACACTTCTGCACTTACCTCCGTAGTGTGGATTTTTATAAACGTTGCTACGAACCATTAACTGTCCCCCAGAAAACCTATGCCAGCTGACATTGCCACTAACACACAAAAAATTATCTTTTTCAAAAAGAGCCTTTTGACATCTTTTAAAAATCAGTGAAGTCACAGCACTCTGGGGAAATAACTTGGGGTAGTTGCTTTCACACGGCCATGGAGGTCAGCCTTTCCCGGAGGAATGCAGGCTCCTGCACAGGCCCGCTGTGTGGTTTTCAATTCTTTTTTCAGGCCTCTCACAACATTGGGATAGCCATGGACACCGAGCAGGGCCTGATCGTCCCCAACGTGAAGAACGTTCAGATCTGTTCCACCTTTGAGGTCGCCGCGGAGCTGAACCGCCTCCAGAAACTGGGCTCGGCGGGCCAGCTCAGCACCTCCGACCTCATGGGGGGCACCTTCACCCTGTCCAACATCGGCTCGGTGAGTGACAGCCGCTCACACTTCCAGGCCGCGACCCGCGACCTGCGAGCAGATGCTCTGTGAAAAAACACAAAACTCACTGCCGTCTGTTCTTCACGAGCTGAATGTTCTATTCTACCCTTTCTTTTTTGGTTTGCGTTTCAGATCGGTGGTACGTACGCCAAAGCAGTGATATTGCCACCCGAAGTAGCCATTGGGGCTTTCGGATCCATTAAGGTACGTTTATGAAATAATGAAAAATGAGTTTAAGCAAATCGGGGAAGTGAACACGGAGAAGAGCGACCCTTTCCGAGGTTTCCGCTTGCTCGGTAGATGTGAGGGTGCAGCCGATGCTTCTGGGCCCGCGGCTCAGGGGCCTCCGGGGCGGTCGGGGGCGCGGGTAGCGATCCGAGTGTGTGTCTGAGGATGCGCCACCGCGGCTTCCGCCCGGCGCTGGGCTTCTTACAGAGGTTCTTAGCCAAAGCAAGTTAGTATTTATAACCAAGTGAGGCACTGTTGGGGACATTCTTTCTCACACTTTTGTCCGTTCAAGAATGATTAGGGCCTGGCTGGTATAGCTCAGTGGATTGAGCACAGGCCTATGAACCAAAGGATCACAGTTCGATTCCCAGTCAGGGCACATGCCGGGGTTGCAGACCAGTCCCCAGCAGGGGACCCATGAGAGGCAACCACACATTATATTTCTCTCCCTCTCTCCTTCCCTTCCCCTCTAAAGATAAATAAATAAAATCTTTTATAAAAAAGAATGATTAGGAATGCTAGTTCAAAATGGAGATTTCTTGGCCTTGGGCAGAGAGCCCCGAGAAATTGGATTTTTAAACAAAAGCCCAGTAGTTTCAACAGAGGGGTGACCTGTGGCTCTGTTTTAGGAGCAACCAACTCAGAATGAGGGAGGGCAGCCAGGGTGTTTCCCTGTCCCTGCCCCAGAATCCGAGCTCCTTGAAACAGATGTCCGGCCTCAGCTGCATCGACCGAATCAGAGCTTCAGGGCGGAGCGGGGGCGTCCCTGGTAACTCGGGGCGCAGGTCCCCCGGAGCTACAGCGGCGAGGCCCTGGGTGCGGTTCTAGACCGCCATCGCCAGATGTCAGTGGCACCGCGTTAACTTGATGTTGGCCTTTGTGGTTTCAGAAGAGCCTTTCTTCTTCTATTTAGTTTATTTTAGTCATTCACTTTATATATATACTTAAAGTCTGCAGTGGGCTAGAAATCTGGGGGGGAATAGGTCCTTCACCAAAGACAGACCGAGAGCAACGATTCCAAACTGCGTGCCCAGCGTTCCCAGCCCGTAGGTGGCCTCTCACCGCACCGGCCCTGCCGCTGCCCAGCCGCCTCTGCTCCCTCCACCCCTGCGGTCCCCGTCCCCCTCTGTCCACGTCTCTGGTGTCCACGTGCCTGTGCCCGCACTGCCCGAGCTGAGCGGGCCGTGCTGAGGCTTTGCTGCCCACCCGCCACGCCCCCGCTCGTCACTCCCGTTCCTGCTGCTGTGCTTTTTCTCTCCCACGATTCACGATCCGACACACTCTGTAGAGGGCCCAGCACAGGTCACACCCCTCTTCTATTACAGACTCTTCTACGGCAAAATCGTAAGTGCGTAATTCTGTAACATAACAATATCACACTCAAGCACACTGTAGGGCATTATAGGTGAAATGTTAAAACTAAGTTCTTACACCCCCATTACCACCTTACCAACCACGCTCAAGCAGGTCTGACTTCTGCCAGACCGTGCGTTTTTCCTATGTATCTAAATTCTGTCTTTCCCCATTAAAATGTTGACTCCAAGAGCGAAGGACTATCTGTTCTATTAACTGCTCTACCCCCCAGGGTCGGGGAGGGTGCCTGGTACAAGCAGGTGTTCAGTAAACATTGGTTAAATAATTGAAATCTGAGACAAAATTTACTGTGCGAATGGAAATTATACTGGGAACCGGACTCGCCGGGCTGGAGACAGGCGCTCAGAGAGGAAGCCGGCGAGAGCGGGCACTTTTCGGAAGTCCTTTGGCACGGCCCTCTCCTCCGCACTGCAGGGGACCTGCCGCGCCCGTGAGCGCGCACTTCCGGCCGTGAAGGCTGACTTTCCACTCTTTTCTGCGCCTTCAGGCCCTTCCTCGATTCAACCAGAGAGGGGAAGTATACAAGGCCCAGGTCATGAACGTGAGCTGGTCGGCCGATCACAGGATCATCGATGGGGCCACCATGGCGCGCTTCTCCAACCTGTGGAAGTCCTACTTGGAAAACCCGGCCGTGATGCTGCTGGATCTGAAGTGAGACCCGGTGACACCCGTGAACTCTCTGAGCTTCCAAAGACACGTGGAGCCTAGCTGCGCCCGCACACGTCCCCCGTGACCACCGTGGCATGGCCGGTGTGTCCTGGGCAGTTGGTTAACCTAGGGCACAGTACTTATCGTATTCTGATACACTTTCTACTGCAAACGCACGGGGGTGTCCCCGTTCTCCTGGGCTGTCCCGTTTCGTAGGTCACGGTGTGCGACTTCCCGACGTGGCGCTGTGGCCTTCACGTCATGGGCCGCAGCTGACGAGGACAACAAAATGCCACTAGAGATGGTGGCAGCCGTGGACAGTGTTTCCCCCTTTTCTTTTCTTATCTTAAACTGGCACAGTGAGTCTTCCTGGTTGCACTCAGTTGGGAGAAGGAATGTCAGTACGAAAGTACTTTCCGTTTTCCCACCAGAATGCCCCTGGATGTGTAGACTAAGCGCAGTTTCACTTAGCGCTTAAGAAATCCAGGGGTCGGTCACTGCAGACGTCGCAGTCACTCAGCAGAGGTCGTTGTCCGCAAATGCCTTATTTGTGAAGCAGCACAGTGTGGAAGGGCAAGCTGCGGGTGGGTCTCCACGCCCAGTTACAGCTTTATAACCAGTGGGGGGGGGGGTCGAGTGGGTAACTGTGGCCATTAGAATAACAAATCTTGTACAGAAACGAGGGGTCATGGTCGTTTGCGGGGAGGCCCGCCATCACCCAGAAGTAGCATTGACACGAATACCAGCCAACCTTTTGGTTTGCATTCAGGGAACCAACGGCAAATCCAGTTGTTTCAAATATTGTCTAAAAAACTTCAAGTGAAGTTTTATGATAAGGAAAAAAGTTGTTTTAATAGGTATTTGGTTGCTTTAATAATGGCAATAATGTTAAAATAATGATTGGCCCTGGCGGGGTAGGTCAGTCGGTTGGGGCGCCAGCCTGACACACCAAGGTTGCAGGTTCGATTCCCGGTCAGGGCGCCACCAGGGGCAACCCGATGATGCATCAGTGAGTGGAGCAACAAACCCGTGTTTCTCTGTGTCTGCCCTGCCCCCCCCCTCTCTAAAAGTCAGTAAATAATTTTTTTAGAGAAAACAGTGGACCAACTGACCATTGTTATTTTTTAAATTCAGATATTATGGAGAAAATAAATGACCCGTAATCCTACCACTATTAACATATCGATCAATGCACCTGTACACGTAGCTATTCTTTTTATAAAAATGAAATCGTACTGTATCTACTATTTTATAATTTTTTAAAATTTAACATTATATCATGGGTAACTTTAGATGTCAATAAACAATTCTACACAATCATATGTCTAAGTGGCTGCAAAGTATTATTGTACGCACTTATCAGGCATTTAAATATTAAACCTCTGCTGTATACCGGGCAGGTTGCCAAGCACAGGGCAGAAGGCCCACCCTCCCTCACAGTCCCTGCCTGCATGGGGTTACATTCTAGTGGAGGGGAGTGATATTAAATTATCATGAAGATAAAATGGAATTACACGCGAGTGGAAAAGCAGGCGGCTACGAGAGCCCCCCACGGGGCCCCCCATGGAGGTGGCCGAGCCTGTCTGGGGGTCAGCAGATGGCTGCGCCTCAGTTAAACCGATTCCCCGTGAACAGCATTTACAGGGTCGTAATGAAGAATGCCGTGCTGTAAAAATGTCCTCCTCACCTGAAGAATGTGCCACTGGGAGAAATGAATACGTTACACATTCCCCTGACTGGCAGCATCACTGGTTCAAGGTGTTCTCGACACTCCCAAGAAGTTTTGCGCACCTCTGTGCCTTTGCGGGGAGAAAGCCCGCACAAAAGTCCCTTCCTCCCCTCCACCTCTGCAGCTCCCCACATCTGGATGGGCCTCTCTTTCCCTCTCCCCGCCCTGCCCTTCCCGGGCCTCCGTCAGTGATGTGGACAGGAAGGTCTGTTTGTCAGTGATGTGGACAGGAAGGTCTGTCTTCGCTGCCTGCGGCAGTGACCCTCATGGGAGCCCCAGCTCAGTGGCCTGGTGCTCAGGATGTGCTGGCTGACTCGGGACCTGTGCCCTTGGTATTTTTATGACGTGCTGAGGGAGCACAAAGTGCAGCCAACAACCCAGCCAAGGGTGGCACGGGGCCAGGGTGGCCCTGAGGCTGCCCTCGTGCCTGGGGAAAGCTGAGGGCGCTTCACCGGCCACCAGGAAAAGCATCTAGAGGCGGAAAAGGAATGTACAAGCCTCATAATCAGTAAGACATTTGTTGTACGTGTTTGGCAAAGAAGCGTTCTCTCTCTGTGCATGGCATCGGTTTCAGAATGCATTCGAGTTCGTGGTTAACCAACCTATCTAGTCTTCTCTCGCTCATTTGAGATTTAGCAGAACGTGGGTCATCATTTTTCCTTTTAAACTGTTCATTATAGGTGATTTGCTAACGGCATCCGAACATACGACTGAACAAAGCAACGATCCGTCTGCTGCCAAGCAGGGAAGCACATGGCCAAACTCAACCTTGTTACTTACACAGGAAGGCGGGGCCCATGGGGAAGGCGAGGCCCACGGGGAAGGCGGGGGCCCACGGCGCAGGCGCGCTCACTCTGCCCGGATCAGGCGGGTCTCACTGACTGGCTGCTGAATCACCCATCTGTGCACAGCTACTTTCGGAGAGAGTTGAAGAAAGCAGCTGCCTCCGAGTCTTTAATCGCCACACTTGAACACCATAACTATTATTGTTCTTGTGTTCTCAATTCTAGCTAATTTTACGTAACATTGTATTTTATTTTATTTTTAAAGAGAGGGAGAGAAACATCAGTGTGTGGTTCCGTCCTTGCGCCCCCTACTGGGGACCCCGACCCACAATCCAGGCATGTGACCTGACTGGGAATTGAACTGGTGACCCTTTGGTACTCAGGCTGGCACTCAATCCACTGAGCCACACCAGCCAGGGCTTTTTTTAAAAAAATACATAACATTTTAAATGAAGTACCTTCACTGATGATTTTATTTACTACTCACAACAACCTTACATACCATTATTTGTTTATTTCAATGAAGAAAGAGCAGCCCTGGCTGGCGTGGCTCCGTTGGTTGGAGCATCGTCCCGTGGACTGAGGGTTGTGGGTTCAGTTCCCGGTCAGGGCACCTACCTAGGTTGCAGGTTCGATCCCCAGTACAGGAGGCAACTGATGGATGTTTCTCTTCACCTCAACCGCTCTCTCAAAAAAAGCAATGAAAAAATGTCTTTGGGTGAGGATAAAAACACATAAATAAATAAACCCTCATTTCTTAAAGAAGGAGCAAATTCTCAGAGAGGATGACAGCTGGCCCCGGGTCCTACAGTAAATGGCTGACCCATCTTCGCAGTCACCTTCTCCGTGGCACTGGCCCAGCCCAGGATCATCCACGTCCCAAACACGGCCTCTCCCGAAGCTTCCACCCTCCACCATCCCCCAGATGTGTATTCAAGATAAGTTGTTCCACAAAGGCGGTTCTTTTCTGGGCGAAGGGTGGGGGAGAGTGGGGGCGTGGGCACCGGAAGGGAGGGCGGGAGCCACATTGCCGAGGGAGTGTCTGCTGCGGACCTGCGCCGTGCCCAGCACAGGTCTGCACCTCAGGTCTCATAATGACGCTTCCCAGTAACAGCATCGGGGCAGGGCCGGGTTCGCGACACCTACGGGAGACCCAGCCCAGTGGCAGCTCAGACAACAGACTCTGCTGTGACTGACGGTCCTTAGCTGGTGTGGCGGCTCTGCCGTACTCTGTGCTTATGGACCCAGGCTCCTTCCCGCCTTGTGTCCTGCTGTCCCTTCGGCATCATGTCTGTCCCCACTGTCCAGGCCCACATTCCACACAGCGGGGTGGAGGGAAGAGAGGGCAGTCGTCTCTGATGGAAGATTCCCAGAGGCCGTTCGGGCCACTCCTTGTAATCGGGCTTCCTTTCCCTCTGCTCACTCACAGTCACAGTGTGCGTGGCAAAGGTCTGGCTGCGTCTCCCTTGCAGGGGTCACCTGGACAGTTCCCTCTGGACCCACCTCTCTCCTGCTCTAGACGCTCATTTTCACTCTTAGCATCTCCAGGTGACCGTGCATTTCTGTGACATCGGACAGACCAGGTCAGCTCTGAATTATTGATGCCACACCTGAGAGGGTTCCTCCTCCGCCCATCAAAACACCCCTGGCTCCTGTATCTTACAGCACGCCTCCCCAGTTTAGTGCGCGCTGAAGGTAGCGAGGCTCCTTGATGTTTGTGAGCTCAGAGGTAAATGATACAAATGCATCAAGAGGCAGTCTCGGGGGGGCGGGGAACAAAAAAACAAACAAAAAAAGAGGCAGTCCCAGGACTGAGGCCAAGGGCTCCGAGCACAGGCTGGCGCACCTGCTGGTCAGACACCGGCTGGAGAAGTCCAGGCCACTTGCTGAAACTGAGCAGGAGAATCTGGAGATGGTCCGGAGGACAGCCACAAAGACAATGGGAGCGTGACAAAATTAACTGCAGTTACAAAGAGACTTTCTTTCTATATTGGGCTCCCATGGATCTTGTGACCAGGCAGGGAGTGGGGAACAGCTGTTGTGGGTGCTGACAACCAGGACGGAAGCAATGTGAACGGGGGCAGAATTTAGGGCAGATGCTGGGGCGGAGTCGGGACAGCCCCAGAAGGGCTAGTGCTCAGCCCAGGCCGAGGAGGACACGCACCCTGTCCCCAGCCACCCGCACTCCCAGAGGAGCCAGCACCAGGCAGGAGACTTGCTGGCCCTGCTGCGGTTGAAGTTCACAGCTCGTTCACATGTTCTACGTATGTAGTCAGTAGCACTAAAGAACATGGTGAGAGAGGGATCTTTTAAATGGGATAGTAGTTTTTGAAATGCAGTAAGAAAGGAAAGGGGAAAAAGCCAAGGTTATAAAGTCTGTACAGAAGTTGCAAGAGTGCAATCATCCGGAAAAACCTAGCAACTTCATTTCCTGGAAAAATGCAGCCAGAGTGCCAACTGTGAGAATGAAGGCAAGGCCATGGATGGCAGGTGTGACGGGGTTCATATGAACTGCAGGGACGAATATAAATCGGCCCTCGACTAACCAGTGGGCATGTTAGATAGTCACAGGGGACAGAGAAGAGGTCACGGCTAGGCCAGCACACTGACAAGGCTGCAAACCAATGGCACCACAGATTGCACATGAACCTGGCCTTGGCCCCAGTGTGTTGCTGGCACAAGATTAGAAGGGCCGTGTGGGTTCCAGCGTCACTTGGACAGAGCAGGGCAAACTGTCACAGAGGTCGCATAATTTTTTAAAAAAACACCACTGTTATTGACAGCTGGGTTCCCTCCTAGGTTTGGGAATGTTAGAAATATTGATATGTAAATGCAAGGCATTTCACTTTTAATAGAATGGTATTATTTTCATCTGATGTCTCTCTTTGGTTGTAATTCTTCCCCTACTTCACCTCCCCCCCCACCTCCTTTCCTTCTTTCTGCAAAAAGCTGTATTCTTTCCATTTGGGCCATTGCAGGGAGAGGCTCCTGGGTGGTGAAAAAGCTGCCTTGTGGCTGCAGGCAGAGGCTCAGGCAGAAGCCAGACCCCAGGGGGACACAGAGGGGACCCTCCACGGGCTCCTAGTCGTGCTGGAGGGGAGCCTCTTAAAGAGACTGCGCCCAGCCCACGGAGGGGAGCCGTGTGGTTGCCCATCTTCCTGATGCGTTTCAGCTGCTGGTCCAGGAAGAGGCTCCGCAGGAAGTCACAGGGTCGAGAGGCTGTGTGGGCGGAGCCCGGGGCACGGAGGCCCGAAAGGGCCTGGTCGGGTTCTTCTCCAGGACGATGGCGGCTTCCCTGTGTCCTGAGCGTCACCCCACTCACCGTGGGACAGCCTCTGGAGGAGGGTGAGGCCCCCTCACTGGTTTTGCAACTTCAAGAGATGCTCAGCACCCTGAGGCTTCCCCGGGGCCCAACTCTCAGAAGCATCCCGGGTCCAGAGCACAGCGTCTCTCAGGGGCACCGAAGCCCGGAGAGAGGTAGGCGTGGGAGCCCCCACAGAGCTTGGTGACCAGGCAGTGGGTGGGGCCTCCCAGGGTGCTGCCAGGTGTCTGACGGGTTTGGGAGCTCACGGCTGCTCCCGGGCAGGAGATAAGGTGAAAAACAGAGTCCTCGGCTGGTCTGGGAGGCTGAGGGTGGCTGAGCTGGTTCTGCGGGTGGCCACTGGAAAAGAGGTTGGACGGGGGTCGGGGCTGGAAGCAGGGGCGCCCCTGGGTCTGTTCCGTCCAAACAGGGTGAAGCAGGAGACGGCTGGGCGAGGGGTGGGGGGTGGTGCTGAGGGCACCGCCAGTAGTACTTTCTAAACACAATCAGAATTCTCACAATCCCACCTTTATAGAAATGAAGGGTCCCGCAGAGCAGTTTGTGGAAATATGAAAAAAGCAAATTTCGTAGGTGCTTCCGAGACACATGCTGTCAAAGTTGGGTCGGTACCCTAGAAACCAAGTATTGGCCAGGGACAGAGTTTAAACTTCAGTGTAGCCTTTATTTCTGTAGAAGTGAAAAGGGGTGCATAAAAATGAAAACAAGGGAATGTAACTTTTTAAGTTGTTATGTGGCCAAAAATAGCTCACCCAGCATAGAGCAAGGCGGTGCAATTTGGGGTCATTATTGGGTGCGTGGGCTGCTGGATTGCTTCCTCTTCTCCTTTCCTTTCCTTTTCTTGAAGCAAGATTATACTGACTTCCCTCTCAGCCCCGCCCTAGGTTTAAATTGCCCCAGAACTTGCACGACGGTCTGGCGGCTCCCACGAGGGTCCTGCATTCACAAACTCTCCTCCCTGGGAAATCCATAAGTTCCTTGCACGACGGTCTGGCGGCTCCCACGAGGGTCCTGCATGATTCACGTAAGAGCTCTCCTCCCAGGATGGGAAATGCCATGGCCACCCCTCCCATCACAAGAGAAGGGGCACGTTTCACTGGTGTTTTGCTTGCCGAGTGACATGTTGTTTCCATAGACTCACTCATGTTCTTCTCCAATGAAGATTTTAAAATCACTTGCAGTGAACTTTTGATTTCTGGCCAATTCCCGGTAATACAGAATGAATAGTTTTCGTATATTTTATGTCTCCACTGTCGATTGGTTTAGGGAAATGGTGTGTGTGTGTGCACATACACATGTAAACGACAATTCTGTGTCGTTTTAACCACATAAATCCCCAGACCATCTGTGGAAGGGCGTCCCAGTAACTGGCAGCAGCGACTGCCATTCAGGAAGAGAATTAAGGGGCAGCAGAGGTTCCCAATCTCCTGAATTTTGTCCCCTGTGCATAGAGTACCAATTCAAAAAAGAAATACATAACTTTATTTAAAGATCCAGGAGTTAACTCCTACCTACGTAAGGCTGAAGAGATAGTGGATGAGAGAGCATCGGGTCTGGAGCGTGAACGTTGGAGGAGCTGGGCCTCCTGTTACCGCTCCTTACCCACACCTTAATTTTTCTTTTTTTCCCCCTGAAGCATCTGTGCCTTCCGTTTAAATATTTAAAGCTTTGTGGCTTACTAGGTAGGGTTTTATTACTCCGTACATACTCTCATTTCCAAGTCTCTCTCTCTCTCTCTCTCTCTCGGAACAGGGTCATTAACTTCTATTCCAAGTCAGGAGAAGTGGGAGGGCTTGGGGGGGAGGTGTGTTCTGGCTCTGGGACATGTGTCATTCCACGTGGCATGCGCAGCATGCAGTCACATACATACATTCTTGGCTGATCCTTTGCACAGAAGCGCCACGTGACCCTTGCTATTCTCAGCTTTGTCCACGAGCTAAATTTAGAATGAGGCTGGCATTACCTTTCACATGGTTACCGACGGACAGAGGGTTTTACTCATTCGGAGCCGTGCTGGAGACGGTTCTGCTCAGCACACACTCTTCTGAGCTGATAACAGCAACCTTGGGCATGTTGGTTTCTGTATCCGCCAGTGATGGTAAGTACTTTTCCAAAAAAGCTTTTTTTGCTCCCATTCTTCACGTATAAAAAGACTGCAGGTGGTACTGTGTCTGTGTTTGCTACAATGGACAACTAGACTCGGAATGGGATTTAAACATCTCTGGGGGTAGGTTTCTGGTCACTCACGCAACTGTCCTTGTCAGAAAGACAGATGTCCCTAAGAGTTAAGGAGCATCTGTTTTGAGATCGTATGTCTTTCTTTTGACTTTGGGGAGCTGGCTTGTGGGTCATGCTGTTGTGGTGCTCGCTTTGCTGCCAAGGCATGTCCCGGTCTGTCTCGGCATTAATGAAGGTAGAGGCCACAGTCCTCTGCCAGAGGCAAAAAACACATAATATCGTTATTCCCGTTTTCCTCTAAGGGAGCTTGGCTCGCCATGGCAGGAAAGCAGTTGGCTGCCCAGCGTGCAAGAGCGAATGAGGAAATGAGTGAACACGGATAGGTCTAGGAAGATACACATAGTTGGACATTTAGAAAATATTTAATTGTGGGATAAACATATCCTCCAAACATACTGCAGCTTGACTGTGACCTCTCCACTTGGATTATCGGCATCTGAATCCCAAAATTTTTCTAAATGGCAAAAGATCTCACCATCTGTTCGGCACAGGTTCTGTGCGCCTTGCTTGGCCAGAGGGACCCTCGCTCCTCATGGTTTTCTTCACGTTGGTGATTATGTATCAGCCCTGAAACCTGACACTTTTCTCCTCTGTGACGTGTTTCTTCCTCTCTGTCTGTCTGTCTGTCTTTCTCACCACACACACTGCACACTTTCACTTTAAAGAAATCAATACTTCAGAGGTGATTAATGAGGAAAAGCAATGCTCTTTACCAGTTTCTCCCTCCCACTCTAGAAATAACGTTTTAAGTATTCCAGTGGTTATCTCTATATTTCTTTCTCTTTCTCCCAAAGGCAGTTACATGCTGCTTCTTATCCACGTGAGAAGTCAGCCACAGAAGTTCACCCTGAGAGATGATGCCCATGTTCTCCGGCACCCCCTGGGTTTCTCTCCCAATTTACAGTGTCTCTCTCAGTCACCTTCATAACTCGAAGCAAACACTGATTTCTTTACATCTTGTTTCATAAAGGATCCACAATATCTATTGACTCCCGTCTTGGGTACTAAGATAAAAACTGGGACTTTAGAAACTGTGTTGCTTGTAGTAGTACAACTCTGAAACCCAAAAATCCGTATTCTGTAGGGGTCAATCAACTGTGTCACATTTGAGAGGTCACGGCATGTCAGTTTATAAGACGCCATCCCTTCTTCATGGAGCTGTGTCATTTCCCACGAGGTGGCTACAAGACCACGTACAGATGGAAATCGGGGTGTTTCCAATCTTTTGCTGTTATGAAAAACACCGTGGTGAATCATTTTGTAATATGTCATTTGACAACTGGAAACATTTGTGGCGTAAATTCCTACAGGTGTGAACGTGCGTTTGTAAGTTTGGGAGCTATCGCCCGATTTCCCTCCCTGGGGATGAGGACACTGCTGTCCCATTTCCTGGATGGGAGGGCTCACCTGTGCAGCGGGGCGTGTCCCCTCTCCCTTCCGGAGCTCCCTCCTCCTTTCCCCACGTCACAGCATCCCAGGGTGAGGCCGCACCGACGCGGTGATGTGAACACCACTGGCTTCCTGAATGGGGGCAGGCAGGGAGTCAATTAACTGTAAATCAAATTCTTTCACTATTGTTCATATAATTTGGTGAAAAACCAATACCGTTCTTTGTAAGGGGAAGAACATTCCATCAAACGGATCTACCGTAATTTATGTAACCATTCCCCAGTTATAGTTTTCCTCTCATGTCTGAGATTCGGGTCACAATCCCCACTTTGACCATTTGCAGCTTATTTTACACAAGAGCAAACGATCCCAATACACGAGTTACCACTCCACTGAATTCCAGCCGCAGCACCCCCAATGCCTGTCTTATTTTATATACCCTTTTTAACTGTTTCCCTATAATCAGACATGTGAACGAGTTGCAGGTTGTCATTGCTGTGCATTACATGGTGATGGAGGGATTCATTATTGTGGAGGGTATTGTGTACTTGGCACCAACACCTTGAACAAACCGCCTGTGTTCTTTAAGGTGTAGTCCTCCCATCCGTATTTTAGGGACAATGAAAGTACCCAGGTCACAGTATTTTGGTGGCATGTAACATGTATGAATAGTTTGGGGAACCTGGAGCGTGTTCAATACACATGCCCTATTAGGACCGTGACGAGCATGCTGTTCCTTCCCTCCGGTGTCCTTAGGTCCTTTCTGAGAGGACATCTGGGATTCGCCTGTTCAGAGCTTCATGACGGCGGTGACTCTGTGACCATGTGGAGAAATCATGTCAGAAAATGCGGCTTGTCCGGGGGCGGTCACTGCTGTCAAGGAAATTTGGGAAAAAAGGATAAAGATCATCAGTGAAGACCTGAAGCGAGAGAAGGAATTTCAACAGAAGTACGTCATAACGTGTTTGCTATTTTGAACTCGTGAACAGTCGTCACCTTGTCATAGAAAAGAGCGATTCTGAAGTGCCTTGGTATTGAACCTGGTGGGAATGTCTTTTGTTTATTGAAAACTCAGTATATACCCAAAGGAAACACTCGGCTGGGTGGCATGTGGCCCTCTGATGGGGACCCACAAAGTCCAAGTGTGTGTGCGTGAAATCGTAGTTATTGTGGGCTCCGTTAGGGCTCTATTAGTCAGTCACTGAAGTGTGCTTAGCACTGTTGAGTCCGCTTTTCAGTGGTGGTCTGTGCAACGTCATGGCCGCTGGAGTCTTGGACAACATCTGGCAGATGGTTCTGCGGAATCTCATCTAGGTGACTAGCTGTGCGCTCCAGCCAGGGCCCCCGTAAACCTGATTCCTTGATCCAGGCCCTAGTTAAATGGCGAGGCTCTCATTCCTCCGCCTTCTTGGTGTCTCCTTATTCTCCTCCCTGAATGTCTCCGAAGTTCTCCTAACCTGGCAGGAACAGCCCCTTGCCCCACAGCTCCATGCGTCAGGTCTGTGGAAGCATTAGAGGGTCTTGTGTGAGCAGCAAAGGGCAGAACGTTCACCGACAATGGCTCAGGGGATGAGGACGTCCTGAGACAGGCACTCCCAGCACGGCAGCAGCTTGGCCGGCTCTGCGTCTTTTGTCGCCTTCCCCTGCTGCTCTCGGGTAACTTCCCTCAGCAGCACAGGACGACTGGGGCACTTCCATGTCAGCGGTAGGGTGAAAACTGTTCCGTTCTATTTCTTCTTTATTGGCCGGACTTGGGTCGTTTGTAAACCCCCCACCCAGTGACTTTCTAGGGAATGAGACTGTGTGATGGATTTAGACAAATTAAGACTGACAAGTGGATGGGGAGGGGCCGCTCTCCCCACCCAGAGAATAATGATTCTGAGCGAGAGAAGGGTAGTAGCTGTTTACTGTGCATTTACTGTTTCCTAGGCATCCACTAAGTGGGTTTTTTTTTTTTTGCACTGTCTCACTTAACCCTCGCACCCTGCTGAAACGTGGTTTCATGACCTGGGTGAGACTGCATTATGACAAGAAGAAAGTTAAAACAAGAGCACCTCAGACAAGAACGTTAGCTTTTCTGGGTAAAGTGGTCCAGGGTAAACAGCAGCACGCCACCGCGTCAGATACCTGGGCGTCTGCCTCACTGCTCAACTGTGCGTGGCCTCCCTTCCCGAGGTCACCACCGCCCAGCCCCAGATAGACACGCCGACCGCAGCCGACCTGACTGACCTCGGCCTGCAGAAAGCGCGCACACTGCTTCTGCCAGCCCCCGACGGCCGGGCTTCCCCTGGCCCCTAGCTGGCGGCAAGGGGTGGGGGTGGCTGGATGCCATCTCGTGCCCAGTTACATTCAGAGGGTGTGACACTGGGGAAGAAGAGGAGTGACAGGTCACCGGGGAGAGTGAGTGGTCTCTGCCGCACATTGGTGCTGTTCTTCAACCCGGGGAGCCCAGGAGACAGGCTCAGTCACTTGTCGAAGATCAGGTTGCTAATAAATGCGGGGTGGTGTTCACACACAAGCCACCCGACTCCCTGAGCATCTCCTGGGCCTCCGGGCTCCCGTTTCCCTGGATGGGGCCCTGCCTGTGGACAGTCAACCCTGTGACACAGGCAAGACAGATTTGAGCGACGGTACTCCCAATAAATCCTACGCATTTTAAGAAACGGTGATCGGGAATCATGACTGGGTTCTAAACGCTTGAATTTCACGTATCGTGAAAGGAATCATTTCATTTCAGCAGCTCTGAGTACTCTCTGTACAAGAGTAAGGAGTGTGCATTATTTTCCTTATGGCGTCTTATTTATTTAGTTTTACTTATTTTACAGAGAGGGAGAGAGAGAGATTGATTTGTTGTTCCACTTATTGATGTGTTCATTGGTTGTTTCTTGTCTGTGCCCTGACGGGGGATCAAACCCACAACCTTGGTGTGTCAGAACGACGCTATAACTCACTGAGCTACCCAGGCCAGGGCCCATCTTCTCTTTAGGCTTCATGACTAGCTTGTGCGTGGGAGGGAGGACTGTCTGTTAGTAAAATACAAATTCCAAAAGCTAAGTTACACACACCTCTAGGATCATTAGGTCCGGACTCTGCCTACTCAGTCCTGGGCCTTACACCAGCCCCTAGGGGCACTCACTGATTCGTTCATTCATTCATGCATGCATGCATGCATGCACGTACCAAACTGCTGCATACCTGCAGGGAGCTCCTTGGGACACTAAGGGAAAACCCTCCCCCAAGTCTGCCCCCTAGGGGTGTTGGCAGAGAAGACACCTGCAAATGGCTGTAATTGGCACATGCCACATAGGAGATTTCTGACAATGTTTAGGAGGGGAAATCAGAGACTGTTTAAGAAATTTAGGGGGGAAATTCTTTTTTTTTTCACACCTACACCAAAAGCAGGTTTGAGCTCTGGAATCTTTACTTGGAATTTGTAAAATGCTGTCCTTCAAGGCACCCTTCCCTTAATCTTAAAACAATTTCATTGTAAGATCATTTTATAGTGCTATAAAATTTGATTTATGTATGGCAAATTTAAGTCTAGGCTGTTTCCAAAGTAAACTGTGTAGACTTACAGCCTGTAGTATTCTTTAAAAAACATAATACATAAACAACCGCAGCTGGTGCAAATGGTGAGACCGTGACACACCAGGCGAGGTGACTGTTAGGGGGAAAAACCCTGAACTGCACACTGAATTGCGCACTGTGAAATGATTAGTTTTACAGCATGGAGATTGTATCTCAAGAAAGCTGTTGTTATAAAAAAAAATTATGGAGCGTTGTGATGCTTTTTGAAGACATAAAAACAGGGCTTTTGTGATGCTTAATCATATTTAAAATTCTTATAAAACAAAATCCTGTTTGATTTCTAGACATTATCGATCAAGTGGTGGTTTCGAATGGGCCTTTCTTAATACAAAAGTGAGCACTGTGGCTTCTCAGCCTTTCGGCTAAGGTCAAGTGTAGTGTCTGTTCTTATTTGTTTGATATAAAAGTGCCGGCTGCCTCTGTCGCCACCTGAGTGCTAATGCTGCTTCCTGGTCCCCAGGCTTGTGCGGGTCTGGGAAGAACGAGTGAGCTTGACCCGCCTAAAGGAGAAGGTCACCAGGGAAAATGGGAGACTTGTTCTGAAGATAGAGAAAGAAGAATGGAAGGTAAGCTTTCCGAGTATTGTAACAATATTTGCTTTTCTGCCCTTTGCTTTTGCAGGGGAGTCGACAGAATGATCCTGAGACGGTGTAATCAAGACTGGAATAGTTGGAAAGTTGAAGTTAATAATATACTCATATGAATTCACATAGTGAAAAGAAACATAATGTCACTTTTTTTTTTGCAAAAATTCAACTTGCTTCTACTCTACCTAAACTTAAGTCAGTTGCAATATTTATTCTACTAATCCTTTTAATAATTTCTAATTTTTCATAAAAAGATGACCGTCTGCCTAGTGAAAATCATACAGCTTTTCCAAAGCAAATACTCAGTTTAAACTTCATGAAATTAAAGTGGATATTAATTTTTTTAAGATTTTATTTACTTTTAGAGAGAGGGGACGGGAAGGAGAAAGAGAGGGAGAGAAATGTAAATGTGAGAGAGAAACACTGATCTGTTGCCTCTCACACACCCCCGTCTGGGGGTCTTGCCTGCAACCCAGGCCTGTGCCCTGATTGGGAATCAAACCGGCAACCTTTCCATTCGCAGGCTGGAACTCAATCCACTGAGTCACCCCAGCCACGGTGATAGTCATGTTTTTATTAGGTTCACCACCTGCTTTTTATCCTCCCTCCCTCACCCCCCCCAACAAGTGCTTGATTACACTGGCTGAACTCTAGTTTTCACAAGGGCCTCTCTCCCTTGGGTCAGTATTTTTCTGCATACAGGTATATTTAGCTAGAACGTTAGTTCCTTTATTTTGTCTCTTGCCTATTTTAGGCTGAAAGGGAAAAGGCAGAGACTTTAGAATAGCTGAAACTCTTAAGATCCTTAAATTTGCCCTGGCTGGTATAGCTCAGTGGATTGAGCATGGCCTGTGAAGCAAAGGGTCACTGGTTCCATTCCCAGTCAGGGCACATGCCTGGGTTGAGGGCCAGGTTCCCAGTAGGGGACCCATGAGAGGCAACCACACATTGATGTTTCTCTCCTACTCTTTCTCCTTCCCTTCCCCTCTCTCTAAAAATAAATAAATAAATAATATATTTTTTAAATCCTTAAATTTAAATAAAATCTTCTCTAACACTAAAATATTTCAAAATAGACAGGAAGAAAAGTTTGAATATTTTTTAAAGAATTATTCTTTTAAAAAAATAATTAAAAATTTTTCAATTGCAGTTGATGTATATGACAAAAAGTTATTTAATCAAATAATTACTAAAATGTTTTGGGATTGAGCAAAAAAAAAAAGGACTCATGGATATGAAAGTGTGCTGATTGCTGGGAGGGGGGCCGGTGAGAGACAGCCACACATTGATGTTGCTCTCCCTCTCTATCTCCCTCCCTTCCCTCTCTAAAATTAAATAAATAAGATCTTTAAAAAAAAAGATGAAAATTAAAAAATGTTTTGGTGTCCTGTGCCTCTAATCACCCACTATATTCTCATTTTCGGCAGCACACACACTCTGGAAAGGCAGATACAACAGCATCTTTAGGACGTAGTTTTCTAGGGGACTGTGCTATTGACCAAAATATGTTATTTTGTTCACTCTATTATTATCGGGGTTGAGGTTGAGCAAAACAAGAAGTAAACAGCACAAAGCGTTTGGAAATATAACCTACCGAGAGAAGAAGATTCTGAGTTCTTTTCCAGATCAGGTAATAACAGCTTGACAACCACGCGTTCATGCGGCGTGGCACCGAGGTCAGTTCAGTGACGCGGTGCCCGCCATTCCCTTCTCTTGAGTTCAGACCCTGCCTGCTTCTCTGATGAAACTGAATCAGCTGCAGGAGTGGCAGCTGCACAGAACCGGTTTGCTGAAGATCCCTGAATTCGTCGGAAGATTCCAGAGCCTCATCGTGCTCGATCTGTCTCGAAACACGATTTCGGAGATACCTCGTGGAATAGGTAAGGAACACTGCCGCCCTCACTGCCCTGCCGTTCCGTCTGCCTGCAGGCGTGCTCTTCATCGAGACTTTTGTCTGCTACGTGGAACAAGGGGCTCACCCCTCGTAGCCCTGAGTCCCGAGAAAACTGTAGACATCTACTCTGATGCTCTACGGGGATCCCAGCTGCAGGATTCACCCAGGTGATTCAGGATGAGACTTCAATGCAAAAAAAAAGTCTCACCCTGGCTGGTGTAGCTCAGTGGATTGAGCGCAGGCCTGCAAACCAGAGGATTGTGGTTTGATTCCCAGTCAGGGCACATGCCTGGGTTGCAGGCCAGTTCCCAGCGGGGGATGCACAAGAGGCAACCACACATTGATATTTCTCTCCCTCTCTCCTTCCCTTCCCCTCTAAAGATAAATAAATAAAATGTTTAGAAAAAAGTCTCTTTGAAAGTAAAATTGTATAGGTTATAAAGCCAGTGTTGCTGGTTCAGTTATTTCTTGAAGGAGCTGAAGACAAAAAAGAAAATTAGGAAGATTTCTTAAAAGAGAAAAAAATCCTCAAGTGGAAAATTGGTCAGAATACAGTACAGATAACACAGAATGGAAAAAAAATGTACCTTTGCCTAAAGCACTGATAAACCTGCCCTTTTTTCAGCAAGAGTTAACAACCTGGCCAGTGTGAATTTATCTGTGCAAAATCGGCTACTTCTTAATGCATTAACACTGTGTAACTAGAAATACTATTTTCTATCCCCCTGCTCTCAATTGTGCATTATTTTTTGTAGGACTACTTACTCGACTTCAGGAACTGATTCTTAGTTACAACAAAATCAAGACAGTCCCCAAGGAACTGAGTCACTGTGCCAGTTTGGAGAAACTGGAACTTGCCGTCAACAGAGACATCTGCGATCTTCCGCTGGAGGTGAGAGCGAGCCGCAGGCCCGCGACCCCACTTGCCGTCCGCTAGTGGCTTGCTGCTCTCAGTCGTGTGACTCTTAAAAATAACACCAGTGAAGAAGTGCTGCAGATTTCATTTCAGGGAATACGTAGCGGAAGCTACTTCTGGTTATTTTAAGTAGAATGCATTGTTTTGATAAGAGTGGTCTCTATTCAGCATAAACGACCCTTCCGCTACTGCCGTTGCACTAGCGACCTGGGAGGTCAGCATGAGTCTGACTCATTTCTGTTCCCTGAGCTGCAGGCACAGCCTGGGTGGCAGTCATTACTTAATAGATGCTTGTTGAATGACTAAATAACCACCCTGAAGCACAGACGGTGTGGTGCTGGAACAAAACTCTTTTGCACTCTGGTTGGCTGTTCTCCGAGCGCCTGGTGTTTGAGAGAGGCCAAGTGACCGGAAGTGAGTTCTTCAAATCAGGGCAACGTAGTTCCTTTGCAGAAGCAGCTTCCTGGGCTCCGCCAAGGAAAAGGAAAGTGGTCAGACTTGGACGTAGTTGGAGTTCTGAGGATGTCTTGTTATTGGCCAAAACCAAACTGGGCCTAGAGCTACAGACATTTGTATCACTTTTCAAACACGTCCGATGCTCTTCAAATCCGCAAGGGAAATTTCCATGGTTTTGCCTTGAAAATAATGACCTTGCAAGATAACAGTTAAGAAAAATAATACAACTCAAATTAAATAGATTATTACCTTCTCCCTTTTTACCTTGGTGAAAAAAATCACTTTTCTTTTTTCCAAACCAGTAAACATGTTACCGATAACATTGGCTCTTGCAAGTAAGACATAGTTTATATATTGATAGTTATCTCTTCTTACAACAGTTCAACTTAATCAAAAGTAGGCATTTGTTTATGATAAAAGTGATGGGCTCTGGCTGGTGTAGCTCAGTGGATTGAGCACGGGCCTGCGAACCAGACAACTGCGGTTCGATTCCCAGTCAGGGCACATGCCTGGGTTGCAAGCCAGTTCCCTGCAGGCCAGTTCCCAGCAGGGGACGCACAAAAGGCAACCATACATTGATGTTTCTCTCCCTCTCTCCTTCCCTTCCCCTCTAAAGATAAATAAATAAAATATTTAAAAAATGATGATCACAGGGACAATTTCTTTATATCTACAAGAGGGCCAAGAAGTATTTTATTTCTAATTTGTCATTCTTATGTCTCTGCTCCTAGGACTGGTTCCGTCGCTAAAAAGCTGTGGGAGTGAGGCCACGGCCATTACCCTGTCTTTCCCTAAATTCCTTTGCTTAGAGAATTAGGTTTTAGTGGAACAACAGTGGGCTGAGATCTGGAGCCAGGGACGACTTGTAAGATGGCCTTGAACATGCAAATTAAGTTTTGTATGTAACAGTTTTAGTACATACTCAATCTTCTACCATCAAGGCGTTCTAGCCCCACTGGGAAGTCGGCAGCGTGACGTCGCGTGCACCAGACACGCAGACACATCCCTGATGATGTAAGAACCATCTCTTCATACTCTGTTCTGAGCCACTTGAAAATTTTGAAAGTCTGATAACAGATTTCGAAAAAGTGTTTGATTCATGGCTTGAATTCTAAAGTTGGAGAAACATTAATTACGAGACAAGCCTTTCAGCTTTTTTTGCCTACAAAACAGTGTAGTTGGGCATTTTTCTGGGGCGTCCGAGTGGTAGATCTTGAACACACCCTGATATAGAAATAAAACAACTCTTCCATAGCCCGGTGGAGAGTTTCTAAATAAAAGTGGACAAAATTCTCACATCCTGGAACTTTCACGACTGCCCTGTGGAAAGAGGAAAGACGTTTTGTGTCTTTGGGTCCATGGACATTTGAGTGCATGTCACCAGCCCACCGAAGCCACTGGGTCCCTAAAATGGAAGTCAGGCACTCCCCTGGTAGAGCAGATGTAAGAACTTTTCATCACAGCTTTCTCAGACCAGGGGCAGGGCACCCAGAAAACTAAGGGCTATTTTTAAATGAATAAACTAGAAGCGTTGATGTGAGTACAGTTTAAACACTGACATTGAGAGAAAAACCTGGTTAGAGAGACATAAGTACTGTATCGTAATCTTTGAGTAAAATTTAAAAAAAACATAGGAATATAAAGTTATATGTTTACAACAACATACATAATAGTAATCTGCATATAGAGAAATACATAGAAAATATGTAGTTCTGTACAGCAAATAAAGCATTAAAAAAGGCATGGGAATGAGAGACCCCAAGTTCAGGAGAAGTGTGACCTCTGGAGAGGAAGAAGGGACCAAGGACACAGAGGGGCAGCCTTATCAGTCTGTCTTCTTTCTTAAGCTGAGTACCCTGGTGCTCTGTTATTCTGAATAAATTTTTATCGATGTTTTCATTTAAAAATAGAATTCCGAAAGTAAATTCTGTGACTGCGATCCCATGAGGGGGTTCAATAATTGTTTTGAATGTGGGTTTTCCCACACTAATCTCGACTCTAGGGTGAAAGGAAACATAATACATGTTTACCCTGAGAAGGGGGGTGCAGGGAGCCTTTGCCGGGCAGCTTCTGTAATCCCTGGAACCTGGTTATTTTGGAAGATAATTGTCTTTGAATAAATGGACTTTCTAGGAGAGTTCTCTGCTTATATGGAGGTTATTCGGGTTCGTTTTGGTTTCAACTGTGTTGGGGACCCTTGTGACGAAGCAGGGTCCGAGCACAGACAGCTTGGTGTGCAAGGCGGGCTGGGAGTGCCTTGGCTCACACTGCACCCCTCGCCTGCCTCCTCAGCTCGGCGGCCTGTCCAGCCTCACGCACCTGGACCTGAGCATGAACAGCTTCTCGGCCTTCCCTCCTGCTGTGCTGAACATGCCTGCCCTGGAGTGGCTGGACCTGGGCGGCAACCAGCTCCGACAGCTTCCCGAGACAATCGACAGGTAACATCAGCAGACCCGATGAAAAGAAACAGCACCCAGGGCCCCCACACCTGATCCATCACAGCAGGTGCATCTACAGCTAACAGTTCGACCATTCAATAGAATGTTTTCATTTACTCCAAAAAAAAAAAAAAAAGAGAGAGGAACTGGGTATCTGGCGCCTACAAAGTGACAAGAATGTGCCACAGCAGTGACAACACTGATTAGTGCATGCCAGATGCTTCTGTGCACTTCACACACAGACGAGGAAGCAGAGATGTCAGCTATTAAGTTACTCAAGATCATATCGAGTGTGCAAGAGGGGGTGCGAACCTAGGCAGCGGACCCCAGAGTCTCCCATGCTCACTTTGTCCTCAGCGGGCCCATGGGTCATTGCCGAATCTTCCTGTAAGATGAATTCGAATTGGACCTCATTTACAGCAGTTCTTCTTTGAGAAATCTACGAGAATAGTGACAAGTTCTAGAACGCACTGATTTCAGTTCCACCACCGCACATGAGAGCTGAGCTGTAGAGATCAGCCCCGCAACACGGATGCCCTGATAACCAGGGGGTGCGAGTCAGCCAACGGAACAGGCGCAGTGATGAATGGAGGCCTTGTAAAGGGTGGTGTTTCCTGGGTTATTAAGTTCACGAGACCCCGGGTTCTCCTACAATGTGTGATTGACCAAGTTCAGGAACCCCCGTTACTCCTTCAGGATGCAAAAGCTCCACACACTGTGGCTGCAGCGGAACGAGATCACAGGCTTGCCGGAAACCATCAGCAACATGAAAACCCTGGGCACCCTTGTCCTCTGCAACAACCAGCTGCAGGATATCCCGGCGTTCATGGGGGACATGACCGGCCTGAGGTAAGGGTTCTCCACGCAAAACCGGCCTGTTCCCTTCAGCTGCGGAGCAAAGCGATGCAGAGAAATTACTGTGACCAGACTCAAGTTCTCATTCGTGAGAATACAGGCACTTCAAAATCTGGTCCAGTTTTGAAGCCCTAACTTATAAACAGGATTCATATGATACTAGTCTAAGTTATTCAAGAATGAGTCCATAAAACTGAAGCAGGGCGGGGTGGGATCTATCAGCTTCAGGGGACGCCTCCTGTGGGTGACACTTCCATGGAAATCTTCTTACAACTGCCCACAAATCCCAGCTGTGATAGAAAAAGTGAAAAACATAAAAATAGTGATAAGTTCCCTTCTAAACACCTACAAAGGGACACAGGCAATTATCCTAATGACAGAGCAATCATAACTTTGTACTAATTACCATTAAAACGCCTTGGGTGTCTTCCTTCCAAAATTCAACTTCCTGACAGTGAACGTGAGGAGTGACAATTCACACCAAATCCCACAACGTCCATAAAAAGATCATCCATCCATCCATCCATTCATTCATTCCCACACTTATTCAGCAACTACTAAGCTCCATACCAGGTGGTGAAGACTCGATGATAAAGTAGTCTATAAAATATGCAGACTTCAAGTTCATTACATCAATCAGGGAGTCCTTAGATTTTACGATGGTACAAAAGTGATATATGTAATAAATTACATGAGATAATCGATACTTTATTATAAAGTAGGCTTTGTGTTCGGTGACTCTGCCCAACTGTCGGCAAATGTAAGTGTTCTGGGTGTGTTTAAGGCAGGTGAGGCTGAGCTATCATATCCTTTAGGCGTATCACATGCATTTCTGACTTATTTTCAAGTTACAGTGGGTTTACTGGGGCGTCACCCTGTTGTTAAGTTGCGGAGCCTCTGTGCATTTGAGATGCATTAGCATTGTCCTCGGAAGTTCAAGTGCACCATGCTCAATCAGTGCTATTGGCTGCTTTAATAAGCTTTGCAGATAAGTTGTCTAAAGCTAGTATTTTTTTCTTCTAGGGGAAAATCCTTAAAAATTCTTGGGATATATCCCATCTCTCCAACACGTTCAGTTATTGAAACCCGTTAAAAAAGAGTAACTTAGAATTCTATTATCATTTGCTGTGTCCCAGGGAAGCAAACATACACTTCTACGGCACCTGTAGAAATTCTGTTTTTTGGTAAACTGCTAGGTTTGTCAACTTCAGAGACAACCCACTGAGGCTGGAACCGACCCTCCCTCCCAGCGAGGGCACGGAGGAGGAGGAGGAGGAGCGGGAGTTATTCGGCCTTCAGTTCATGCACGCCTACATCCAGGAGGCGCGGAGAGAGGCAGGTAGGGGCTTCCTTCCGGTCGAGGGATGTCTGTGTACGTGAACTCCTGCATGGGTTTTTCCTTTGGTCTCACCTGCTGTCACGTTCTGGTCTCGTGGTCAATGTCGTGGGAGAAAGAAGAGTGGACTTCGGCTCGGTTCGCCGTTTTGACAAAGACTTGCCGTCTTTCCAGTGGGGGGGGGAGTAAGTTTCCTTGGCTGAGCCTGTGGAGCACAGCCAGGCGCAGACGCCGTCCGCAGAGCTTCCCTGTCCCGTCCTGCTGGTGGGTCACCTGCCAGTTTACTCTCCCGAACCCCACCTTCGCTGCCATTTCCTTCTTTCCTACAACCCACGAAGAGCCAAACAGCTTTTGCCTGAGGATGACAAATATTGAGATAATACAGATGTTTAACTCATAGTTAAAATGAGGTTTTGATATACAGAATTCAACCAGTCTCTGATAATTTAGAATTAAACCATTGTTTTAAAACAAAAGAGGGCCTTTTACTTAGACCAAGACTAGGGAAAGGGCAGGTAACACAATTCTGTTAATAAAAGCAGTGAAACAGTTGATCACTGAAGATGGGGAAAGGGGGGCCTGGGGTGAACCTGCTTTAGGGGAGAGCAGCTGGGCAGGTGGTGACTCTACGAACGGGAAGAGGAGCATCACCTGGGCAGGACCAGGTGAGGTGGAAGGCGGGCTTTGGGTTTAGCACAGTACGGCCGAGGTACCCGTGGGACATGCAGGGAGACGCGGTTGTGGGGATGAGTCTCAAGTCCGAGAAGGGGTCTGATGAGCCTGCAGGTTCTGCGGGTGGAGGAACAGGTCCGTGCACTTCCTGCAGACCGTTGTCATGGAAACGCTAAGGGAAACACACAGGCTGGGGAAACTTCACTGTCCTGCAGCTGGCATACGACAGTCAAGGTTTACTTTCCATAAGGTACTGGCACCGGCGTCAGAAACGTATTAAGTGAAACGGGTCACAAGCCTGTGAGTCTGATCCTCGTGTGTGCGTGCATGTGTGTTACAGAAAACACAACTGAACACGCCTGTTGTAGAATGCCATTTATTTCTGAGCAGAACTTGTTGAGTGATACAGAACAGGTTGTACGATGCAAAACTGGCTCTGTCTGACACAGTGAAGCAAGTTCATGATCGAATGACGTGCTGTCTCCATTCACGTGTCCTAGCTTGGGGGGGGCACGAGTACCGGACTTAAAATGTAATCAGACTACCTTACTTTAGTATTTGACATAAAACTTCTAACAAGAGAAAAAGGTGACGACTTATAAAACCAACTCTGCTTATTTATGAAAAATAGATTCATGAGTTAGTGCTCTTCATTACAGTATTTGTGGAGTGCTTACTCCGTGCCCCTGACTGTTGTGAAAGTATTACATGTATAATCTGGTGTTCATGGCAGCCTTGTGAGGTAGGTCCTGTCACCGTCCCCATCCCCATTTGACGAGGAGGAAATCAAGGCACTCAGAGATGAAGCCCTTGCCCAAGGTCACACAGCTGAGAGGCCACGGCGCTGGGACTTGAACCCAGGCAGTTTCACCAAACAGCTGTGATTATTCAACTAAACAGAAAGGTTGAGGATTAAAAACGGGCCAGGGGTTTGGTTTACAATTCATGGAAGCATAGACCACGTGGCCAAAAGCGACCTGAGAATATAATCGTATCTAAAATTAGTAATTCTGAATCTGTCTTGGCAAATGCACCAGTGATTAACACTGTTTTTGGGGTTTTTGGTTTGTTTTACTTATTCTAAAGGCAGAATAACTCAAGGATAAAGTGTGAAAACAGTGGAAATGTGGTAACAATCCTGGTTTGTTTGGTTTAATACTTACTTGTGCATAGAAACTGTTTATATGAGTTAAATGAAGTCTAAATGTGAGGGTTTTGGTTTCACTACCTAATTTCTACTTTACTCCAAATTATTTTTCCAAACGAGAGAATATACTTATATTTGTATTTACACGTCAAAATGGCCTGTTAAAAGATATGAGGTAATTAATTTCAGAAGCTATTTGCAGATTTCAACTTGTGAAATGGGCTTTTGAGTGTCTTTTTGGAGGTTCTAGATTATTATCCACTGCAATGAAATAGTTTTTTTCCCACTTGAAAACATCTTCTCAGTTTTGGTGTTTGCACGGACAAATTTCGGTAACACACACAGGCGTGACTCTAGAAATCTGAGGGTAAACTTACTGACTGTAAATACCTCTGAGTTTGTTTGCATAAGGAAAAAATCACAACTGATTATCCTTTCCAGATCTGCATGGAAAGAAAAAAATCCATACAGAAGCCAAATCCTCAGATTAGCTCTTGTTGGAAACTGACAATTGACTGTTACGTCTTGAACTTGAGAAATAAAAAGTATTAAGTAAAATCAAAGGAAAATGCATTGCCGAATTAATGCAACAGAAAGTGAATGTGCTAGCTCGTGGTGACGTGTCCCGTGTTTCACGTGTGTTTCAGATAACCCAGCCGACTGTGTGGCCGCCGCACCAGACTCTGTAAATTCCGACGGATAGCACGAATCCAGACGGCCTGCTGAGATTGCCTCGGGGACTTGATGAACTCTGTAAAGTTCGGACTTCTCAAGTGAAAAGCAAAGCGATTACCAAAGTTCAGTGAGGCCACGTTTTTTAAAGTTCATATTCTCTCCTATTCAGACTACATTTTCAGGAATATAAAAATACGATTTAAAAGAGCTCTTTTTTGGTGGAAGGCAGCTGTGGTTGAGAACCCCTTCTCTGTTAGGCGGAGGCTCCCGGCGCGGGGCAGGGCCGGTGCGGCACGGCGGTGAGCAGCACGTTCTCCGGAGACACCGCGGGCTCCGTGTAGCGCTGCAGGGCGGGCCGGAACCCGTGGCGCCGCAGGTACTCGGCCCGGCCGTGGTCAATCAGCAGCTTACACAGGCGCCCGACCTCCTCCTTTTCCTCAACAGTAAGGCACCTAAACCGAACACACACACCAGACAAGGGTAAGACGCAGTCAACGCTTACAGAGTGATCGCTGTCCCTTCCATTGCCGACAAACCGCTAGATCACCAACAATACACTGAGTGCTGTGCCCCGTGCTTCCAGGGTACATTTGCGACCACAGTAAAAATGCACTTGAACTCCCTCTAATCAGACAATAAAATGTGTTTCCACGGACGTAAATTCAGGTGGAGCCCTTCCAAAGAGCGAGAGCAGCGACAAGGAGCTGCCTCCACCTCGGGCTGCCCATTCCTCAGCCACCTACCCAGGTGGGCTCTCAGCCTGGTCATCGGTGACCGGGTGTCCCCCACTGTCGTGCTCCTCGCTGTCCGCAGCCGGGCCGCCTCTCCTCTCGGGGCCACCCGAGGCTGCCATGGATGCGCCCCGCAGGCCGCAGGTCGCCCAGCTGCTCATCCTCTGGAAGTAGTGGAACTCAAGGGCACCGAGACCTAGCGCCCGGAAGTGCTCTCTGCCCACGTAGTGTCTCCAGTCACACCTGTGGTGACAGCAGAGCGCGATGACAATGCCAGCCACAAGGCCGCACTGCTCCGGGGCTGTTCCATCGCTGCCTTCCTCGGCCTCGGCAGGAGTTTCTCGGTCCGCTGCATTGTTCTTCATGCGTTTGGCTGTGGGCTCCTCATTCCCTTCCTCACCACGGGCACCACAGGCTCCGACCAGACATCGCAACGCCAGATCTGCAAACACAGCCACGCACCCCCGACACCGTCTCTAAGGCGAGTGCTTCTCACGTCGATTAGGTACCAAGGTTTCAAAACCCCCCGAACCAAAACAACCACCCACTTAGCCTTTCACCAGTAACGGCTCTTTTGTGAATCATCGGCTTCACTCACATTTGCCCTTTTCTCATGATGGCCTCACTTTCTCTAAGGATTTATTCTGCACGGAGTCTCCTTCCCAACAAAACCATCTGCCGCTCAAGGTCTAGTTCGTAAGAACTCTCAGCCCCAATACTTGGATGGGCTCTCATTTCTCCGCCCTGGCAAAGGAAATGACTGGGACAGGAGACCTTTATCTCCCAACACTTACAGTCCAGGGGAGTCTGGATCTCAGGGAACCCAGGAAGGGAACCCAGGAAGGGCATGTGTGTAGGCTGACACCCGGCAGCGGCAGCGGCAGCGGCGGCGGCGGCAAGCAGGGCCAGGCTGAGCACCGAGAAGGGGTCAGACAGGGAGGTCGGCCTCCCTGGGCCACGTGTTCACGTGGCAACCGGACACTGCATCCGGTCCACGAGCGAGTCCACGTGCGGAGGTCGTGGTGATGAACACACACGAGCTGGGGGTGAAAGTGACACGAGCCCCACGTGAAAGTGACAAGTGTGCTGGGAACGAAGCCAACACGTGTTTGGGGACAGCTGTGTTCAGAGTTGACAGTGCCGGAGTCACCCCAACACATGCTGCTAAACCCCTATTTTCTGTGCCTGTTCAATAAAAACACACAGGTCCTTTTAAACTGTATGACCCTAAATGTCACAAGTCACGATCACGTGACCTAATATCTTCTAGTAAATTTAATTCAACACGTGAGTTTAAGTCAACAAATGTGATGGGAGCCTCTTGTTTGGAGAACATGACAGCTAGTCTGTTCTCTAATAAACCACTATTTTCTGACAAATCTGCCCAGTCACTTTCATTTGCACTGGACTTAAGGAAGTGATTTTCGGACATATAGATAACCAGAAAATTATTAAAACAATTACGTTCTTTTAGAGTCTGGAGCTTTAGCAACCCGTCTCAACACCCCCTTCACAGAGAACTGCAGGGACAAGATCACAGAACAAACTGCTGGCTGAGATCGCCCACTCGCTCCCTGGGCGCCTGTTCCCCGCCGGCCGTCCCGTCAGCCCGGGCCCCCTGCTCAGAGAACTCACACAGAAATGGCAGGTAAACCACAGCAGGCAAAGTCAGGTGTGCAGAGAGTGGGGTGACAGGAAGTGGCAGCGCCCTGAAGGCGGGGGGCCACCGGGCCAAAGGTGAAGACAGGCTCATCCGCCCAGAAAGCTGGGGGCAGAGGCCAGGGGGGCGAGGACATCGTGGGAAAGGGCTTGGCCTCAACGCTGGTGGTGACTGGGAGCCACCGAAGCGTTTTCGGAGGAGGCAGGCAGGTCAGGTGTGGAGCAGATGGGTCCGAGTTTCGGCACAGAAAGGGCAGGCCGTGGAGGGGCCGTGGAGAGCCACGGAGGGGGAGGGAACAACCTCTACCACGGTCCAAGCTGCCACGGCAAAGACTGCTCAGGACCGGAGTGATGGGGCGAGGAAGGGGGCTGCAGACACGGGGACTCAACACGGCAAGGGTGGGCAACTGGAGAATCGGCCGGCAGGGCTGTGCTCCTGGAAGCGAGGAGCGGGGGCTTTCTCCTTCCCAGGACGGAAGGCGTTTCTGAGGGTCCAATGGCGTACGTCCAGGAAAGCCATGGAAAAACCGTGGCACTCAGAGCCATTTCCGGCCCATCTACATTTGGAGGCTCCCAGTTCCCCTGAGGGCGGACGAGGAAACCAGCAGGAGCAGGAAGAGGATGTGACAGCAGTCGACCCTTGATGAACAGGGACACAGGCCACCCTACAGGTAACACGGCCCTACGCTGGACCCCGTTTACAGAGGCGCCCCAGCCCCGAGGGGAGGGCCGGCCTCTGTCAGGGTCACACAGCAGGGCCGAACCCCAGACCGTGTGACTCCAAAGCCCGTGCTCTTGCCGCCGCCCCTGCCAGAGCTGGCGCACCCTAGTGCTCGGGCAGGACGCTGCAGGTCTGCCCGCGTCTGACATCCGGGCTCTTCCCCGAGTCCCCACACACAACCACCTTCCCCTGGGAGAGGTTTCCGAGTCCTTCCCCAGCAACGCTTCTAACAAAACCAGTCACTTCTGGGGTGAAACCATGCAGTTTCCATGAGTGATTCATTTACGTTTTGGTTGAAATGGCACCTGAAGAACTTTAGGGTCCCACATGACCGTGTTGGGGTGTCCAGCCCCTTGGCCTCCCTGGGCCACACGGGGAGAAGCAGCGTTGCCTTGGGCCACCCGCTAAATACACTGACACGTCATCACAAAAAATCTCATACGGTTTTAAATACATTTACGATTTGGGCTGCACTCGCAGCCACCCTGGGCTGCGTGCGGCCTGCGGGCCGGACACCCCGCAGAACCCATAATTCCTCCTGCAAAAGGGCCGGACGAGCGGACAAGCAGGAGCTCCACACCAACGTAACCCAAGGCCCCAAGATCACGAGCTGTGAACACCTCGTGTTCATAAACTACGTGAAGGAGACCCGGGAACGGCTGGGACACGGCTCACGTGCTCACCCGGACTTCAGGGTCGAGGACTCACCCGTAGCCACACCGCACAGGTGCTTCCCGATCCCCACCACCGGCAGCTTCTCTCTGCTGAGCACGGGAATCTTGTCTGAAAGAACAGGGAGGCGGTGAGGCCTTGGTGCCCCCAAAACACAGAACTAAGTAGCACCTCTGAATTTCAGGGGGGAAAGAGACACAAAAACATCCTCCCTTTGTAGTGTGGGAACAGGAGGCTCAAAGATACAGCGACTTGATCAGTAACTCGGACGCCCCTGAGCGAGCCAGAGTTAAAGTCCTTGACGTGAACGCCAGGTGATTTCCTTTGCGCTGACGCTGACCTGGGACGCCCCCGTGTGCCCGGACACCCTCTGCATTGCCGGACTGCTGGGGACCCCTAGTGCGCGAGCCTTCTGGGGTCTGGCCGACAAACAATGGAGGGGAGTGCAACTTACTCAAACACAGGTGCTGAATGTCAATCTGAAGTCTTTCAAACACTGCGTTTTTCTTTCTGTGTTTGCCGTCAACCTGCACAAGAAGAACGTTATTGTAACCATGGCTCTTTCTGTTTAAAACAAAGCAGCTTTACGAAAATAAAAAATTCTGTTCCACAATTCAGAGCAAATAAGTTTCCACCTTATATTTTCCTCTTTAAAAATGAGGATCCTTAATAGTAATACAAAAACTTTAAGATTGTATGTCATCTGATGAAAACTCCAAAGTAGTAACATTATAAATCTTTATAAGCCTTGAACATTTTATTAACGATCATGCGAACCTCATTTCCTTGAACTCTAAGAATCCCCAGTTCACTGATGGGGGACCGAAGTCCCCTTGGATCACCTGCCCGCCCCTTTGCCTCTGCCAGCCCCAAGTGACACGGCCTCTGGCTCACTCTTGCTCTCCCTGAAAGATCGCAGCCAGCCCACCACCACGCCTGCAACTGACACCTCTGCTCTGCGGCCCCGCCTCTCCGACAGGCCCCAGACACACACATCGCCAGGTCTGTGGCTTCCAGCACCTGGACAGCCCTCTCCTCCTCCTCCTCTCTGTCCCCAGGCGATGCCTGGGCTCTGGTCCGTTGCTCACTTGGATTATTGGAGAATAGTGATCTTATAATTAATCTCCCTGTTTCAAGTTTCAGACTGTTGATCAGCTTTAATCGTACTCTCCTAAAAACCTTTTTGTATTCAGTGCACCAACTCTTACAAAGCCTTCAGTCTCCTCTCAGCTGCCACCTCCTCCGGGGGGCCTTCCGTGACCCACCTAGGACTGGACCTGCTCTCCCTTCCCACCCTGAGTTACAGGGCACTTCGCACACTGGACCAAGATGCTCGGGAGGCTGCCCCCCTCGGCGTAAGTGCCTTGGAGACGGGGGTGCACCCCCAGGACTCGGCAGAGCACAGTGGGACACCTCCCCAGGTCAGTGAGACCCCGCAGCCCGGCCGCCCTGCCCGCTCCCCTCTGCGGCACCCACTGGGCTGCACCCTCCCACCACACACACGTCCCAGCGCTTCCCCGCTGTCCAGGCGCCCGGGGGACACCGGTCCTGCAGCCTGGACTGCTTCTCAGACCCAAGGTCTGGCAAGGGCTGCGTCACCCTTCAAGACACAGCTGGAGCATCACCTCTTCTGTAATCCATCCCCAACCTGCCCGTCAGAGACACCTGTCACTCCCTCCTTCGTGCCCACGTGGAACTCCGTGCAGACTTTGTTTCATATTTAATACCTTCCTATCATCACGTACTGGTCTGTCTGTCTCTCCTTTCCACACGTAAGTGACAGAGGCACGGGCCTTGTCTTATCTGACTAGCCCACCGACGCCCAGCAGGAGCCTGGCGGTGAGCTCCCAGATGTCCACTGGAGGGGGCGCTGGGAAGGGGCCGAGGACCCAGACCTTCAACCCCGGGCATGAGCTTGGCTCTGTCCACATATTTTCTCGTCTCTGCTTAAGAACTCAGAGCAATGGACTACCAAAATTTGGATTAAAACATTTATCTTCAGTTTCAGTCACCAATAGAATGTGAATAAAGAGCTACTATAATCAAATAAAAACACGAAAAATTCATTTCCTTTGAGACACTTCTTGGTGTGTGGGAAAGTGCAAACAAACAGTATGATTACTGATCCAGGCAGCAGTTCCATTTACCTTGAACCTCGTGGTCACCTTTTCTACCAGGACGAAGTGAACTTCCTCAGCATCTTTTAAGGCAACATCAACCCAGTGAGACAATTTTCCCTTTCCTGCGCCAAACTCAACAAAGCATCTTCTTGGACCAAGTAACTTTAACTTTTCAATGTTACCTAAAATAGAAGCCTGCAAACTTGACGAGATTATTTTATACACTTGAGCAAACACATTGGGCTCACATAGGGAAAACAGCAAGGCAATTTCTACAGGAGGCGGCATGTTCACACGGAACATTTTTGTTTGGCTTTAAAGTTTTTCTCTTTGCTCTTAAGTATTTAACACGCAGTATTTAGAACCATATCTATGCCAACATTTTTAAATATAGGTTTACACATATTTTGGAAATGGAAAGATTCTGTACCTTGAAAGAAAATCTAAATGGAATCTCGTTAATAGCTACATTTAGGAAGAACAGATTGTCAGCTTCTGAGAAACGAACCAAAGGCCACTCTGGGCCGCGCACTGCTGCGGCCGGCACATACCTGCTGTTTCAGGTGTTTGGTTGCAGAGTCACCATTTTTAGGGTCAGTAAGGGCATCGTGCAATGCTGGGTGGGACATAATTTGGTCTCTGAGTGTGGAGTTCAGACCTGTGCCAGACACAAGCACAGAGCTGAGGCAACCAAACACGAAACCACGGGGCTCCGAACAACGGCAGCTGGAGTTTTAACCCGCACTGGCACCGGTGCACAGGCCGCCCGCCTGTCCTGAAAAATCTTGAACTTGTAGTTTTAGGCAGACTTACCTTCAGTTGCTTTTTTCAATTTCGTAATTAAATTTCCCAACTGCTCTTCAGGGAGAGAAGAAATTGGAACCTGTATACAAAAATGAGCTGATCACTAAGAATATTGATTCTACAAGAAAACGTATTCTAAATTCAAAAAAATTAGCTTATTCCAAACAAAAATTGGAACATCACTTATTCACAATGTGGAGGGAGCTTACAAACACTGTTGAAAAGGAAATGTTTAGCCAAGTACTTACTAATTGTTCAAGTATTTCTGCTTCATCCTTCAAGCCGGCATTAATATCTTGAACAAAGAAGTCCTTAACAAAAACCAAGCCAAACCATAAAGATACTGTTATTAATGGGAAGTGATCACAAAAATTAAGCTGCAAAACCGATCCTTCCTGTCTGCTCATGATTCATTAATTACTGAGCACCTCCTGTGGTCCTTAACTCAGGATCAGTTAATTACCTGAGGACCTCCCACGGCAGGGAGCAGAAAGGACAAAAATCTCTGCGTCCCTGGGCCTTACACCCTAGTGAGGTGGTGACGTGAACATCTTTAGTCTAGAGAAACTCGTTGGTAATTTTTATTCCAGTTTCCATTTCTCCACAGCAGGGGCTGAGGACTACAACAGTGAGACAAAAACAAAGTATCAACTACGCCCATCTGTGCTCCCGGCTGCTTCTCAGACAGGGAGGGTGACCACCGGACACAGAGATAAGGTGCAGCCCTTAGGACAGTTCAGGTCTGATTTCTCCCACTTACAAATGCTAATTAAAATAGTATTTTATCTGTTCTCTCTGGGAAGCCCTTTTCGACTCCTTGCATTTAACTTTAATTTTTCTACAAGTGTGTGCTCTTTCCCGTGTGTACTTCTTCCGTGGAACTTATTCAACACTACCTGTTACTTACAAGTTTACATACCAGTTTCAAACAAGCTCTTTGAAGGCTGGGATCATATTTCATTGAAATAAGTTAGGAGGCACTAAATAAATACTTTTGAGTAAATAAACTGTGCAATTATTCTCTGAACAACACTCTGGCTGCATAAAATTCTACGATCTGAACAAGGACTGTGTGTGGACACAGTCTGATGCAGTGCTAGCCTTCACACACTCAGACGCAGTGACCACACTCAAGCCTTCGGAGACAAGGCTTGTTAGATACTCCTGTCTGTACGCTACTCGGTCTACATAAACATTCCACACTGCACGCACCACCGTTCGGTTTTACTGATCAAATACTTACCGGTTTTGGCTTCTCTCTTGAATTACATTTTTTCAAATGCTTTGCTAGTTGATCTTCATACACTGTGCTACATTTGGAGAGAAAATTATTTAAAGTAAGACGTGTGACGATGACTGCTTCCAGCAGAGAAAAACCCTCATCTGGTCCTGCACTTACTGTTTCGGATCTAAAGGGCACAGGATTCTCTTCCGAGCACTTTCTCCCTAGTAAAGAAAAAGGATGCGTTTGAATAAAATATCAGGTTCGTTGTTTACAGGTATGAGGTCTGATTTCAGTGTAATAATAAATTTACGCATTGCCCAAACAAGGCAAGGACACCTTGAAAATCCCATTAATTAATCATTGGCACAATTAGGTCAGAGGGTTTAATACAAAAGTGCCTGGTGTGGCTGGTTTGCACACACACGAGCAAATACTGCTTTGGACAGGGGCTGTACTTCAAGCAGGTTATAAAGAAGACCTACACGTGGAATGCTAAACTGTGCGTATTTTATTTGACGAACATACGCACATTTATTTTAGGCACTGCTAAGAAAGAAAACACATCGCCAATTTAAATGACGACATGTCATTGATTTCAAGATGCATTAGAAACAGTGAAATATGGCATTTGAACCATTTGACAGGTGGCCAAATTCTAGTGGCTTTGCTACTGGCCGGGAGGGTAGTTACATCCTGTGTGTTTCTAAGTTACATTGCCTGCATTTAACTACAGGCGCGAGGGGAAAATGAATGGGAATTAATAGCGACAGCAATTCCACCAACATTCACACGAATCTGGACAGGACAGGTCCCTGGATTCGAAAGGTCTGATTCTCAGCTCCATCAGCCCCTGACTCCATGACTTTAGGTAGACTTACTGCCTCAACCAAAACATGACTGCATGTCTTGCTTCCAAAGGTTCAGAAAGATTAAGTGGGCTCATAGTTTTAAAAAACCTGCTTGGCACAGGGCTGGCCATGTTCCTCTCCAGGTACCAATCGGCTGGTAAGGGTCTATTCATACTCTACTGTTACCACCATTGGCTGTCTCCTTCCAGCTGTGTGGTTAAGGTAAAGTCTAAGGTCTCATCACAGACTGAAAACAAATCCTTCTCTTATCACACATCGCATTCGTCAATCAGGGGGTGTTTGCTGGTCTCCTCAAAACCAGCCAATGCAACTCTGAGGGTGCTTCCAAGAGTGGCAGATGAAGGGGCCCCAGGGCAGAGCTGTACTGGGGTATGTCATAGAAGGGTGAACCTTGGGACTAACAAACGCACACAGTACTGGACATGGAGAAGGAATGAAACAGATACCTGTCTATTCCATTTATCCTTCTAAAACCTATTCAACAGGGTCTTTTCCCACAAGCATTCCCTTCCTCTTGTTCTCATTTTTATTTTTCTATCCTCTATATCCTAAAGAAATACACACACATAAAAAGACAGTACAGTAAGTAGGTGTGACTGTACTAGCAAACAAAACTGTATGTTATCCGTTTTCATTTTTAAAAGGAGAGTTGATTTTTACATGCTTTAAAAATCTCTCCTCCCCGTTAAAAGGTACAGATTGGCAGCTACAGAATAGCAACCAGGATGTCAACTACAGAACATGGAATATAGTCAATAATATTGTCACATGACATATGAGGCTAATGAGTGCTAGAGGTACTGGGGGAATCACCTAAGTTATAAAAGTGTGTAATCACTATGTTGTATATTGGGAACTAATATAACATTGTATGTCGACTGTAATTGGAAAATTAAAAAAATAATAAAGGAATTAAGTTATCCCTTAAGGACCTCTGGTGGGGAGATCCCATCCTTGGGGCGAGGCCAGGTGTCAGCATAGATTGTTACTTTCAGGTACTGGAAATTCGGGGGTGGGGGATCACTCTGTAAAGTATGATTGTCTAACCACAACGCTGTACATCTGAAACCAATACAGAGTAATGCTGAATATCAAACGTAATCGAAAAAGACAATCTTTCTTTCCCTTTTCCAGCACACTAGGTATAACTTGCTCTCAAGCTCTACTTTTTAAAAAGTTTCTCTCCACCGCACTGACAAGAGCGATGATTCACGAAACCGTGAGAACACAAATGGGATCTGGGATCCCTATGCGCTGTGACCGACAGCTCCCCATCGGGAAAGCCGAGAAGGTAAGAAGCGGGAGTTTGGAGTAGAACTGAAATCGGGAGTCCTTGTCCAGATCGCCGGTCCCCGCCGGCTCATCCTCGCTCCCTGGGGCCACAGAGCCGCGCTGATGAACACAAAGACTGCAAAACTCGGGACAGAAGCAGGAATCGGTCCGAGAGGGGAAGTGAGGGGGCCAGGAAACTTATTTCCGACTCTTGGGAAGGCAGAGCGATACCAGACCTCCGCGGCACCAGCGTGTTCGCCGCAGAACCTTTTCCCGGCTGCCACCGCCATCCGGCAGAATCTCTTCTTCTTTGCCACATAGTAACCGCACTGGCCCTCGGCCTGGGAGCCAGTCGCGCGCGGCGTCGGCACAGAAGCCGCCATAATGTAGGGCGAGCGTCAGGTGAAGGGAGGGAAAACTGTCAGCATCCCGCGGGGCTCCTTCCCTTGTCAAAGATGGCTGCTTCGGGTCCCGCCACGCTGGTGGGAGCCCGGAACGACCGCTCTCCTCGCCCGCCCCGCCCCCCGCAAAACCAGAAGAAGCAGATGGTGGCTGGTAAGGTCCAATCCACCTTTGCCTTCCGCTTATTTTCTTTCCCCGCCCCCTCAGCGGAAGTCGAGCGCCAAACTCAAACTGAGCTGCGCCCAGACGCTGCCCGCATCAGTGCTGCGGTGCTGGCCTGTTGGGCGTTGTACACAGCGGCGGGGCAGCGGTCCAGCATGAGCCAAGTTCTGTTCCAGCAGCTCGTCCCGCTGCAGGTCAAGTGCAGAGACAGCGAGGAGAGGTAAGGCCCGCGTTCCCCGGTGCCAGCGGGTGGCGGTTGGGGTCGGGCGGAGGGGGAAGATGGCGGCTGCGGCCACTAGGTACTGGCCTTCGGCGGGGTGACGGGCCAGCGTCCCCGGGACGCAGAGGGAGACTCGGCTGGGACACAGTGAGCCCGGACTCACCGAGTGGCTGTTGCCGAGGACGCGGAGGGAAGGGGGTGAGGAATTGGGGAGCCGACGCACCCGGAGTTAACGTGGCCACCGTGGCCACTCTCAGCTTTGACAGATAGGAGCGAGGGCCGGCGCTGGCACTCAGGCCTTGAGGCAAAAAACTTGGTCTTCAGCTTTGGATTCTATTGGAAGTACATTTAAGTTTCACCTTCAGAAAAGTCAAGTCTTATGGTGTATTGCCCCTTCTCATTTCCTAGAAATTAAATGACGTTTAACCGGCTAAAAACAGTAGGTGACAACCAGAAATTTCGCTGAATTATCCATCCAGCATATGTACTTGGCGTGTAAAACGCCTGGCAGAGCACAGGGACTACCGTGTCAGAAATCGGGCGTTGTCTCCGTGGGGTTGACTGTCCCGTGGGGGCGTGGGGAAGGAACGAAAGGCCCACCGCAGGGACCAAAGCAGTGACAACTTCCTCTAAGGAGGCAGCGCTGAAGGAGGGCGGTGGGACCAGAAGTTAGGGACTCGCAGTTTTGTTTCAGATCCATGCCCCCACTGGCTGTCTCATACCTTCGTGTTTGTAAAACTGATACAACATGCCTGCCCACGGGGTTGTTAGGAGGGTCCGGTGAAAGAGTGGCACTGGGAAAAGGTGGCACCAGGTATGGGGACGTCCAAGTAGTGAGTAATGTGAAACAGGTGTGTAGTTTAGTTAGCCACAATCAGTCGGCAAGCCAGGCAAGGGAATGGCACCAGAACCCAGCTGCGCACGGGGGTCTGTGGGCCGTTTTCCATGGTCCTTGTGTCCTGTCAGCCACGTGAGGTTACTGGGTATTGGAGTTGGCGCTCGTCCAAATCGATATGCCCTAGAGCAAAATGTACATTGTGCATTGAAGACTTAACATAAAAAAAATGTATAATGCCTTCACTTTTGTACTGATTTTGTATACTAAGACAATATTTGGGGGGTATTGGGTTAAATAAAATACTGCTGAAGTAATTTACATGTTTCTTTCGATTTACTTAATGTGGCTTCTAGAACACATAAAATTACAGATGTGGCTCATGTGCGTCAGCTCCCCAGTGTCTGTGGCCCCCGTTCTGTCTGTCGGACACAGCACGGTTCTAGAAGGATTAGAGAGGTGAAAGGTGGGGTGGGGTGGGGGGGGGCACAAACTCTGTCACCATCGTTGAAACTCCTAGCTCCTATCCATCTCGATGCTTTGTTAACAAGTTTTAACTTCCACAGCTGAAAGGCTTTTTTTTTAGAATAAAACATTTATTGGGCCGTTGATGGGGCGGCGGGGAGACGACCAGGTGGCTCTGGGACCTGAAACCTAAATCACCCTCAGCACCAAGCACCTGTTGGAAATGCCGTCCTGTCGTCGGCGTGTTTTTATATATCAGGTCGTGAGGGCTGGTTGTAAGGTGTGTTGAGAGGATGTATACTGGCTCTGGACAGTGCGGGTGGGAGAAGGTGAGGCAGTCGGTTCCCGGCTGGGGCAGAGTCTGGAAGAAGTGTCTCCCGTGGGTTAGCTGGGGCAGCAGACGGGGCATTCGCAGGTGAGCCCGGAACTCCTGGGGTTGGACGGACCGACCGGGGTCCCAGGGTCCCAGCAGACTGCTGGTGCCAGAGCCTCTGGCCAGCTGGCTCCTCGGTCCCATTCGTTCTCTCTGGCTGCTGTCATTTCATTCAGCATATCTCCGCTTTTTGGTTTTGCTTTCATTTTTTTGTCAACATTTACCACGGCATTTGTCTTTTAAAGCACACTCTCACCTATTTCTCTCCTGCTCAGCAACCTTTCCCATCACCTGCAGTTGGTCCTCATACCGGAGCCTGTGGGCCGGAAGCCCACTGCCCATTATTGCGATAAAGTTTTACTGGGGCACAGCCATTCTCTCACTTCTCCTAAGGAATGAGAATGGCTGCTTTTACTCTTCAAGGGCAGAAATGAGTGTTTGTGACAAAGACCTATGGCTGCAAAGCCCAAAATCTTTACTCTTTGGTCCTTTACAGGAAACGTCTGCTGACCCCTGACCTGCGAGGAAAACTGCAGAAGCTAGTTAGGTATTCGAGGCCAGTTCCGCTTTGCATGTACATTTATGGAGGCCTACTTTGCACCAAGAACTGGCCCAGATGCGAAAGTTGTAAAGCTTCCTGCCTCCTGGCCCCACCCCCAACAACAAGGGCAGAGACGGTGTCCAGCCTGGGCCCAGGGGGCCTCGCCCTTTAGCACAAAGGAGAGGTGGCAGGATTGCAGGCTGTTGGTCTGGTTCGTTTAAATTGCAGGCCTGCCACTCACCGACGATTTGATTGTGTGCTTTTAAACAAATTAGCGTCCCTGTGTCCATCCTCAAATCCATGGTGAAAGCACCTGCCTCCTGGGATTCTTGGGACATGAAGGGAGGGAGCGCCCAGGGCAGGGAGGGCCCGGAGCTTAGTGAGCGCTCACTCAGCAGTGTGGTTGACGTGTGACTGATGTGTGATGCTGATAACAGTGCTGACATCCCAGAGGAGTGGCCCCTCAGGTGAAGACGGTGGCAGTGCCCTGAGGACTCCGGAGCAGGCTGAGAAAAAGGCTGTGGCCCACATTTGAGCATTTGACACCGCCTGCTTTGTCGCCTGCTTTATCCTGCTGGTCTCCTGAGCTCCTGCCTCTCCCCCGCCCGCCTGCGCCCACACCAGAGGACTCTTTCCCTTGCCTCCAGCCCTGTTCCGCTTCCGCCTCTGCCTCCAGTGCTTTCTCCTTCCTCACCTTCAGGGTCTGTTTTCAGTCCCTTCAACGTGAGGCTCTTTCCAAAGCTGCCTAACTTGACACGAACGGACCTACGCATTTGCTAGGTAGAGGGGTGTGGGCAGAGAGTCCGAGCTCTGGTCTCGGCTCTGCGGTGTGGCCTTGGCCAGGCGGGACACTGCAGGGACACTGCACCTCACTCTTCCTTTGTGGGGCAGGAGTAAATATTTACCGGACAAGATTGCTATTGTTAAGTAAGAAGATGGATTTTAAATGTTAGTGGCCCTCCCCTCCCCTCTCTTGAAGCAAATCCGGGGCAGTCATTTTGTCTGATCTCAGTCTGAAGACATGGCCGTGTTTGCTTCTGTTTGTCTCCCTGGCACCCGGCACAGCACCTGCTCGCGGCAGCTTTTGTTCGTTTGTCTTGAGAGTTGAAGGTCACAGCTTCTGGGTGGCAGATCGGGGGTGGCAGAGTGGGGCTGGTGCCCAGGTCTGCCGGTGCCAGGTTTAGCCGCCAGGTTTAGCCGACAGGGAAGGTGTTGACGTGGATTATGCAACATGACACCTATTTTGAGAAAGAGCGTTTTTATTGATTTGTTTTACAGTGTTTCTATAACATTAACCATTATAATGGAGAAAATAAGGTTTCTGATTTCAGGCCCTGGCCAGGGAGCTCAGGGAGTGTCATCCAGATCGAACCAAGGTTGCAGGTTCGATCCCTGGTCAGGGCACCTACAAGAATCAACCAAGGAGTTCATGGATGAGTGAAACAACAAATCAGTATTTCTCTTTCTCTCTCTCCCTCTTCTTTTCTCTCTCTAAAAATCAATAAAAGTACCAAGGTTTCTGATTTCAGGTGGTATGTCTGAAAGCTCAGATTTCTGTACAGGACGTGGCGGGGGCAGGGAGTCGAAGCGAACATGGAACCCTTTGGTCTGCAGGCCTTTCCTCCTGTTTCCTCCCAGCATCGCGTGCACGCGAGCATTTGGAATAGAGGCAGCAGGATCATTAGTGTAATTGGAAGCTGTCACAGCAATGCACTTCTAGTAGTGTGTAAAGAATACTTCAGGAGGTGGGTGCTGCTGGAGTGTTGTTTACACATTTATCAGGTGTGAGAGGACTTTGAAAGCCAGTTGTTGACCACAGTGCCGTTCCTCTATGGCAGCAGGTTCTAGAAGAAACTCCCACAGGTTCCAAAGCCAACCGTGCTGACGTCGCGGGCTGAGAAGGCCCTCACAGACCTGACTCGGTCCACGCGTCTTCAGAGGCAGAGAGTGACAGGTGGTTCCCCCCCAAGAAAGCCTAACTTAAGTGGACTCGGAGTGGGAATGCCGTCCGACTCACCTGTACTGCTTTAGCTGCTAGAAGAGTGGAAACAGAACTTTCTGTTGTTTTAAAGGTGGCCCTCCTGTCTGTGTGGTGGTCACCAGCACTGCTCACTCGGTTTCAGGCGACAGACACAAGTCACGGTGACCTGTCCTGGGAGCACAGTGCAGCAGCCTGCACTTTTCTACTCTTCTGGGAGGACGCTGTTCCTCGGCCCCAGACTCCTAGCAGGTCACTAACTAGGGAGGCCCCACGGGGCTCTCAGGAAGCAGCTTTAGTGCCTCTGTTTACGGTTCTCGGTCTGTGAGACTCAGGAAGAGCCAGCAGCACCGGGAAACAGAGCCACCGGAGGTGTGATGTTGACACGTCACACCTCCGTGGGTGTGGGTGCTGTGGGATGGTGTCACTCACCATTCTGAGTGGAACTGAGGGTTAGCGCCCAGTTCTACGTGCAGTAAGAAACCTAACTGAGATGCCGTGTTGTGAACCGATGTAAAATCTCCAGTCAGGGAGTGAAAAGTTCCTCTGGAATCGAGACTCGGTCAGCTGTCACCAGGTTCCCGTCCGCACTCAGCTCTGTGTCTGCTTTCTCTCTCCGTAGCGGGTGGGTGGCGGTAGAATGTGAGAAAGGTGTGAAACACACCTTTAGAAGAGTCACTTGGACTGGACTAATTCTGTTTGTTTTCTTTGCCTTTCCTTTGCTATTAGTTCTGTAATTTGGGCAGAATTGTCTGAGAACCACTTAGGTAGAGATTTTTTCCTAATTATTTAAACGTCTTTGTTCAATTTGACTAATGTTTATGAGCGCCTTTATTTACATGTCTGTGTTGGGTGCCGGACTCTCCAGGATGCAGTGTAGAATGTTGGAAACTACGGTTTCTTCCTTGCAGGGCTTGGAGTTACGCTGGGACAAGGCCGGTGGCCGTCAGTCGTTGAGTCTTCTGCGGACGTACTGCACGGAGTGTACGGAGCAGATGTGCTTCATGGGTCTGAAAAGAGACATTCGGGCCGTGTGATGGGAGGGAATATGTTACCTCACTCCTTGACTCAGCATTTCAGCATTTCACGATTGCTTTACATTTTAAGTATTTTAAATGGAATCTCTCATGAAGCATTTGGTGGTTTGAATTGGTAATTTCTGACAGTTATGTGATTGACGGTGTAGCTTTTAGCAGGTGCTCTTCCAGAGTCAGGGCGGGACGGTCGTGTCCCGGCCAGTGCTGCGCATCCGCGTCGTCTGGTCTCTCACAGTCCTCGCAGCAGCCCCCTTTCACGGGAGAGAAAAGTTCAGCCACAGGTTAAAGGCCTGGCTACCGCTTAGTGGCTGGAGGACCAGAACTTGACCTTCAAATCCAGGGTGCTCTCCCAGCCGCTCCTCACTGGGACAGCTGTGGGAGCCCATGGTGCTAATACAAGCCGTAGCGACAACGCGTTTCATGTGACTGTTTCATGCGACTGTTTCATCCACCTGTCTCCTGCGACCGTCTGACGGCTGGGCTTGTCTTCCCTGCAGGAGAGTGAGTGTTAGAGTGAGCATCGAGCTGCAGTCCGTGTCTAACCCAGTGCACAGAAAGGTCGGTATGCACCTCTTCTTTGAAATGTGATAACGTCTGTTACATTATAGATAATTACTTGTTCTTTAACCATGGGAGATCTTTTGTTACACCCAGTTTGCTTTTAATTTGGGGCTGTTTTGTAACTTGCAGATCTGGGCGGGGGGGGTGGCGTTAAATCTGCTGAAAAAACAACTGAGAGATTATGGCACCATGTGTTCCTTGAGTGTGCAAGAGTGGGGGTGGGGACTCGTACACTCACGACGCCAGGCTGCCGGTTGCCACCTCATGGAGCTGGCGCTCCAGGGCGGACCTGTGAGCACAGAGTGAACTGAGTCCCTGCAGGGAGGTGTTCATGACCCTTGTGCTCTGCCTTTTGAAGACAGGCGTGCGAGCATATGACCTCACTGGATCTTCTCACATAGGCGTCACGAACAGGGACACGGGTACAGGACAGAGGCCGAGCAGCAGAGCGTGTGTCTTCTCTGCGTAGCTTGCCCTAGTGTTCGGGGACCTGGTGGTGGTGGCGGCGGTGGCAGCTTCGGTTTGAATCAGCCCTTTGGGACGGATCTCAAGAAGGACGTCGGTAGCAGCTGCTTTAGGATCAGGGCATTCTGAGGCCGAGCCAAGACCCAGATCGCTAATTTGGGGAAGAGATGTATTGTACTTCTTACATGTTATTCCTGTCCGCTGTGAACCTCTTCATTTCCGGCTCTTTTCACGGGTGGTTTAGATTTTTGTAGGCCCCTAACAGTTCCTCGATAGCCACAAGTGCATTTGATTTCAAGTGGAACCTTCTTCTTAACCCGAGTGCTGATTTCTGTATTATCCTTCACCACCTTGTCGCTCTGCCTGTTTTCCTTACACTGATGTTCTGTGAAGTACGTAACTTCTGTGCACTTAACCTGTCAGCTTCCCCTTCTGCGAGGACCTACCACACTGTCAACTTGCCCTAGACAGAGGTCTTTACGAGAGGTATTGAGGTCCTTTTGAAAGCAGATGGGCTCCCCCCTCCGAGGCCATCTGGAGCAGGTGGGAGCAGCTAGGCTCTGCAGGAGAAGCCCTGGCAGCGGTCACCTGATCCCCTGTCCTAGGCCGGAGAGACAGATGCTCCTTTTTCTCCTCGGGTGGGCGACTGTCACTTCTGCTGGTGCATGTGCCACTTGTGAAATGCCGACAGTTACCTGGAAGGAGACTGAGGAGATAACTGAACACGGTGGGCTCACAGTGCACCAAGGGCTCTCTCCTGCTCCTCTGCGAGGCGCTGTTCCTGGGCCCCAGACGCCAGCAGGTCACTAACTTGGGAGGCCCACGTGGCTCTCAGGAAGCAGCTTTAGTTCCCCGTCTGTGAGACTCAGGAAGAGCCAGCAGCACCGGGGAGCCGTCGGAGGTGTGATGTCCACACGTCACACCTCCACACCTCCGTGGGTGTGGGTGCCGTGGGATGGTGCCACCCACCACTCTAAAAGCTGCGTCTACCAAAAACAGTTTTAAAAACATTAAAAAATAATCTTCCTTTTAGGATTTAGTTGTTCGTCTGACTGATGATACTGATCCGTTTTTCCTGTATAACCTTGTTATATCTGAGGAGGATTTTCAAAGGTAACTAAACTTGTCTTTCTGGTCTTGTACTTAATCTAGAGAAAAGTAAGTTTTTTAATTTTATGAATGTCTTTGGTACTATTCTCTTAGAAACACACCTAGGACCATTTTGGTATTTTGGGGACATTGGGCTATTTATAATCATTCAGAATGGTTGGCAACTAAATATCTCATAGATTGAGAGTTCTGCTAAAATAGCTCAGAAATTTAGATCTTTAGCTAAACTTACTGACTTGTTTCCTTCCATTGAATAAATTTTATAAAAATCAGAGTTTTCCAGCTTATTTCTTGATTGTGGGTGTTCAGTAAGTAAAAAATGGTACTTCAGGGTGTTCATGGTAATTGAAGATGGTAATTACATTTTTTTAATGACTTCTTCTGTTTTCTGTGTAGTTTAAAATTCCAGCAGGGTCTTCTGGTAGACTTCCTAGCTTTCCCGCAGAAATTTATAGACCTCCTTCAGCAGTGTACGCAGGAACAGGCCAGAGAGACCCCGAGGTAAGCCCCTGTGAGCGCCGCGCCGCCACCGCCTCTGGGCAGATGCCACTCGGTGCGGCGGCGGTGGCTCTGCCTCACCCCTGTGTTTTCAGAAAAGTGGGGCTAGGGCTCTACTGAATCTCTGATCTCACCACTAAAATCAGAAATACTGACCCTTAATTTTTACGTGTTGACAAAGCCATTAAGTTATTTGAACTATTTAATAGCATCAAGCATATGTTTTATAATGAATTTGGGAAAAGGCAGAATAAGCTCGCGCATGTGTGCCGATGTTCGGGAGGTGCTGCTGCCTGGCCCTGCGTGGCAGAGGCGCCCGTCATTGGTGCCCGTGGCTCTGCCACGTGGGTGGTGGGCTGAGTCAGTCATGTCGTGAGGGACTGTAACGTTACGCTTTTCTGATTCTGTGCTTTCTGGGTTATTAGTATCATAAAAAGAAATTACCCTCATCAATTAGGGCGATTGATTACTCTGAAAACTCATGTAGGAAAAGATAAAAGCTTAATTCTTTTAAATTGGCCATTTTCAGAGTAAGCAGTTGTTATTATAGTTATTTGTGTGGTTTCAGTAGGTTTTTGGTTTGTTTTTAATTTTAGTTTTTCGCTTTTCTCGTCTGTCATTGTGAACTTGTGGACATTCGTAATGTTTCAGTCACTCTTTTTCCTTGTCCAGTTTATGTTTTGCTGTTTATACCAGTTTATCCAGTTTTATTATTGGGAGACCTTTCATGTTGGCCCCTCTGATTTCAACATGCCCCTCTTCCTGGTCTTCCATCATTGGCGATCCTTTGACTTAGCTCATGATGTCATGGAGCTCAGGGTTCGGTGGGGGAGTTTCCTACGTCATAAATGTGTGATAATGTGACACTTTCTTCCCAAAGGTTTTTGCTGCAGTTAGTGTCTCCAGCTGCTGTTTTGGAAAACTCTCCTGCCCTGTTAAATGTGGTAGAGACAAACCCTTTTAAGCATCTTACACACCTCTCACTAAAACTTTTACCTGGAAATGATCTGGAAATAAAGAAGTTTTTAGCAGGCTGTTTGAAATGTAGCAAGGTAAGATTTAAATTTAAGTTATTCTTTTAAAATAACTAACTACTGGAGGACTCAGATCAGTCACTGAAGAGCTACATTGGTTTGGTTTTGGTTTTCTGAATAAAGACGTCCAGTAAATCTTTATAGCGTGTAACGAGTTTATGTCTCATTTACTCAAGATGCAAGAGTAGAACTGGACCAGGAACTGAACCTTAGGTCCAGGTTTTTACTAATTCTCTGTGATCTTGGGCAGGTCGCCCAAACTCTCAGTGTCGGGTTGCGTCAGCTTGCAGAAAGGCATAGAAATGTGTGGCCTGTCTTAACTGAGATAAAGCACATGGAAGAGTCTTGACGGTCACACAGCGCTCTGAAGCTGTCAGGGGTGGAGGGCATGCAGAGACCGTGGGCCGCCCCGCGAGAGTTCTCAGTCCCCACGGTGGGACGCTGCGCTGCAGATCCGAGCAGCGCGGCGCTGAGCGGCCGCAGGTCCTGCCTCAGCAGGTCTGGGGTGGAGCCCAGGTGGCGTTTCTGGCAGAGTCCCGCGGGGCCGATGGTGCGCTTCGCTGCAGTTCGAACAGTGCAGTGGCGGACGGTTAAATTAAACAATAAGCGACGTAATTTTATTTTTATAAACAGGAAGAAAAATTATCACTGACTCAATCACTGGAGGATGTTACTAGGCAACTGAATTTCACACAAAAGGTAATTCAGGCTTCATTTTCCTTTGTCAGCCATCCAAACATAGGCTCTGAACTGCCTCTTGAACCCCATCCAGGCTTTTGTGTACTTTTCTCCCAAAGCACGCCACCACAGAATTCCCTTTCTTTTTGCTGCCTTCCCGGCCAGTCAGTGTCTTAATCTGCTGCTGTCCTCTGTGACATTTTGTTCCATCCAGACATTGTTGTTTTCCCCAAATAGGCCTTCATTCAGTGAGATAGTGTATGGTGTCTGCTCCTTTTATTTACCCCGTTCCTCTCGTCTGAAGTGGCCTGTCTGGTAAACCGTTCTTTCCTCTGTAATATGTGGGATTAATCCCTTTGATAGATTTCTTATTTCAGCTGTAGCTACTTCCTTTTGCTCCAGGTCCTTGGAATTGAGGGTGGAGTAGCTGACGGTCCACTGCCCTGCAGGCATGGCCCAGCTTGGGGACCCGTGTCACGGGCCTCCCTTCACGTCACGGGCCTCCCTGTGCAGTGCACTGCTCCCTCCGACCGCCGGGCTCCACCCGGGGCGCTTTCTCTGCTTCTTCGTGCCAGAGAAGAGGATGGGGTGGTGGAGAGCCAGGGTCAAGGGTAGAGAAGCTTGACTGGTGGGCCACTGTAGATCTGAAATTGCTTTTATTCTAATCTTAGTTTCTTCAAGTTCAAAAATACTTTGACTACTTCTGGAAAAGCCGTGATTCCATTGTCTTAAATATCCTTGTAAATAATGCTCTGTTGTAACCTAATGGCCTATTCAGGAGACCTTTAATACTTTGTGTTGAACTCTAATGCAGACATTGTCAGAAAAAACCCAAGAATTAGATAAGTTGCGGAATGAGTGGGCAGCCCACACGGCAGCGATGTCAAACAAGCACTCTCAGGAGCTGACCAGTGAGAAGGAAAAGGCCTTGCAGGTACGCACAGTAAAAGAAACCGGAGAACTGTGTTGCTACGTCTCTCAGTCGTTTCGTTCACCGTAAAGAGACTATGAGCTTGCTTTAAAATTGTCGGACACTGCAGACGGGTACAGGAGTTAAGTCTGTCCCTCAAAGTCCTTCCACCTGGAGATGCTCTCTAACTGTCCGATGTGGGGTTTGTCAGACTTTTCTCCGTGTTTGTAAATAGTGCATAATTTACAAATACTTGTTTATATTCATGCAAGTCGGAAACCTGTAAATTACATGTAATTACTGATGTATGTGCACACACACTGGGTGTGGCTTCGTCTTATGCTAATGAGCCCCCTGGCTCTCGTCGGCACGTTCCTTCCGTCCAGCAGCGCCGCGAGGCACCGCTCTGTCCGATCAGACGTCCTTGTTAGTGACTGCCGGGTATTTGCATGTAACAACTTACTTAACTGCTTACCCCGCTGGTAGACATTTAAATGCTTCGACGTATCAGTTACTGTGCATTGTGCTGCAGTGAACATTCCGGTTTTACAAGTGAGGTTGCAGTGCACCCAGGTGACATACTCATGGGTACTGCGTGTCATGCCTTCTGAGTGACTGAGGGGCTGGACTGCGCTCCGGACCGCATTTTCTGGTAGGACTGTGACTCAGCCCTTTGGGACTGCAGAGCCAAGCCACTCTGGTCTCCTTGCTGGGAGCTGTCCTATGTGGCAGTGGTTTTACAACTTTAGTGTATTTCAGAATCATCCAGAATAGAGTGGGAAATGTAGATGTTGCAATTCTGTCCCTCACTTGGTGTTTTTTAAACAATGTGTATGTTCACAGAGCTTTTTATGCCGTGAGAAGGTGCAAGTGGCAAGGGAACAAAACCCGTGATCGAATCGCGCAGCTCGGTCCTGATGTGTTGAGTGCGTGCTGTGCACATGCGGGGGACGCTCGCTTTAATGTGCGGTGGCTGGGAAGGAGGATGCTCCTAAACCTGCAGGGCGGCTCCTGCCGGAGACTGTCCGTTATTTGCAGTTTCCTTCTTTGTACTTTTGAGAGCACGTACAACTTTTCATAATCAGAAAAGTGTATTTTTAAAAAGTATTTAGGATTTTATAGTGTTCACCAACAGAAATGACTAAGCTGTGTTTGTGGTGTAATACAAACAGACAGCAGAGTTACACAGTTACTGTCCTGTTCAGATTTTATCTTTGGTAAAATGTAACTACTGTGTGTGAGACTGGACTAACACACACGGTCTCGTAGACTTCACACGTTTAGGTGGGCTTTTATTTTCACTATAAACACACTCGTAAAGAGTGGAAACAACAAATACTGTGAGTTCTGTGGTACCCACTCATTTGTTCTACACAGACAGGTTCGTACAGTTTGCTTTTTGAATCACATATTATTCCTCTCCCCTGAACTTTGGAACATCGTTGTGTCTGAACATTCGTGGGTGTGGGGTGAGCAGGGACTGCGGACGAGAGACCCCAGTGGCACCTGTGCCTTTGTTGACCTTCCTTTCTCCTTCACGGAATCCGTCATTGAAAGTAGATCCTCTGCGCCCTGGCGGGGGCGCTTGGGTTGGCTGGAGTGTTGTCCTGTGTCCCCGGGGTTGTGGGCTCGCTCGCCCGTCAGGGCGCACACCTGGGTTGCCCTTGGATCCCTGGTCAGCCAGCGATCGATGTTTCTGTCTCTTTCTCTCTCCCTCTCCCCACTTTCCTTTGTCTCGCAAGTGTGTGTGTGTGTGTGTGTGTGTGTGTATTATATGTCTCCTTGGATGAGGATTAAAAAAGTAAAGTAAATAAAAGAAAATAGGTCTTCTTCAAAACAGGGAACTCTTATAATTATCTAGAAGAATAATGAAGACTTTTTTCATATTTTCCTGTGCTTACGTTTCTGGGTCCTTCTGTGAACTGTATGCTGGATGTCACTGTGTGACAGGCACAGGTTCTGCACCAGCAGCAGCACGAGCAGCAGAAGAAAGAGCTTGAAGCCCTGCACCAGCGCAGCGTCCAGCAGCTGCAGAGCAGGCTGTCAGAGCTGGAGGCGGCTAACAAGGACCTCACCGAGAGGCGGTACAAGGGGGACTCCGCCGTCCGAGAGCTGAAAGCAAAGCTCTCTGGAGTTGAAGAGGTACTGAACGGGGCGTTTGGTGCCCCCCACCCCCCACTGTAGAGAGCACTCTAGTTTGGTTACCTCACTACCGTGCGGGTGGTGGGCATCTGGATCAGCAAGGGTCTCTGTACGGTAATCAGTTCAGACAGTGCAGAGATGGTGAGGGTCTGCAGTCTGGGTCGAGGTGAACTCGGGCATTTGTAATTCGGGTCTTGAAGAGCAGTCTTCGCGTAGCCCTCAGCTTTTCAGACACTTTTACCGTCAGCACAGTGTCTGTAGCTCAGGGTGCTCCGTGGTGATAGGGCTTCTCTCTCTCCGCGTGTTCAGCACCTACTATACCCATTTTACAGATGATAAAACTGAGACCCAGAGAGGTTAAGTAACTAGCCCCAGGTTGCATAGCCAGTGAGTGGAAGAGCGAGGACTGGAACCCTCCGTTACTTGCCTTTTTTACAGACAGCAGAGAAACTAACAGCTCTTGCTCTGGTGGCCCGTTCATTGATGCATTGGCAATAGACAGACTTCTTCCTAGCATATTGTGTATTAGTGTCATAGGAAATTGTCAGAAAACACGAGGATTTTAAGTCTGTTATATTAGATGAAAAGATCATCGTGTCACTCGAGCTCACGAGACTTCCAACCCCTGGACACCAGGCTGTCGTGCTTAGAAACGGCGAGGCTGTTCAGGTCCGCACAGTGGTCCGCCCCACCGCCGGTGTCTGCAGGCCGCCCGCCACCCCTCACACCGCTGGCGAGGCCTTCCTGTCTTCCCGGTGCAGTGGCCGGTCCGCCTGCTTCGTCGTGGTGCTGCGTCTCAGGGTCTGTCCTGGCCCCGAGGCGGGCGGTGTGGGCACGGGGGCGGGTGCCTCCTCCTGTCGCCGTTCGATGGTCTAGTGAGGACATTCCTTCCAGGGTTTGCATAAGGCCTGGAAATGAACTGGGCTCCGGAAACTTTTCTTTTTAACCTCCAAGTACGTAAAAATTACTCCTTTTGGGCATTAGTGCCCCAAAATTAATAATTGCTACCATTTATTGAGTATTTACTATGTGCCAGACAGAATGCTAAGAAATTTACATAAGGGTTTTGGGAAGATTAAATGAAATGATTTATGAAGTATTTATCATTTCTGTTTTGGGAACTGAGCTTTAGAGAGGTTAAGTAAGGAATTCCTGGAGAACCAAAATTTGGATTCAAGTCTGTCTGATACCAGAGTCACTGCTTCTGAAACCACCATGTTCCAACGCTGTGAAACTGCCTTGTACAATCTTTGTTCAACGCGAATTCTGGCTAAGAGTGCTGTGTGCAGGGCTATTTATACCGCCGCCATTGGGGTGGGTCTTAGCTAACGAGGAAGTGATCTGTTCCAGGATTTTTTTTTTTTAATATTTTATTTATTTATCTTTAGAGGGGAAGGGAAGGAGAGAGGGAGAGAAACATCAATGTGTGGTTGCCTTTCGTGCATCCCCTGCTGGGAACTGGCCTGCAGGGAACTGGTCTGCAACCCAGGCATGTGCCCTGACTGGGAATCGAACCGCGATTGTCTGGTTCGCAGGCCCGTGCTCAATCCACTGAGCTACACCAGCCAGGGCTTAGGATTTTTAAAGTCTGTTTTTAATTAGCAATTGTTTGCTTGTTTTTGCTTCTAAGAGTGAACCAAAGAAATGTTAACATATTTGTTTTCATGAAAGACATTTGATATATATGTTACAGGTTAACATGGAAAGGTATGGGTTGTGTGTATGCATGTGTACACACATATATGTATATGTGTGCGCACACACGTGTGTGCGAAGGAGGTAGATTATAAAGCTACGCAGTGAACCCCTAAAATAAGCCTGTATGTATAAGCCGCAGGGGTCAATGTTGCCTGTAGATTATGGTTCTCACCTTGGCCATCTGTAGAATCCGTGGGAGAGGTCTCAGCTGTCCTGGTGCCCCGGTCACAGGTCACAGTAAGTCAGAGTCCCTTGGAGGGCACCAGGCCCACCCCCGAGGGTTTGCTTGGCTGGGACCCGGAGCACCCACCGCAGTGAAGCAAGTACAGGGGCTTTGAGAACTTCCCAGGAGATTCAACATGCGGAGCAGTCGGAGAGCCCCTGCTTAGATGGCAGAATGATAGGGTTTTCAACTTACGGATTTTATGTGTTTTTAAGTTCTGTCACAGTCAGTACTTATTATCTAACTGATTTTTTTAAACTGTAAATTTCAAGGCTTCAGAAAATTCTTGTTAGCTAGTTTTTTCAAGTTGTAGTTTATTCATAAATCAGGGTTGTTTTATTTTCCTTTGTTGTGACTGAATTAGTTTAGCGTACTTTACAACTCTATCCTGAATCTACAAGTTACATGCACTCTTAGACTTCCGCGTCCTTTAAAAAAAATCACTGCTGTAGACCTTTTATATTCTAAACATCCTAGTTACAGATAACCAGATCAGCAAACTTGGCTTTCTCGAAGCGCCCCATTTCTCGCCTCCTCCAGGAGCTCCAGCGGGCTAAGCAGGAGGTCCTGTCGCTGCGAAGGGAGAACTCGACCCTGGACGCCGAGTGCCATGAGAAGGAAAAGCACATCAATCAGCTTCAAACAAAAGTGGCTGTTTTGGAACAGGAAATCAAGGATAAGGACCAGCTGGTTTTAAGAACAAAAGAAGCATTTGATACAATCCAGGAACAAAAGGTCTACTTTAATATTCTGTAAACAAATGGATGATCATATTTATAGAGGGATGCTTCTCCTAAACAACTACCTCAGTAATTCATGTTTTTAAAAATATTATCAGGTGGTTTTAGAAGAAAATGGTGAGAAAAATCAGGTACAACTAGGAAAACTTGAAGCTACCATAAAATCATTATCAGCGGAACTTCTTAAGGTTTGTTTTTAAAAATTTAAGGGCATTGATATTTTATTGGATTATGTAGAAATACACATATGAGGCTCTTTTATAGGCAAATGAAATTATCAAGAAGTTACAAGAGGATCTGAAAACTTTAATGGGAAAATTGAAACTGAAGAATACAGTTACCATTCAGCAGGAGAAACTCTTGGCTGAAAAGGAAGAAAAATTACAAAAGGAACAAAAGGAATTACAAGATGTTGGACAGGCTCTCCGAAATAAAGAGCAAGAGGTGGTCAATATTTTATACTTTGGCATGTATGATGATTTGTAAAGTATAACAGATTTCCTCAGATGTATTTTTAAAATTTCTACATTGTTGTATTAGAGAATGGCTTTGGCTTTTTTGTTTTGTTTTTTTTTTCAAAGAGCATGGCAAGGTTCAACAGAAGTTGCTACTTATTTTTGCTTGAAAAGAAAGTTACCATGATTCAGATACCTTGAGTGTGCACATGTGTGTGCGTGTGTGCACATGTGTGCGCACACATGTGTGTGTCCACACTGTATTTTACTACATAGGTGAGCCAGTCCCTTCACTTAGTGATAATTCAGAGCGGTCAACTATGCAACTCATAGCAATACATTTCTTCAGTTTTTATTTTAGTCTTTATTATACTTATGAAGATTGACATATTTCAGGTATGCAAATTACAAGAACAATTAGAAGCTACAGTTCAAAAACTTGAAGAAAGCAAACAGCTTCTAAAAAATAATGAAAAGTGTAAGTATGTTATCTTTTTATTAAGTTAAATGTGTAGTTTTATTTCTAGCCTAAATATCTTTTAAAATTATCTTTAGAGGGGAAGGGAAGGAGGGGGGGAGAGAAACACCAATGTATGGTTGCCTCTCATGTATTCCCTGCTGGGAACTAGTCTGCAACCCAGGCATGTGCCCTGACTGGGAATCGAACTTTGATCCTTTGGTTTGCAGGCCCGTGCTCAATCCACTGAGCTACACCAGCCAGGGCCTAACCTAAATATTTTAATTTGAAATCACAGAAGTGTAGGAAAGGCCATCATTATTAAAAAAAAAAAAAAAACAAAACAAAAACCCTGTCACCTGTATCAGTAACCCAAATTGAAAGTATTGAAAATATTAACTATAATTTACTTTAAAAATTCTTTTTTTAAAATATATTTTATTGGTTATGCCATTACAGTTGTTCTATTTCCCCCCTTCATTCCCTCCACCCTGCATACCCCTCCCCCACTATTCCCCCCACTTTAGTTCTTGTCTACCTGTCACAAGTTCTTTAGATTCTACGTTTCCCATAGTATTCTTGCCCTCCCCCCGCCTATTTTCTCCCCACCGTCTATGCTACTTATTCTCTGTACCTTTTTCCTCCTTCTCCTCCTCCCACTCCCCTGTTGCTAACCCTCCATGTGATCTCCATTTCTATGGTTCCGCTCCTGATCTAGCTGTCCTCTTAGTTTGCTTTTGTTTTAGATGCGGTTGTTAATAACCATGAGTTTGCTGTCCTTTCACTGTTCATCTTTTTTGTCTTCTTTTTCTTAGGTAAGTCCCTTTAACATTTCATATAATAAGGGCTTAGTGATGATGAACTCCTTGCATTTGATCTTATCTGAGAAGCATTTTATCTGCCCTTCTATTCTAAATGAAAGCTTTGCTGGATAGAGCAATCTTGGTTGTAGGTCTTTGGATTTCATGACTTGGAATACTTCTTTCCAGCCCCTTCTTGCCTGTAAGGTCTCTTTTGAGAAATCTGCTGACAGTCTGATGGGGACTCCTTTGTAGGTGACTGCCCCCTTATCTCTTGCTGCTTCTAGGATTCTCTCCTTCATTTTAATCTTAGCTGATGTAATGATGATGTGCCTTGGTGTGTTTCTTCTTGAATCCAACTTCTTTGGGACTCTCTGAGCTTCCTGGAAGTCTATTTCCTTTGCCAGATTGGGGAAGTTCTCCATTATTATTTGTTCAAATAAGTTTTCCACTTGTCGCTCTTCCTCTTTCCCTTCTGGTACCCCCATTATTCAGATGTTGGAACATTTAAAGGTGTCCTGGAGGTTCCTAAGCCTCTCCTCATTTTTTTGAATTCTTGTTTCTTCATCCTTTTCTGTTTGGTCATTGTTTTCCTCCTTCTGGTCCACTCCCTTGACTTGAGTCCCAGTTTCCTTTCCATTACTATTGGTTTCCTGTGCATTTCCCTTCATTTCAATTAGTTTAGCCTTCATATGTTCCTCTAATTTGAGACTAAAATCAACCAGTTCTGTGAGCATCCTGATCACCAGTGTTTTGAACTGTGCATCTGATAGATTGGGTATTTCTTGGTTGCTTGGAGTTATTGGCTCTGGGGCTTTGAGTTCTTCTTGAGCCATAATGTTTTGCTCTGTTCGCATCTGTTACATATGAGGGGCAGAGCCCTACGTGTTCTCCAGGGTGGGGCAACTCAGCCGCTGGGTTGTGAAGCTGTATGTGGGGGCGGGGGCGGAGAGGGGCAGTGGCGGTCCCCTCTGCTGCTTCCCGCTGTTGGGGCCTGTGCAGTCTGTCTTACTGCTCACTCCTTCTCTGGTTTATCTGCGCATGAATGTGTGACCACGGTCAGCCTGCTGCCTTGTGCCCTCACTGGGTTCTCCCATTGCTACCCCACACCTGGGATCCGCCCACGGCTGCCTGTGCACCTGGGTCGGGGGATTTTTTCCTGCCTGACCCCGGCTCTGCTGCTGGCTCCGCCCCTCTTTCCGGTCTGGCTGAAAGGTTAGTTGTTGTCGGACTTCCTTATAGTTCAATTTTCTGTGTTTTAGTTGCTTTTTTGTTACTAAAACTTTGTTGTCTTTAAACTTGGTTGTGCAAGGAGACACAGTGTTTCCACCTATGCCTCCATCTTGGCTGGAAGTCCTACTTTAAAAATTCTTCACTCTTCTTTCATTGTTGTATGTATGCCTTTAACATTTTTATGAATTACCAGCTCTCAGATGTGAGTGCGAACTTTGCGTTAAACCGTGAGACCCCCGAAAGGAAGCCTGTAGAGCAGTCTTGCTGCCTCAGACTTCAGTGCAGCGAGGAGTTCTGTGAAGCAGTTGCCAACCTAAGAATCTTTAATAATAAAAAATTTAAAATAATCTATATTGTTCTCTGGTGACATAAGGTAGTTTCAAAAACTTAAAATTTTAGAAAACTCAAGGTAATTTTCAAATGTGTAAAATTATTAGGAAAATAAAAATAACATAATAAAATTCTTTACCTCGTTTTTTTTCTTCTTTTCTGTAAGTAATAACATGGTTAAATAAGGAGCTAAACGAAAATCAGCTGGTGAGAAGGCAGGACGTGCCGAGGCCCGCGGCCAGCCCACTTGTGCGCTCCGGTGGCGGCTCGGTCAGAAGTGGACTCTCTCCCAACCCCAACGTGGTAAGGCTGGAGAGGCAGTGAGAGAGGCCTGCGTCAGTCTCCTGGAGTGGGGAGTATTCCCAGCTTGTCGGGGCGGGGGGGGGGCTCCGTGACTTCTGCTACCGGCACTGCTAGGCTGGGGTCCTCCAGTTACTAGCACTGAGTCAAGTTTAAGTTGCCCGGAAGTGGGGCAAGTGGGGCACTTGCCAGTACCAGAGAGGCTGTGTTTCAAGGGCACACGTCTGTACGATTTTTAATCCATGTGGAAAGCATTCAGTGTGAACTAAAGCAGTGCCGAAGATGCTGGAAGCTTCCATCCACACCATCTCGGAGGCCTCAAGAAGGGAGAACGGGTTTGGGCTCAGGAGCAGAGCTACGATGGGAGGGACCTAAACGGAGTTCTGTCATCCCGAGAAAAGGCCTGTTGCCAGGCTTATCAGCTCCAGGTTCTAGAAGAAACTGGCAATGAGGTAGATGCTTTCTAGCTTCCAGGACCAGATCCCATGCTTTCTTCTCGAAAGAAGGGAGCCCTGGGTGTCGCCGTAGCTGGGTTGGCATGTGCAGGTGGGCCTCGGGGCCCTCCCGTGGGACCGACACAAGGTCGCACAGTGTTGGCGTCAGACAAGCCCCGCTTCACGACTGTGCCGGGTCAAGACGAGACCACTCCACGGTCACGTCCGAGCGCAGACCAAGATGCAGACGCGGCCCAACCGCAGACATGGGCGGACACCCTGATCCAGGCCCACGAGGGCCTCATTCCCAGGTGCAGCCTCGGCCTGCACACGTTTCTCCTGCTGGGTCAGGTGAGGTCTACTCAGACGCACAGTTATCGCCCTTTCCTGGTGACGTCCAGTCTGGAGCAAAGCCCCGCTTTCTTCGAGCGTCCCTTAAGTCATTCAGCACGTGGCTGTGAGTCCAATAAATAAGCCCCTTTAATAGACTCTGACTGGGACCTTATGTGGTTCATCATTGTGTGTGGTCTCCCTCGACGTAAGGAGCAGTAATCAATCTAGGTGTGTGACAAGGTGTGTCTGGAAAAAGTCCCACTCTGTGACTAACAGTTTGTGTGTCATTGACATGACCCGGCAGCCAAGCAGAGTGGACTGGAGTGCGCATGTGCGAACAATGACGACTTCACTGTACTAGTCAGTGGGGGCAGTAGACACCATTGAGTGAGCGTGTATAGTGTGTGGCCATCACATTCAAAATGAGAGAGTAGAGCAACGAATCTGCATCAGGTTTTGTGTCCAGCTTGAACATTCCTCTGCAGAAACTATTCAGATTCAGAAGGCCACAGCTGTGGGCACCTGGTGATTGGCACCTTCAATACGACAATGTACCTGCTCATGCATCACGTCTCATGCAGAGATTTTTTGGCGAAACATCCAGTTACCCAGATGACTCAGCCCTGCTGCAGCCCAGATTTGGTGCCCTGTGACTTCTGGCTTTTCCCAAAACCAAAGTCGCCTTTGAAAGGGAAGAGATTTCAGACTGTCAATGAGATTCAGGAAAATACAACGGGGCAACCGATGTCAATTGGGAGAACTGTGTGAGGTCCCAAAGTGCCTACTTTGAAGGGGACTGAGGCGTCACTGTCCTGTGTACAATGTATCTGGTATCTTTTTCAGTAAATGTTTGTTTTTTGCATTACGTGGCTGGACCCCTCCTGGCCAGACCTTGTGCGTCCACAGCTGTGTTTCTGTAGCCACTGGCTGGGGCGCCCTGGCAGGGGCTTAGAGTTCAAACGCCTAGCGACTCAGCTCGTACTTGGTGTGTACAGAAAGGAGAGGGTTTCTGCTGGTTGAAAGGTGGGGAAAGAGGTGCCCGATACTGAAGTGAAGAATGGAAGAGGCTGATGGTGAACAGCTGTGCGCAGGGTGTCTCTGTCACGCCGCCACCGGCGTGCACGGCCACGTGAGGTTGAGTTCCGGTCGGCCTCTTAGGGAACAGACCCTTCGTGGCGTTGCCCAGTGGTGGCCTTACTGCCGCCGGAGCAGGCTCATCTCGGTTACTCGGTTTAAGGGCACTGATCTTGCCTCTAGCCAGTCTGGCAGAAACAACATTTTTTGAGGGATCCTCGCCCGAGGACACGTCTGCACATATTTTTAGAGAGGGAGGAAGGCGGGGTGGGTGGGAGGAGAGACGGACAGAGGGAGGGAGAGAGGAAACATGAACCCTCGGCCTAGGCGTCAGCCTGGCTAACCGTGCTCCCACCCAGCTGAGCCACGGTGCCAGGGCGAGAATGATTTTTATTTGCCCCTGATTGGTCTGTCGATCTACGGCTCCGCCCCGTAGTCCCCCCTTGTAGCACTGGGTGTGCCAGAGTGAACCATGACCCTTCAGGGGTCTGTGTGCAACAGCTCGGGGCAGGTCCGGGGGTCGTCTGGGCTGCACTCACAAGGCCGCTCCGAGGGCCGGGCGGCCCCAGCTCCGGCCCCAGCTCCTGCCGTGTGGGAAGGCGCGTCTTGTGGTGTTTCGATAGAGAAAGTGGGGCTTTGAGACAGCGCTTTCCACTCCGTAGAGCCGACCGCTAGTGCCGCTCGGGCCGCAGGCACTGTCCGGAGCTCACGTCTCACCCGTCACTCTCCTGTGTTTCTGTCTGCAGGTCGAGGGCAGAATGGCGTACCCGGCCTTCGGGCTCAGCTATCCCGGCCCCCCTGCGTTTGCTCTTCAGAACACCTTCTCCCACCCTGTCGCTGCCAAAAGCACCATCCACCCGGTTTCGGGACCAAAGGCAAGCACTTAATACTTTCCTCTTGAAAAATATAGCAAGTTACCAATGTAGAGATATTTTTACCTTTATAAAACTTATCTTTGGATCAGTTGCTAGGATTGGGTGGTGCGTGCGGTGACGCCGATCACCGAATGGCTGGTCTCCGCGTTTGCAGTAGTGCGGTGTGCACTCTGGTGGGTCTGGAGTCACCGGGCTCTGCAGCAGCGGTGTGGGCGTCAGCCTGCTCAGACTGTTCGTGCCTGCTCCGCCTCTCTCTGCTGTTCTTCCACCTCTGTGCCCTGCAGCTCTCAAACCTGGCTGCGGCCCTGACCTCCCACAGCGGGGGAGCCGGGGCGGCCAGCACAGGGCCCGCGCCCTCGTGTGCAGACCCAGCGTGCTCCGGGCCTCCTTGCTTTGCAGAGGTGTGCTGCCGCTCCTCCGAGTGCCACCTCGTCCTCGTCATCACGTCCGCAGGCACTGCTTTATTTTCACAGTGAAGGACCTGGTCCACCCAGACCAGCCGCGGGTGTTGTTCTACTCCAGCCTCAGGTCCAGATGGGCTTTCCCCTCCGCCACGGAGGCCAGCTGTCTTGGAAAGATGATTTTACAAAGGATGGAGCTGGGGACTTTGAAGGGCCGTTATGAGCTCGGCCACAGCTGTGGCCGCCCTGAAGAGCAGTGGGCGGGGCTGCTGCTCAGTGCTGTCCGCGCCTGGGGCCTTCCAGTGACCAGTGACCGGGAAGGCAGCCCGGTGTTGGTGTTGAGAACGTCATGTGGAGAGTGTCTACGTGCACTTCACTGGCTTTCCTTGCATTGTGACTGAGGAGAATAGACATGTGTATTCCAAGGATCACTGTTGTTTGTAATACCCATCTGCTCACTGTGGTTGCATCATAAGGTCAGTCTTTTCTTGAAAAGTCTGATTGAACTCAAAGTTGCTTTTCACGTTGGACAGAAATGATGCGATGTTGAAAGTGAGCCCGGACAGGTGGGAGGGCTAACCGTGACTTAGGCAGGAAGAGGTTCTTTTACTCTGCCCATCAGGGGCCGTGACAGCTGCTGCTCCAAGCGTCCCGTGTCCCTCACCTCCATGTCCTTCTGCCCGTGTAGCCCCTGCCATGAAATTCTCCCTTGTTGAGTTTCCCGTTTGGTAGGGTGAGTCGATTCTGTGGGTTGTAAAGCCATCGTGACCGCCCAGGTGGAGGGCGTTTGCGTTTCAGAAGCAGCACCGGGCAGTCAGTCCACTCTCTGCCCCCCAGCGCCTGTGGCCTGCGTCCTGCTCGGGCAGCTGCCGTGCGGGGCTCACACCGCATGCAGCTGTCACCTCGTCTGCGGGCCGGGCCAGGGGCTCGTTTCTGGTTGTCCGCTGCTGTCCCCTGTGTGGAGGAGAGGCCATGTGGGGGACGTTTGTGTCATCCTCAGTTCTGGGCTGTCACACATGAGCTGCCACGGGCGCAGCCTTTGTTTCTCTGCGCGAGCACCTGCGGGCAGGACGCCTGGTGGCGTGGGTGTGACGTTTAGGGGTCCGCCGGCCTTTCGGAGGGGCCGCACCGTTTACGGTTCTGCACCACCTGTAGTCACATGTCTGAGAACGTTCTTTTGTTCATTTTGTCCAGTTTTCTAATTGTTCGTGATTGGTGGCCAGGAACTATATTATATATATTACTATCTGGTACTCTTTCTTAATTTTCCTCTCTCTTTGTGTGTGTAAGGAATAGTAAAACCATCCAAGAAGCTGGTTGTATTGACTCTGACCATGTTAAATGTGCAGCTCGATGGCGGCAAGCTGATCTCTTTGGAGTGTTGAACTTGAGAGCCGAGTACAGCACCATTTACCTTTCTCATTTATCCTTTCATCCTGGTATGCTGGTATCTGTGCCTATTTCAGCAGCAGTTTTTACCAGAAATAGACACCGTTTTCGCGTGCCCTTTCTTTCTGTGTGCACATGGGAGGGTTTTTCTCCTGGGACCTGGGAGCCTGGTCACTTACGCCTGCGGGCTTCCCAGCGTGCGACCCGCTCAGCCGGGTCGTTACAGCTCCGCGTGCACTTGGCTGTCGTCCGTGCTGGTGTTCTGGCTTGGACTTGGACTTGGATTCTCGGGTTACCTCTCGCTGTTCCAAAACTCAAATTCCCAGCTCTCATTTAGAATCACTAAGTACATATAACATGGGCTTTGGAAGTTCTTGAAGAGGGAAGCGTTCTCAGAAAGCACCAGGCGAAGGCATCAGTGCAGCACGGCTTGGTCCTGGCTCACGCCTCGGGTCGCAGGTGTGTGTGCCGAGTGCCGCTTGTTTTCGTCTTCACCTTGCTCGTGGGACAGGGCCTGTGTGGCCAGGCGGCAGGGCTCTCCTCACGGAGCCTGCTCTGTGAGAGGCGTCTGTTAGGAACGAGGGTCTGGTGAGGAAGGGAAGCGCGGTCTCTGTGCGGGTCGCCCTGCTCCACTGCGCCACTGCGCCACTGACGTGGTGACCGAGATGTGCTCTCGCCTCACAGGTCCAGTTTAACCTGCACGTCCCCAGACCAAGCGGGTCCCCAGGGCACGTGCAGTCAGGAGCGATGGCGAGCGCACCCTGCTTGGCCAACAAGGAGAAGTAAGTGTCGCCGACACAGCACTCGGTGCGAGCGGTTTCCACAGTCACCTGAAAGGGTGACTGTCAGCACCCGAAAGCTCTGGTGCCCGCTCACTTGTCTGTGACAGCGCAGCGGTGCTTTCCTGCTGTGCTGCCTGTCTGTGCACTGAGCCTGCAGCGCAGTCAGGGCCGCCTGCGGGCCCTTGTCCTGTGCCCGCCCCTCCCTGTGCGCTTCGAGCTGCATTGAGCGTCACGGTTCTGATGTCATGTGTTCTGCTAGAGGGACCAAACAGTGCACGGAGTGGGAGAGAAGGGGGAGGTACAAGTGCAGGCACACGTGTTTTTGGAAATACTGTATTTGTGTTCATCTAACCAGAATTCCCTATCGACAGTGTGTATTTGTATCTGTGATGACAACTTTGAGCACACATTTTGGTTATAGAACAAGGAAAGCATTCTTTTGAAATACAGGATGGAATGGGAAATCCTAAATAATACTGATTTTTCTCAAGACACCCACTTGTGTATTTTCATAGCACTCGTAGAATTTCATTCCACACATTCCTTATCTCAGTTCTTAGAATTTTTAGCTTTACTTATGATTTATTCTGTACTGGGAAGAAGGGTATATCACCTTGTGTATAGATAAATTGGCAACGTGATTTGTTTTGAACAAAACTGTAAGTATGTAGATTAGGTTAATATTCAAAACTAGCTACTAAAGATAAAATAAGAGTTCGTCAAAGTAAATAATTACTGTTTACCTTTTGAAGTGGTGAAAATTTAGGGCTCGAATCCAAATACCTGAAGAAGAGGGAAGATAGTATTCCTTTGCGTGGGCTCAGCCAGAACCTCTTCAGTAACCCAGGTGAGGAGACGTCTCTGAAACAGTGCACTGTGGTTTGAGTGAGTGCAGGTGAAGGCTCCAGTGGAAGTGAATAATCTCTCTGTCCTCGTTTGCAGACCATCAGAAAGATGGCACGTTAGGAGCCCTGCAGCCCTGCTCCAAGCCGGTGGTGGGCGCTCCCTCCCCCTCGGCCTACTTCCCCGGGCAGCCACCCAGGACTTAGCCCCGCGACCCCCTGCGCTCCTTAGCAAGGGCCAGACACTCAGGCCGCCGGCCGGCCCAGTGTGAGCAGCACAGAGGAGATCCCTGGGGGCGGGTGGCCTGCGTGGCCTGCGTGGTCTGCGTCGTCTGGCGCAGGGGTGGTGGGTGGGCGCCCTGGGTCCTCCGTGCTGCTGTGGCTGCTGGCCCGCTGTGTGGAGGAGCAGGTTGGCCCTGGGGCGGAGAGGCCCGGGGGTCCGAGACCTCTCCAGTCTGTGCGTGTGCGCCTGGCCAAGTGGCAGTGGGAGAGTCTAGTTGCAGCAGTTGTATTAAACTCGTCCTCGGAGGTTCTTCCAAGTTCTGGGCAAGAGTGAGCTTTATAAGGGACATTGTAGTCACAGTGACTCTGGGTCAGACTTTTCAGACGCAGCAGGTGACCAAAGAACGCTAGTAATTCATGTGTCGTTTTCAGTAGTAGAGTTAAGTCTGAAATTTGCCGCCTAAGGATTCTGAGGGAAGATGATTGTCTCCTAACGTACGTGTTGGCAGTAATTTATAGTAATGGGAAGAGTCCTAAAATTGAATGAACTATTTTTTCATAGCAAGTCTTTTCCTTTCAATTAGCTATTAAGTCTCGAGTGATTTTGATAAATATATTGTAAAAGTAACTTGGACAATATATTTACACAACCAGGTGAAGTATACAGTGTTTTAGTCATTTGAGCCGCAGAGTTTATAGGGCTTCATGGCTTCCTAAGCATCTGTACTCATCTACTTTTTCTCTCATTTGGATTTCTGGGGTTTTTTTATGTTTAAATTTGTATTAGTGGAATTTTGTTTTAAAAATTAGCACTATACAAAAGAGCATCATGAATATACTTGTATTTGCTTTTTATCTCAAAATGGGCTAATTTTATTTAATGTTTAATAAAGTGGGCAAAACAAATAACTCTTAGATGTTAAAACTTTCTCATTGTTTAAGTTTCAAGTAAAGAATAGTTGGAAGAAATTAGGTGATTTAAAAAGCTTCACCCAGAATCATAGGGCCCATTTTCTCTTGACAGCCATCCAGTACATCAGCATTCTAAGAAACACCTGAATCCTTTTTTACTGGCCAGCACTGCTCACATGCATTTAATCTGTTAAAATTACTTTCAAGGACCATGTTGTGCAGACGAGCAGAGATGTTTCAGGACACTAGTGATGTCCCGACAGCCCCTGGTACAGTCTGGCTCGTTTTCTAACAGAGCTGTGGTGAGTCTGCTCTGAAACGCGGCTGGCCACCAGGAGGTGTCCTGACAGGGACGAGCACTTCAGTGACCCCCTGGGAGACCGCTGCCGGGCCGTGACTTTTCATGCAGCGCCCTCATTAGATCCGCTGCGTTAGTAAGAATCCCTGGTCACAGTGACTCGAAAGCACTTGCAGATAACCTGAAAAGAGCCTCTTGGTGATTTAGAACCTGCTTTCTTGTAAGTACTGTGTAATACATATGTGTATGTAAAAGTTGAAGGACAGCGTTTGGATGAGATGGCATACTGGTAGCTTTTTTTTTTAAAGCACAGATACCCTTTTTCATGTCCACACATGGGCAGTTGAGAATTTCCAGAAGATAGGATAGAGACCACTCCGAGCACCAAAGGTTTCTGTGTTTTTAGAGGTACACGTACAGACTTTTCAGTGTGCTCATCTTTTGCTCTACCTATGAAACTTTTAATGGACATTGTTTTGCAGTGTTCTTTGTATATGTATTAATAAATCAAAATATTGCATTTAATGTATTTCTGTGAACTCTGAGCTTGGTTAGTAAATATTAGTATTTTGGGACTAGGACATGTAGAAAGTATATAAAAACAAAAAGAATTGATCTCCAACAACACTGCTTAGAAAATCACTTTAACTGATGGGCTGAGTTTTCAGTTTGTTGTCTTCCTGCAAGAGTTACAGTGAAGGAAAAAAACGGACTCAGAGACAAGGTGTAAAGCTTTGATTTGCTGCGTGAAAATGGTGGTGACAAAGCCACCACGGGCCCTCGAGGGAATCACAGATCAAGACTTTGTTTTTTAAAAAAAAAAATCATTAAAATATTTAATTTTATTAACAGAATATTTACATTTCTTTGAGACCTATTTAACCATAAGTGAATGTTCCAAGTTTAAAAAGCATTAAGCAACAACTACACACAAGATGAAAACTGTGTAGACTATACAGTACTTTATGTACAATTTTTACAAAGTAACACTTTTTAAATAATATAACTGGACACAAAAATATACACTTTAGAGAAATTCACATCAGTAATTGTATAAAGCTCTCTTCTAGGGTCCTGAAAACCTAGACAAACATCAGCTCTGTGAGTGAAGTGTTACTGTGACGGTCCCAAAAGGCCACTGTTTACCTGTCCTCACGTAGGTAGCACGTGGACAGCGTTCTCAAGGGCACCAGCTTCACTGTGTAATTTTTAGACACGGTTTCCAGTGCTGAGGTCCCTATGATACGTGAACACAGAATAGTGGTGTAGGTGGCTGGGGGGCAACTTCGAGCCAACAGTTAGATGGACAGGCTCTAACCACCCCAACTTAATGAAATCCTACATGACTTGTATTTTTTTTCTTAAAAACCAGTAGTGAGTACTGTTTAAAATAAAATTACTCCAAACAAGTTTGAAACATGATTCAGATTTAGTACAGTTTTCTTGAGGTTTTTTTTTTTTTTAATGCAAACAATTTACCATTTCTTTAGTGCATCTGCATTAAGGCTTTGAATTATTTGACCCAAGATTCTACAATAATGAAATCCGACTCCAGGTTTTACAAGGTTAAAAGCCACAGGTCCGCAGCCGAACTTCCCACTCTGCTGCGAGTCCGCGTGCAGGCCAAGCTCAACGGCTGCAGGAAACGGCAGCAGAGACGTTGCTAGTACATAAGAAGTTACACATAGTTTTTAATTAAAGGGGGTGTATGATAAGACAAACAGCTTAGTGGCAAGAAATTGGTTCTAATAAACAAAAGCTTCCTTTTCAAAAAAAATTGTAACATCTTTGGAAAACTGTCCGGGTCTTTCTCGAGTCCCCACGGAGCCCATGCAGACACATTTGTTGAGACACCCTGACAGTCCGTCGTGGGTGGAAGTGGAATGTCCACTGGGGCCACAGGTGCCAACTCAGCCCTGGTGCGGGTCGGGGAGCCTCCCTGGTGGCGACGTCACACATTCGTGTCCTGGAGCAAGGGTTCTTTGGCCTCTCCTGGCGCCTGCGTGCTATGAGGGTGGCTGTGCCCGCCACAGTGCTTCCTCCAGCCACCAGGGCGCAGGCTCAGGTTGGTGTGTTCGGGGATGAACAAGGCCACCAGCAGGGCCAGCAGCACCGAACAGGCTCCGAAGAGGAAGGGGGGGCCGGGGATGATGGAGTTCTAGGGGGGACAGAAAAGCAGAGTTGGCATTCTTGTGAAAACATCTTTGCTCATAAGAAATGCCTTTCTTTTGGTGATACCTCATGCTGTGAATTATAAACCTTCATTATGGCATTAAAGCTATAGCTAGAAAAGCATTCCCTTTTCAGGAGTAAAGGGGTACTATCACAGTCTCAACAGGAAATTCTGGGGGTAACAGCCAAGTATCCTATAAAAAATTATTGTCACCTGCAGCACAAAATCTGGACACAGTCTAGGAGCCTTCACTTACTTTGTTCAAGAGAAAAGCAAGACAGAAGTGTAAAACCGAGTAGCACGCAGCAGTGTGGTAACTACAGCACAGAGTCGGTGCCCACAGGTCGTGCTGCGACCAGAAGAATCCGGCAGACCTCCGTTGCAGCCGAAACTTGCACAGCCAGTTCCCCCGCAGACCGCCTCAGACACGCCCAGCGGTAATTTAAAACCAGCCCTACAGCGGCTCAGCAGACTGGCCTGCAGTTCTGCTCGATAAACAGGGAAACTGTCTGCTGTTGACACTTTTCAGTTGTGATGAGGAAAGTGTCGCAACACCTGCCTGCCTCCCCCGCACCACAAGGCTGAGACCACCCTCTGTTCCCAGGGGAAAGGGGTGCACAGCCGGCTCAGCTTTGGTTTGTGAGGGCACTGGTCCCTCTATGATGACGAGAGTGTCGCATCGTGGCTTCCGCAAGCAGCCAGACGCGTGCACTCAGCGCCGCCTGAAGATGCCCACCTGCTCGAAGTGGTGCTGTGGGCTGGTGTTCGTCCCCACGTCCGTCCCCGTCATCGGCAGCTCTTTCAGCTCCACGTGGAATATGTAGAAGATGAAGCCGTACAGAGCGGGGCCCAGACCGTTGCACAGACCTCGGATTCCCGTTATCATCCCCTGGACGACACCTGAGCAGTCGGGAGAGAGGACCACTCAGCACACGCCCGCTTCTGTCCTGCCCTGGGAGCCGCACCAGCAGTCGGAAACCAAAGCTCTTGTTAACACTCGAGCAACGACCAATACCCTGGAGGCCCCTGGCTCCGTGGAGTGTGGCAATCACTCAGGTGGAGCCTACGGAGTGGGGGGGGGGGGGCAGGAGCTCTGGGTACCCCCAAGACGGGGCGCAGCCAGGCCTTGCAGTCGGACGCAGGGCACTGCCCGCTCAGCCTGGGCGCCCACCTTCCTCTCATCAACCCAGTGGCCGCTGCCGCTCTTTTAGAACACTGCTGTTTTATGACTAGAATTTTTTTCAAAGAATTAGTACCATTTCAAGAATTGAATGTTCCCACCACAAAGCCTAAGATGAATGACAGAAATGTGTTTGCCATTTGTGTTCGGATCACTGAGCCCGTGAGGTGAGCACGAGGGCTGAGCGTGGCCCCAGGTGTCGGGTGCATCAGTGGGTGTGGCGTGGCCACATGTCAGAGGCACAAGCTGCCTGCACCGGAGGGGAGGGCCGGGACGGCGGGTTCCGTGCCCGCACGGCCGTCCCAAGTCCCACGGACTCACCTTGCTGGTCGGCATCAGCAGTCCGCGAGACGAGCGCGCTGACGGCCGGGAAGGTGATGCTGGACATGGCGGCCACGGCCCCCGCGGCCCACATCATCCTGTGGGCAGAGCAGCGATGCCCAGACGTCAGCCCCCAGCGGCCCCATGTGAGCTCCGGGGGCTGGGGAACCACGCCAGTGGGTCCTGGAACGGTGGCCCCCCATATGTGGAGAATAATGTACGAATAAACACCATTAAACGTTTCTAAACATGAGAAATCAGAAACTTCCCACAATGAGCCCACGGTCTTCAGATGCAGTGTGGAGATACCACCAACCGATCACAATTTTGGATGCTCCTGGTCTGATGTTTAAAACAATGTTTTAGATAAACCGTGAGCAACTCCTCCTAAAGGCTGCACGAGAAGAGAGTGCCCGTCAGAACACACCGAGTCCAGACAGAGGACGTGTGCGGGTGTGGGACGTCGGTACAGAGCGGGCTTGGTCCTGCAGGTGCCGGGCGCAGGCAGAGGGCACCGGGCGCAGCCTGGCCTCGCACCTCCCGCCCGCCCTCGGGGAGCCGCCCCGCACTGCACGGGCGGCCCGGCCTCAGCAGGAGGCCGCCCCATCCCCGAATGTGCTTGCAGAGCGAGGCTGCCCTGGTGACGATCCTTCCGGCCAGAAAAACCAAACAGGCAAAAGCACGAACTTTCAGGGCCCTGTTGCTATGGGACTGGGTGCTTTCTTCTGATGACAGGGTGATGGAGGCACTGAACAGTCAACTTGGGGTCAGGGGCTCAACAATCTTGTTCAAAACCCCAGCTGGTGACTCAGCTATACAACGCCACCTGTCCGGCCATTCTAGAGTATTTGAACACACGGGAGCGGCCTGTATTATACAGTTGGAGAGAAAAGGCACAGTAAAGACTGAAGTCTAAGCCTTAGTTGAGAAGCAAGTAACTACAGAAACGGTCAATTATACCTCAAAGTGGAAAAAATAAAGACAAAAGAGGCAAACACCAAAATAATTAAGAAAATTAAAATAATCACACCTACCAAGGTTCTGAACCAAAGCCGTACCATGCCAGCTGCAGTATCTGAAATCCCAGACCCAATAAAATGGTGTTCTTGTTTCCAATTGACCTCATAAGTAAACTCAAGACTATGGTCTGGAAAAAAAAGACCAAAATGGTTCGTCAGAATACAAGAACTTTTTAAAATGAAAGAAAGGCTATTTGGTGATTTCCTTCAACCTGTAATAAAAGGACCATTATATTTTGCTACATTTTGGCTTTTCAGCCAAAACAGGTGTGTCTGAGACCAGGGCTCCAGGTCAGAGAAGCAGGAAGTGCAGAGGGAGGTGAGCCGTGACCCTGACATTTCTGCGAGGCGGAGCGCCAGCCACCTAGACCGGCTGCCACAGCAGGACGCCCGAGGGTTCTCACGGGGACTCGCATGGCCCTGTCACATAACAGGGTACAGGTCCCCGTTCCTTGCCGACTGCAGAAAACCGGCCCAGTCCAGCAGCCCACGTGTCCTTAACCCAAGTTTGTCTGCTGCCAGCCCCTTGAGCTCTGCAAACACTCACTTTGACAAGCAGGATGTGGGAGGGGCCCAGTGTTGAGCAGAGACCAGGGCCTTGGGGAAAACTGGCCCTGCCCTGCAGGCTGCCCACCTCAGACCCCCCCGTTCACCCCCCCCCTCAGCTGAGCGAGGCACCGCACAGAGAGGGCGCTCAGTAAAGGCTCTGTGAGCTGGTGCGTCCTCCTGCTTCCCATTTTCTTTCAAAGCTGACACCCTCTGCAGTGACCTCCGGACCCTGGGAAGCAGCTTCGGTGGTTCTGTTTAAGGTGGGACACATGCCACACACGACTGCTAGGAAGTCCCTCCAGGAAGAAATGGAAACAGTTCAGGAAATCATTCTGACGACAGGCTGACACTTTAAACACACAATGATCAGGTTTGAAATTCTTTCAACAGAGACAGTCATTTAAGAGCTTAATCAGATCTCATCAAATAAGCCAGCACAAAGCAAAGGGTCCTTGAAGTAGCTGGACTCACATCTTCCTTGTCTGAGACCGCGTTCCAAAGGCACGCACCTCTGCTGTGGCAGGTCCCTCAACCGCGGCCCCCAAGGGGAGTCGCGCAGAGAGAGCAGCAGCAGCTTGTGGAGAAAACCTGCGTGTGTGGGGGCCGGGGACTGGGGACAGGCCTGCTTCCTGATCTGTCTCCCCAGCACTGAACGCCAGTTCTTAATAAATGTTTACGAGAAGCTTATGGGATTTTGAACGTCACAACATCCTCAACAATGATGGAATCAGTTAGAACAGTACAATATAAAAGAAAATTGTCCCTTAATCTAGTATAACTGATTTTGAGGACATTCAGTGATGTAGAGCTTAACCAAGGTGACACAGCTAATTAATTGTTAACTGACATCAGCTCTGGTCATCACTCAAACACCCGCCACCAGCCTGCCACGCCCCTCAGTGTTCTAGTTCAGAGGGCAGTGACCTCTGTGGGTCACTGACTGGTGCACGTACTGTCAGCAGAAGGGTTCCCTGCTGGCAGAGGAAAGACAGGTATCAGCACTCGAGCAGCTAATTCCAGGCTGTGGCTGCTACGAGGGGAGGAAAACGGCAGCGTGGGAAAGGCTGCTCAGCCGGTGGGCAGGGAAGTCTGTGTCCCTCCTACAAACAATACACTGGATGACCTGCCTTCGGGGCTCTGTATAATCGCTCTCAACATTTTAGTAGTTCATATGATGACACGAAGATCTCATGATCAATACATGCAGATGCTCCTATCACCTGCGTTTGAACACCAACGAATTTTCTTTTTTAAAATGTACTTTTACACTTTCAAATACTATTTTCCATCTGGCTGGATAGTCCCTGGGTTGTGCTTCTGCCCCGAACGCCCCAGGGTGGCCGGACGTGGCCGCTCCCTCCCCACACCCAGGGCCCTGCGGCCCGGCTCTCCCCTGCAGGACACCCCAGCTCCTGAGCTCCAGGGCTGTGGTCCACCTGTGTCCCGTGGGCCGGGTGCCACCTGCTGAGCACCTTCAGCTTGTCCCCCGCACAGTCTGGCGTCACTGCCCGAACACAGTCCCTTCAGACTGGAACGGAACCTCTGAGCTCGCAGCTCCTGGTCTTTCCACTGTGAGCAGTGCCCGTGGTCCCGTCCTTTCATCCGGAACAAGTGGCGGCAAGTCTCATCTCAGCAACGTCTGGGAAGATAATCCACCCTGACCAGCCTGGCTCCTTCACAGGGTTCGGAGTCAGCTCGACACAAGCGGCTGTTCTCACTGCCTGCGTACTTTCCTTGAGTGATGTGGGCAACGAGGCAGTGTCCGTGTGGGTCGCCAGGAACGAGCACTTAAATGCAGTGCCTTCGAACCTGGGACGGCCGAGGTAAACCATGGTCAGACTGCACTGACGCTCAACACCGTGTCCGCGTGGGTGCGACCGTGGAGGCGGCGCGCTACAGAATTTTAAGTTCATCACTAAATCTACCGAAAATTCACAAACGACGGGATCTGCAAAGGGAGCCCCACTGAGAGGTGGAGAAACCTGCCCAGGTCCCATTAAACTCCCATTAAAGGACTTTCCCTTCCACTTTTTAACAGAGGAAGCGGGAGCCCGCACCCTGGCTGGGAACAAGTGGGATGGTTGGCCGGGCGTGGGCAGGGCTTTTCCCAGAAGGGAGTTCCAGTCGTTGGATCGGGACTTCCTTTGGCAGAGGGATCGCCGGCAGGCTGGGAGGCGACGTCCTGAGAAAACCCACGTCCTTCCTCAGACCGCCACTGGCCACCCTGGGCGCTCTCCCAGCAAACGCTGCCTCCCGCCCCTCCGCCGGAAGCCTCCCCAGGCTCCCCGTTCTGCCTGGGGGTCTGAGCCGCCTGCAAGACCCCACCCTGCCAGGCTTCTGGAGCATCTTCCTCCCAGCCCCTCCGTCCTAGCCCCGCCCCAGCTCCGGCCCAGGCAGGGGCAGCCAGGCACAGGCTCCCCATGGAGCTTCATTCCCATTCCTGGGGCTGCTCGGTCCTCAGAATCCCTGGCTCCCTCTGAGCCGCAGCTCCACGGTCACCATGGTTACCTCGCATCAGCAACGCCTTCCCACCCTTCCCACCCTCGCAGGGACATGACACCCTGTTGCCTTTTATGTCCCCTGGACCTTTTCTTTATAGTTCTCACTATACCAGATACGTTTAAATTAACGTACTTAACAATTACCCAACAAAAATGTAAACTCTAGCACAGCAGGGAACTGGTTAAGTTTGTGGCTATCCCCTCAGCAGCTGCCACATGGTAGGCAGTCAGTATTTACTGAATGAGTCAAAAGAAGAACCGATATAAAATGCCTCACTTTATACAGGTTAGACCCCGGTGTAAATCAATAAACTGTCTTTCTGATTTATGTGTCATACAGTGACTGACACGTGTCTGTCCCCCAAATCTGATCGATGTCAGCCACCCGTCCAAGTTAAGTTTCTGAACCTGTACCCCACAGACCCCAGCACTGGTGACCCCACCAAGACCCCATCTGGACGGCCAGGGCCGCCCTCGGTGACACATCCCTCCCGCCCACTGAGGGGACTCACCTGTGCAATGATGGACAGAATGCCGAGAACTGCTATAAACGCAGCCACGCTCTCTGGTGAGAATTTCATAATCTAGGAGGTTTCCAGAAAAACTTACATTAATAAATAAAGAACCACAGCAAATACCATCAAACCCCAACTCCTCCTTTATAACCAATGAATTCTTCAGCATATGACCTTGGCCTCGAACTGAGTGCCAAGGAGGAAGAGACAAATGAAAGCCCCCCCCCCACCCCGTTCGGCGGCTGCTGTCCTCCTGTGCACTCTGCGCCACAGCCCTTCTCTGAGGGGCCCGAGGACCCGCCACCTGCACCAGCAGCAGACACACTCCGACTTGCCGACGGGGACACTGGACCGTTCCCACCAAGGACCGGCAGCCACAGGGGACGGCAGCTGGTGCCAGCGAGCCGCTGTGTGCACAACGGCCTTCGTCCCGAAAGGCCTCTGCCACCACGGCTCCCTCGCCGTGAGTGTTCCTGTCACGCCTCGGGCGACGGCAGGACGGCCGACCCCGGCGGGCTCACCTGTCGGAGGTACAGGAAGAAGCTGGAGTACTGGCCGGCCTCCGGGAGGTAGGAGAGGAACACGGTGATGCAGATGAGCAGCACGACGGAGTCCTGGCCCACCTTCTTCAGGGACTGGACGGGAAAGGGGCTGGCGTCAGGGCTCCGTCAGAACAGGGGGCTGCTGTCGGGCCGTGCAGACCCCCTGGCAGCGTCCAGAGACCCTAGATGCCTCTCCTACACTACGTTTCTCCATCCTCCCCAAACAATTCTCAAAACTATGTCAAAGTCATCAACTCCTCTCTCCAAAGAAACACCCACAAGAAAACATTCCTGCCGCTGCACTGGACCACGTGGCCCCTCTTCCTGCCACGGAGACCCTGTGGACGTACCGCGAAGGGGTCAGCCTGCTCCCAGGAAATGGGTGCCCCCCAGGACGCCGGCCGCATCTTCTCAGGCAGTGACTCGGGCACAGCAACGAGGATGAAGCAGATGTCCAGCAGGGCGATGGCCGTGGCCAGGACCACCACCAAGCTGTCCCCGTACACCCGGCCCAGGTACGCACCGATGGCGGGGCTGATCACCAAGCTGGCAGCAAAGGTGGCCGAAACCTGGAGCAAGTCAAGGTCAAAGGCAAGACGACTCAGGATGCTGCGCCCTCCGTGCGCCTACCTGTGCTGTGCTTTAAACACTGTTCTTCTGGGGGAAGGGAAATCGATCTGATTCTTAACTAAAAACTGCGTAGCAGCCTCCAAGATAGAGGCTGTTTGTTCAGATAAATCCAACTGACAAAGTCACAGGTGAGAGAGCTTAGAAAACCAAACAGAACCCTGGCTGGGTGGAGGGAGGGCCTGCCCCGCCCGCAGTGCTCCACGGCCGCCCAGGGGAGGTTTCGCTGGGAGCTGTGTGCAGTGAAGAGTGAGCCCAGTCAGCCCCCGGGGCCAGCAGCGCGGGCGTACAGACCTGACCGTAGGCCATGCTCCGCTCGTGCTCCTGCGTTATGTCTGCTACGTAGGCGAACACCACGGAGAAGGTCACGGCGAACACGCCAGAGACGGAGATGACGGCGAAGTACCACCTGGGTGGGCAGACAAGGGACCGGAGGCGGTGAGAGCAGCCACTCCCCCAGGCGCCTCCGCTGTTCGTAGAACCAGCAGCCGCAGCTGCCTGGAACAAGCAGGGCCGGGGGGGGGGGGCCCTGACGGCCACTCGGCCACTGTGCAGGAACGCTTACAAATCGGTCATGTGCTAGGTCACTCTTAACCAAACTGCTGAATTTTTAAGTGGCTTTGTGGTGCTGACTTAACGACAAAGTGTGTTGCGACCCCGCCCCGACCCTCCCACGGGACTAGCACAGGACGACAGACTCAGTAAGTCACACTGAGCAACAAGTCACTCTCCAGTTGCCTTGGGTCTATTCACAGAAACCAGATGTTATTTTCGTAAATTATCTTGAGCTTTTTATACGTTGGCAAAACAAGTAACTCAGTGTTCACACAGAAAAACTTGTATAGCACAGTTTGCAAAGAAACTCAGGAATGAAGAGCGGACAAAAGATATTTTAAAAAGCTCTATGATTCCAAAATATGTGGCTGCGAATAGAAGTTTCTAGTGTAATGCTGATGTTTAGATTTTAAAATACCATGTGATCATTTGGGCTTTCAAAATATCACTCCAGCAGGACTTCACTGCTTGCTGATTTTTCCAACACACTGCTTCCCACAGCAAGTCCTCGCTCCCCCCGCCCAGGCCCCCTGCAACGCTCCACCGCCATCAGCATGGGGCCGGGTCTGCAGGGCTGGGGAGGCCCTGCCCGGCACAGGCCCTCGGCTTTTCTGGACACACCCTGGAAGCAGAGCCTTCTAAGACGTGGGATGAACTGATGACACTCAGTGGAATCCAACATCAGTCAAAGAATTAACACACTTATAACCAACCTGGGCTCTGAGGCCAGGGAGAAGCACTCCCTGGGGGCACTCCCTCCCGTTCCCCTCAGCGGACATCCTGACCTCACTGGGGGCAGGGAGCCCCGTCTTGCCCAGACTCAGGCAACCGCCCGCAGCACAGGCCTGAGACCAGACGCCGGCCGAGGTCAGGGGTGGGACAGGAAGGCGGCACACCCTGGCAGCCAGGCCCGCCTGCAGTGACATAGGAGCTCGGCGGCCCCCGGACAGCGAGGGGACAGTGGACGACAGCCAGGCAGAGAAGAGATCCTGGGTCCCCGAGGTGCCACGCTGGCTCTGCACCCATCGAGTCCAGGCTTCTCTCGTGTGGACAGGAAAAGGCGGGTTCCCTGACTTTAAGCAGCTATCATTTGGGCCTTTACTGATCTACAATAAAATCCATTCCTAATTAATACAGAGAGTGATGATAAACTGTGTTTTTAACATTCCAAGTAACAACAACAAAAATACGCTGGCAGCCCTCCGCAGTCCCTAACACGTTCTGAAATTGGGGCTCTGACCAGAGGCGGGCTCGCCAGTCCCCCCACACGGCAGCAGTGAGGTCGAGAGCCTGGGGAGCTATCACCTGGTTCCTCCACCTCTGAGGGCCTCCCACCTGCGACAAGGACAGCTGAAAGCATGCAACTAAAACCTGCACAGACAGGGGGCCCGGGGTGCACGGAGCGAGGGAGCGTTCAGAGAACAGCAGCCGACGGCGTGCTGTGTGGCTGCGACCTGGCCGCACACTCACCACGGGCTGATCTTCATCAGGGGGATGGGGGCGCACGTGAAAAACACGGTTAGCAGCAAGAAGGACTTCCGGCCCCAAACATCAGAGAGAGCACCAATAAGCGGGGCGCTGAGGAATGACAACAAACCCTAAAAAAAGGTAAGGGAAAAAAGGTATACTATGTCCACTGGCGGGCCAAAGGTAACCATTTTGCCAAGAGAAGAACTTTAAACAAGTTCACTTCTACAGTAAGAATACCATTGAGCTTCGGGGAAACTGCTCATTTCCCGCCCACATGTAATGTGAACGATCCCCAGCACGGTCTAGAATCTTCCCACGCAGGAACTGGCTGCCTATCCAACACGGACGCTCCCACGACTTCGCAATCGCAGGAACTGCACGTGCGCGACTCGAGAAAGAATGCTGTGCTCGCTGTTTTCAGATTCACAGCTTATTATTCTGTCGATCAAATTTGTTAGTCAAATGAAGGTAAGAGTGAAGAACATGCAGGATAATCAGGACTTTTCCATACTGATCAAGTTTTAGACTTCCAAGTTTTTAAAATAGCTCTTTCCAATTTACACTGCTCCAGAAGGATAAAGTTCAACAGGAATTAGGAAAATGTTATGCTAATAAAACCAACATACAGTAGAAAATTTGCAAGCTAGATCAGAATAAGTAAGCAAAACTTCTACATTATCTGTTTCCAGAGAAACCAAAAATAACACGTTGGTGTGTTTCTTTAAAAATTCTTTTTACTGATTATGCTGTTAGAGTTTTCCCAATTCCCCCTCTACCCACTGCCACCTGGTGCTCCCATCCCTCCAGCAGTCCCCTGCTTTAGTTCATGTCCATGGGTCATGCGCGTAAGTTCTTTGGCTTCTCCATTTCCTATCCTATTCTTAACCTCCCCATCTATTTTGTTCCTACCAATTTGTGCTTCTTATTCCCTGTACCTTTCCCCCCATTCTCCCTCCTCCCCCTCCCAGCTGATAACCCTCCACGAGAGCTCCATTTCTGTGATTCTGTTCCTGTTCTAGTTGTTTGCTTAGTGTGTTATTCGGGTTCAGTTATTGATAGCTGTGAATTTGTTGCCATTTAATGTTCATCGTTTTGATCTTTTTCTTCTGTAGTCCCTTTAGCATTTCATGTAATACTGGTTCGGTGGTGGTGAACTAACTCCCTTGTCTGGGAAGCATTTTATCTGCCCTCCGATTCTAAATGATAGCTCTGCTGCACAGAATAGTCTACACTGTAGTTCCTTGCTTTTCATCACTATGATGAAAAGACAAGAAGTATTCAACTTCTTGTCAGTCCCTTCTAGCCTTCGAAGCTTCTTTTGAGCAATCAGCTGAGAGTCTTACGAGAACTCCCCTGCAGGGAACTAACTTTCTCTTGCTGCTTTTAAGATTCTCTATCTTTAACCTTTGGTATCTTAATTATGAAGGGTCCTGGGGGGGCCCTTTGAGGCAACCTTGTTTGGGACTCTCTGTGCTTCCTGGGCTTGAATGCCTATTTCCTTCACCAGATTAGGGAAGCTTTCTTTCATTATTTTTTTCAAACAAGTTTTCAATTTCTTGCTCTTGCTCTTCTCCTTCTGGCGCCCCTACGATTCGGATGTGGTTACATTTAAAGAAGTCTCAGGTATTCCTAAGCCCGTCCTTGATTTTTTAATTCTTTTTTCTTCCTGCTGTTCTGACTGAATGCTTTTTCCCTGTGTTCCAACTCATCGATTGGATTCTCAGCTTCATCCTCTCCACTGCTGGTTCCCTGTGGACTTCTCCTTTGTTTCACTTAATGCAGCCTTCATTTCTGCCTGGGCCTATTTTATGCTGTTGAAGTACCCAGTGAGTTCCTGGAGCACCCTGATAACCAGTGTTTTATCTGTGCATTTGACAGATCGCGTATCTCCACTTCATTTAGTTCTTTTTCTGGGGTTCTGTTCTATTCTTTCATCTGGGCCGTATTTCTCTGTGTCCTCGTTTTGACAGCCCCCGTGTGTTTGTTTCTGTGTATTAGGTAGAGCTGCTCTGACTGCGTGTCTCAGTGTGTGGTGACTGTAGAAAAGCGCGCTGGTGCCGTGGGGTGGGGTGGCGCCTCGGGTCACCACGGGGCAGGGTGGCCCCGTCACCGCTCCGCTGCTCTGCTGGGGGAGGGCTCTCGGAGGGACGGTGCCGCCGCCTGGGAGTCTTGCCCAGGAGGAAGCTGTCCCCCAGCACTCACACTCCACTTTCTCCCCGTTTGCCACTGGGGCCCTTCCAGATGTTGCCATGGTGCTGAACCCCAGCGGGATTGAGTCTGCACATCCTAAGTCCATTGTGGGCCCTTTAAGAGGAGTCTTGAGAATTCTGCAGTTTTTCCCACACCCCCCCTGCCCCGCCCACACACACACAGGTTTTTATAGCCAGAAGTTATGGGGGCTTATCTTCCTGGTGCTAGGACTCTGGGCCGGGTCGTCTAGACTAGGGTTCCCGAGGTCTCCCTCCTGATCTTTACCCACACCTGGATTCAGGCCCGCCCTTGCCCCACCTGGACGAGTGTGGCTTCTTTAAGTCCTTGGTGGTCGGACACCACACAGCGTGGTTTTCTGACAGTTCTGGGCGATGTCTGTTTCGTAGTCTAATTGTATATCTCTGGACATGGAGAACACAGAGGAAATCTGTGTGATGTGATTTACTGTTAGACACAGTTGGCCACACTGAGTCGAATCGTATTTAAAACCCAGTTGGTTAAAAGACTTCAATAATCCCGTTACATAGACCGAACTGCATCTATGTAACGCCAGGACACTACGTGTCTGGGTGTGTGTGCACACACGTGTGTGGACGTGCAGCAGCTCCTACCTTTACTCCTTGAATGAGGCCGTTCATCAGAAATGTGTGTCTAGGGAAGGTTTCGTGTAAGACCTACGGGGTAAAAACAAAACAGAAATAGGCCACGTTTTAGTCTCCGTAGGACGTCTACACTCACGTTTTAAAACACGCTCTCGTGACACGATACAGTCTAATCTCAGTCCACACGCGTTTCCAGCCATGCGTGACACGGAGCACGCTGCCAGCGCCCACACCAGCACCACGCACGGGCGATCCCAGGTCCCCGGGCGCTGAGTCGGGCACTTCGTGCACCTCGTCCCCTTTACGCCGCACAACGCGTGGTGGGAAGGCTGACCACACAACCGTCACACACCCGGGTTCCACAGGAAGTGGCAGAACTGAAAGCGAGCACAGGAAGTCGGGCCTGCAGTCCACGCTCGTTCGCCCCCCGCGTCCCACGGGTGCCCGACGGAGGGGACTCCTCCCTTCCAGGCAGGCGCACCTTACTATCCCAGACAGCAGACTGCGGATACAGCAGGGAACTACTGTACTAACGGCCGTAAAGTGGGTCTGGAAAGACTCCATAAAGCAAGGGGAAGAAATCGCCACCTGTGAGAACGCCCCACGCCCGCTGTCAGACCGCGGGGTGTCAGTGCGGTCACTGGGGGCGGCGTAACAGCCCCGCCCGGGATGGCACCACCCTGTCACAGACCAGGCAGCTCTGCCCCTGCCCTACCCAAAGGCGTCTCCCACGGAGGGACAGCAGGGTGGCACCGTGGGGACCAGAAGGCAGGGCACCTGCTCAGGAGGAGAGCTGTGCCGCGGGGAAACCTCTCCAGGGCCAGCCCACGCCCCTCCCAGTCTCTGTCTGCGGTCGCTCGAGATCCCACAACAATTCATGTGTGTAAAAATAAAGACAATTAGGGATGAAGTCTTAAGAACTTAGGAAGCGCCCTGGCTGGTGTAGCTCAGTGGATTGAGCACGGGCCTGTGAACCAGAGGATCACGGTTCGATTCCCAGTCAGGGCACATGCCTGGGTTGCAGGCAGGTTCCCTGCAGGCCAGTCCCCTGCAGGGGATGCACTAGAGGCAACCATACATTGATATTTCTCTCCCTCTCTCCTTCCTTTCCCCTCTAAAGATAAATAAATAACTCTAAAAAAAAAGAACTTAGGAAGAATGCCGAGAGTGAAGTGAGCAGCCCTCGAAATCCCGTCTGGGGACTGACGGTGCAGGAAGGCCGGGAGGCCGCCCCCAGAGGAGAGCGCAGCGGGACCCCGGCCGGGAGGGGCAGCCGCCTCCTTGTGTTCTGCAGCCTGAGACCCGCCGTCACTGCTGTCTTTACCTGGGGTGTCTAATCAAAGCCACCGCCGCCGACCGAACACCCGCGCGGCCCCGACCTCTCACGTGTCAGGCCTCCCGTCTTCGCCGTGTTTCTCGGTATGAAACCCTCCTCTGCAGCGGACGGAGGGCTCCTCGCGGGCAGACCTCTGCCCCCAGGGCAGCGCCCCCGCTCGGCCTGCACCACACGACGTAACAGAGGCCCACCGGACACTCACGTCAAGAACCCAGGCTACCACAGTCCCAAACCCAAACTCGGTGTGTGTCTGAAGATGGGCTATCTGTTCTGTGAGTTAATTCAGAAAACGCCCTCGCAACTTCAAGTTCGAGACCTAAACTGTGCACCTGGGGAGGGAAGGCTGGTAAGAGGCACTCAGCGCAAAGAGCATCCTGTCCCCATCCCGCCCCCCTTCCAGCGAGAGCCGAGCTGTGACTGTAGCAGGCGCTGCCTGTCGTCCGCTCCAACCACGCGAGACAGAGTAGACGGGCTGCAGGCCGACAGGCGTTCGGAGCCAGGTCGGAGCCAGGTCGAGGTGCTGCCCTGGAGTCCACCCCCCCCACACCCAACATGCGGGTTGAAAATAACCCTGCCGACATGCCCTAGAGCTGGTGTGGCTCAGTGGACTGAGTGCCGGCCTGAGAACCAAAGGGTCGCCAGTTCGATTCCCAGTCAGGGCACATGCCTGGGTCGCAGGCCAGGTCCCCAGTTGGGGGTGCACAAGAGGCAACCACACACTGATGTTTTTCTCCCTCTCTTCCCCTCTCAAAACCTAAAAAACAAAACAACAACAAAAAAGACTGCCAACAAGGTCAACAACTAAAATCTATAAGCAGAAAGCCTAAAACATTAGTCCTTCATTGGTAACATATAGAATGCAAAACTACATGTGTCTGGCTTCAGCAAGATGGGCAGAAGGCCTAGGTGTTTTGAAAAACTCCCCAGGTATCCCCAACATTCACCTCCGGTGAAAATTCTAACTCGGACAAAGCTCAGGTCCAGCTGCCTGTCAGTCGGAAGGCCCGCCCTGAGGCCCAGAGGCGCCACCCAGCCCCCCTGTGCCCCAGGGGTGGCGGAACCGGACTCTGCGTTCTCACTGTGGCATTGTCCAGGCTGACCGCAGAGTGCCCGGGTCTCTGTTAAGGAAGCGAGACGTGTCACAGAGGGAGACGGAGGCACACACACCGAGTTGTCCTCGAGCTCCCTCACACCACTTTCCTTAGTGACAGTCCACACGCCAGCTGTCCCCACACACAAGCGCCAGGGAACCGCAGAGGAGCCCCGCACCCAGGTCCCGCCACGGCTCTGCCACTCCCTGCTTTGCCGAGGTCTCTGCCCCCGCCGCAGAATCTCCCTATCACCAAGGAAGATGTAGACCTGAGAAACAGTGATAACCTAAAAACACGTAAAAGAACTAGAAGAATAAAACCCTGGGCTCAACGTTCATTGATTAAACTTTTTCTGAGAAGATGCTTGAGTTAAAAAATGCGATCAAGTAAAAATGGAAAAAGGTGAAGAATTACGACCTTGTAACTGTGTTAACATTAGAGACAGCCCTCCCAGGTAATAACTCATCACTGTGCCATTTACAGAGTCAAGTGTAAAGGCAAATGAGAATGAAGAGTAACTGTTACAACTGGGGGCAGGGATCTTGCTAAACATCAAATAATAGGCAATGAGGTCCCAGCAACGAGTCAAAGAAATGTACTCGCACTGGGAAGAAAAATTTTTATTAACTCCCCCCAAATTAGTGCGTTTTATTTTCCTGATCAGATTTCATTCAGTGTTTAAAATTTTTTAATCCTTACCTGAGAGTATGTTTATTGACTTTAGAGAGGGAGGGAGAGAGAAAGAGAGAAATATTGATGTTGGAAAGACGCATCAACCGGCTGCCCTATGCCCTAACCGGGAATTGAACCTGCAACCTTTTGATGCTACAACCAACCAGGGCAGCTGGCCAGAGCTCAAGTCAGTATTTTGAAAAGTTAAAAAAAAAAAGTTAAGAAAATCAATGGTAATATCCATTTTTTAATTAACAAAAATAATTTAGAATACACTCCCGCTGCTGCAAAAAAAATGAATAAACAAACCTTTATGTGTAAATAACTGAATTCCTTCTTTGTTCTTAAAGAAGACAATTTCCCTTTGTCCCGTTAGGGGGAAAAAAAACCGTATTACTAAAGTTAGACAAACCCTTGACATACCTAAAAAAATAGAAACCGAAAGCACATTTAAAAAATGGCTAACCAGCCCTGGCTGGTGGATTGAGCGCGGGCCTGCAAACCAGATGGTTGAGGTTCGATTCCCAGTCAGGACACATGCCTGGGCTGCAGGCCAGTTCCCAGCAGGGGACACACGAGAGGCAACCACACACTGATCTTACTCTCCCTCTCTCCTTCCCTTCCCCTCTAAAGATAAATGAATAAAATCTTTAAAAAAATGGCTGTCCACACTTCAAGTCCTGACGGCCACTCGTGTGGACACCACAGCAGCCTTCCTGACGGCTCGCTGACGGAGTGGTTAAGGTTTTAATCTCGGCAGGGCTGGGGGCCGGGCTGCCCCAACCCAGGGCCCCTGGGCCCCAGGGCCCCAGCCGGAGCAGCCTGGCTCTCTGCGCCAGGCGGTGGGCCGCTTCCTTCCCGTCTGGGGGCCAGCAAGTTGCCTCCCTCTCCCACCCTTCCTGTGCTCCAGACGTGGAGAGTCTGACACCCCGCCCCTCCAAGGTGCTTCTGAGGCCTGGAAGTGACCGCATGTTCAAGGGCGCAGGGCTGCGCGGGCCCGCGACCACATAAATGTCCAAGGGCTGTGCACCGCAACGAAGCTCAAGTACTTCTGACCACAGGGCAATGCCCCACCGCTGGACTGGGACGCTTGACCTCGGCTTGGAGCCCGGGACATCAGCTCATCACCATACAATGACGCTGAAAATGTCATAATGAGCCCCCATCATGTGATGAAGTTCCAAACCAGTGAGGGCAGGACATGGGTAAATTCATGTGTAAAGATTCCCCTCAGAAACTATTAAACTAAAAAAAAAAAAAAAAGAGATCCATTTTAAAAGCCCACTTTCACTTATTTTGAAAATCCATTCATGTAAAACTGACAACCCATTCCAGGGACATGAGCTGTTAAAAGAACCCAGTCCAAACCCTTGAGTTGGCCTTCTTCCAAGTGCACGGTAGCGTGGGCTTCACGCTGTGTGATGCGAGCTTCCTCTCCACCCTGTTCCGGTGGGCACCCGGGAGACCCGCACGCGTGTGTGGACACAGTGGTACAGATACCAAGGGACAAGGAACATAACTTTCTCGGACGACTTCAGTCTACTTACATGAGCACTGAATCTAGTTAAAAACCTTTTTGAAAAAGCTTTTTTGTATAACAATGAACAAGCTCAGGAAAATGTAAGGGAGTATATTTCCTCGTGGTTCTTTTTTGGGGGGATTTGGCCAATTGTCCGTGCACCCTCATCACACCTTCCGAGGTCAAGCCACGCTGCTCCTTGCTCCTCTCGGGTCTACACCGCCGACGGAGGGCCCGCACCCGCAGCACCCGGGGCGCACGGTCCGGCTGGAGGCCCTTCCCAGAGCCCCGCACCTGGCCATGTTTGGGGGAAGGCAGCCTAGGCCTCCGAAGAGACCGGGTTACCGGTCTTGGCTTAAAGTAAAGGAAATTTCTATTTGGAAAATGCAACTATGTGAATGGATCTCAGAATAATCCTGCTGAGTGACTCAGGCCGCAGACCCTGTCTCCCCTAAAGGGGTCACCCGGGGCAGGGCCACCCGCACAGGGCCAGGCCCTCCCGGGGAGTGAGAGCGAAGGGGAGGCTGACCGTCTGAGGGGTGGGGGGCGATCACCCATGGAGACGAGAAACTTTTGTCCCTTACTTCCTGGCACATTCACCTGCACCTCCCCCTGGAAACAGTGCACAAAGCGAGGATAGGTGAGGTAAGGGTTACTCACCACCAACGTGGGTGCCGTCAGCAAACCCCATGCGAAGAACTCCAGGAAGATGACGATGACCGCGTGGTACACGCTCGGGGAGCCCACTCCTTGAGGCTGGAAAACAGAGCGCCCAGCAGTTAGCCATGCGCAGGCGCGGGAAGGCAGGGACGCAAACCTATGCCTGTCTTCACTGCGCTTGGTTTCACGGTTTCCAGGTACTTTCCATAGAGTACATTCTGCCTTGCTCCCTATCTAATCTTTAAAGTCACTTTACCAATTCACATGTGAAAACCGTACATCTTTCAGCTTGTCTAGACACAGCCCCACCAGTGTATTCATAAAAGAGTAAGAATCATATGAAAAGGCAAACTTTAAAAAGTCATAAGGGAAATTCTCGTTTTGATAATACAAATACAACTCTTTGGCTCTTAGCCTCTATAAAAAACCTGGTTCTATATAACAATAATCTAACAAGAAACTGGGATCACATCAAACTGAAACTCTTGCACAACAAAAGCCATCCGCACTACCAAATGGGAAGAGAAAGTCACCAGTGACATATGTCCGATAAGGGGCTAATTCCCAAAATATACAAGGAACTGACATGAGGGAACACACACAAAAGACAATATGACTGACTAAAAGGTGGATGGAGGACCCAAACAGACACTTCCCCAAAGAGGACAGACACACAGGAGGCCAACAGGCCCCTGCACAGATCTGAGGGATGCAAATTAAAAACACAACGAGGCAACACCTAACACAGGTCAGAACGCCATCATCGACAAACCAACCAACGACCTGGCGCTGGCGAGGATGCCGAGAAAGGGGGCCCTCCCGCTGCTGGGGATGCAGGCTGGTACCACTATGAAAAACGGAGAAGGGTCCCCCAAAACACATTAAAACCAGAACCGCCATAGGACCCACGGTTCCACTTGTGGGCATCGATCTAAAGCACTCATTTGAAAAAGGCATCTGTGCCCATGTTCACTGCATCATTATTATGACGGCCCAGATGTGGACGCAACCTCAGTGCCCAGGAACAGACAAACTCAGAAGGATGATCCGCCAAACACATCCACACACACATGCAGCCATAAAGGGGGAAATCTTACCACTTGGGACAATATGGATGGACCCAATATAGAGTATCATGCCAAGTGAAGACAAGGAGACAAATATGTGATTTTGCTTATTTGTGAAATCAAAAAAACAAAACAAGGAAAACAGAAGCAGACTCACAGATACAGAAAACAGATGGTTGCCAGATGGGAGGGGGCTGGGGGTGGGTAAACAAGGGGAAGGGGGAAGAAGTACAAACTGCCAGTGTCAAAACCAGTCACGGGACGTGAGATGCAGCATGAAGAACGTGGTCAACAGCACTGTCATAACTAAGTGTGGTGTCAGGTGGGTACTAGACTTACTATGGCGAGCACGTCGCAACGTACGTGAATGTCTAATCACTATGTTGCACACCCCAAACCAATATGATAGTGAAAATAGATTAAAAGCTTTTAAGCAATTAAAAAACACCCCCCTCCAACCGTGGAAGTATTCTAAATGTCAACACGCACCTTTTACTCTATCTGTCCTAAATGGGCCACACTGAATAAGGGCTATATCAACATGTTACATGCGTCCAGAATTTAACTAAAAACTGCTACTTATACATATGGATACTTCAAAAAACAAACTCAAGACAATGTCCTTTCATCAGTGAAATGGTACAGAAGGAAGGATTCAATATTTACTAAATTTAACTCGTGGAATTATCCCATAGTGAGTTATCCTGTTTTCAAATTGGATGACTTTTCTTCAACCTCTGGAAGCACGGACCCTTGGGAATCCCCCTAAAACAACGGGAATCACAGAAAGTTGCACAGACAAGTTCAGGGCGAGCCCGAGCCCGAGCCCGAGCCCCTGACGCCTGCAGAACCGCACGCCTCCGTGTAATCCACCTTCAGAACCTGCTGGTTAGTCTCGCCCTGTTCACTCGGAGGGTTCACTTCTCTCCACTGTTAAAGAGAAACTCCACTGTAATGAGCCTGTTCTTTGTGACAAATCATTACAAGTGCTGCTGATAAATATTAAAACTGGCTGATCAGGCTTACAAAGACGTCATTAGCAGAAGACAGAGCAAAGTAATTTGAGTAACACTGCTAAATATTAGTCAACGATGGGGGCCTGGTCAGCTCCGCTGGCCAGGGATGTGAGCCACTGGGGAGAGCCTGCCCCACACGACCCTGTACCTCAAACCCATGACTTGTGACACGGAATGAACCCACCCACTGGCACAATACACACACAGAAAGCACAGAGCAGGATCAAATGGCAACTTTCCTTCCTTTCTAAAAAAATGTCCATAATGGTGGTATTCTGACCCCTTTCTAACTAGAGAGGCCCAAGGCAAGTACAGTTTTAAGATCGTGTCTATGACTTAATGAAAGTGTTACTTTTGAAGTTATCTTTTTCTTACTTAAAGCTAGAGTGGATTACAATACAAACCCTGCAGAAGATGACCCTGACACACAGAATATCCCGCTTACACAAAGGAATAAATAAAACTACAATGCAAATCATCTAGGGATGTGTTTGGACCCACATTTTTTAATCACTGCTTTCACCACTTTAAACTCACACTGTAGGCCTGCAGGATTCAAAGCTTAAATCGAGCCCCAATGCTAAAGGGTGTCCAGCGCTCTCAGGGCGGGGTGTGTGACCTATGTGGCCCGAGAAGGCAGATGGTAACATCCTCATGCCCACAGCCATCCGGAAAGTTCTCCTTTACTGTCTGTTCTCTCTTAAAAACACAGCTGGTATACACATGTATTTTTTTGTCCAAAAGCAAGCTGTGAATTCACTGTAACTCTGATAAATAACAAGATAAAAATAATCTCAAACCTCACAGGATTTGCAATGAAAGCACCTGTTAGGTGAATCAAAACTCCAAAGACAGGACACAGAACTGAACTTGGCCAGGAGAATGCAGGTGCGTTCCTTGACCACAGCTCCATTCTGACCTCCTACAGAGAATACTGATCTTAAGTGTCACTTGCTCTCATCAAATACAATCCTGCGTTGCTTCCATTGGTAGGTTTTATTAAGAATTTAAAGCAGCGAGTCCCGGTGGTTGACAAAGGCATCCAGTGCTATTTCTCTCTCCACATGGTGGCTTCACCACCTGGCTCAGAAAAGAGCCAGGAATATCCACACCTGACTTAATCAGAGTGATGCTTAATTAATCAAGTACAACCAAAAAAATCTTAGGACTTGGACCACAGTTTCTCTTTCCACCAAACGTCAAATCTATGACATCTAAGAAACTTGACAGTCAGCTAAAAGTACATTCTGAAGTTGTTTTGTATGTCTCAAGCTTTCTAAATTTTAGCATATTGACTGGGCTATATTCTGAAATGTCAAAAAAAAAAGTTACTTATTTCAAATGGACTTGGCGATCCCTCGGTGTTGGTCGACTCCCACATTCAGCAGTGTGCTAGCAGCTGGTCAGGGATCCAACGAAATATAAACAAGTAGGGGGTAAAAAGCTCCATTTCTGCTCACTTCCCAGGAAAGAGGGCCTCTTATTTCACCCTTCCGTTCTGTTTTGGAACAGGACGGCAAAGAATGCAAGCAAGACCGGAAAGTGTAGCAATGGAGCCGTTACAGCATCAAAATGTCTAGGCGAACTACTTTCAATTAAAAATCTACGTCCCCTGCTGGTTAACTACAGCGCAGTTTCAAGTTTACTGTGATGACAACTGTTTCTAAAAAGCAAAACTTTTTCTCGCCCTCCATCCGTCTTCCTTTCCAAGCGTCTTCTTCTGCTCCTCGGGGCATGATCAATCCCAGTTAGCATTTTTTTTCTACGTTAAAAAACACGCGAGGTGATTTTCAAACAACTGGGTGACGGCTGTTTCATTCTAGGCCCGGTGTCCTCCGCCACGGTTCCGACGTGTGTAGACGGGAAGGGAGAGCCCACCTCCGCCGGAGTTCGCGGGTCAGGGGCAGCCAGGTGCGGGCGCTGCCCCCGAACCGCCGGAAGCCGGGAGCAGGCGCCCTACGGGCCCTGCGCTGTGGCCGCGCCCGGTGCCCCGGGGAGTAGCGTATGGAAAGACCGGCAGACACTGCCCCAGGCCCTACGACTGCGCGGCCACGGCTCGCGGGGCCCGGCGGGCACTGCACCCTGGCGGTGGCGCACATGGGCCCGGGCTCAGGCCCCGGGGACCACCGGAGGCGAGGGCAGCAGGTGCGGGTGAGGCCGGCGGCTCCAGCAGGAGCTCGGGCCCCGGAGGCCGCAGGCCAGGCCGGGGAGGAGAGCCCACGGAGCCTGGGCCCGGGGACCCAAGACGGCGGCCCCGCAGACGGGTGGGGCGGCGGGCACTCACGGCGGGGGTAGAAGGGGGTCGGGTGGGGCCCGAGGGATGCTCCCGGCGCGGCACCCCGCTCACCGTGCCTCCGTCCTTAATGATGATCTTCTTGGCCAGCATGATACTGCGGTTCGCGGCCCGTTTCTTCTTCTTCCCCTGGGTCATTTTACCATCCTCGAGTCCTGGCGCTGCTGCAGCCACTCCCGGGGCGGCCGGCCCCAGCGGCGAGTGCCGTCCCGCCACTACTGCCGGGCCGAGCCGCTCGGGATGCCCGCCGCCATCTTCAGGGCCCGGCCTGCCTCGGGCGGCGCGTCACATCGTGCGATCGGCGACGAGCCGCCAGGCCACGCCCCGTGACACCGCCCCCCACGTGACGCCGCCCGGCCCCGCCCCGAGACGCCGGGCCCCGCCCCTCGGCCGCTGAGCCGGACGCTGGTCTTAGGGGCAGGTTCCCTGTACTCGCTCCACCTGCTCCCTCGGTCCGCCCTTGACCCTGCGCGGTAGGGAGCGTTAGAGTCCCCTTCGCAGGGGGAGGGCCGTGAGTTTCTGGAAGTCACCCGCTGACAAACGGTGGCACGAGGACGGCAGCGCGCTCCCCAGCTAAGCGAAGGGAACCGAAGGGAGCTGCCGTGATCGCGAAGATAAACCCGCGTTTCGGAAACAGCCTCTGGTCCCCCGGGCGCGGGGCCTCCAGGGCTCCGCCCGAGCGCGCGTTTCCCGCGGCCCCGACCGCTCTTCCCGACCGCGGCCACCAAAAACGTGCGCCACCCCGCACACTTCGCAGCCCACTTCGCAGCCCACTTCCCGTTTGGCCGCACTGATTAAAAATCGGTCTAAGCGGGGCGGGTGCGAGAAAGACACGTGCAGATGAAGGTTTTGACGGGGTTTCAGTTTTGATTCTGGTAACTGTGCTGTTATGCAAGAGTTTCCTTTTCGTCAGTAGTCTTCAGGAGCGAAGGGGGGTGTAGCCGCCAGCTTCCCTTCAAATGTCTTGGCAGTAACGCGTGTGTATATATGTGAGGAGGGGGGACAGAGTGAATATCAAGCAGAATGGCAAGATGCTAAAAAAAAAGTGGATGGCGGTATGGCGGGCTTAAGACATTTTCACACTTTGGGGGATATTCCTCTTTGACGGAGGCGGGGCCTAATTTCCCTCTTGAAATGTGGCTCTATTCTGTCTAATAGAATGATGCAGGCGTGACAGCAGGGACTTGAGAGGCTAGGTCACAGAAGGCACAGACTTCAGGCCAGCAACAGGGCCACACCCCGGCAGCCTTGGAGGCCCAGGTTTCCTGGGACTGAGGTCTCTTACGGACAGGTGTGTGAGTCACCCAGGGAGCCAGCCAGTCAGGCCGTCAGCTAACTGCGACCCCTGCCAACATCCTGTCTGCAACCTCAGGAAACCCTGTGCCAGGAGCCCCCCCCCACCCCCGCCCCAGCCACGTACACTCCCGGTTCCGGACTCTCAGAAATTAAGATAAAAAGCCCTTGTTTTAGGCCATTGAGCTTTGGGGTAATTTGTTACACAGCTACATATAACGCACAAGTTAACAGGCATGTGTGTTCTTTGTATTGTTCTTACAACTTTTCTGTAAGTTCAAAAGTTTTCAAAACAAAGTGTTAAGAAACACATTTGGCTGAGTTTTCTGTTCAACTTCTATAACTGAGTAGACACAGAAAACAAAACAATTTTCATGGAAAGAAGGAAGGCATTTTAGCCTGATATACTGACTTCAAGTTACATATTCCCACCGTTACTAAATATTTTCTTTTCGTGCTGAAACATTTTAGTTCAGGTCCCACGTGAAGCTGTGCAGAGAAAGCGCTTTGAGGGTCCCCAGAGTCTTGTACTGGGTGGATGCAGAGGGCTGGTAAGGTCGCCTGTGGTGTGGTTCCCCCTCCTCAACTTGGGGCTCAGAATCGCCCTTCATATGATGGGTGACCCAGCTGTACCCATCATATCATCCTCAACAGCTGGCTTCTGTCCAGTCACTCAAAAGATACTGTTTGACTGGACACTAGGGAAATGTGAATAATGAAGTTACATTCTCAGCGTGCATTATACTGGAGAACACAATTGCAAAGCAAATTCGAAAGAAAGATAATTGCAGATTGTGTAATAGGAGAAGCTGGAAATGAGGTAGTAAGGGAAGTTGAACACACACCGAGTGTCCAGAATGTTCCAGGCGCTGTGCTAAAGTTGCAGAGGAAAGGAAGAGAGACGAGTCTTGTCCTAACAGACTTGTTGTTTATACACTTGTGGCTTTGTATGCGATTGGGCGTTTTGAAGATTTATATCAAGAGGTTGTGTGTCAGGCTTGTTGGTTACAGTCAGTCAAGGGAAACCAGTGCTGCTAACGTAAGCCAAAGGGAATCATCTGGAAGGATATTGGGAGTTTCCAAAATTAGTGAGAAGGCCAAGAGTTAGGCTTAAAAACACACAAGAATGAGGCCTGGAAAGTTCTGGAGACCACTTGGTGAGGCTCCTTGGAAGGGAGGAGGACCCCTCGGAGGGAAGGGCAAGCGGTGGAAACTAAATATTCCCAAAGAAACACAGATTCAACCCCCCAACTGTACCATTTATAAAAGTTGCCCTGGCTGGTGTAGCTCAGTGGATTGAGTGCAGGCTGCAAACCAAAGGGTCACCAGTTTGATTCCCAGTCAGGGCACATGCCTGGGTTACAGGCCAGGTCCTCGGTGAGGGCCATGTGCGAGGTGACCATACACTGATGTTTCTCTCCCTCTCTTTCTCCCTCCCTTCTCTCTCTTTAAAAATAAATAAATAAAATCTTTTAAAAAATTAAGCATAACTTAAAAAAAAAAAGAAAGAATCTGTAGTTCTTGCAGATTCAAGACAATCCTAACACATTTTTTCAGGAACAGAAAAGCCACCAAAAACCTGTATGAGGTTATTATAGAAACAAAAAAGAAATGAAGACTTTTCAATTAATAGAAAAATACTACCCTCTAAAACAGCAATTTTTAACCTTTTCATCTCGTGGCACTAATTAGTAAAGTTCTGTGGCACACCAAAAAAAGATATTTCTTGCCACAACAAAAAAAGGAATAATTTTGGTTCATTCACACCAGATGGCTATTGTGTTGGCTGTGGCCATTTTTACGACACTGAGGGAAAAGAGGTCAGTGCCCCTGACTGAATTTGTCAGGCTCGGCATGTTTTAAAAATTCTTGTGGCACATCCGTGTCTGGGTGGAAATAGCAGCTCTAGAAAAGCAGGAAGCAGAAGAAAACCGCACCCAACACTCCAGTATGAATGAAACGTTATTAAATAAGCAATGGGAAACATCAAAGGGTGCAACAGATTAAAAATGTTAAATTCCGTGGGAATATCTGAAATGAGAGTCAAACAAACTCAGGCAACATACTGAAACAATAAAATCAGCTAAATTAACACGGGGGAGGGAGGTAGAAGACAGTAAAGGGGGGAGACATGGTGATGGAAGGAGACTCAACTTGGGGCGGTGAACACACACTACAATATGCAGATAAAGTGCTGTAGAATTGTACCCCTGCCCTGGCTGGTGTAGCTCAGTGGACTGAGTGCAGGCCTGTGAAGCAAAGGGTCATTGGTTTGATTCCCAGTCAGGGCACATGCCTGGGTTGCAGGCCAGGTCCCCAGTAGGGGACACACGAGAGGCAACCACACATTGTTCCTCTCCCTCTCTTTCTCCTTCCCGTCCCCTCTCTCTAAAAATAAATAAAAAATATTTTTAAAAAATTGTACCCCTGAAACCTATAGAATGTTATTAACCTGTGTCACCCCCCAAAATTCAATAAAAAATAAATAAGTTCATTTAAAAAAAACAACAACCAAAGACAGGGTTCCTAAGAGAGAATAATTACATATGAAAGTAAAGGAAGAAATGTGGAGGCAAGGAATAAATCAGCTCCAAGGACAAAAGAGAAAAAAGGGTCAGACAGAAAAGGAAATGGGGAAAAAAAGACCTGGGCCTCCAAGCAAAAAACCAACCGCAGGGCATTAGCATTTCTAAAGGGGGCGGGGGGGGGGTCATGTGGTGCAGACTTCCTGACAATAACACCAATCTCCACAACAGTGGGGCCACCTTTCCAGAAAACTCCAGGAGGGTGTGAGCCAGGGATCTTATATCCAGTGAAGCTGTACTTTATTATAGTTTCTATTGGCTTTTAGAGAGAGAGAGGGTTAGGTGGGGGAGAGAGACATCAGTTTGTTGTTCCAGTGACAACTGCATTCACTGGTGGGTTCTGGTCTGTGCCCTGACTGGGAGTCGAACCTGCAACCTCGGTGTGTGGATGACGCTCTAACCAGCCAAGCTCCTGGGCCGGGGCTCCAGAAACATTTCAGCCAGAATTTGGGGAAGTGGACTTAAAATCCCTCCTTGGGCACTTGACAAGTCTCATCCAGCCAAAAGCTGACTGGGGAGACCTCAGCTCAAGTACTGGTGGAAAGTTTTAAGTATGTTTACAGTATCTTTTATTGTATAACCAAGACAAGACTGGGGTGAGGAAATAGTCCACGTGTGTTATATGTTCTAATCAATCGGAAATACGGCAACTAGGAAAACGAGACGGCGTGTGAAAGGCAGGGAGTAAACCTGCTGTCGCAGAGGTGAGCAGGTGGGAGTTGGAAAACGTCATGCAGATACGTCCCACCAAACAGCAGAAGCCTGGACAAGCAGGCGGGGCCAAGCGCACTGTCTCAGTGTCCCCGCTAGAACAGACAGATCTCCCCAAACAGAGAATGCAGACGCAAAGCATGCACGCCACACAGAGACAGAAACACGGCAAATACAGCCGTGTCCATACTGGTGTGCTTGCCTGGAAGCTGCCCAGGGTCACAGAGAGGGGTTGGGAATGGAGGGGCAGGGGCGCTGGCTGGGCTGCTCCGAGCACACGTTCTGTGTGGTCTTCGCTTTGGACCAGGCAAAGGCTGCACACATTCAAAAAGAGAACGAAAGGGGTTACTTCTAAAACTGAACATGAAACAAATGAACCGGCTGTATCACAGCAAGAGCATCACTACGCAGAGGAGAGGGGTGTCCATTCCCGAACGCTACAGTCCTCGTCCCCAGTGGGCTGTGCTTCTGGGGACAGAGAACTGCAAAGAAACCTTAAATTTGATTTGGCACGTTTACCACGAGCCATGTTGGTATTCTGGCGCTGAAACACACACAGTACCCTGTGGGCAAGGATATGAACGTCGTTAGGGACCCATTGTTTTCACTGTAAGAAGGTAGAGGCAAATACGTTTAAAAAACCCTTGTGATGCTACATTTTAATTGTAAATATCTGCTTGAATTCATGTCACGATTTTTTAAAAACCTATTCCCAAACTGTGCGCTGACCCGACTTGGCACCAAATGGAGTCCCAATTCTGTTCCTTGGGAAAGGGTTAGGGGTCCTTGGAGGGGCTGGTGGTGCAGGTTTGAGACAGGCGGGAGCAGCCTGGGACGGCTGGCGCCTGCGCGCGGAGGAACCCAGACCAACGCAGCCGGGTCTAGAGGACACGGGAGGTGGGCGGCCTGCAGCGAGCGATTGCCACTGGCCAGTGACCTTACAAACACGTGAGTGAAGCTGACTACGATACACTGAGTAATTGGAAGACAGGATGGTAGTTGAAAAAGGGGGGCACTAGGAGGAGAAGGGGAAAATGGTCTTCTTAAAATTTGATTTTTATTTTATTGATGAGACAGAATTTTGTTGGTCCACTTATTTATGTGCTTACTGGGTGCTGCTTGTGTGTCATGACCTGGGATCGAACCTGCAACCTTGGTGTTTTGGGACAATGCTCTGAGCTACCTAGCCAGGGTAAAGATGATTTTTTTAAAAATATGGGATTATAAACTAATAAATGTAGAAGAAAATTCAAGAATTAAAATTCTTCGAGTCACCGTTTTGAACCTCAGTGTAATGAATGGCTCAGTGAAGAAACATTAATTGATGCTGAAGCCATGAAATGAAAGGCTGTTAGGTAACAGAAAGTTCCCACGGTGCCCAAACATTGCTCTAGAGATTGTTAATTACTAAGGGGGAAAATGACCTTTACATTTTGTGAGGTAATTGGAAATATCTGAATGGGAGCTTAGATAATGGAATTACTTTTGGTATTGAGTTTAATGAGGAAAATGTACTTATTTTTGGAATGTGCATGCTGGGGTATTCAGGGGTGTCCTGATAAAGCTGCTCTGGCAGACCCATAAGGATGCCGCACACAGTGACACCCCTGAAATGCTGTCACCGAGACACACTCCCCTAGAGTAGGATTTCAAGTCTTTGGGGTTGAAGGCAATCATTTCCGCTTTGCAGTCTTTTCTGGAGTCTGGAGTGTGGGGGTGCATTCCTGCTTTGAAGGGCTCCTCTATGATTCCTTTTATTTTTAAAGATGGTATTTATTTATTTTCAGAGAGAGGGGGAGTGAGGAAGGGTGAGAAACATAGAGAGGGAACACTGACTGGTTGCCTCTCGCACGCCCCCTACTGGGGACCTGGCCTGCAACGCAGGCATGTGCCCTGACTGGGAATTGAACCTGTGACCTTTCATTTCCCAGGCCAGAGCTCAGTCTGCTAAGCCACGCTAGCTGGGGCTGTAATTATCCCTGCTGGTCACTACTGACTGTCACAGGGCAGCAGCTGCTGTCAGACTTAGCAAGGAGGTGTGTTTGCATAGCTCTGGGATCCCAGGATTGTGAGAGATGGTACTTAGAACCAAAGAAATGTTCCCTTACCAAAAAAACCCTACCATAAGAAGATACCAAGGAAAGGTTTACATTTTAAAGTGCTAATATTCTTCTTTTAGCAATGTTTTAAAACAAAGCATTTTGTACAAGGTTGCTTCAGTAATACTGGTGCAAATATAATCCTTTACATAGTTTATCATTTGATCTCTATGCATTGACTTGATAGTCACAAAAGCAGCAGATATAATCAAATTACAAAGAAAATATACACCAATTACTAATTACCTAACCTTGAGGGTAGCGAAGAGATAACTTAAAAAAAATTTGGTGATCATCATCATACAGGGAGAGAAATTCTAACCAGTTTAAATCAAACCGGTTCTTCATACTTGAGCATAAACTAGAAGGAGATCACATGTGCCCTGCCTGGTGTGGCTCAGTGGATTGAGCGTTGGCCTAAGAACCAAAGGGTTGCTGGTTCGATTCCTAGTCAGGACACATGCCTGGATTGCAGGCCAGGTCCCCAGATGGGGGCGCCCAAGAGGCAACCACACATTGATGTTTCTCTCCCTCCCTTTCTCCCTCCCTTCTCCTCTTTCTAAAAATAAATAAAATGAAATCTTTAAAACAAAAGATCACCTGTGATAAAGGTAACTAGGGAGGGAGAAAAAAGGCCAGTGAGTCATTTTTGATATATAGAGAGGAACTAACTTAGGGTTCAGTACAACACAGGTGAGTCAGGAGGCAATACAGGGAGAGACTTGCACAGTTAGTTATGAAAATAATCTGTCTTCTTAAGCCTACTAAGTAGGTACCTGGACACCAAAATGATGACAACAAAACTTATCAATTTAAAAAATCCATTTAACAAAAGACCAGTTTATATATTTCTTTGAATTATGTCATAAAAATTTAAATATACAAATTACATTCCCAGGCCCAAAAGAATCTTCCTAAAGAAATAAAATACAGACATACAAATTCAGAACCCAAATTATTAAAAATTTTTGTTTAGATCGCAGTAGATTCTACCTCATGATAAGCAACAGAACAAAGACATGACCGTTCGTACAGGTGACACAGTTGGAAAAGCTCGGGGCAGTGCCCTGGAGCCGCCGTCCACAAGGCCTGCACGGGGCCCCGCCGCGTCTTCTGTTAGGAAATGGACTTCAAGAGCCAATGTTGAAACAACCAAAACACTGAATTACAGTTATTCTTAAAACGTCCTAATTTTGCCCATGTGTCCAAAGTTGTGAATTACAGTAATATTCTCCAGAAAAAACGTCAGGTATATTGGTAAGGCAAGGCACACAGGACCAGATTTTGATAAAAGTGCTTTTTCTTTGGTCCTATAATTACTTTAAATGTGCTACATATCATAGAGATTCTTAAAATGTCTTTCAATATAGCATAAATAACTTCTATAAACTTTCTCAGGCAAAGCGAGCATCCACATGTCATTAAATATTACAACAATAAAATTGTAAATAAAATGAGTAACGCTGCACCCTGTTTTTTTTAAAGACAGTTGAATGACTGTGCAATGAAATTTAAAAGACCAACAATGTGACAGGTAGGTGTAGCAATTCTTAATGAGAACAGTCAGCATTACAGTGTCTGCCAAGTAGTTTCCTTCCAGATTCTGTCCCCTTAGAATCTAGTTTAAACACCAAACCTCCCTTCCTTCCATGGAATTGTGACATTTAATACACACTGATGTAAACACTTAACTCTGGCATCTCTAAGCTCCATTCTCCACCGTAGAAGCAGCCCACAAGTCCTCCGGAGTAAGTCCCTTGTCAGGACCAAGGCGCTTCCTGTGTGGCGCCCCCTGCAGGTGGCATGTCCAACTGTCCTCCCCACACACCATGTTCTTGACTGTTGATGGAACTGTCAATGGGCACTTTCCTGCCATGAATCAGCATATTTTTATAGTGAACAAAGTAGCTGAGAGACAGTAAGTGAACTTTAAAAAGTGTGAGAATTTAAATAAGCAAGGAGTCGTTATTACAAAATATTACCACAATAAGGCTCTGGAGGTCATCAAACACCTCAGCCCCCCCCCCCCACACACACACAAGGAAACTGTCATGTGTGTGACATGGTCTGGAAGGCAGGTTCCCCTCAAGTCAACTATTCTGCATGACCTACATGCAAACTGCTGTATGAACTACACAGCCCAGCCTCAAATGATGTTTCCAAGCTGACTAGAAAAGCAACATGATAAAAAATTGCTTTGAAATACTTGTATACTTTAGACTATTTTCTCTTTTCTCAACAACTCATGATTATAATTTTGTAAATTTTGTTGGGAATCTTGAAAAGTGTGTTATTTTGGACAGCTGAAAATACATGACCACTGTAACTAACACACTGGATATCCAATCATGCTCTTGTGTCATTTTTGGAAGTATTAATAGAGGGACAGACTACACTTGAATTAACGATTAGCTGTGAGTACACACTGAATTAACGTAATTACCCACACAGCCGTTCTCCTGGGCTGAACATAAATCTCCTGTTTAGTCTCGAGTGCATTCCGTGCACATCCGGGATTCAGACCCCGCACCACCTGAGGGAAGGCTGGGGTCTGAACATCCTTCTTTCTGGACTGCAGGCACCACACGCAACACGTGGGAGCTACCAACCAGACACTCCAAACGGTACTTTCACTCGGTTACCGAAAACCAGTAAGCCAGGCTCCCAGCAGTCTGCTTGGTGCCAAACTGGAACCACCAGCAAAATGACTGCAAAGGTTTTTCTCACTGTAACATGTTTAAACTCTGGGTGAGCTGCATTTGGCCCTGGCCTACGGACACCAAGTCCGAATCAGGGAAGTAACCGCCGACCCTGAGGAGTGAAGGGCGCCCAAGGGTGTGAATAGTGCCCAAATCCACTACGGAGGTCTAGAACTACCTATTTCTTACTGTTTGTATCCTCTTAGGACACTTGTACTGAGGTGACTCTGCCCAGTCAACAGCGAACCTCACATTCCAGTTGTAGAAAGTATTTTGCCTGCTAGTTCGTCTCCTCACTTCTGCTAAATTCTCTCTCCCTGCACCAATGTACTCAGTAACTCACGGAACTTGCGACTTCAACTGTAGTGCCAATGCAAGTGGGAAAGAAACCACCATTTGAAAGCCGAGTGGTGGCTCCTCCCTGCAGCACAGAGGGCACTCGAAAGTGGGACTGGAGTGTCCTGGGGACGGTGGCTTTATGAGAGGCCTGCGGAGCTCTGCTGAGCAGCCCTGAGTGTGTGGTCAGAGGGCCATGTGAAATGATGTGGCCTCGTGGCAACCTGGAATGTCTCCATGAAAAGCCATTTTGGTCTCAAGCACGTGACATCAGTCCTACTGCTTGGTGGTGGTTGTTTGTCAACAGTTGCAGATTTTATGGATCAGTGGGTAAAATGCTCATTAAAAACATTCTAATTCTGTACAGTACATGCTCTGATAGTTCCAAACTCTCCAAATGGAGATATTAGATAATAATTATTTTATTTAAATTATTAAACAAGTACTTAATCCCTTTAAATTACATATTAAAACTTTAATGGAACAAACGCTGAAACTCAGTTTAAAGCACTATTAAAGATTTATCTGACTTACAGAAAGAAATGCAGTTGTGTGAAGAACACAGCGCCATCAGCGGAAAAGCCGGGCTCCCGGCGGCCCCGGGGCCTCCAGACCGCTGTGTGCGCCGGCCACGCCCTGCAAGCCCCTGGGGGAGGTGGAGAGAGGGGTGCGTGCCTCTCTCTGCGTGAAACTCAAAAGGCGCCTCATGCATGTTGTTCCCTGACCAGTCAGACCCAGAATGCCTCTCTCTCCGTCCGTTTGGACGCAGCGGAGCAAAGACCATCTCGCCACCTTCTGGTGACCGGCTTTGGTGTGCGTATAGGAATCTTAGGGACGTGTGAATGTGTTTCAGGTCACGCTCTGCTCCTTCACAGCCTTACAGGTAATTATAGTGTAAAACGCTGAGCACGCCACGTGGCCTGATACAGCGGTACAGGGAGAGGGAGACGCAGCGCTGAGGGGCAGTGACACAGACCGGCTTGCAGAGGCTGGGCTGGCACGCGTTGCCCATGCTCGCGAACACGGCACAGGTTGTGCCTGCAGCGGTCGGAGCGGCAATACCTTTCTAACCTCAGGATTCAAGTTTCCTCCACTAACTCAGATCCCTGGAAACACTTTCAAGTTTTGATTTCTAGATGCATTAGGCATTTTGTGACAGACACACACAGTTTACCCTCAAACACTCATGTTTTCATCTGGACACTATGTCCATCTGGACACTATGACTAGGCCCAGCGTGACACCCCGAGGGTCTGCAGGAGCCCCCTGAGTCCGCGCCGCGGGGCGCAGCCAGTGACAGACAGCGCTGGACTACGCCTTTGTGGGATTCCCTGCAGGCCTGGGGTCGTAGCCGTACAGGAAGGTGGCTGCTATGACGAGAATGGCTCCAAGGAAAAAGACACTGAAGGGGTGAAGAAGAAGAGGACAAAATCAGACCACAGGCCAAACAAGTGCCTTCCGCGTCTTCGCTCTGAAAACCAGTCTAATCTGCGGGGAAATGGTCCAGGAACGTGACCACCAACTCTGTGCTCACTGCATGCCAGGCACTCAGCTGCGTGGTCATTGCCTCTGCAGGTCTCCCAACCGTCCTATGACAAAGCAGTGGCGCCTGCTTGTTTCAGTCCGCCTGCGGGGACACGGGGCCTGCGGGGACCCAGGGCTCTGGAGAGTGCGTGACGTGCTCCAGCTCCGCCCTCACCGCCCCCCACCGTCTCCCAAAGTGCAGGTGTTTCACTGCACCTCATCTCAATGCGCCTGTCGCCTGCAATACGCTGAGCAAGAGCTCAAGTTTTTAAAGGCATTGGAAAATATAAAGGAAAATCTGCATTCTTTTCAAGCCAAAGTAAGTTTCAGTTTAAAATCTAAGGTAGTGAGAAGCAAAACGCAGGACTAATTTTTTAGGATGCTTTAAAAAAAAAGGTTAGATGGCTAGGTTCTGTCTTTATTTTACCCATAAATACAATACTTTACAATAAACTGGAAATGAACTTAAACTGGACATAAACTAGAATACCAATCTTAACTTTTGACGTGTATGTTTTTCAAAAATAATTAAACCTTTGAAAAATTTTAAATGTCACTATATAGCTTATTTTATGACTTTACAGGACTTAATACTTTTTTAATCTGACTTCTACATGACTTTTTATTTGGGAAAAAGGCGCATTCGTATCTACTGGGAAATTCTGGCCAGAGAATTTGTATAAGAAACTTCCCAGTGCAAGATTTTTTCATGCATTTAATTTGAAACCTTTTAAAAAGATAGTTAAGTAGGTATCTTTTACTAATTACATGTACATGATTTTTCAAAAGTTGTAGTAAAACAATTTTTTTCAGACAAAATCTTAAGAAAAATACTTGTTTTTCTATATCTTTTGGAGATTTAAAGAAATAGAAAAGAAGATATTACCTGGTTGGCACAAAATCCTGTAGCCAGAAATAGGATATCAGTGTTGATAATATTATGGATAAGGAGGTTGCAAACCCTTTTAAAATATTATCTGCGTACTTTATAACAGCAGCGATCACAAGACCTCCGAGTGCCTGCAGAGGTTTTAAGAGATTATTTTTAAAAACAAGCATATACAAAGCTGCTTTTCCAACCAACGCAGTATTCAGCCAAACTTCACGCTTTTGTCCTGTGCGTCTGACCCCTCGCGGCAAGTGGTCTCCCAACCAGCAGCCCCCTCGGTTTTGCTCAGGAGCCCCCTGGTCTCCAAAGCCGTAATCTGGCAGAGCGGCGACCTGCGTGCCCTGCAGTTTGTCACCACGGAGTGTGATCCCACCACAAGTAAAATGTCCAGCCTCGTCCAAGGTAGTACAAACACCCCCGATCAGACAAATGTGGAAAGACTGTTCCCCAATTAGCACAATGTTCTTACTTTTGATTAAAAATAAAGTATAACCTGGAAGTTATTTTACTAGCCTTTCAACAGTTTCCAAATTCACTTTTTTCTTCCAGTTTCTCCCTATTCTATTCCACCTTTCATTGTTATCCGCTACTTTTTTTAAAGCACAGTTTTAGGGGTTTTTTTGGGTAAGAGTACAGAAAGAACTTTCCACCAAATCCCTTTCAAATTCCAACTGTGGTTGCTTCACTAACGAGGTCTGATGGCACGTCATCGTTCTGCTTCCTGCCAGCCCCCACGTCGGCGGGGAGCCACCCCGGCAGCGGCAGCGGCAGCGGCAGCGGCAGCTTTTGCAGTCACAGCTCTTGCCGACGGGGCTCACTCCGGGTGGAGTCCAAGTTCCAGGACGCCTTCGCCAGGCTCTCACCCAGCTGTCTGGTCATTCCCCGTGGAGTGCCGCTACCTGCTGTACCGAACCTTGTTCATTCTACTCCGGTCTTCAGCCACCGCTTCAAAGAAGACGCCTCCCTCTTTGTTAAGATAAAAGCTGGCGCACATCACCTCTCCTGGCTAACTCTGCATCTACTTCACAAGTTCACTTACCCTTGCTCCTTCTCCCCTAAAGACAGGTGTCCTCCCTGCTTCCGAAACCAACTGCCCTCCACTACCTTGGCCCGCCCTCCACAGGAACCTGGCTCCCCAGAGTAGAGTACACAGCCTCTCGTACACGGCGTCTAGTACCGCTAGAGGCTGGGAAGTCTGTGCCTGCATCGTCATGCCCTCCAGGGGGCTCACTGGAGACGAAATCACCGTCCCCTTGAACGACTTGCAATGAGAGAGTGCGGCAGTTTCGTGAAACTCGGACCAGAAGTGTGCAACACTGTCCCGGTCAGACGGCCGAGCACAGACCGCGGCGCCAGGAGGGCCACAGCCTCAGCCCCGCTACCCCTAAACCTGCATTCTCATTACGCTAACCTGAGATGCTCAAGCCCCCCATCTCCACAGGGGGTTCCCTTACGGCCCTGGACCAGGCCCCCAAACAGACCGGGGGCAGCGGGGGAAGTCGGGGGCCCTCCTCCTCGCGACAGCACCCTGGGAGCCACTCGGACTCCCCAAGATAAGATGAAGTTCACTGGCCTCAAATCTCACACTTCAGATGCTTTACCTGAAGGGCAACGACGGTCCAGGTCAGGCGGCTGTACCCCTGGAAGAACCCGTCCTTGGACACCAGCTCCCCATCATAGACGTACACGCCCATCAAGCCAAACAGGCTCCCGAAGAAACCTGCACAGGGGACGGAAGCTCGAGTCAGTGCAGGGAGGGGTCTGCCCACGGCACGTCCGGGATTCTACACCGTTCTGCTCTGATGACACGGAGCTGCTTGTACAATTTCCTACTTGGATACTTACATACATTTAACAAAAGCATACTTAGTACAAGAAGACAAAAACGTGAGAATGTAAGAACAGGGATTACCAATCTTAGAGCACAGAGAATACAGCGCACACGCCACAGGACCCTCGGCCGGCCCATTCAAGGTCCGCGCGGATGCGCCTCGTACCTTCCTGTTGCCGGGCGGGGGGTTCTCACACATGCACACACACGCCTGGCCCTGCACCTTCAAGTCACTACGGTTTATTCACGTGTCCGTCCGGAACTCTGAGCCAGCTCACCATTCGAGTGTGCGATGAGGTCGAACCGATGAACACGAAATCCATGAAATGCCAGAGAATCATCAATCTTGAATGGCTTTTGTGTTTGTTATAATTCAGGACAATTTGGGGCAACACACACAAACCCTGAATATTGTTTTCTTTTCCAACAGTTGCATCTTTATGCAAATAGCTGACATATCAGTGCTTGCTACATGCAAGGCACTTTCTCCTAAACCATTTACATGTATTATCGCATGTAATCCTCACAGCAACACATATAGCACTGTAATTAAGCCCATTTTACAGGTGGGGATGTGAAAGTTATTTGCAACGCCCTCTGGGAACAGCACAGCAGCCAAGGGAAAGGCTATTCAGGCTCGTAATGGGCAGAACCGGCTTTGTGTCATCAACCTAAAATTTCACATTCTTGAATAAAAGGTATTCACGTAAAACACAGAAGTTTTAAAAAGCCCAAACCTTGCCAGATACTTAGATCGACAGCACACTTCATGCAAAGGCTTACTTATTTAAAGAGATACAGGACACTTTACGATGATAGATACGATCACTTAAAAAAGTATCAGGAAGTACTTAACACTCACCCAGTTGAATGTTTCTTATCCACACCGACTGTTTGGTCTCCTTTAAGATTTTCTCGAAGTAGACCCCGGCGAAGCCACTCGAGAAGCACGCAGTGAGGACCGCCATGAGGCCTACGAACTGGGAGCCTGCCGAGAGCTCCTTCGCGTCCACCTCCTGGGAATCCGAGGGCCACTAGGCAGAACGAACGACAAGCTGACTGACGCCCAGTCCCCACGGTCCCACACAGTGCGCACCCAGGGGCCCCTCTCAGCCATGTAACGGCTGCCACTCTTGCGGACCTCAGAGGACAGCTTCGGAAAGCACCAGTCATTACTTGGCATTTTAATTTAAAATACTTCATTTTAAAAAATGTAATACCTACTTTAGCCTATCTATCCTAAGTAACATCTATGAAAATATGTGTTTGACATGCCAGTTACACTCTTCTAATACCCATTTGAGATATTTATGAAAAAGTTATTCAAGATGTGCACACATACTCTCTGGGGAACATGACGGGGGGTGGGGGGGCAGCAGCTCTGAAGGGCGGGAAGTTGGCAGGACTGGGTTTGCTTTGAGACCGAACCACAGGGGGAACTGCTAGGGGCTGAGTTGGGGGACAAGTCGGACAGAAGTAAAGAAATTGGCGAGGAGCCAAAAGATCGCAGGAGAGCCCAGCAGGCAGGCGCTGGGTGGGGACTGATGTGGGGACGGACAGGACAGTCCTGGAAGTCTGAGACGCAGTGCTGGGGAGGGCTGGGTGACCAACCAACCGGCTGTGCAGGCGGAAGGAGGAGGCTGGGACCGCACCTGGCTTCGGAGAACGATGGGCAAACCCAAGCCAAGCCCGGTGAAGTTTCCTGTGTGAGGCCAAGGGCGCAGGTGGGCAAAGCTGGGCAGCAGAATTTCAGAACCACAGATACAAGGCTCCCGGGAACGAGCAGAGCTGCAGACACCAACCGAGGAGCCCCTGGCCCGCGGGTGCCAGGAAAGGCCCCCAGAACGACGGCATCTCTGCGAATCAGGGCATGCCTTAGAGATGGTAACAAGCCCAGCAGGGCCCCAGCATCTGCCAGGAGTGTCGAGGTGGACTCCTGGACGCAGACCACAGGAACCACTAGAAGATGGGCGAAGAGCCAGGGAAGAAGGGGCCAGGGTGGTAAGCAGGGCGTGTTGACGACCCCTGGGCCCCAGGCAGCCAGAGAACACCAGCTCTGCCTGCCACGCAGACTCTGCATCAGGTACAGATACGGCATTGTGCTCAAAGGAAGCCCTCCCAAACATCTGAGTGGGGAGAGCGAGCATCTATTTGCTCCAACAGACGAGAGGCCCCCCTGCCCACGCACAGGAAGGAAGCGGCTGAAACCGCGACACGTGGAGGGTGCACTCGTCTTGAACAGTTACCTGCACAAAAGCGACTCCGGTCATCAGGATGACCAGGGACAGCCACTGGTACACACCTAGCTTCTTACTGAGCATGGACACAGAAAACAGTGCCGTTGTGAGGATTTTCAGCTGATAGGTGACCTGAAAAAGAAAACAGCCAAGGTTACGAATGATCGTTGATCTGCTTCCTACAAGGACTGTCAGTCCTTTTAGGACTAATGCATTACTGACAAATGCACTGTCAGTACCTGATAGGTAGCTGCATCTAGATTGGACAACGCCACATAGAGCAAGTTATTCTGAAGAGTGTATATCCCTGACGGAATGGCAAGTTTGAGCGTTTCCATGGGTTTATTCAGAATTTCATCATGTAGTATTCGATTCAGTGCTCTCAGACTACATTCTAGAAAAAACACGAAATAGGCAAAGTCAGTCATTGAGAAACTCGGAGAAAGTTACATACCCTCACTCAAGGCCTGTCTTCTCACCTGTAAAGAACGGAAATTGGACGACATGTTACACCTTTAATAATGCTAATTTTCCAAACGTCACATGTTGTAAGGTAGCATATTGAGGGCACTGGCCCTGCGTTCTTTCACGGGGAAATACAAGTCAGGTGTACGGACGTACTCACACACATCCACACAGTAGGTTTGTGATAACCAAAGCTCACAGCATACTTCGTCAGCCCCGTCCTCTTCCTCCATCACGGTGACATTACAAAAGCGTCTGTGCTGTGCATCCGTGGCCTCACCAGCCGCCCTGCCCATCCATACCTGCCAAGACTGTAGTCTTGGTCCGTCCACCAGGAGGCACGTCTGGCCTCCAACGACAGGAGACCGGCCAACGGCAGCCCGCCCGTGGGGACCTGCCTCTCAGTCTGCAGCTGGCCTCACTGGGTCTCATGGATGAATGTTTTGCATTTTCATGTGTGCAAAATCACCTATTTTTCCTCCCCGGCTTATTTGTTTTGTGTCTCATTTGAAATCATTCACAGGACCAGGGTCGTAAAGTTTTGTTTTTTAAATATCAGGGTTTTTTTGGTAACACACACTTATATATTAGCCCTTTTTATGTTTTAACTCCTCACTGGAGGAGGTGCTCATTGATGTGAGGGAGAGAGGAAGGCAAAGAGACACAGAGAGAAGCAGGGGTCGGTGGCCCCCCCGTCTGCGAGCCCCGACCAGGGTGGAACCTGTGGCTGCTCAGTGCACAGGGCAAGGCGGCCGAGTGCAGCGCCCGGCCAGGGCAGCTTTCTTTACACCCACGTGACTCTGCACTGGCTGCACGGCGGGGCGACCACGTGGTTTACGAAGTGTCCCCACTTGGCACTGTACCTGCTGTCGCAAGGTCGCTGACGATGCTCCCTGTGGACTTGCCGTCCCCATGACAGTTCTGTGACCGCCGACCCACACCTCTCCACCCCTTCGCCTCCCTCGCCCGGGCCCCAACTCACTTGCCCCTGGCAATCAGCAGCCCCTTCCTGCGTCTGTGAGGCTGTTTCAGTGTCGTTCGTTCACTTATTTTGTTCAGATCCCACATGTGAGTGAAATCATGTGGCGTTTATCTTTCTCTGACCATTTCATGGAGCATAATACCCTCTAGGTCCATCCATGCTGTGCAAATGGTAAGAGTCAATTCTTGTTTACGGCTGAGTAACGTTCCCTTGTGCACCAGTATGATGACTGTCGTGTCCACTCGTCTCCTGGTGGGCACTGGGGCTGCCTCTGAGCTTGGTTATTTATTGTAAACGGCACTGCAATGGGCACAGGGTGCAGATACTCTTTCCAGACAGTGTTTCTGGTTTCTCTGGATGCAGTCCCAGCAGTGGGATCGCTGGGTCAAAAGGCAGCTCCATTTTTACTCTTCTGAGAAAATTCCATACCGTTTTCCACAGTGGCTGCCCAGTCTGCACTCCCACCCACAGTGCACTAGGGTCCCCTTCTCCCCACATCCCCTCCAACACCCGCCTGCTGATTTAGGGTGGCCATTCTGACAGCTGTGAGGAGACACCTCGTGCTGGTTTCTATCTGCATCTCTCCGATGACTGGGGAACATCGAGCATCTTTTCAAACGTCTGCTGGCCATCTGCGTGTCCTCCCTCTTCGGAGAAGTGTTTGTTCAGATTCCCTGCATATTTTTAAATTGTACAGTTTGTTTTCTTGGTGTTGAGTGGTATCAGTTCTTTATAAACTTTGGATGTTAATCCCTTAATCTAGTGTACCACCGGTGAATATTTTCTCCCTCCTTGGTGTGATTTCAGCCTTCTTAAATGTTCTGAGGCTTGTTTTGGGGGTAACGTGGGGTCCGTCCTGGAAAATGTTCTGTGCGCTCTTGGAAACAAGCAACGTTCTCCTGCTTTGGGGTGAAATGCTCTGAAGACATTAGTCAAATCCATCCAATCTAATGTGTCATTTAAAGCCAGTTTTCTCACTGATTTTGTCTGGAAGATCAATCCACGGAAGTCAGCGGGGTGCTAAAATCCTCTACTGTGACAGTGTTAGTGCCACTCTCTTTCTCTGGCTGTCGATACTTGCTTCACATGCTGTTTAGGGGCCCCTACGCTGGTGCGTAAATGTTTACAAGGGTCGTGTCCTCTGGTTGGATTCCTCCCTTCATCATTGTGTAGCGTCCTCCTTTGTTTCTCGGTAATAATAGGCTTTGTTTTAAAGTTTACTTTGACTTTCATTTCTATTTGCATAAATATCCTTTTCCCAGGTGTCTCAGGTGGGCAGCATATACACGCATGTTGCTTTCCTGACCGCTCAGCTGCACAGTGTCTTTTGATTGGAGCACTCGATCCATTTACATTTCCTGTCAACACGTCAGTCTTTAACGCCCTGGAATTTACAGACAGAGCACGTCGTCACTGTCTGTGTGTCGTCACTGTCTGTGCGCCGGCTCACGACAGCTGCTTTTTTACTGCGTCTCTCTGTGATACCAACTGCTCCCGCCAGGGGCGCCTTTGGCCCCACGTGCTAAGTGAGGGGGGCCCTCTGCTCACCTAGACTTGAGCCGAGGCGCACCTTCTCCGTGCTCCTGTCGTGTGGTCGTGGTTTCTGACTGCAGTACTGGTGGCCCCCACCGTCTTCCTCTGCGGCCCCTCCCTCCCACTCTGACCTGGGAATGCTGGGAAGACTGCAGGGCGTGGCCTTCGGCCTCCTCCTCTTCTCAGCACCAAACGAGTGTCTCGCCCGGTCTCTGACTTGAGCAGTGAGTACGCGGACTAGTCCCTGAGCTCCACCTGCGCATATTCTACTATGACACCTCGCCCTGACTGCCCGACAGGCATCCAAAGTTAACGTGGTCCAAAGACAAGCCCGAATTTCCCCCAATCCATCTTCTACCCATCATTCACTGCAATACCCACTCACCCAGTAACTGCACCTGAAAACCTGGGCATTATTCCTCACACTCGATTCTTGGCCTTCCCTAACCTCCACACACCGAATGCACTAGCAAGTCCTGTCAGCTGTCACTCAGAAAGGTGCCCCTCAAGCCCTGCCCTCTCTAACAACGTGTCAGGGTCACCACAGCTCCCGCCTGGGCTGGAGCAACAGCTTCCGAACTCGGTGTCCTGCACCTGCTCCTGTCCCCCTGCCCTGTCCATGCAGCTGCCCCGCTGGTCGCTGTGTGCACGGAACAGAGCACGTGTTGAACGTCTCGATGACGTCTCTCTGCTTCCACAGTGAAAACTGTAGCCAACAAGGCTACCCTGCACTGTCTGCGTTCTGAACACCAGTCCCGTTTCTCTCTGCTCCGTTCTGCTCCAGACCAGTCTGCGCTAGCCCCACAGGCCACCAGGAGTGTCAAAAAGAGACCAAGTCTGCACACAGCCCAACTCAACAGTGGGCAGGCCGAGTAGACATGTCTCTAGCGATGTACAAATGGCCAATAAGCACGGGGAAAGATGCTCAACAGTGTTAGTCATCAGGGGAATGCAAATCCAAACCACAATAACAATCGGTTTAAAAAGGTACAGAGCGCTGGGGAGGGTGAGGAAAGGCTGGAATCCCCGTCCGTCCGGCACTGGTGGGGATGCAAACTGGCAGCGCTGCTGTGCATCCAGCCGGCGCTGCTTCAGACTTCAGACTCTGAAGCGAAGCATCGCCTGCGGGGGCCCACCCCACAGTGTGCGAGCAGAGGAAGCGGAGGGAGGGACTGAGCAGGGCCTTGTACGCGACTGCAGCCTTCTTCACTGTCCATCGCCGCACTCTTCACAGGAGCCAAGGCTCGGAACAGCCCGCGTACCCATCAGCACAGGAATGGACAGCACGTTACACACACAGACACACACACACAGACACACAGTGGAACAGTGCTTAGCCGTAAACAGGAATAAAGGTCTGGTACACGCTACAGCATGGACGAACCCTGAAACACGCTAAATGGAATAAGCCACACACAAAAGGAGAAGCAGAAATACCTAGAACAGGCCAGTTCGTAGGGATGGAAAGTAGTTTCGGTTTCCAAGAGTTGGGGGTAAAGGAGCAGAGCAGTTACTGCTCACCTGTCCGGAGTAGCTGCTCGGGGTGATGAAGGCTCAGAAGCGTTGCTGATGGTTGTATAACTTTGTGAATGCAACTAATGCTCTTGATCTGTACATTTAAGACGGTTAAAGCTGCAAATTTTATACGTGTGTATATGTATGTACACACATACATATAGCTTCAAAAATAAAGCAATATACTAAAAAAATCATTGAGTTACACACTTTAAAAGTCAGCGAATGAGCCCTGACCAGTGTGGCTCACTTGGACGAGCACTATCCTGCAAAGCACAATGTCGCCGATTTGATTCCCGGTCAAGACACACGCCTGGGCTGTGGGTTTGGTCCCAGGTCGGGGCAAGTACAAGAGGCAACTGATTGATGTTTCTGCCTCACATTGATGTTTCTCTCTCTCTCTCTCGTTCTCCCTCCTTTTTCCTCTTTTTAAAAGTAAATTAAGTAAAATCTTAAAAAAAAAACCCCTGTGAATTACATGGTACCTGAATTATATCGCCATAGAGCTGTTGAAAAAAAAAAACTGCTGGACTAATTAATACAACCGATAAAAGGCTTTTACTTTCATAAAAAAATCTGACTCCTAAATTTCTGACAATTTCTACAGAATTATAGAACTTGCTCTTATTCTCAAATTATTCTAAACATAAAACTAGAAGACATGGATATGATGTAAGTTAGGACAAAATGCCCTGACTACTACACTGAAAGTGTCTTAATAAAATGAGAAATATTGAAATGTTCTTAATCCAGGGCATGAGCACAGTAGGTTCACACGTGCAGTTAACAACTGAGGGTCACGTACATGCCACAGACCAACAGCCCCAAACAGTTAAACGAGCTTCGGTGACTTGAAAACAAGCCCCTGGACACCTACTGTTGTCCTTGTAGACTAACAGAACGCAGGCCACTATCTTCAGGAGCTCGGCCACGACCACGGCCGTGGAAGAGAGGTAGCGAGGTCCCTCCTCTTTCAAAGTCCTGGAGTAGCGCATCGTGAGAACCAGACTGGTCGTCTGGAAGACCAGAATCCCCAGGGACAGGTATTTGAGGTTGGCGGACATTGTTTTATCTGCATCTGCCTGGAAAACAAACAAGCAGGGCAAACAGACCAAGTTAGAAAACACAAAGGCCAGCATTCTGAAAGCCGGTCGGAGCAGCCAGGTCCCGGATGGGGTGGGGACGACCACAGGGGCCGTTCTTCCTGCTCCGGACTGAACACAGGAGGGAACACCCAGGAAGTCCGAAAGGTGAGGGAAACAGGACAAACTGGCCGGTGACCAGGATCTTAGCGGTGAGCCAGCAGTGAACTCCCTGGAGACTTTGTTGCCACCTGTGAATCTCACGCTGCTACAGCAGTTTGCAGCCTGGAACCACCTCCAGGGACAGATCGGCAACAGAAAGGCCCCAAAAGAATCCCATGTCCCTGGCCAACGGAATGGGCCGGAGACCTCAGCCCTGCAGGACGCGGACACTCCCAACTGGGTGTGTGTAACCTGAGGGACCACCCCGCCCTGCATTAAGGACAGCAGGTGTGGCAGCCCTCCCGCCCCCAGGCACTGCGTCACGGAGACTGCGGGCAGAGCCCTGTCACAGGCAGGGGGAATGTCAGCCAAGAGGAAGTACCTGCCCCTCCCCAGGGGCTACCTGCTAATACAGAAGGTTTAGGGAAGAGCCAAGGTTGCATACTGTGAGTCAAATGTCCAGTATGCAATCCCAAAATGTGCATATTCATCACACCTAAGAGCAAAAAAAATCTCCACGAGGATGAGCAAGGACAGTCAACAGACGGTGATGGAGCAGACGTGGACGCACCCGACAGGAGCTGCCACAGCAATGCACCCAGGCCAGGGAGGGTGGCTGGTCTCGGAAGAATTTCAGACTCAGGGAGAAGCAAAAAAACGGTGCAGGAGTTCTTCACCCATTCGTATGCTACTCACCAGCATTTGGGGTCCTTTTCCTTTTAACAATTAAAATTTCTTAAATGTTAAAATTTCCTTAAGTTTTTCAACAAGTAGCTTCTAAATATTCTATAAGCCAGAAGTATTTTAAGCTATTTTGTAAAATTTAGTATTTTATGATTTCTCAAGTCTCTCCCAGTTCTAACACTAATACACACACACACACACACACTTCTATTCATCTAACTCCAATTTCTTCATCTAAAAGTCCTGCTGTCTGGAGTTTTAGATTGTAAACTTTGAGTGTATATATCTACATATAATATGTAATAATGAACTACTATACAATTATCAGTATATGATTACTGTATTACACTAAGGACCTTTGGTGTGACCTGTGGTACATGTGTGTCCTACAACCCCACCAATTTTACAAGCAATCACACTGCCAGGACTTCTGAAAGCTTCACCAGGTTTCGTAGTCACTCTAACAGACCTTGAACTTGCTTCCCAGTCACTATGTTCCCTTTGGATTGTTAGATGAATCTGAGGTTTATAAAGTCAGTTTTATTATTCTTAAACCCCTCTCACCTCTACAGGGAAAAATGCACAACAAAACTTCATCTAAGTGCATTCATTTGGGTTTGCTGAGCTTGGATAATAGCATGATTAGAATTTACTTTAGCATTTGGTACCAGAAATATTAGTAAGCTTCTTTAGGATTCAAAGTTCTTGGTGACTGCTGACAGCCTTAAGAAAGCAGGTTTGTCCGACACATTAGAGGCTTATTCTAAGTGCACTCGATATGCATTTAATCCCAAGTCCCTCATTGTCACTGGCGGAGCGGCCACCTGCTGTACAAGCTCGTCAGCCAGTTCTGGGCGCCGCACCGGCATCCCCTGCTCGCCACTCCGCACCACGTGCAGTGTGTCAGTGGGGCGCATGACGGCGACTGTCTGCCCCCGTTAACCACACCAGGGGGGCATTCACTGAGTTCTGAAACCTCCAAAACACCGAGCACTAACACTCTCTATTCATCTTTGCAAACCCAGACAGGTCCTTGAAGGTGAACTGAAAATCGGTCTGGCCGCAGACCTGTTTGCTTCCAGGAGCTCGCCCTGCGTGTGTCTCGCCCTTGGGTCTGTGCACCGAGCCCATCCACTCTACGGGGGCAATCACATGGGTATTTTGCTGTTTTATGTCTCCAGCCACTAAAAGTCCTAAAAAGTTAAATGTTCAGTCTATGTTTTAGAATAACAAAATTTACATAGATTTTTAAAGATGGCCAAGTACCCAAGAAATTCTGCAAATCAATTTTCCTTCCAAGACACTAAATTTCTACCTTATCACTTTTAAAGGGAGCTATATTTACATTTTCTAAACACCAGTCCTGAAATACAGTCCCTAAGGACATTAGGATAATCTGCTGGAGCGTACACAAAAGCACACAAGTTCTAAAGTGCTGTGCAAACGTACGCCCACATTACACACCGGCCAGAAGCAGGTGTTGGTGCAAACACACGGAAGTAGATAACGCACACAGAACTGCCGTGGCCTCCGCTGCAAGTTGGTGCCCCTCACCTCCCAGAAGGCTGAGTCTCTGTAACCACACGCAGAAAGCAGTGAGCATATGTTATAGCTGGAATCCGTAATAACCTTCTGGAAAATAAAGAAATCTTGCTTTTTATAAAAGTGAAGTAAACAGGGGCCCAAGGTAATCCCCACTCTCGGTATGTTCGGTTTTCTTTCTGCGACAGAAACAGACGACTTCCACTGAATTCTCCGCCCTCCTCGACGCAGGGAGAAGAGCACAGTCCCGCTCAGACACTCAGCAGCCTTGCCTGCACATTCCGTCCCAGTTACAGTCTGAATCAGGCAGCTCTTCATTGTGTCTCCTTCCCTCTCCGCCTCCAGGTATCAGGGGACTATCCATACGAGATAATCCCAAGTTTCTGTAGGTTAATTTTTACCTTGGTCTTTCACAGCATGTGGAATTTCCATTGCTACATTCAGATAAAATAAATATCTCTTCAACTATGTAAATATAAAACTTACGTACATTTTAATTCTTCAATTAAAAACTGTTTGGTATTGACATTCTCATAAAATCGGTGATTTGGCAGACGTCCCTGTAGACTGTGGCGCCAGGAAGAAAGTCGCCCCCCACCCCCCGCCCCCAGTGCTCTCCGGCCCGACTCCCTCCTACTACGGTCATTTCCTGCCACGTGCCGTCCAAGGTGGAGAGAAACCCCACGTATGCCACAAAGAACAGACACTAGTGTGGAAGCCGGGCAGGGCCCACCAGCACTAACCCTCAGTACAGGTTGATGACTACGGAGATTGCAGGCGGAAGTAAAGAAAAGAAGGGTGTCGCTCACAGGAGTCGCCATCGATACTTAAGCACCCGCCGCGGTCAGGCCCTGTGCTGAGCCCTGGGTGCGCAAGGATGGACGAGACAAACGGAACGTGTCTTCCTGAGCCTGCCCTCCCGCATGGAAGACACATGCTATTCAAATGATTCAGGAAGTAGTCTGGCCCTGGCCGGTGGCTCAGGTGGAGCACTGTCCCATACACCAAAAGGCTGCTGGTTCCATCCCTCATCAGGGCACATACCTCTGTTACAGGTTCAATCCCTGGTCAGGGCATGTACCTAGATTGTGGTTAGATCCCTGCTGGGGGTGTATACAGTAGGCAACTGATCGATGTTTCTGTCTCTAAAGTCAAATATGTGTGATGCTTTAAAGGAAAAAAGAGTCTGGCTATGACGTAGGGTGCAACAGACAAATACGGTACCTCGCATTAAATTACGTCAACTTGCTTAAAGTCAAACACCTTTCCCCAAACCCAGGAGACACTGGTAGGTTATCATGCCAATGGAAACACCCCTTCAACTATTGCCTGTAATTAAGACCGACCAAGTTGGTGCCATCACAGACATTTTATTGGTGTTCACTGGTTGCTTCTAGGTCAGCTAGAAAACTTGGAGGAGAAAAACCAACAACAATGAACTTGAGGCCAAAATTAACTGCCCAAGGTCTAAGGAGAGAATTAGAAAGCTTCTATGACTGCCCTGAAACATCTTCGTATCTCCTTTAATGGCAAAGCCAACGTTTCTGAAAACCAAGTCCATAGTCTGATCCTGTGTTCGCCTGTAACGAAAAGCAAATTTGCAACTTCACAGAGTCTCGGGATCCTATGTTCTCTGTATGTTTACAGACTCTATATCCTAGCGCAGGACTGGATGTAACACATGTATGCTTGAGGGTTGCTGGCAGGCTGAAGGATGCCCCCAACCTCAAATATCAGGTTGTAATCCCCGAAACCTGCACTGTTATCTGATTTGGAAAAGCAGATTTCGCACATGAAATTAAGGATCTTGAGATGGGAAGAGTATCATGGATTAGCTAAGTAAGGACTTCCGCCAACGCAAGTGTCCTCAGAAGAGACACGAGAAGAGAACACAGACCGTGAGCGGAGGAGGCGTTGCAAAGATGCGGTAGAGACTGTGGAGATGCTGGGCCGGAGGGCTACAGCGATGCGGCCACCCACACCACGCTGCAGCACCGAGGCTGGAAGAGGAAAGAAAGGGACGCCCCCAGAACCCCGGAGGACAGGCAGCCCCCTGACACTTTGAGATCAGCCCAGTGGTATTAGTCTGAGTTTCTGGACTCCAAAACAGTGACAGAATACTGAGGATACGCTTGCTTTTCAGAGGGGTGAAACCTAATGTTGAGCTGCCCATTCATATTGATCTTAAACATACAAGTTTATACACTTCTGGTTTTCTTTTGTGAGCCTGCCTTTTATTATAGGGTCTCAGCTAAGAACTCAGAAGAGTAGAGAGAAAATTATCTTCCTTCTCCTACAGGGGGGAGAATAACTACACTACCTCGAAAATGTGTTACTGGGCTCGAGTACAGTCTACAGCACTGAACAGTAAACCACTTTGAAATGTGAGACTGTGACTAAAAGTGTGCACTCGGGTCGCACACAACACGGGAGCTGTCTTTGCCTCCAGAGCACCGTAAGAGTTTAATTGTTCCATGATTTAACTGAGCAATTACTTATTAAGAGTTTCATCTATCTTATTAACACTGGGCTCAAGTACTGAAATGCTAAACCAGGTTAAAAGATAACAATGACTTCTTTTGAAAAGCTTACATTCTAGTAGGAATAAATTTCTCAAGTTGCCCTAGCACAGTGCAAATTTATTAAGTATTGTAATATTTATAAAGCCCAACACACAAGAGAAAAAGAATGTTCTGGACTAACGGTAGACTGCAGAAAGCTTCATGAGAAGGTGACATTTAAGGCCTTAAAGAAGAAGGAGAATTTCTACAAGGACCATAAGGAAGGCCTTTCCTTGTAGGAAGAGAGGATGTAAGCAAAGACCAAGGCAGGCAGGCATAGAGCACATCAGAAATTACATTTCAAAGTAACTCCTCCAGTTTGCCTAAAAATTAGGCTATGGAAGATAAAATAATGCAAAAAAAAAAGAAGAAGAAGAAAGGGGCACACTGATCTGATTGGAGCCACGGACAGCTCTCAGTTTTGAAGGGCATGGAATACCACCTAAATAATTCGAGTTTACAATCACTGGGCATTTCTGAGGACAGAGAGACCAAAGACAGCCTAAGACCTCCAGCTTTAAGAAGGAACACGGCGGTGGGGAGCCATTGCTCCTGGGCAGGTAAGAAGGGAGTAGAGCCGACTTAGCCTGGAGGTGGTGGGAACGAGGAATGGAAGAACTAAACCTGAGATGCCAAAAAAGTAGGACCTCGGGAGGAAAATTAGGGATGGAAATTTAGAAGTCATCCCCTTAAAAGGAAACCACCCGAGCTTCCCCGTGAAAGTGAGTTAGGGCCCCAAGGGAGAAACTACCAAATTTGATTCCCCCTCCCCCAAAAAACTGCGGTTCCACTTTTAAATACTGCACGTAATAGAACATAATAAAAGAGTTTTCTCCTATAAAGTAATGAACTGGTAGTGACTTACTAAGCAAGGTCCCTTGCTACATTTAACAGTGTTCTTTCATTCATTTATTCCGACGTTCCGGAGCGCTGTTGAGTTGCTAAAGGAAATTTGTTAATGAAAATCCTGCCTCCCGCCAACACAGGCTGAGCGGTGGCGACAGAGCTCCCACCTGGCCGGGGATCCCACCCGGCCTCCGCACCAGCCTTACCATGTCTGACAGTCCCGCGGCGCTTGAAGCGCGGCGCCCGGAGGATGGACGGAGCTACCCGGGGGGTCACGGCAGGTCGCGGAGGGCCGCCCACCAGCAGCGCGGCCGCGCACGCCTCGGACTCCCAGGAGCGCACGCAGTTTCCCTTCGCCCAACACACCCCTTTCCAACAGCCGCTTTCCTCCTCCACCCAGCACATTCCACACGTCTTCCCGGGGCCCACAGCAAGTCACTCCCTCCGCTCCCGCCCCAGCCGCGCTCTGGCCCCTGGTCTTGGCGCTGACTCCCGTGGGCGGAGCGCGCAGCCGCCGCGCCTGCCTCCGCCTCCCCGGACGCTCACCTGCTTGGCCGCCCGGCCGCCTGCGCGCTCGGGCAGCGGCGGCTCTGCTCCGCCCGGCGCCCGGGGATGCTGTGCCCCCCGGGCCCCCCGGGTTGCCAGCGTCCCCCGCCGCACAGCGTTGTCCGCCCCCTCCGCCGCTGCCAGCCCGGTGCGGCCCGGGCGTTTCCGGGTTCCCGCGGTCCCGTCACCCAAACGCTCCGGCTTCCGCCGCGACCCGCGCGACGCCGTTCCCGACTCCGTTGTGGCGGCCGCTGCTCGGGTCTTGTGGGCTCTGTCCCGAAGGCGAGGCGGCCCCTGGTGCTGGCGTCAACGTCGAGTCACCGCCGCCTGCCACCAGTGTCCGGTGGCGGAGGTTCCGGGGTGTTGCTCTGCGAAAGGAAAGGCCGAGTCTTTCGGGGCAAAGGCCTTTATTTTTTCGGGGAGGCGGGTCCAGGAAGCAAACCACCGGCGGGCATGTAGGAGTGGCAGTCACTGACCTCAGGCCTTTGCTCTTGGCCTTTGCAAGAAGGTGTACCCAGGTGCTGTCCCAAACCGGCAGCCTTTCCTGCTGCCTTCCTCCCAGGGCTCTGAGCTCTGCCGGCGAAATTACTTACTTCATTGTATTCAGAAGTGCTTCGAATCTATCCCCCACCCCCAACACTTGCCTTGAGGTCGGAACTAGCCTGTTTATCTCTGCATCTCCAGCACCAGCCACAGTGCTCAGCACCCGATAGAAACTTAATACGTGTTTCCTGAGCTGAGCACACAATACTAGGGCTTACCGGGAAGGAGGGTCAGCGGAGCCTGAATTGCAACTCTAGGCCTGGAGCACTTTCCAAGGAGCCAAGTTCACACCTAAGGTCTGAAGCTTAAAGAGAAGAAGAATCTAGTAAGGATTGTACCTTTGTGTAGTTTGCCCAAATCATCCCATTTAACCTTCACAACAGCCCCATAAAATAGGCTTTGGTACCTGTGTTTTCCAGGAGGAAATGAGGCTTTCAGACACTAAGTAGCTTACTGAAGGTCCCATGTCTGCTGAAAGGTAAGCCTGGCTTCAACCCCTAATTCGTCTGCTGATAAAGTTCGTGCTTTAAAACACCATACTTGGCTGTCATGGGAAGAAAAATGGTATAGAAAGGAAATGAGCACAGTTCAGAAAAAAGGTGGCAGACAGCAAAAGTAGCCATGGGGATAAGAGGTATTATTAAGAACAGAGGTGTCCGCCCCCCGAAGGAAGAGAGAAAAACAGCAGCCTGGGGACATGAGGCCAAAGGTCAGCTTCAGCCTCCCTGGGGAAGCAGATCTCAAAGTCCAAACCCTGGCACCCAGAGGACAGACAGCTGAGGACAGCCTATCAACCTAAGGACAGCAGCCAAATAGGACCATGCAGCTCAGTGGCAGCTAATTAGGGACGCTGCGTAACATTTAGGACACCTAGTTAAATTGAAATGCCAAATGAACAAGAATAATTGTTTAGTCTCTGCAATACTTGGCATATACTAAAAAATGTTCATTGTTTATCAGAAATTCAGATTTAACTGGGTAGCCTGTGTTTTTATTTGCAAAATCTGGCAACCCTGTTGAAAAGGTGGATGCGTTTTAACATTGCACAATCACAGGTTTCCCACGGGGCCCCAGAGAGGTTAAGACCCAATCAAATTACATCGGAACTGTTGATGCCGTTAGCTTTCGGTGCACAAAGTAACAGTCCCCAGTCTCGATCTTCAGGCAGAGCTGTGGCTGGAGGCTTAGGGACTTCAATGGCTTAAGATGCAATGACAGGCAGAGGGAAAGGGCAGTGAGGGAGGTAGAAGAGGGTAAAAGGGCATAAACGGGGATGGAGGGAGGTTCGACTTGGGTGGTGAACACACAGTACAATATACAGATGAGGTTTTATAGAATCGTATCCCTGAAACCTGTACAATTCTATTAACCAATGTCACCCAATAAATTCGATTTTTAAAATCTCAGGGAAAAAAAAAAGAACAAATGGGAAGGAGAGTGGGGCCTGTGGTGATGTTTCCAAAGAGGTCTGTTCAACACAGTGAAAATACCAAAAAAGGCCAGTGTGTAGGAAATGGAAACTCAGGTTTCCAGGTCTCACATGCGCTTTGTTGCGACACAATTACTGTTCTTCAGACTATTGACTTGAAATCACGGCTCACGAGTGAGAAAAACCAGTTGGTTCCTTCAAGCTGCCCAAGTAGTCGAGTCTGGCCTGTTGTTAGGTATTCGGGACGAGGAAAGATTATCGACTTGTCCATCATTTAGCTTTAAGAGGAGTTCACTGAGGTCGTGTCCACGTCATCCATAGCCTCCATGCGATCCTCTGGCTCTGAGATGGAGCAGTATTGTTGAACATTCTATGGAATATCCACCTGCTGGGTTTGAATGAACTTGCTTTTCATTTCCTCCGTTTGCCAGCTTGGCTTCTGCGAGGCTTTTGCTATTATGCAGACTGACTTAGTCTTCGAGTCAGGGGCCAGGGGGTGGTTTCATGGGAGTGAGGCCATCTGCTCGGTCTGTACGTTCAGACCTGGGGACAGGAATTACCCTGGATGATTGGAGCTCACTGAGGCTGCTCAGGGCTTCAGTGGTTCCCCTGATGCTCTGAGTCCCTTCGTGGCGGACGAACTTGGTGGTCTGGGCATCGAGGAATTAGTTTCATGTCAGAGTCACAGCAAGTTGTAAATGGGAGTTTGGGGGATTCCTCTTTACCTGCTGTAGTTACCTGACGAAGTCACCGCAAGTTCCTTTGTGGGAGACTAGGAGAAAGGTGCATAGCATGTACTTGTGCTGTTACAGGCTGGTCAGGGGCCTCTTAAGTCTGAGAATGGTGACAGGTTGCATGCGATTCCCGTGACATCGGGTCTCTAGTCACCGGTGGTGCAGTACACTTGACTGTGCAGTTCCTACATAGTTGGACTACGCTGCTTACCAAATACTTTGGTTGTCTGCCCTCGGGGCACAGGCTGGGTGTCTTCCGGGCTGTCTTGTGGTTGAGTGGGACCACACGATCAGCTCTGGCCAATCAGCAGTAAGATGCTGGGTGTAATTCAGGGCCATAGCATTGAATCACACATTTGTGAGCCTCTGCAGCTCTTTTTCTCTCTGCTTTTCAACCTGGCAAGGTCATGATCATGGCTGCTCTGTCAGCCTGTATCCTAGACTGAGCAGAGGCAGAGCAAAGGCTGTGGTGACCTGCAACAGACACACAGCATGACCGAGAAATAAATCTTGGCTTTTCCGTGTCATTGAGAGCTTGACAAAAACCCAACATATATTGATACATACAGAAAGTGATGGCCAGTGACGTATGTTTTCACAAAACCCTGACTTTGGTGGCACCGGCTTAGGGCTAAATAAAGTAAGCTGATTTTAGAAGCTGGACTAAGGATAACCTCTGTTACACCCTGGAAATACTTGATAAAACTGTCACCTACAAAACTTGGAAGTTAAATAATGAACCTCATGGGCTTGTAACTCCAGGAGAAGAGACTAGAAAACAAACTTTAAAAGGTGTTGCTGCCCCACCAAGCATGACCGGTAGGTACGAGGTACCTGGAATTAAGTAGATAGATGAAAGGAGCCGTGCCAGGAAAAGAGCAGGGGTTGCAGGTGCTGGCACACGGAGCTCACTGGGATCCAGTCAGTAAGGAGCCAGTTGCATTTGTAAGATCGTCGTTCTAGCAGAGAAACCAAGAGCCCAGACAGGGCCTAAAATGCCTCTTCCGCCTCCAGCCTTCTACGGACAGGAGTTGAGTTCAGACACTGCTCAACCTCCACAGGAGGGACGTGTCCTCCACGCCCACTTCCGATAGAGCCAAGGAAGAGAACAGAGAAGAAAGGACCGTCCCCTGGAAAGTCGAGTCAGGGGAAACAGCACAGTGAACGGGCAGCTCCTCTTAGAGAGCTAGAATTAACACCTAATTCGAGAAAGATGCTTGTTTGGTTTTGCTGCAAAGGGAGCGGGTCTTCCCAACATCTGCCGTGGGGCAGTGTCAGCTATATATTTCCATTGTTCCCCTCCCCCATGCTTGTTTTTTTTCTCAGTAACTTTCCACCCCCCTCTAAGCTAATGTCCGTTCTCTATGAATTTGCCTGCTCTAGATATTTCAAAAAGTGTTACCGGACAATCTCTCTCCTTTTGTGTTCGGCTTCTTTCACTTGGTGTAATGTTTTCAAGGTTTGTCCATGATGTAGTGTATACCCCACTTCATTCTTTTTGTTCTGTTCTCATCCATCCATCCATCCATCCATCCATCAAAAGACATGTGGTGTGTTTCTGCCTTCTGGCTGTTGTGAATACCTCTGCTGTGAACACTCATGTGCGAGTATCTGAGTCTGTTTTCAGTTCTTTGGGGCATGCGCCTGACAAGTGGAATTGGTGTGTTTAATTTCCGGGGACCTGCCTCAGCTCCCCAACATGGCCGAACAGTTCGGCGTTTCCGTGGGCGATGTACGAAGCTCCCCCATTCCTGTGTGTCTTCAGGATCACAGGTCATTTCTGATAGCAATTAGAACCACTTTACTGGGTGTGAATTGGTATCTCACTGTGGTTTTGATTTGCATTTCCCTGAAGACTCGTGATTCTAAGCATCTTTTTATGGTGTTATTGACCATTGGCATGTATTCTCGAAGAAATGTCTGTTGAGCCCTTTGCTCCTTCTTGATTTGGGTTGTTTGGGACTTTTTGAATTGTGCGGGCTTTTATACACCCTGGATATGAATCCCTTATCGCCAAATCCAAGGTCATGATGATAACCCTTGGTTTTGAAGCTAGACTGGTTTTTACGGTGTCACTCATTCCTCTAGGGGAGAGGTGTAGTGAACCGCTCGGTGTCGACAGCTGGGCATCATTAGTGCTGAGAGTCAGAGACATTCAGCTGCGAATCACTCACCCAGAGCGCTGCACCCGGGTGAGGACTCCTCAGCGCTCTGCGCTTCCTTCTTACCTGGTGACCCAGGGAGCCAGCAGCGAGCTGACCTCTGGTTCCATGCCCCTAGGTTCCTGTCCATCAGGAGCCCAGCAAAGATCTGATTTTTATTCTTTCCGTGTACTGGCTTGATCTCTGGTGCCAGCTCCTTTCGGCTGGATGGTTGGACTCTTTGGTGACCTTCGTAAATGACTTCAGTGGTTCATAGAAATCTGGCCTCTGTGGGTCAAAGTCAGCAGAGAATCTGATCGACTCAGTGAAGAATTTGTACCCAGTGCAAAGAGTACACTCTTACAGGAGCCAGTGGGTTCTGTATTTGTGCTGGGCTGAAGTGCAAAATGGGCTGCAGTATTTTGGTTGAAGCTCTAAGCACTCTTGTCTGGGTCAGAATATACATTTATGAGTCTGTGAGTGGGTAGTATTTCCTCTCCTCCAGCTTAGATTATACGATTTCTTCAAAGTGATCTGTTTGGATTGGTTTAGAGATGAGTAAGCCTTAAGTAATTCCTAAAATTCCCAAAAATTAAAAAAAAAATGGATCTTCTAACAATTTCAGTGTGCTAAAAGTTGTATTATTATAGAAACAAATTCAAATGATTTAAGAATTTGAGCTCAGACTCCTCAGGTAAATCTTTGGCAAATGAGACCGGTTTAATACTGTTGCACTGAGTCATTAGCTTTAAGTGTAATTTCAGCAAATTTTTTAATTATATTTGGACATGTTTTTCCGAACTTTGTTTAGACTTACCAAGTAAGCTAGCGTTAGGTCCACTAGGTATTTGAGATTATGAAGAATGAAAATTTGTGTTTAGCCAAAGCGAATCATCATTCTGGCAAACTTTGTTTCCACAGTATTTCTGTTTTGTAGTATGTAAGCTTGTAAACAGTTATCACGATCTTTGGGTAACTTAAAATTGTGAGTCGATGCTAAGTGGAGTGAATTAGTGGATTTTATTTAAGTACTCAGATCACTTCTAAATAAGATACTGAAACATTAAATGCAGAGCATAATTTAAAGTTTGTGTCATTGTACGCACTTCTTGCCCCTCATCCGACATGAGACAGAGGCTGTATGTTTGGATCTGTCCATGACTGTGTTCCTTTTTGCAACTTCAGGATGTGTGTGGTTATCAACAGTGTGGAGATGCATATTCATGAGCCATGCTAGTCTGCCAAACTGCTGAAGTGTGACAAACAGTCACAACTGTCTAAACTCCTAGTTTCCTCTCTAAAGTAGAAGTGACTGTGGATAGAAGCAAAGTCGGTGTTTGTGAATGAGGCTCCACTTGGAGCCACAGCGGCAGAGGGATGGCTTCCTGGGCAGGGGGCGTGGGCGGGCCCGGGCCAACATCAAGTGACGCTTTATTGGAGGAAAAGGAAACTGGAAAAAATCTGAACATACATTGGAGCCATAGAAGTTCTCAGACAGGGATCTGTAATCACGGTGGTACAAGCTGGCTGAAGTGTGATCAATGGGTTTCTTTATGAGATTGCCAAAAGTTTCAACAACAAATATCCTGATGCAAGACTAGAATTTGCTTTTGTTTGTGTTAAAAATGACAAAATCTTGCATTACTTGTTTGCTTAGCCACAGGTTAAAATTTGCATTCCATTGGGATGATGTAAATCCATTGGGATGAACTCTTTGAGTTCTGGCCTCCTCAAGGTCAGACTTTGGGAGATCAAAGGGAATAATTTGGAGAAACTACTGATTAAAGTAAGCTCAGACTCCAGGAGACAATGAATTGACATTATCTGGAAAATTATAGAATATTCCTTGTCATTAGGCGCTGGCCTTGGTTCCTGACGACCACAGACCAGTGTATTAGCCCTGGACCAGGTTTCAAAAAATACCAGGAGAGTGCAGAGTTGCCGACAGACCTAATTATACATCGAACGTTTATTTTGCTCCGAATGTCAACATGGCTAAAAAATACATTACCAAACAGCCTAAAATCCCTTCTTTTTCTGCCCCGCACATCCTCCAAAAAGATAAAGACCCCAAATAACAAGCCTTAAATAAACAGTAGAAGTCCGTGTCCACAAATTGCTTCAGTGGTCAATCATGGAAGAAAAGCAAAGTGTAGACCTTTAGAAAAGATTTTATTTTCTCAGCACACAGACACAAAAACGACCCCTGCCTCCCAGAGAGGCCAGCTGAGGACACATCAGAAAGGAGTGACACACACAGAGGTCCTAAGGTCCACAGACAGGACAGGTCTCGTGGCTCCTCCAGTATCTCTGATTCTTAATAAGCGATCATAGCATGCTGGTTAAAGTGGCAAATTCCCTTCTCCTGTTACAGGGGACACTGATTTGCATTCATAAGAACCCCGGGCCAGAGCCCTTCTGCAAATGTAACATAAAGGAGCCTCATCCAACATCACTCGGGAAAGTGGCGTTCTGCGTACACAACTTTTAGTCTAGTGACATTTATCCCTCTCAAGTCTGGAGCTGTTGTTTTAAATACTTTGGATGAAATAATGCATGACTTGCCTTCTGAGACTTTACAATGGAGCTTGCGGATCGCAACAGTGTTTTTTTCATTCATATTCCTTATTAGGAATATAACCGTTTACTTTTCTATTGCAGCAACACAATGTCTCAAAAATTCACTGAGGTGGGTTATTTGCCCTGCTGAGGATAACCCCAGATGTTATCCCTAGGATAACAGATGAATAATATTATGTAGTAATGGAAGGACTTCTGCAACGACTTTCTTTCAACGGAAAGTATAACAATCTGTTTGAAATGTTTTCTTGAGACAAAAACAGTAAAATGGTAAAAAAAAAAAATTCCACCTAGAAAACAAGTACTATTCAAAAAGTCAAATCACAAAAACGTTAAAAACCTTTTTTGTTTTATGACTGTTTCAGGTTTAAGGTATCTTAAAATAACATGGAAAACTTTTCAAATGATTTTATTGAATTAAAGATCACTACTGAATTCATATCTGTATTTTCATTATATTAAAATTTGTCAATGGTAGGTTGTGGTGCCTAGGAACCAGAATCTGCTATGATCCATCAATACCTTTTACACACAAACTAAAAATAGTGAAGTTTTAGAAAATTAATATAGCATTTTTTTCTCTAAAGTTCTCATAACTATGCCAAACCTTTTGCATTTTAAAAATGTAAACGATCTCATAGTAGGACACAGAAACAATATTAATTTTACAAAACTGTTTTTAGGAAATAAATTCCTAACACTTTGTGGCATTTCTCATATAGCCTGCACATTATTAGCACAATTATGTTAAATATACTGATGGCATTCGTTATACGAAAACACATTAATGTATCAGCGAAAAAATAAAAGCACATGTGAACACCTGTGCCCTTTTGTGAGCGTGTGTTGGGGGTGGATACGTCCAGCACTGGACACTCACTTCACAGTTACTGAGTGCAGTGTGGAAGGTGCGAGAAGCACCGCAGTGGAAGGTGAGACCGTTAATTAAGCACAGCCCATTCAGTACCCGTTACTACTGAAGACAATGCATAGAGCAGACTTAAAAAATGTTTTTCTAGTTTTCCTGATTCTTCTCTTTATGCCTCAATTACCTTTATTTTTTTCCCGTCTTTTTCATGAGTACATCCTCATAATTTCATTTTCACTTTATGTCCAAATAGCAGATGACATGATCTCTTTTTTCCAAACTTGTTATTTGGAGGCGTTTGAAGAATTCTTATTGATTTCAAAAGAAAAACTTCTCATTAGTCACGATGCCTTTCTCTCTGACTTAAGTCAACGGCTCTGCACATTAAATAACGAAACACTGATGCTTTCACAGGGTTTTTACCCAACGGTGCATCAGTAGCACATGAGTGAGGTTTTATCTGCCTTGAGCTTGCATACTGAGCAATTACATTATATTATGTCCTTGCATCCATAATACAAGAGACTGCATACTTAATAAAGAGCAGCGAGCCAACTATAAGTCGTAGAGCGTTTCAAGAATGGTAGCGATGGACCAGGCTTGGGTCTCACAGCTAAAAGGGCAGTACTGGCCGTCCTCGTTGGTCAGCTCCGGGAGGCCTTTCCAGGGGGACCTCGGAGAAAGGAAAGCCGTTTTAGGAGACGCAGTCTGACACCTATCCCGCCCAGTTAACAACAGGCAAGGGACCTGGCGGCTTTGCCCTTTTGTATAGAAAACAGTCACACACAAGCACTTGCTGTAAGACAGGGTCTCCTGACGATGTATGTATAAAGAACTTAGAATGGAATTATTCTTTGATATTCCATCTTTGGGATTTAAGACTTTCAAATACAAAGGACTCCTTGTAGGTATTAAAAGCAGAAGGAACTACCATTCCAAGCAGTATATAAATACAGAGACAAACATCTCTCTGGTCCAATTTTACTCCTTTTGGAGTAATTTTTTGACTCAAATTATAATTTTTCAGAGGTAGTAGGTTTGATATAGACATAACTGTGAAACTAACAGGAAGAAGTGAGGAAACACAGTTATGATTAGAAGAAAGGTGGCAATTAAAAACATTATGAATTTCTGTACCGATTACTTATTCTGTAGTACAGTTAGTATTTACTGTGCCTTTATTCTGTTCTCATACGAAGTGCTTTACATGCATTTCCTCATTTTAATGCTCATGTTAGGTAGGTACCATGATCATTCCTGTTTATAGGGGTTCATAGAGGTTAGATCTTGCTCTTAGAATAGAACCTCGCGAATTCCGAGGAAACACAGTGTGCCTGACGGACGAAATGCTGGTTACGGAGCCCACACGCCCCTTACCACTCACCTCTCGAGATGAACATAGTGCCGAGAAAGGACATTTTTAACCAAAAACACAGTCTTTGCATTCGCCTCGGGACCCATCAATTTAGAAAAATACAATTTTGCACGAAGAAAATACCCAATGGGCCACAGCCACTCCTAAAAAACAACAACATGATTTAATTAGTAAAGAAAAGAAAAGAGCTGTGAATATCTAAAATTGTGTGGGGGGAAATAAAGAAACCACACTGGAAAACTCCGAAAGCATCCTCACCGGTCCTTGGTGATAGTTGAAACCTTTCGCGAGGTTGTAGTTGTCGTTGTCCAAGGCGTTGTCATAGACCCCACAGTAAACCATGTCACTGGGAGACGAAGGACACCGGGTTACAGAGACCAGACATGGTAGCGGAAGCATCAGAAATGTTTTCAGTAGCAAAGGTAAGAGATGCAAGCAAATTATTCTGTCTTCCAATCTACAGAATAGGATCGTCTGGCATTTAACCTTATATCAGTACATACTGAGTTCAGAGCACTTTACTGATGGGTTAGGAGTGGTTAGCAGATGCTGTTGCTATAGAAACTGCAAGATACTCAGGTGTCTTGCCTTCAAGGAGTTCTCCTGACACTGGATGTTGGTAAAAGTAAATTAGGCCTCTAATACTTTTATAACGCTTAACATAGACACTGAGTAATTTGAATTAGTGATTCTTACAGGTAAGTTTCTTAACTATTAAGTATTGAAAAGTTACTTTGAAACTTCTCCATGAAATTCTTTGAAAATTAATTAAAATGGGGGACATGATCAGATTACAAATAGCACGTAAACACACATGGAGGATTTATGCACATTTATAAACCAAACACACACTTATGAACTTATTGCAGCCAGTAACACAAGACAGTTATCTTTGTTCAGTTTAATGAAATTATTGCTTTTTTTCTTTTAGTGAGAGAGATAGCACTGGCCACATGAGCTACTATCACTGTGGGTTTGGGTTTTGACCAGTGGTTCTTAATGCCTCTGCCGATGTGGAGAATGGCTTGCAGACAGATAAGTCTACAGACAGAAAACCTGACATCTTGAGACTAAAATGCGTCTGCAGTAAAGTGGGAAAAATGTACAAAGGGGGCTACGATAGAATGGGGGCCTCTCACATACTGACAGAGAAAGCAAGCTGAGGATGGGTGTCACATTTAAGGGCAGTTGGAGAAAAATAGGGCATTAAAAACTCAAAAAGTTGGAAAAGAAAAATATAAAATAGGAGAGACCTATAGAATCATAACATGAAAACAAAGTTATTTATTGGTTTAAATTAAAATACTGGTGTGACTGACTGCCCAGAAAGGATGGAAAGGACTGGGCAAGGTGGGGACGGGGTTAAATCCTCATCTGTCCTCATGAGGAGTAAATAAATCATGTCTAAGTATTTTTAAAAATTAAAAGACAGCTGCATACACATTTTATAACATTAAAGGGACTGGTAGCAGCAACGACATAGGAAATAAAGACTGTCTCTGTGGAGACAACGTGTCTATTCCTCCCGTGTCCACAGTAACCACTTTCACGGTCTGAGAACACAGACATTAGAAAATGTTCGTGACATATTAGTTTTATAAACTTGAAAACTCTCTTACTGATTGCTGAATACAGGACAAGACAAAGGCATTTTGAACACCGACACTGCATGAAGATAGAAAGGGTCTTTTGGAAAACTCAGTTGGAGTACAATTTTAGAGATGTTATTGACAAGCAGAACAACTGTAGATAACACCATACAACAGCAACAATGTTCTTAATACTTACAGTCTAACTGACGAGGTTAAATATAATTATATATTAAGTATAATGGGAACTACGTTCTTAGTGCTTCTATCGCCACCTACTCTGGATCCAGAGTTTTCATGCCAAGGGGACCCAGCAGCTTCTTCTCTGCCATCTCCAAAGCCTTCCACGCTTTCTCCGCCGTGAAGAGCTCAGGGGCCTGCAGGGTGTCAGAAACCGATGCACAGATCCTGTAAGATCGCTGAGCAATTCCTTTCCACTCACAGTGGGACACAAACCAGTGACAAACTTGGAACAGAAGGAAAGCTATTTCCAACTACAGGGCGGGCCGGAATTTGAGTGTGGACACCAAGCAGCTCGGATCCCAGGAGCCTGGCTTGGAAGCAGCTTTCTGGCCCTTAGACACCAGGGACGCTGTTCGAAGCGAGGGTCCCTGACGTCCTTTCAAGAAAGCCTGCCGGCTCCGAAAGGAAGTCGGCACAGCGGCAGTGAAGGCGGAACGCACGGGAAGCCATTCTGCGGGAGACGCACGATCGGGTCCTGCGAGTTTACCTGCTGACCGTCTGTGCTTCTGGGGTCAGAAGGAAGTACAGGGGACTTGCCCTCGGGCAGCACGTGACATGGACAAGGACAGCGCACCGGTGACTGAGGGTCTGCGCTCAGTTCAAGGGCTCCGTGGAACCAGAAGCACACTGCCGGAGGGAAGCCTCCTTCCCGTGCCTCTGCATTTTTCTACCGTCCTCACGGAGAGTGCCGCGTTCAGCACTCTTGTTGGGGAAGCGGAGACAGCTAGGTGGGCCCAGAAAAACACACACTGTCCCCACTTCACTGCCTTGGGGGTTTATTTTTAATCCAAGGGCAGAAAATCAGGAGAGTCTGAAGTTCTTGGCTTGAAAGAACCTTGCGCGAACCTCATCATTTTTTCTGTGCTATGATGGGACACGCACTTCATTGGTCACCGTTTGTCATTTTCTATATTTTCATACTGAAGGTGACAGGTGAAGGGTGAGACCCACAAGGCTCCATTCATTAGAAAAGAGTGTACAAAACTAGCTCAGAGACAGCACGCTTTTCATCAGCTCAATGAATCTGAGAAGGGACGGGAGTAAAGGAGGAAGTCAACCCGACCACGACGCGTCTGAGGTCTGAACACAGGAAGTCACTTACGACCACCATCGCGATGGCGAAGTTGGGCCGCAGCTGGTAGTCGCACCAGGGGCTGGACGCCCCGTGGCTGTCCTTGTATATGCCGCGCTTGTGAACCAGGTGGGGGTTCTTCTCATTCACGTCAGACGGATCTTCGGACACGTAGAACAGCCTTTCAAAGTTGTCTTGTATTTTCCTGTTCCACTCGTCGTAGGAGACCGTCACCGCCCTTCCTGAAACGTGGTAAAAGGCTTGGCAGTTCGAGGCACTCCAAGACACCACACACGCAGTCACAGGCAGAGTGCAGTTCCAGTCAACTGCCCACTTTCTCAAAGTGTCGGGGCCTTTCCAAGGGGACTAGCCAGAAGTTAAAAATTATCTTTCACACTATGACCATGAAAGGATTAGAAAGTCACGAGTGGTCCCTGATTGGTTTTTGTTTGGGTCACTCTCAGATGTTTGGTGGTGACCTTTCCTGAGATGTGTCAGACTGCAAAACATACACTGATTTCAAAGACTTAGTAACCCCCCCAAGAGTGTAGAACAGATCACAAATAATAGCATGATGATTCTATGTTAAAAGAACACTTAAGACAGACTGAGTTAATATTTATCATGGTTCATGTTACCTATTTCTTTTTACTTTTTTAATGTGCGTGATTTAAAGTTATATATGTGGCTTAAGTTAGATTTCTATTGGACAGAACAGTTCTAGAAAAAGAGATGTAAATATCTCACAGTCGTTCGGAAAAACACAACTTGCTCACAGTCGCACTGTGGTATGTGTGGTAAGGCCGTAAAACGATGCTTTTCACATCTCAGTTCAAAGTCGCTATAAATAGATGATGGATAACCAGGTCTGTTACAATTTTCATATGAGCCAATGAGCAGTTTTTCTTTCCTCTCAGTCCTAAGCATTTCCTAGGACAAGTTCACTGGGTGAAATGATGGCTACGTCAGTCAGGAACGGAGACAGTACATTCCGAGTTTCTTTGTGAATACAGCTTACCATCTCTTTTTACTGTGACTTCATGATAAGGGAAGATATTTTTTCTGGACAATTCCAGCAACCAGCGAATGGCAGACTTACTCAGGCCCACGATTTCCACAGCAGACCCATCCCTAAAATTAAAAATAAACTTTATTCTGGAGTTCATTAAGCACTAAAGAGCATCCCATAAACACTTTTGATGAGCTATATACCCAACATCTATAAAAAACTCCCAGCCAACAGGAAGGCGTGTAAGAACTATCTGGAAGCAGGAAGGAGTAAGGAATCAGAATATTGATACGAAGGCCCAGAGAAGAGATGGCAGACCTGGACGGGGGACCGGAGAAGCCGGGAGGGTGGGCGAAGGAATCTGAGAGCTCGCTTCAGGGGAAACACAAGGGACGTACAAGAGACCACAATACAGCAAAGTAATCAGGTTCTTAAAAGAATTCGCAGGGTATGTAGCAACAGCTACCATTAAGTAATTGTGGTTAACAGGTCTGCCCAAAGATAAAATTTAGGATAAGAAAATAGTTTCTTGGATCTGATACTGTATTCAGTATTTGAAATCATAAAACAAAAGGACGGGATAAAAGATGAAAAAAGTTCGGGGGACTAAAGGTTCAGAAAGCGAAAGGATCCCAGGAAGGAGGGTGTAACTGGTGGTTTTCTGTGCTTCCAAAAGAGGGGCGCAGACACACGCTACAAGGGCAGCGCTGCCGTCCTAAGGGGGGGGTAGCAGGTCCCAGATGGAGGTGCCTGTGGGGAATCCACCCCCGAGAACTTCCGGAGAGAACAGACACTTCGCCTGCTGACTTAGACCCAGAGGACCGTGACGGTGTCCCTGGGAGGGGTCTGGGAGAGGGGTCGGAGGCGGGGAGAGAGGGAGAGCCCCACTGGTTTGATGTGAAGACTCCACGGTCAACTGAATAAAAGACCCCCCGAGTCTGGTGTGAGAAGGGCGTCGTTAGACGGGCGCCGCGGGGTGGCCGTGCCTCGGGGTGGCGGGGATGCCTCTGTTCCTGGCTCTGTCGCTCTCGCCCATTTTGTCCATCCACGTGCCGCAGTTAAAGCGGTTTCCTCCGTAAACAAATCCCGTTTCTTCGTCCACTCCTGCGGTTACATTGAAACCTGAAAAAGCCAGACGAGGCACTCAGAAACTTTAGCAGGACGGCGACAAACTAGGACAGAGACTCTGGAGAGGGAGCTGGTGAGGCCCTCGAAGCTGAGGGTGCCTGTCCCACCACCTGGCGGTCTCATGTCCGACTCACGCTGAAGGGAAGCCCCCCTGCCCCCACGCACGGGCAGACAGGCAGGGCTGTCACCGCCCCACGGCTGCGGGAGCCAGACACACCGGACCCCCAAGCTGGTCCCACAGGGCTGAGCATGAAGGGACGGATTCCCAGGAATCAAGGTCGACAGGTCCCCAGAACAAAACGATGGAGCAAGTTGCAAAAGGATAGCTTTTCTCTAAAAGTGTGAAATGTGGAAAATGCGAATATATACAGTCACGTATGTGTAGGTGGCTGCGTCTTATGTGATTATGAGGCAAAATCTAATAGAGTGGATAATTATATACAGTATCGTGCATTGTACGACAATAGTAACGGCCGGTTTGGAGGTGTAACACCCCCTCCCCGGCGAGCCGGGAGGGCCGCACCTTCGTCCTTCATGTGGTGGTCTATCTGTGGGCCGGCGTTCCTCTCCCGGAACTGGATGCCCTGCACGTGCCTCTGCATGGCCTCCTGGATCACCTGGAACAGCGGCTGGTCCTGCGGGAGGTGGGACAGAGCTCCTCCGGTCATCACCTATGTCGTCCATCTCCCCCCCACCCCAGGGGGCCCACAACTCGAGTGCTGAACTGCTCTCGAGAAAGAAACTACTGTGAGAAATGACGTTTACCACGTTGCCGGCGGGCAGAGGGGCGGAGTCGTCCGTGGGGTACATTCTGGACACGGGGCACTGGAGAATGTCCAGGCCGTTGGGGACCAGACGGCAGTAATCCTGAATGCACTGCAGCCACCACCACACGGCGTCCCTGCAGTTGTATCTGGCGTAGGTCCCCTCCCCCAGGAGGTTGGGGATGAGCCCGTGTCTCAGGGTGCCAGCGAACGCGAGTATGATATTCCTGGAACGACAGAATCAGGTTGGCCGCTTGACATGAAAACAGTCACCTAAGAAATTGAAGACAGAAAGGTCACTCTGGGTGGCCATCCTTTCGGACACATCTTCCTTGCTGGCCTTACTTCTCTGGGTTTTCGTGTAGAAAGGGGCCACTCCGCAGAACAAGCCCTGAGTGCGGAGCCAGAAGCCTTGCCCGCAGCCCTGGTGGCCTCTTCTCCAGCACTCTGGGGAGCTGGCTTACCTCTCGGGGACCGCTGGTCATCTCCAGGGTCAGGGATGGGATTTTCAAGGTCCCTCACAGCTATAGATTCCACTTTTGAAATCCTCGGTATTTCAAAATCTCGGTAACTAAAACACGCCCTTTGTTATTTCAAACAATGGATACCAAGAGTAACGCCAACGTGTAAGAAGATAAATGGTGAAAGCTGACCTTGAAAACCATGATCAATTTTCAAAAACCGGTAAAAGATGCTTTACCTTCTCAAGTGTCAGATGGCATGGCATGCTAAAAAACAGCCTGAAACTAAGAAATCAGAGGACAGCTTTAAATTCTCCCATCACCATCTGCGTGCCTCGGAGAGTCACTCAAAACGTCTAGGCCCCAGTGCTTCCTGGCGAAACCATTTAGAAAGTTACTGAAGTCTGTGTCTCAGGTTCATGACCATCTCTTCAATAACCGTGCACTGGGGACCTTCTTATTTCCCCAGTGTGGGCAGCGACGTGCCCAGTTACTTAGAGCTCAGAGTGCCAGCAATTCCCCACCCGGAGTGATGTTCTACCCTTGAGAGCTGACCACAAAGGCCTCCGTCCGTGGACACATGTGGCAGACACAGCCGTGTGTGGCCACCCGAGGGGCCCTCCTGTGTGTGCCGACCCGCCTTCCAGCGGGCTGCGGCCATGCGACTGTCTTCGAAGGCAGAAGGACGTACACGGGACTGAGGCATGTTAAGTGCATGGACGTGGTTATACCTTTTGTAGTTTTACTGACATAAATCAGCACATCTGAAAAGAACCTGACCTGTCATGTAAGGGACTAGCACTTACTAACTTCAAACATTTTCACTCCTTTGAAATCCCATGAACATGGAAAAAGTAAAATTAAAAAAAAAGCACCTCGAGGAAACATGCCCCCCAAGTGTCGGACAGCAGGAGACGAGGGGTGTCTCAGGACAGTGGGAACGGACACAACCTGCAAACGACCCGGGCTCGCCTACCTGGCCTCCGCGTAGCGGCCGGGAATGAGCAGCAGACCTCTGAGCGCGATGAACGTGTCCCTTCCCCAGCAGCGGAAGATGCCAGAGGAAAAATGAGGCAAGCCTAGCGGGAAGCAGAGCCAGGCGTCAACCGACCTTACCTCCTTTGTTCGCCGACACCACCACCACCGCCACCACCGAGTCTCCTCGGCAGGAAAACGGGATTCAAGGCCACCGGACCTCATCCGTCTGGTGGAGGGCGTATCACCGAAAACCGAGACCGGTGCGTACGGCCTGGTGATAAAAACTTATCTTCTGGATGAAATAAAAGACCGACTACACGGGGTAAACAGAGAGGTGAAAACGGGACTAAGATAAAAGAAAATGCTGGCAAATGCTAAGCACATTCACACTAGAAGCTTCTGTCCCTTGTGTCTTCACCTTGGAGACGGGGCCTTGTCCTTTGTTTACAAAGGACTCGGGGTGACATCAGGCCTGTCGGGCACACGTGGCTCCGCCACGGCCACCGACTTTGACGGTGACATGCATGTGACAGTCTCTGCCACACAGGCTCCCTGCTGCTTTCGGTCACTTAGCACCTTGACTGAATGTCAGTGTAGACAGAGCCGAGGGTGAGTTTGACTGGGTGTGACTCAAAACACAGGCCGTCCATCTTCGTTGGAAAGTCAAAGCAGTGAAACCTCTAGCACTGACCTGTGGAAATGTTTGCATGAACTGTTTGGCCTGTAAGAGGCTAGAAGTACAACCCTGGTTAGTGTGGCTCATGGATTGATCGCCGGCCTATGAACCAAAGGGTTGCTGGTTCAATTCCCAGTCAGGACACATGCCTGGGTTGCGGGCCAGGTCCCCAGTAGGGGGCATGTGAGAGGCAACCACACATTGATGTTTCCCTCCCTCTCTTTCTCCCTCCCTTCCCCTCTGTGTACAATAAATAAATATAATCTTTAAAAAATATATTGGGGAAAAAAAGAGTATTGGAATTATAGATCACATGCCTTCTGAGGGTTTCTACCTTGTCGGTTATGACAAAAGTTAGGGTGACGGTTTTCTTCACTACTGCCATTGATCCTGGCCTTGGTGTCCATTTTCAAATGAACCCCCAAAACCCACCTGCAGATCTGACTGTGGTCCCGTTTTGTTCGTATGGATTATACGAAAGACTCCCTCAGGACGAGAGCAGCAGATACTAGAACTTTATTTATATTTATCAACTTATATCTTCGACGTTTCTGTTTTCGTTTTATGCTGTGTCTGCTATGTAAGTCTATCGCGTATGACATACCACTATGCCATTCATGACGTCAGCACGTCTATTTTGGGAGTGCTCATAAACAGCGGTGTGTAATTACAGTAAACTGCTGAGGTCACCGCTGTTTTATGTAACAGGCTTCTAACTGGTAGGCTTTAAAACCCAACTCTGCATACAAATTTTTTTTCACAACGGCCAGTTAAGTTTCACAAGCACCGACCGGATTCACGGGGGACGGGGACATTCCCGGAGGAGATCGGACAGTCGGGTGAAAGCCGCAGACACAATTCTATAATGAAAACTGTCGGACGGTTCATGGGATCCCCGTAAGCGAGAAGTTGATTTCTTTTGAGTCGCTGGATCCCCACACGTCTTTTTTCCAGGTCTGAGCAGAGGCAGATTTAAGGGTAAATGAAGAAGACCTCACTGTTTGGTATTTTTCAGCGCAGTTCGGAAAGTTCTGAACTTCCGTGGCCTCCAGTGTTAAGTACTTTCTAGAAAGAGCTCGCGGCGTGTTAAGGAGGAAACCAAAGCCCGTCCTTCAGCCTCCTCCGCTCACTCAGGGCACCACTTGGTTCAGGTTCGGACTCTCCTCACAGGAACGAACCCCGACAAGCACAGTTAAAGCGCTTGGTTGCGATTAGGCACCTGAGAGAAGCTTCTTTAACATGGGTTTTGTGTTCTGTAACCTGCACTGAACGGTTACGTGATCTCCCAGTTATTACAAGGCGGGGTTAATTTTTAAAAATTGGGAAAGAAGTGTCATACAAGGGAATAAGGGCAGTGAATCAAATCTGACTGAAAAATACAGCATGGGAAGGGTTGGAAAAAAACCCAGAAACTTGTGGAAGAAAAGGATTACCCAGCCAGAATTTAAAAATGCGCATAAATACAATGCCTGTTTCACCAGAATAAGTAAATCGTAAGTGTGGTTTGATTTTTACAAGTGGTCACCTATGACATTTTGCTAAGCAGTAATATAAAATCATGGGTAACATCATGAGGGTTTTTTCCCACTTTTTAGTAGAATTTATTGGGGTGACATGGGTTAATACAATGTAAGAGGTTTCCGGTGTGCAGTAACACATCATCTGTGTAATGTCCTGTGTGTCCGCCACCCCAGGTGACGGTGAGTTTTTAAAACAATCGCCATTTCCCTGTAACTCTCCCTCTGCAACAGCGCCAACCCACGCACCCTCCCCTTGTGCGCGTCCCTTACCTGCCGCCAGGGACACACAGCACTGCTCCTTTTCCTTTGTCACCTCGTTGAGCCGGGAGGGCACGTCCCTCAGGGCTGGCGACAGCAGCGGCAGGGAGGCGAACTTGCCCACGCCGCACATCTGCACCGAGCCCAGCGCCAGGTGCTTCACAAAGGTGGAGCCGTCCTGAATGAAGCTGCAACACAGTGGCGGAGTCCCGAGTGTTATTTGTGGACGGACACTGTGTGACATTTTTATTTAAACAACTGTCCTGTGCTAAGGACACCTGAGGTCCCCTCCAGCAGATTTTTCCATGTGGGACACAGCCCTCATGTTGGAGGCGCACAGCAGGTCCCCACGGCCCGCCTGGCGTGGCGGCCACAATGCTCCACCCACTGAGCCAAAGATTTTAGCTTGGTTATTTTACTCGGTTTCTTTCTTTCACGTGATCTGTCTGTGCAAATGTGTGGCCACGCTGACATCAGCTGACAGACATTCTCGGTTTGGTTAGGTGTTAAAACCGCTCTCACTTCAGGTGAGACACAGGAGGGGCTGAAGTTCTGCCCTTCCCGAAACAGGGCCCAGATGAACCATGCCACCCTGCACGGGCACAGTCCATCTGCAGTGTCATTTTAGGGCCATTTGTCATTGACGTCATCAACTTCTGCTGAAGTTGCATTCGCAATAACAGCAGACTATTTTCCTCTTAATAAAAAATTAGAAAAATAACCGTACATATGTTCTAAAATAGTGTATTCACTGACTCAACGAGTCAGTCATTGACTCGTTGAGTCAGTGAATACACAGGAACGAATCGTGTAAAACAACTAAAATTTCCGTCAACCTGCCTCTTTAGCTTTATGGAGCAGGCTCTAATGTCTGTTTTCACGTATTCTGCACGGGAGAGGGCTCATAAACCTGCCACGCTCTCCCAAGTGCTTCAGCTCCGAGAGTCCCTGACACTCTGCACGTCTCGGAGCAGAAGACCAAACCGACCGACCCCGCGAGGTTTCGACACACGTGCTCATCCGCGCAGGCGTGGCGGTACCTGGACATCTGCTTCCAGGCGGCATCCAGAAGGGTGGTGTAGGCGCCGATCAGTATTGCGTCGAAGTAACAGGGGATGAGATACCGCGGGATCTGCTTCAGGTAGAAGAACATGGCCTGCAGCCATTTGCCAACCTGGGGGGAAAAGAACTTAAAAAGTTAATCTGGTGGGTTCACAGGCAGTGTGTGTTTTAAAGGGTAAACCCGAACATGCAACTCTACGAACTCGTCACCTACCAACCTGGTGCCCACTCACTAGAGCTGGGAGAGGATGAAAGAGGAGGGACAGGGTCTCGGGTCAGCACACGACCCAAGTGTCAGAGGGGCCACGGTGACAGAGTTCTGGCTGTGCCCCGGTTCGGGCGGACCACCCCCCAGCTCTACGCACCTCGGCGATGGCCCCCGCGCGGGCGATGAGCCGGCTGCTGACGTAGTCAATCATCCAATCTCCGGACCTCAGGTTGTCACACAAGGGGTGCCCCAGGTCATTCTTTGGCCTTATCTCCGCCAGTACGGACATCAGTCCTGAAAGTGCAGAGACACATCACACACTGTGCGGCCGGCGGAGGCGACGTGCGTGCGCCCCAGCCTGCGCTGCCGTTAGTGTCTAGAAATCCGGGGTGAGCACAGCTGCACAGTCCACCACTGGCTCTTCCAGTGGTGACACAGGCCTGAGCCACACTACGGGGACACTCGGGAGGAAGGGGGCCACCGTCACAGAGCTAGGCAGAGCTTCCCAGGGGTCCTGTCTTCTCAGACCGGTCTTGTCCTTCTGGGATTTCATGCTGTAACATTTGAAGGGAGTGGGCACGGTGTCTGCCCTACAGTGGGCGCCTGGGGAAGGAAACTGAGGCCTGTGTGTGTCTTTCTGGGTTGGAAAGTGGTGGATTCATTAACACTCAGGCGAGATCGAGGGGACTCACAGAACAGGTTTCAGAGACAGCAAGAGCATCTGTGGGGATAACAAGAGTAAAGCCTACTTTGGAAACAGCGTTGAAGCAGAACAAGAGGCGCTGGAACTAAATTAAGTAGCCAAGGGCGGTAGTTAGGCTCATCTTTAAATAACACTCAAAGAGAGGCATCAGAACTCCTCTGCAGATACAGTGCACTCTGTTATCTCAGTGAATTACCTCATGTGATCCTCAGCAAGGCCTACATACTAGACGGCGTTGTTCACGCTGTGTGGGAGTAGTGATGGGGGCAGGAAGAAGTTCTGCCCCAGGGGTCAGAAGACGGACAGGCAGCCGAGCCATGAATGAACCCTAGTAGTCCAGCTTCTTATGTTTATTTAAAAGACCCCGTATAAGACTTAAAAACCCAAAAGCTTCACTAGGCTTATACTTGCTGACCTTGAAGCCCGGCGTACTTGAGAGGTGACCAGTTCGGCACGCTGTAACACCCGCCCCCGTCCTCCCGCTCCTCGGACTCGCACCGGTAAAGCACCTGGTTCAGCTCGGCCAGGGTCAGCCTGGAGGCGATGCTGGGGGGTGAGAAGAGAGGAGAGCTGGTTAAACGCACTGACGCCCTGACGCTCCGCTTGCTGTCAACAAAAATTAGGAGGAAAATCCGAATCATAACCGCAAAAGGTCTTAGCGATGTGGGTCTTGGGAACTCATCACTATTATACATGTTATGAACAACAGACATCATAACAAAAAGAATAAACTCATTTTTAAATTGAATTTTTTGGAGTGACATTTTGGCTAATAAAGTAATGTAGGTTTCAGATGCACGATTCTATAATACATCGTCTGTGTATTGTGTGTTCACCACCCAAAGTCAGGTCTCCGTCCATCACCGCCCCTTTCTAAGCTCTTTATATGCACCCTCCTACTTACTCCTTCCAAAATTTAAGAGGTAGGTACTACAGGAAGCCCATTTCCCAGATGGAGGAACTGAGGTAAAACACAGCTGAGTATCTTACCTAAAATCATACTAACAGTGGTGAAGCCGCGGTTGTGCCCAACTCTAAGTTTCAAAGCTACACCCCTTCCGTGTGTGGTGCCGCCCGGCACGGGACTAGCAGGGTTTGTACAGAGGTGAACACACATGCAGGTGTGTAACAGGGGACACCTGGAAGCGATCTAGACATCAGAAACCAGAGACCAACGGGATGAATCATGGTGTGGAGGTACCACAGCATGGAACGTGGGCACTTTTAAAAAATGATCTGGTAAGGAGTATGAGGTATGCAGCTTAGCCTCAAATAGTTCAGAAAAAGTGTGTGTGGATAGAAAGGTCTGTGCACGTAGGCATGCGTGTATCTATGTATAGGGACAGCGTGTGTGCAAACACACACAAATGAGAGGGCACTTGGGAAACCAGTAACGGTCGGCAGCGCTGAGACACGGGGTCTTGGGCCACCCTTCGAGGGGCAAGGATACGGGGACTTGACACCGCTGAGCCAGGCTGGGGCCACACACCGGCCAGCACAGCGGCCACCTCCACGGAACGGGGGCACTTACGAAGCGAAGGGGGTTTTTAACACGGGGTCTGCATTGTCCACCATCAGGCTCCCGGACTTGAAGTGAGGGCTGAACTGTGTCAGGTGGTTTCGAAGGATTCCAACGGCGACCTGTGCATGTGGGTCAAGACTGACCCTGAGAGCGCATTGGGACACTGGTTAGTTCTAAAGAGGAGTTTAAAACTAGTAGGATAGGCAAACTATTTGACACATGAGCAAAGTTAGTGGTTTGAACTCCGCCATACCTGAAGACAATAACACTTCCTGGAGATAAGTCTTCAAATTCTATTTCTTGAATGTATTCATTGGGTCCCTTTGTGGTAATTCCAGCTTGTTTAACAATTTTACTCTCGTGAAGCTTGGAAAAAAGTTACATAAAGCTGTTCAATGAAGAATTCCAATGTCCTTAAAACGTTCAATGTAGTAGGAAGATAAGAATCCCAAATACCTGAATGTGTTCTCTAAGTTCTACTGTGATATTAGGTATTCCATTGATTGCCTTTTCATCCTTCTTATAAGGTTTTGTATTTCGTTCAACAGTTTTAGCTTCAAGAACTACTTCTTCGATTTTGCCTAGGAATATAGAAAAAAGTTAACAAAATTTCATTTTAAGCCATCTGAAATTAGGAATTGCTAAAGGGGTTTTAAATTATGTGATTGAAAGTTAAAGATGAGGACTTCCGCCAAGATGGAGTCGTAGGTGGAAGCACTGCACCTTCTTGTACAACCAGGTTTAAAAACAACAAAGTTTTAGCAACAAAAATGCAGCCAAACCACAGAAAATTGAACTACACAGAAGTTTGACAACAACGAACCCTTCAGCCAAACCGATAAACCGGTGAAGGAGCTAGCAGTGAGATGGACCGCGAGGGCCCCAGCAGGAGGAAGCGGCAGAGGGAATCACCATTGTCCCTCTCTGACCCACCCCCACATACAGCATCACAAGCCAGCGACCTGGGTGGCCCTGCCCTGGTGAACACCTAAGGCTCCGCTCCTCATACATAACAGGCACGAACATATAAAAACATGATTCAAGAACAACTCAGAGGCCCAGAGCCAATAAATCTAAGTGGTGAAGAAATAGCCAAACTTTCAGATGCACAGTTCAAAACACTGGTGATCAGGATGCTCACAGAACTGGTTGATTTTAGTCACAAATTAGAGGAATATATGAAGGCTAAACTAATTGAAATGAAGGGAAATACACAGGAAACCAATAGTAATGGAAAGGAAACTGGGACTCAAATCAAAGGAGTGGACCAGAAGGAGGAAAAATATGACCAAACAGAAAAGGATGAAGAAACAAGAATTCAAAAAAATGAGGAGAGACTTAGGAACCTTCAGGACATCTTTAAATGTTCCAACATCCGAATTATAGGGGTACCAGAAGGGGAAGAGAAACAGCCACGAGTGGAAAACTTATTTGAACAAATAATTAAGGAGAACTTCCCCGATCTGGCAAAGGAAATAGACTTCCAGGAAATCCAGGAAGCTCAGAGAGTCCCAAAGAAGTTGGACCCAAGAAGGAACACACCAAGGCACATCATCATTACATTAGCCAAGATTAAAATGAAGGAGAGAATCCTAGAAGCAGCAAGAGCTAAGTGGCAGTCAACTACAAAGGAGTCCCCATCAGACTGTCAGCGGATTTCTCAAAAGAGACCTTACAGGCAAGAAGGTGCCGGAAAGAGGTATTCCAAGTCATGAAATCCAAAGACCTACAACCAAGATTGCTCTATCCAGCAAAACTTTCATGTAGGTTTTGTTCCATGCAGTGAAAATATAAGTTGCCAAAATTTCTAATTTTTTCCCTCAACCACAGCCACATTTGCACCGTTATAAGACATATGCTATAAAACAGCGACTTAATATGACCCAGTACGCCTTTCTGTGACAACACAGGATAATCACAATACGTTTTAGGGTGCGCTATTACCAGGGATGCACATCTGCGGCACTTCCTTGCTGTAGAAGGAAGTCTTGGGGTTCCTGAAAGCGGTCCTAGACACAGCCACCACCGACTGATGGCTGTTAGGAGAGTGCCTCGTCACGGCCACTATGTCCTCATCCACCTGGTCCACGTACACCTGAGGGGCAGGAAGGCCAGCGGTCAGTGCTCCTGCTGCCGAGACTTGCTCCGAAAATGAGCCTTCGGCAAGGGGCGTGGAAGGTGTGGTTTCTCGCCTGAGTGAAGCCGCCGGCCCCCAGCTCCTGGTGGAGCCTGTTGACAGCGCGCCTGGCTGCAATGATTCCGCTCTGGAGACTGACGGCCCCGGTGTCTGATGGGGAGGCCCCGGGGCTCCACTTGGTATAGAACCGCTCTTCGGACACCACTGAAATCTGAGCAAAGTGGAAACTTGGAAAATGCACACGCTTTCACCACAACGGGAACTCTGGGTCAGCATGTCCCACACTGGGGGCCGCTCGGACCCCAAGGCCCAGCAGGGGACGCACCTGGTGAGGCACCAGTTCGTCGTAGCCTTTGGTGCTCCCGCTAGCGCAGCACGCCATGGAGACGACGGTGGAGCTCGGGAGGGCGTCGTAGGCCGATCGGTGCTGGAGAACGAACCAACGAACAAGCCCCAAGTTAATTTCCCTCTATCGCAAAGTGCCATCCTACAGCATCGCAAGGCGACAGGACAGTTACGGAAACACGTCGCACAAGACACATGACTCCGCTTCACATACACGCAATGGAGCACCACTTAGCCACAAGGAAAGATGAAGCGCCGCCATTTGCGACAGCGTGATGGACCTCAAGAATGTTACGCTGAGCAGAAGAAGCCGGCCAGCCCAAGCCGAGAACCACCGCTCACAGTGGGACTTCAAACTGGAACTGGGAGACGCAGACAGCAGCGAGGGGGGTCACCAGACAGCAGGGGGCGGGGGAGAGTGCAGGGTAAAGGGGGCCACGTACATGGTGACAGAAGACGATCCAAACTTGGGTTTGTGGGAACACACGTACCACGGAGCTGTACGCTTGAAACCCACAATCCCGTCAACCAGTGTCACCCCAACAAATTTAATTAAAAAATCAAGTAACACAGCATTCCAAACACCACATACCACAGTCGCTCACAATCTAACACACTACTTTGAAGTACGTGGATATAGTTTACACTAACTATCAGAGAACTGAATATCAAAGCGTTCAGCAAAATAAGGAAATGCAGGGAACAGACTGGCCGCTCACCACGATAGGACACTCGTTGTCGTGGGTGATGTCCATGAACAGGGCGTGGGCGATGGCCGGCACCAGGGGCCTCAGGCAGGGCTGCACGAAGGACCCCACGGGCTCGCCCCCGTACCGGTAAACCAGTCTGCCCTCCTCGTGGCTGTTATGTGCGCTCATTGCCTCTGCAAAGCATGATGGGACATTTAATCTTCGTTGCTAATGTCTAAGAAGAGGTCAGATGTCCTACATGACTGACTTTCAAAAGAAGGCCACATAAAGGTCATCCGAAGTCGCTTTAGATAATCACACAGATGTCCACGAGCTTAAGGGACAAAACAGTCTACTCCGTAATTTAACTGGGAAATGGCTCATGTAGGTAAACAGAAACTTGTGTTGTTCATTAGGATGTGGTTAGATGAAAATCTATGGGAATATAATCTAGAGATTATATTGTATTCCCAGGTAGTTGAAATAAAATTAGATTGATATGTTTTTAACAACAACAAACAAATGGCTTTGTTCATGAGTCATCCACTCATCCCGCTGTCTCTCCATTTAAAATGAGGTATTTTACCCCACAGTGGATGCTTTTGCTAGGAGAAATAGGCTGAGTGTTATCAGGAAATTTCATGTGGAATATTTAAAAGAACTTGAACCGGGTTGAAAATTACTAAGCGTTATACACAGAGCTATGAAATGCCTTTTAGTGCCCTGAACCAAAAGCTAGAGTTTCAGCTGGGCAGACACTTCCACGAGCCTACCTCTTATCAAGGAGCTGATGCCCAGCCGCGTCACGAAGACATTGTCCAGGTCTTCACTTCCCGTGAACAGTTCCGCCACCACGTAGAGATTGGGCTGCAGTTTCCGCGCAGCGTCCAGCATGTACTGTAGAAACCACAGTCAGTCATGTGACAGGAAGAAGAAAAGAAGATGGGAGGGAAGCAGAGGAGGCAGGACTAGGCATGGGTTCGCCGGGAAAACACCACGGAGCGAGACAAACGGAAATCCGAGAAGAATTTCCAAGTGAGTTTAATTGTGCATAAGTAAAAACACACACACAGACCGATATGCACAAGAAACAAGAGAATTTATAGAGAGAATGGAAGAGTTAAAAGGGAGATTGGATTTGGCACAGACCATAAGGACACGGGGGAGAAGAGAGAAAAAGAACAGTGTTGGTGCCATGTTAGAAGCGTGAACCACAGCAGCGGGGTTCTGCCAGGTGCCCCCATTTCCCGTGTGTTTGTCTCCGTGTCTCTGACTCCCAGGTGGCAGTAGCGTAACTGCTACTGATACAGTCCCTGCTGCTAAGCTGTGCAGATGGTCACAGACACCAGGCTGGGGCAGCTGTTCCCACGGGCGAGGGTAAACTCTCCACCAGAAATCAGACTGGTCCCAAAATGTTTAACCTAACGCTTGCATGAAGGTTAATGAGACAGTTGAAAGTCTATCGGCTAACAGGTAGGATTCTAGAGAGTTTTATAATTTAAAATTAAGGAAATTACGTTTTAATATTCTGTTTGGCCATAATGTTATGACCATCTTATAAGCATTTTTTTTTTGCTGTTGCTAAAGGTACAAGAAAAAATAAAACGGCTGTTTTTAGGGAGCTAAACAACTTCCACCACCTTAACGGTCATTAAGTACCTCCAAATCAAATCAATTTTGCCTCACGGGACTGGGAATACATACGTTATTACTGTTTTAAAATTAGAGAAAAGGCATTTTTCAGATAAGCACACACTTCTGAAGGACGCCGAGCTGTCCCGGGGAAGCGGTGGAGCTCTGGAAACGGTGGGGGAGGAGCAGCGGGGCCCTCGCAAACCTGCGAGACGTCAGGCTCTGAGAGATGTCAGGCGGGGGAGAGAGCACGGACATGGCCTTGCTAAGTCACGGGGAAAAGCCCGAAGAGGGGCTGACAAGCTTTATGTTCACGCTCACGCTTTTATAATTACAAAAAAACTGAATGGGGGACACTAAAAGTTCAATATGCTGTAGTGTTCGTGTTTAAACAATCACTATAAATTAATAAGCTCTTCAACTTCACAGTGGCTACCAATGTATTGAAGGCAACCTAAAAATAACAAGACTATTATAAGTTATAATATTTATCATTTATAAATGTTATATATTATATATTAGAATTATATTAACTTTGATCAATACAATTAGCATTATTAAATTATATTAAAATCAATATTAAATAAAACATATGATTGAATTATGATGGTCACATATTTTAGTGATATATGAATATTAATTTTTATTGTTTTAAGGTTCCAGCTAATACTATGAATTTTTTAGATTATTAGTATTAAATATTAACAGTATTTTAATGATATATGGCAATGTGGTTGTACGTCTATTAAAAGGGACGATTTGATCTACTTCCCTAAATTAGAATAAAAATCTGAACTCGAACCCCTTTATAGCCCAGTGTTCCGTAATAACCACATCCACAAACCCGGGAGAAATACGCAAACTACACGGAGGCTGAAATGCCACCAGCAAACCCACACTGGGGTCCAGGCAGCCACAGGAAATGCAGCACGCACTCCAGTGAAGGAAAGCTGGGGGGGAACACGGGGCTTGTCCTCCTAACGTGGCCGACGTGCTTTCCGTACCTCGGCGACGTGGAGCGGTGTGGAGTGGCAGTTGTCCAGGCGGACCCCCTGGAAGTGGGTCGCGGTTATTTCCGTGTATTTTTTCATGTGGGCCCACAGGTAGGGGCAGTCCTCCGGCCCATTCCCATAGCGCAACTTCACGCTGTCTCCCCAGCAAATCAGTTCTCTCCTGAGATAAACATCTGAACCTGTTGAGGAAGGACCTTGCTTTCAGTGATTTAAGAAATAAAACAAACAAAAAAATTGCTTCAAGGAAACACTGTTGTTTTTAAATCACATGGACTGTTTCCACCACAAACCATATACATATTGGTTAGACTTCTATCTCAAATGGTTTGGGATAAAATTTTTAAAACTTAATATTAACTTATAGCCCATCTATTTTGCAAAAATTCTTGCTTGTAGTCTCTTCTTGAATTTTTGCCACTAAGCAAACTTAGTGGCAAAAATTCAAGTTGCTTCTTAAAGGAAAAGAGTAATAGCAGTATCATTGGTCCTTTGAAGCTACAGGTCTGGCAAAAACATTTAAAGCTCTGTCCCCACTTTGCCCCCCATTTTGGGCAACAGGTGACATTGAATCCGTGACATAGAGCAGAGTGCATTCCTCATTTAGAATGGCCACAAAGCAGAGGGCAGAGATACTTAAGCCCAAAATTACATTGTTTTGATTTTAATGAGATTTAAAAGTTAAAATGATTGCCATTAAAACAGACTTCTAGTTCTGAAATGTTAAAACAAATATATCGATGGGTTTCTTGTAAATTCTTAGCAACAGAACAGCTATAGAAAAATAAGAGTTAGGAAAAAGTGAGAGCGAACCTAGAAACAACTAGTTACCATCAATTGCTATTCAAATAGTTTAATGCTCCTCCGGCTAATGAGTGACAGTATCTCTTGCAGCAATATAATGACAATACCAGTGGTTCCAACTGTCTTTAAACATGCAATAGAATGAACCTTTGCAGGAGAAAAACAGGTCTACAAAAGCCATTCTGTTTGAGGACACGGGTGGGAAGGGAAGAGGAAGAGGATGAACCCCATCCTTTCTGTCAAGCCTCTTCCCTCAAGCCGTACCCACCTCTGCTACCTTGGGGATGCGACCGTGTAAAACCCACTAGCCTCGTGGGGGGAAACAGACTAGAACGGTCTACACTTTGACCTTGCAGGGACTTTCTTTCCCTGTCCGTAGACAGTGAACACAGACGGCGCACGGACCTGGTTCGGCGAAGTTGCGCAGGGGGTCGTCTCCCATCACCCACCCGTTGTGCGCCATCAGAAAGCAGGCTCTGCGCGGCAGGTGCAGCAGGGACTCCTCCTCTGGGAGAGTCATCTCTTCAAACGGGAAAGTGAAGTATCTGTGGGGACAGAGCTAGGGGTCAAGTCCAGACCAAGAAGCTCGCTGGAGAGAATCCGAGTCAGCACCATTCCCGTTAAATTTCTTCCCCAATGAACAGAAGAAATAAGATTAGTTTGACACCACTCCGGGGAAATACATTTCATTATAAGTCAAAAATCTTCAGTTGACTTTTTTTGAGTAAATCGAGTAGAATTCAAGGAACAGAGAGAGGTAGCATGGTAATATATCTGGTCGACATTTTAAACAATAATTTACAAAATCTCATACTTTACTAATAAAGTCATGAGGTACTAATGTAACTTGCTATACTTGAGTTGCCGGGTCTATGCTACACGCTACTTGAAAGGAGCGAAATGTTTGCTCAATTTGACTGTCACCAAAATTGTTAGTAAGGACACAGTCCTCCAGGAACGTCAATGTGAGTAATTATACATCAGTTCTTAAAGATTTGCCTACCAAAATTAGTGAACAGTAAGCCTAGTAACCAAGTCAGAACTTCGATTCTCATTTAAGAAATGTAGCGAAGTCACCCATTAAAGAAAACATTGAGGCTGATTTCAAAAGTGAAATACAGTTTTTCACCTTTAATGAGAAGAAAACAAAAATGAAATACCTGGTAACTAACGGGTATTTCCTAGTGACAGCTCCTAGTTTGGGACCATGGCCAGCCAGTCGTTCGTAAAACACGTTTCCCAAAACGCAATTAACCGCCTAGAAAACATTAAATGATGTTAAGCAGTAACAACAGGAAGCAGTATTGAGACTCAGAAAAACCCCCGGCAGTTGGAACAGAGGTAGGACCTGCTCCTGATGATAGTTGATGAGTTGGTGTTTTTCTGAATTCAATTCCTCGAGCCTCTTCCGGAACCAGTGACAGCACTCGTCAATGGCAGCCGGCCCGTTGCTAGAGTGGACAGAGCGACAAGAACCCATTACGCGCGGCTGTGACCAGTTCCACTGTTCAGCCCTTTCCAGCAGCCGGGTGGAGGGGGGATGGGATTGGGAAGCAGAAGCCAAAAGTCACAGAACAGTGCAGGGAATCCAGCCAGTGAGACTGCAATGACCCGTGGGTGGTGCCAGGCAGGGGCTGGATTCCCTGGGCTGGTCACTGCGAAAGTCATGTGAATGTCTGATCCTGGGGCTGTGCGCCTGGAGCTAAGGTGACACTGTGTGCCCAGTGTCACTGAAAACTAGAAATGTATCGAAAGTAGAAATCTGTGAATGTTAGAAATGAAGAAAAATTCTAACAAGGGCCACAGAGTCTTTAAATATGTTCATCAGAATTTTAATTACCGCTGAAGAAGTTTTCTGATTGTAAACGTTTGTACGTAAGCCCACGGGAACGTGGACCAGTGTGCGGACAAAGGAGGAGACATCGTGTGCTCCCAGTAGTAGAGTCATGGCAAATTTATTTCATTTTCTGTCCGAACCGTGGCAGATTTACTTCATTTCCCATTCAGACTCAGAGTAAATAGTATGGAAACAACACTAGCCCTAAAGCTCTATAAGCAGCATCCCTCGTCACGCCCCAGGCCGCGGCACGTACTCGTGGGGGACGAAAGTGGCCAGTGCGATGCTCATGTCCACGGTGCAGCCGAGCCGCCTGTACTCAGGGTCCTGAAGGATCTTCAGGTGCTGCTGGGGGTCAGGCTTGGTTGTTGTCTGCCTGTTTCCTGGGGTGAAAAAGATGACATCACAAATGCAAATATCTGCAAGAAAATTACCACTGTTCCTGATTCCAATGACTAGTTTTTACATTTTTCACAGAAAATACAACCAATGTTTATTTCACAAGCATCCTTCCTACCTCCCGGTCCAGCCTCCTACGTACCACCTAACACACAGGTACAGTCGGAGGGAGGGAGGGAGAGAGGAAATAATGTTATAGAAGAAAAACACAGGGATTCCTATCAGTTCAGCCCCAGTCCCATTTTTCTACCAGAATGAGTATACACTTATCCTATACAGTTCTTTAGGGCAAGAGGGATGTCTGTACAAATGTCCCCCCAGGTTCTACACCAAATACACTAACCTCAGGACTTCTTTCCCCTCCCCCGACTGCCTTCTACTCTACGGTGAGTCTCAGGAACAAGCCGGCCTTCTTTGCAGTCCCTGAAAGCACATGGGTTTGTGTTTTCTTTTTTACCAACAAGCATATTCCTTATGTGATAATAAAAATTTAAAAAGTAAATAAATGTTCATGGGGGGAATTTTCATTCCTTTTCCAGAACGTTTTCCTGATCCATCAAGCATTGGCGCATGACTGCTTTTCCCGAGCTTGATTTTTACATGAACTAACTAATATTTCTAAAGAGACTTAGAAATGGCTTATAAAAGCACAGAGTAAGATAAAATATAGATTCTTCACATCTAGTTTCTGAGGTTCACCTGGAAGAATAAATCTATGAAAACTGCCCAGAAAGGTTTGAAAAAGAGAAAAAGCTGCATATCAGTGTAAATTATAAAACGAGCTTCGCTGTTGTTAGAGTGAAACACAGATCAGTGGCTGAGCCCAGGTAACACACTAGCATGTATTTCGTGTGTGACCGACCCTGTGACGTGTTATGGCAGTGCTCTGAATCCATGTAAAAGGATGAATTGCCATCAGTTCCTCATTACTGAATAAAAATAAAGTTAAATATCTTCTTCGTATAGCACCCAAAAATGAATCTCAGGTGTATCAAATGTTCGAGTGTAAAATAGGAGGATTAGAAGAAAGTACAGAATATTGATGGAGGCCTTTTCTACACGTGACATGAAGTCAGAAGCCAGGAGGAAAGACTGACAAATCCGACCACACAGAAAGACAGCACCACCATCAAGAAGAATTAAAAAATCAACGGCACACTAGGGGGTATATCAGAGGCCAGTATAATTAGGGATTGCCAATAATAATAAGTATCAAAACAATAACCCAATAGAAAAATGGAGAAATAACACAAACAGATAATTAGTGGAAAAACTACAAATGGCCACATGAGTAGATACCTCACTACTGAGCACAGAGATGTAAATTAAAAGGAGGGCCGTCTCACCTGACTGACAGATATGAAGACCCATGGCATCTAAACCCGATGAGGGTACAGCCGGCAGTAACACCAACAGCCACGACTTGTGTTGAAAAGCAACTTAACAATACCCACTGTAAACCTACCATTAAATTTATGTGCTCTCCGACCCAGTAAATCTGGGTCTGACCATTCAGCCTACAGACTTACTCATATCATCATGTAAAACAACATGTACAAGGACACGTTTTCTGTACTGCTGCTTGGAAGAGTATCAGTTCCACTGTGCTCCCCACCAGAGGGGTGTCCAGCATCCGGTAAGCAGGGGGTTCGGTAAATACGCACTGAGTGGAAGCAAGAATGAACGATGGAAAATAGCCCATCTAAAGACTAAAGGAATTCAATCAGGTTAAAGCGGTATTGCTCTTTAGAGGTTCAAAGAAAGAACTGGCTGTAATAAAATCATATTTTCAATTAAAAGAACAAGTCGTTAAACAGTCTGTATGCTGTAGTCTTATTTGTGTGTATATCAAACAGATCTAACTATAAAACTTAGGTACACACGCTATTAAGATGTGTATGAAATTTAAATTTCTGTCAAAAAGACTGAAAAGAAACAATTGGTAAGTTCCCTGTAAGAAGCAGGTTTGGGGGAGAGGAGGAAGCCAGTCTCTTTATTTATTATATTTTTGCACCGTCCGGCCTTTTTTTCCTTTACTGTGAGTGCACATCATCGCATAGAAGTAATGGAGCTTATAAACACGAGAGCAAATAAGAGAGAGAGAGGCCCTGCGGGGAAATGGAACCCGAGGGGAAGTTGCCACCAAGCACTGATGCTTGAAGGCTCCACAGGATGCTGACCCTGAACTTTGCCGACCTCGGCTCGACTCCATTTACTGCTGGGCCCTACGGCACCTCTACTGCCTGGGTGAGGAGGACATTTCCTTATTTCCAGGGCCAGACTAACAGCAGATACATTCTGCACAGCCTTCCTAATTGGCCTCCTACGGCCCCGACTTCCCTTTTAGCTTTTCCTGCCCTGCTTTCTGGGGAACGTGCCGATCCATTGACTTCTCACAGCCCATCAGGTCCCTCAGTGATGACTCGGTTCCTTTGAGTTACTGGCTAATTCTGGGTCGGTGCCACCAGCAATGGGAGCCCTTAGCCGTAGAGGCTCTGCCCCAGCTGGAGCCCTACTTGAACGACAGAGGACTGTCACGGTTTGTTTCAAAGCCTCTTCCGGGGGCTTCTTGCAGCAGAAACGCTCTGCTTGCTTCCCTCCCACCGGTGCACTGAACAAGTATATAGTGAGCTCCGCTGCATTCCGAGCGTCGTGCTAAGGAGACAAGAGTAAGACACGGTCCTCAAAGGAAATAATCATGTTACATATTTTTACGACATGCCCTTTGAACGATCAGAGAGCCTCCAAAGCACAGTTTGGCAGTATCTAAACAACACAAATATCATATAATAACTAATGCAATCACGGGTTAATCAAGAGGAAGAGTAATATGAAATTTCTTAAAATCGATAGGAGCACTACAGTGTATACCCTAAGTTACCTTGCATGAGGAGTCCTCTGAATTGCTCAACGGCTTTGTCCACGTCCACTTGGAAAAATTCCCAGAGCTGAATCTTGGGAAAGACCTCTTCCCAAATTATTTTTCGGATGCACTGAAAAATTGCAATGGTTCAAAATAGATACATATTTAAAATCTTTTTTTAAAAGATTTTATTTATTTATCTTTAGAGGGGAAGGGGGGAAGGAGAGAGGGAGAGAAACATCAATGTATGGTTGCCTTTCGTGCGTCCCCTGCTGGGAACTGGCCTGCAGGGAACCGGCCTGCAACCCAAGCATGTGCCCTGACTGGGAATCGAACAGTAATTGTGTGCTTCGCAGGCTGGTGCTCAATCCACTGAGCCACACCAGCCAGGGTGGTACATATTTAAAATCTTTCTAGGAAATATCACCGAGGCTATCCACAGGCAGATTCTACATGACGTTCACCCCCACACCGAGCCGGAAGTTCAGGACCCTGCTGACTTGGGTGTGAGCACGGCACACCTCTGTACGTACTCACATTCATCTGGTAGTCGTTCTCGATCAAGGCGGGCACCCCCTTCTCTCTGTATCTCCCTCCTGCCACGTCGCAGGACAGGTGCCACAGCGCTCTGTCTAGGACCCAGGCAGGTTTCAGGTGCGGAGAATTCACAAGGTTGTACGCACTCTCCGGATGCTCCTGGATCCACTTACTATTAGCAGCTTAGAGAAAAAGGGAACACAAAGGCAGACCTTGTAATAAACTGAAGTTAGCATGTTAAGGTTAAAGGTAAAGGAGAATGTCACCATTGACCCCTCATTTTCTTATATGCGAGACATCACTATATTATAATGACACTGAAACATGAAAAAGAAGTTTCGGTTGTGGCACCCACTGTCCACTTTACCACCCATTTTTGTCTTCTGTTGTGGGAATTTGTTATTGATAGTAGGATGCAACACGGATTTCCCAACGCCATTGCAAGAACACATTTCCTGTTATGGCGGGGGTTGAGAGGGTTGTGTCCCCAGCCTGTGTTGGTGGTCCTTGAGTCAGTGACATTTCCGAATGCTCCTTGGAAGCCTGAGGGACATCTTTCCCTGTCCCAGCCTCAAGTTCTCTGGCCCTCTGTCACAGCAGAAAGCTCCCTGCGTCTTCAGCTCTGGCTGACGTGGCCCAGCGCTGGCCATTAGGCTCCAGGCAGGAGACAGTGTCCTTTTCCATTTACTCTCTCCTGCCTTTGGTCTCCTGAGCGAGGGGATCCTTTGGTTCTATCTCCCACCCTAACGTTAGTACTTCAAGGTCACGTACACTTTTTTCCTGCTTACTCATTTCTTTCTGTGTATTTTTTTTGGAGTGGATGGAGATATATTGTATCTCTCCAAAGCTAAGAATACAAACACACGTCCTGTCTAGAATGCTATTTCTCTAATGTCCGCGCGGTCCCTGAGTATCAAGAACGAGTGTCTTGAAAATCCAACCTGCGTCGGCTTCCACTTTCTCCCCACATTCTCTGCAAACCACAGCATCCGGCAGGTGGCTGGGGTTACTCCAAGCCTCCTAACCATGAAGCTCAGTGCTCCGTTCTCAACTTCGTCCAATTCAGCCCCTGCAACCTGTACCATTCCTGCTCAGTCCTTCCTTCATTTACATGCAAATCCTTACATTTTGATTACTTATTGAACTAACACTTTAGAGTTCTTTGCAAGACAAAAAGTGCTATTTTATAAAGTGATCTTTCAATTGAAGGACACGTGTCATTTGTGTTTTCAATGTTATATAAAACCGCAAGGAATGAAATAATTAGAATATTTTCATCACAACTAACGGTAGTTAATAAAGCTCATACCAGTGTGATTGTAGACCACATCAGTAATACAAAGAATATTCCATTCCTTTTTCAATTTTTCCACTAGCTGCCCAATGTCATTCCAGGTACATTTTTTATTAGGTCTTGAAAAGTCGGGGTTTAATTCCAACTGATCCGCAAGGGAGTAGCAGGACCTGGACTCTCCAAGGGTCTGCAGCGGGGTAAAATGAATCATGTTGTAACCTGTAGCGCAAGAAAACAGAGAGCACTGTGAAACAACAACAACCACCACCATCTAAAACTAAGCTTCCTTAAGTAATTCTAAACAGATGGCAACCATGGTACGAGAAAAGGACTCCAGGACTTCAGTTCAAATGTGGGCTGCACCACCAGTGACTTCCAGCAAGCCCACTGAAGTCTCTCAGGATGTGGGCGTGGTCCCACAGAGACAGAGATCAGGAGACAATGCACTGGAAGGAAATCGCACGTGGTGCCTGTTACTGCTAGGGGCTCAATGTACACTTGTTGACTGAACAGATTTACATGTAGAAAATATAACCTCTGCAAGAATGTCAGCGTGTCTTTCTCCTACTTTTAAAATGTATTTTCTTGATTATGCTATTACAGTTGTCCCAATTTCTCCCCTTTGCCCCCCCCCCCAACGCTGCCTGGTATTTCCCTCCCCTCCAGCAATCCTCCACCCCCAGTCCATGTTCATAGGTCATGCGCATAAGTTCTTTGGCTTCTCCATTTCCTATCCTATTCTTAACCTCCCCGTCTATTTTGTTCCTACCAATTTGTGCTTCTTATTCCCTGTACCTTTCCCCCCATTCTCTCTCCTCCCCCTCCCAGCTGATAACCCTCCACGTGAGCTCCATTTCTGTGACTCTGTTCCTGTTCTAGTTGTTTGCTTAGTGTGTTATTCGGGTTCAGTTATTGATAGCTGTGAATTTGTTGCCATTTAATGTTCATCGTTTTGATCTTTTTCTTCTATAGTTCCCTTTAGCATTTCATGTAATACTGGTTCGGTGGTGGTGAACTCCCTTGTCTGGGAAGCATTTTATCTGCCCTTCAATTCTAAATGATAGCTCTGCTGCAGAGAATAGTCTACACTGTAGTTCCTTGCTTTTCATCACTGTGAATACTTCTTGTCAGTCCCTTCCAGCCTACAAATGTTCTTTTAAGAAATCCACTGATAGTTTTATGGGAACTCCTTTGTAGGTAAAACTCTGCTTTTCTCTTGCTGCTTTTAAGATTCTATCTTTATATTTAAACTTCAGCATTTTAATTATGATGTGTCTTGGTGTGGGCCTCTTTGGGTCCAACTTGTTTGGTTCTCTGTGTGCTAGACTTATATGTCTATTTCCTTCACCAAATCAGGGAAGTTTTCTTTCATTATTTTTTTTCAAATAGGTTTTCAATTTCTTGCTCTTCCTCTTCTCCTTCTGGCACCCCTATGATTCGGATATTGGCACCCTTGGAGATGTCCCAGAGTTTCCTTAGCCTATCCTCATTTTTTTTTTAGTTCTTATTTCTTCTTTTTGTTCTGGTTGATTGTTTATCTCTTCCTTATGTTCCAAATCATTGGTTAGAGTCTCAGCTTCCTTCCCTTCTCTGTTAGTTTCCTGTGGATTATTCTTTATTTCACTTAGTGTAACCTTCATTTCTTCCTTTATGTTGCTGCCATAACTCAAGGAGTTCTCTGAACATCCTGATAACCAGTATTTTGAACTCTGCATCTAATAGGTTGGCTATTTCTGTTTCACTTAGTTCTTTTTCCGTGGTTTTGTTCCGTTCTTTCACTTGGGCCATTAGACTTTGTCTCCTCAATTTGGCAGCCTCCCTGTGTTTGTCTCCATCTACTCAGTAGAGCTGCTTTTCCTCCCTTAGTAGCATGGCCTATGTAGAAAAGGTATCTGTAAACGGTGTGGGCAGAGCCTTAGGTAATTGCCAGGGTGGGCCACCCACTCCACCCCTTTGTGGCTGTGTGGGGAATGCCTGAGAGGGGACAGTTCTGCCACCTGCCTTGTGGAGGTTCACCGGGTAATCATTCCATTTCTAGTCACTTCTCCCCCTTCCCGTGTGTGACTGGCACCCCTTCCAGCTGCTGCCCCAATGGTGAAGCCTGGAGTGGGTGGGTTCGCGTACGTTCTAAGACCAAGTTGGCTTTTCAAGTGGCAAAAATCCAGCCATTTTTTCTGCCACCCCAACCCCTGCTTGTTTTTTTATAGGCAGAGGTAACCAGAGATCTATCTTCCTGGTGCTGGAACCCTGGGCTGTGTGGTCTGGCCTGGGGCTGGGATCGCTGGCTTCTAAGGTGTCCCTCCCCTTGTCCCCTGCTGCTGCAGCTGCCTTTCCAAGTCACACAGCCTGTCCGCCCATCTCTGTGACTCCGCCCCTCTGACCAGTCTGGATGAATGTGTCTTCTTTAAATCCTCAGTTGTCAGACTTCCATACGGCTTGATTTGCTGACAGTTCTGGGTGTTATTAGTTTCCAGATCTGGCTGTAGTTCTTTCGATGCTTGTGCGAGGAGGTAAATCATGTCTGCTCGTGCCTCCATCCTGACGGGAAGTCCTCTCTTCCTCCTACCTTCAATGTCCCACAGCACTTATGTTCTGTTTTAGTAGTGACAGGGAACTTCTCACTTCTTTCTCCACACTATATTCAGCTTGAAAGGGGGGAACTAATATGACCGTTGCAGGTTTCTCTTGGTGTGTTTGGCCCCCTTTCACAAAGAAAAACAGCTAACCATATTTGTTGACTTAGTGATATATAATGATAATACATTTTCCAACGTATTTTAACAGTGTACCACTAATTTTTATATGTCTAAGTAAAGTGGAGTCTTAGAAACAGTAATGACCTTCTTTCATCACAGAGTTTCTTCATTTAAGTTGAGCTACATAAAGTGTCGTTTTAGTTAAAAACGGTCAAGCATCAACAATTTCATATCGCTGCATCTATTTATGTTACTAAATGGACTCAGAAACATAATTAAAAGGAGACTCAAAGCCTTTAAACCTGTACCACAGGTTTTATTCTTTAAAAGAAGGCAAGAAAGAGCGCTGGACATTACCCGACTCCTTTGCAACCCTCAGGCGACTCTCCCACTCATCGAAGGGCCCCAGGCACTTCGCTAAAAAGGTCTGGAGGGTCACACAGTCCAAGGGCAACACCTGGTTATCAGCACCAACTCGTAGAACAGGGTCCACAACTATGTAGCCCCCTCCGCTCTTCTCAGTCCTAGGGGAAGAGAACAAGATAAAAGGTTCGCAAGTAGTGGTAGGAAAAAAAAAAATCCTCACCTAATAGTCTGACTCTGTAGCTGGAAATGATCTGTTCCAACTGAGAGTGTATTTATAAGCACATAAAATCATTTAAAAAGCTGTAATAAAACTCAATGAAAAGCTAAGTTTTACCCTTTTCCAATCTTTATATAATAACAGTACAATATATATAATGACCAATAATGTTGCTTTAAGGAAAAATAAGTGTACTAAAATCTGTCAGCAATAATAAGAGTACTGAAGTGAATACCATCATCTAATTAGGTTGCGTGAAAAGACTTGTATTTAAGCTGTAACTTAAAAAAATAATAATACTTTGGATCTGCAAGGGGCCTTCCAGCCGCTTCCTAGAAGATCATATTCTGCCTGCATCTCAAGACATTCCTGGAAAAGCTGCAATGTCATGGTTAATATGGTCCCTTTTTACAAGGTAGATAAATTTAAATTACAGAATAAAGTTCTTTGTTTTTATTCAGAACATCTCACTTACCCTTGAAGGAAGTAATACTGAAATGACCCGGCTTGTTGAAGGTTAAGTTTACAGTACTTATCAGAATCATCTTCTCTTTCTAATGGATTCTCCCACACCAGCGAACGGAACTTTTCTCGATTAAATGTTTCTCCGGGAGATGGGTAATTAGTGTGCACAGTAACCGCCTTTCCCTGTAAAGTTGGGCCTAATCGGAACTGCAGTTCAAACCCTAAACAGAAAAGCACATTTCGAGAAACTTATTGCAGGACTTACATTACCAAAACTATGATTTCTCAACCATGTTTACAATAACTCCAAATACATAATGCTGGTTTGGGAACTGCTCCATCTCCAGTTCAGCTGAATTTTATATTTTAACACAGAGTGCACATCAGAACAGACAGAATACATGAGATGATCCAGGGCATCAAACCACAAAGAGATTCTTTGAGAACCTCTTTGATTCTTAAGAGATGGAGAGTAAACAAGGTCAGTTCTGTAACGTCCCCTGCCTGCTAGCTTGAAAGAGTTTCCAAGTTGAGGCCCAAGGAAGGACGTCCAGGCACAGCTCAATCCCCTCCCCGCACTGAGGGGACAGAGCTAAGGATCTGCAGGGACCAAGGAAGCCAGAGATTGCAGATGAGAGTAGTGGGTGAGGGGAGGAGGCTGCCCAGAGAGAACCCCCCAGATCTGAGAGGACTCCCTTGAGTATTTGGCAGATACTGATCAGCTCACATCCACAGGGAAAAGGGAGAGAAATAGTATTTGTTTTTACCAGGTAGACTGAAAAAATCATAATTCACAAGGCACTCGGTAGAAAATTCAAGAGGATCGTGCTTCAGTAGTGTGAACTAAGGAGGCCCAGCCAGGGCATAGTTCTACTCTGCCTTAACAAGTTAAAAAGGCAGAATTCAAAAGAATTAAAATAGTGCCAACAAACTGAACTTCATTCCAGAACAAAGACCAAGAACATGGACAAGAATCCCAAATTACCCAGCACCCAGCAAGGTGAAACTCACAATGCCTGGCACCCAAACAAAGATCACGAGACATCGGGAGAAGCCGGAAGATACAACCCAGGAGACACAACAAGGAGAAAAACCCACCAGTGAAAACTGACCCACCCGTGATGTAGATGCAGGACTAGCAGCTAAGGGAGGCTGTCTAATATCCCAACCATAACCCACGTGTTCAAAATGTTAAGAGATGAGGAATATATAAAAAATAAAACCAAAAAAGATCCACATCAGATCTCTAGAGATGAAAACCACAATGTCTGAGATGAAGGTACAGACAGGGAAATTGACAGATGGTGAGACATGTCAGAAGAAAAGATTAGTGATTTCAAGACACGAGACTAGAAACTATGCAAAATGAAACAAAGAGGAAAAAAAAGAATCTAAAAACACTGAAAGAGCATTAGCAATCCACAGGACAACTCAAGTGGCCTAATGTGTAGGTAACGAGGGTCCTCGGAGGGGAGGAGAGAGAAGGGGGACATAGCTTACCTGTAGAAATGATGAATTAAAATTCCCTGTATTTGATGAAAACAATTAACTTACAGATTCAAGAACTTTAACAATCCCCCCAAACAAGAAACATGGAGAAAATTACCCTGAGGGGCATCCAAACCAGACTGCTCAAGACCAGTGACAAAGAGACCAGCTCACAAGTAGGTGGAGCGAAGGAAGACACATTGTGCAGAGTGGAACAAGAATTGAGAGAACGTTGTACTTTTCCGGTTTACTCTACTCCCATTAAATGGTTCCACGATTGCTCAGGGAAATGGGATGCTCTGTTCTGTATACCGCAATACAGATCCTAGGAGGAGAGGGAAGTTCTAGATATTCCTGGAAAAAATTATAATCTAGCTACAAGTTCTGGGAATCATATTTCTAGACTGGGTTAAAATATGGCTATGAATTTATTCCTAGTAAATGGCTTTAGCAAGCCAGAAAGAAATAATCCAAATGGAGTTATTAAGTAACTCTGCAAAAATCCAGGGACTTGCTTTTACTTCTCACACTGGACAGCGAAGCTAGTAATTTCTTTTCTAAGTAGTTTTGCAATTTTTCCTATAAAGCAATTTGGCATAAATATACTAGGAATGTCAGTGAAGTTTATATTTTAACCCAATAATTTTATATATGCACATACAGGGTATTATTTAATTATTTTAACCCAATAATTTTATATATGACAAAAACTGTAGGTTTACAGTTGTTTGTATGGAAAATGGTCCAATAATTAATTAATAATCATGCAAGAATAAACTGTGGTTTATGTACTCACCACTGTAAACTGACCTTTGCCCCGCCCCATATTTTCTGGGGAATTAATCGGTGGGTAAACATACATTATATATAAGGATGCTCATCACAGCCTCATTTATTAGAATTAAATAAACTGACAACAAGCTAAATATCTAACGATTGGGAATGAGTAAATAAATTAAGATGTAAATTATGGTAGCTTGCAAGCTGGAATACTATCAAGCCATTATAAATCTTATTATCAAAGATATTTAATAACATAGCCACTGTTATATTGTTACATTTTATGAATCTACATAGATCTTTAAAAACCCTTCTGGAAAGGAGTATGGCTGAAATGTGATTGTCGGCAGGGAGGTGGAATTCACACACTATCATTCTATAGCAGTGTTTCAAAATTGTTTAGATAGCATACACCTAATTTTGTTTTGAAACAAAAAACATAGAAAAATGACCTTTTCTACATTTCTATCATTTTCTACTTAGGGGAGACATCATTTTAAAATGAGAACTACAGTTACGAAGATATAGTTTGAGAGATAACTGAAGAATTAAATTATAAAGTTTTAGTACTTAGTAACTATGAGACTCACACACATTTAGATCTTTGCAAGACTGATTGAATTCACTGCAGGAGCAATGGTGTCATTTTGAACAAATACAAGTATCAGAGAGGAGCTGTCTGAGCATATTTAAACAGTCTGCCCCTGTTCAGCTTATGCAAATATTGTTTTTCTAATTACACAAGGACTCAGGGTGCAAAGGTTAAAACTCTACAACAGTGTTTGGATCAGGAGTCTAGCTTCAGAAAAGAAATGACAAATATTCTCCAAATAGGAATATTTATTTTTAATGTAATATGCATGTACAATGATGTAGTAAACTATGTAAATTATGAAAACATAAAATAAGGGTACGATGTAAATAAAATATACAGTATTTTAAATAACTGATTTTATTTATTAATGGATGGAAAAATCTTTCAGCTCTCACTAAAAATTAATATTGATAATATTTGTCTATGAGAAGAATGTGATTAAACAAATTTCATTAATTTTATTTTATTTTATTATTATTATTTTTTTCCCATAAAAGGCAACCAGCACTATATTGCAATCAAAATTCTATACTACTACTGTTTGGACCTGGTTAAAATATCCACCAGAAAAACACAAAGATTACTATGACTTTTAGTTACCAGGTAGATTCTCACTGTGGTATTGGTAGTTAGAAAATATGAAGAGAATTTTCTAAGCCGATAACCAGACAGATTTAATTGAGAAAAACACAGTTTTGTGTTTGTTTTTGTTTCGCTTTTTTTTGTCAGGGATTTTTTGTTTTTTGTTTGTTTGTTTGTGGTTTTTTAAAAATTATATTTAGTTATTTTTCAAGTACAGTTTTTTGTCTATTTTTCCCATCCCAGCCCTCCTGCCCCGTCTCCCCACCTCCCTCCTATTTCCCCCCTCCCCCCAAATTTCATTAATTTTAAACATCTTGTGATAAAATAATTTAAAGACTCCAAGTTCTGTTCATTTTGATCCTTGGCTTAATGGCCTCGGATCTGAAAAACTGCCACACAAAGATACCCAAGTCCAAACTGCAGAAGTCATTGGTGGCTATGCTTACTAATCCATGACATGGACTTTTCAATCCCATTCACCAATTATGAAAAGGTTCTTGTTGAAATGTGCTAGTCAATATATATTTTCCCTGACACACGTCAATTGTTTTTACAAGCTGGTCAGAAGATACTCCATATTTATACGTGAAACAGATGATCTGAAAAGCAACGGAAATGCTTTATTTGGAAGATTTTGAACAGATTAGAAAATTTTGTCAGTTACCTTTTTAAATGGGAAGATAAGCATTTGCATGGGTAAAATCTTATGAGAGAAGTATTACTAGAATACCTGTTCAAAGTGCTTCATACAGTGAGGGTTGGCAAACTTATCCAACCTCCCACCCGCTTCTTTACAGTGTGACTGGAACAGACCACACCCACCCACCCGCTCACTCATGACACGTCAGTGTGGCATTCAGGGCTCAATGGCAGGGCCGAGGGGCTTTGACAGAAAGGATACAGCCCGCAACACTGGACATATATGCTCTGTGACCCTTCACAGGGCAAAAAATGTGCTGAATTTTTTCTTTAGAGCATCAGTTTCCATCAAAAAGCAGTTAAGCTGCTCATGTGTACCTCGCAGTAAATTGTGTTCACTTTTACTGAAACTATTTTCTAGGGGTCATACCACTGGGAGCTTCATGTCAGTCCGGAAAAGCACGAGTCTCAGAGAGCAAGTTCCAAACACCTGCTCACTGCTCTGCATGGTGGACAACCTCTTGAGGTTAACAGGCATCTACGGTTCCTCTACTGTAAATCGTACATAGCCTTCGCAAGCCAACGCTTTGAATCTTTACAAAAAGACTCGATCACTTAATGTAACTTGTGTCCCTACTCAACCTGGTCTGGATAGAGTATAATTAATTCATGGCAACAAACTGCGAGCAAACTAGTGACGGTGTGACCGTGTTACTTCCTTCCAGAGCTACAGCCTCCACGGTTTCCTCAGAATGTGGCATTTTCTTTATAACTCACCTGACATGCAACCTGAAATCATCTATGTCCATTCATAGAGCAGCAAAACTGAATTACTTTTTAGAAACTAATATTGGTAGGCAGGTAGGGAGAGAGAGAAAGGGAAAAAAGAAAGAAAAGAATAGATGAATCCTATAGTTTCTTTCTGGGTCCCAATAGACAGATGGGCGCTCACCCCGGGGGCACATTGCCACCACGCAGACTCTAGTCCAAGTTCCCAAATTTGTAAATAGAGTGTTAGAATACACCGAGTATGTCAGATTCCATAATTAATTGCACGGTCCGCTAAAATTAGCTTAGGGCTGGGCAGCACATGGTGAGGCTATCTCATTCCTCACACTGACCTCTCTCCTCTAGCAACCAGCAAGATGACCAAGTAAATGGTCACTGTCGACTAAGTTTTCTGTTCCCTCCAGTCCATTTATGAAGATTTGCGCTCCAGATCAAGGAACCTCTATAAATAGTTTCTTTACAAAAAGTAAAAACTGAAATTTGACCAGCCTACGTGGAAGAAGTCTGATTTTGTTCATCATTCTGCCACTACATGAGATGGGAAATAGAGGGAAAGGCTGTCATTGCCTAGAAAAGATAATTAGTTGGCCTTGCACTTGCTGAATTAGAGAAATCTACAAAGATACTAGCCTTGAAAATGAGGAGGAATCCTTGTTTGGGAAAAGGAAAGAAAAATGAAGAAAAGTTTGGTGACCAGTAAAATATGAAAGCACCAAAAATTGCCATTTTTAAAAATATTTAATTGATTGCCAAGCCCTAGAAAATTTAAAATGGCTCACCCGCCACGCCCCCTTTTTCAGCCCTGATGGAGCTAAACCCTTTAAGTGGGCACGTGTTTCCAATGGCCTTCTCAATGGTTTCTCGCGTCCAGTGCCCCTTTATTTTCTGCACTGCAATTATCTTCTGAAATAACATGAGCACCTTGTCACTGCACAGAACACTGGCTGTGTTCTCACCGATGCCATCTGGATGCATTTACTGACCTTAACTACAGCTGGAGTCAACCTCATCATTCTCATTTATAAGCCCTTCACAGTCCCCTCTCCAAATCGCTTGGCTGGCTTTACCATTTGTGCCAGCTTGAACTGGTGGTTTAGCCATCCACCAGCAGGGACTTATTAATCAACCAGTAGGGGCTTGTCCATCGTGCTGGGTTTCTATGATGGCCATTCTCCCTGGTGTGAAGTAGAATCTCATTGTGGTTTTAACGGGCAGTGTGCTGGGTTTCTAATACTGTCCCCATCCTGAGATCACAAACTCTGGTCAGACACTCTAAGGCCAACCAGCTTTTAGACACTGTTACCTGGTTCAGCACTTAACTGTTCTGTGCCCATTGTGTCATCAGAAATCAAAGGAAGCAGTTAACGAATTAAGACTTCATGGAGGCTGTGGCCGGGTGGCTCAGTTGGTTGGAGCGTAGTCCCACACACCAGAAGGCTGCGTGTTTGATCCCTGCTCAGGGCACAGACCTACGCTGCAGGTTCTATCCCTGGTCGGCCGTGTATGGGAGGTAACCAATGGATGTTTCTCTCATATATCAATGTTTCTTTCTCTCTCTCTCTCTGCCCCACCCCACCTTCCTCTCTAAAATCAATAAACGTATCCTCAGGTGAGGATTGAAAAAAAAGAAAAAGACTTCACGGAGGAAGGGGAATTCTAGCTGACAGCTGAGACGCAGGCACCATGCAGAATGAGAGCAAAGGGACAGACAGATGCAAAGGGGTCTAAAGAAGTGGAAGCTAAGGACGGACCTGAGAAAAGCCCACGGGGAGGAAACTAACAAGAGGAGTGTGATGATATGGGCCACTCATCATGGGGAACAATGAGACACAATCTTGGCTAAGGGAGGAGGTGGATTCCATTACAGAATGTCTTGGAGGCCTGGCAGAGGTGTTTAAATTTCACTTTATAGACATCAGTCATTAAAAAGGGAGGGGATGGCCAGAGATTATTCTAGCATGCATATTCAAGAATATGGAAGAGACACAACCGGCAAGCAGGGATATTTGGGAAGAAATTATGGGGCCTAAAGAGAAACTGCAGTTAAAAAGTCATCAAATAAGAGTGCAAAGTTTCTAGCTTCAGAAACGATGACAATGGAGACATCACTAAAATCAGCAGGGAACCTGGAAAATAAAGAAGGTTAGAGGCTGGAGAGGGATGGTGGTGGGCATGTAATTCAAGCAGATCCGGGTAGAGCTATCCTAAGGCTATTCTATAGCATAATAATGGCATAAAGCCAAGAATCTAGGGCAAGAATGGATAGGTATAGTGATCTATCAACGCCTTATATCTACTTAGGAATCGAAAGTCATATATTATTAATTGTGAGTCTCAAAACCCAATCTGGGAGAAGAACAGAAATCTATACCTTGGTTCCACAAATAAAGAAATCAATGTTTAGAATTCATGTGACATGCCCCAAGTCAAACAATCTGTGAGCAGAAGAACCAGGAAAATTCTAGTTCCCTTCTCCTTCCAAGAAGCAAGCAGAGCTCAAAGCCCTTCTTCCAAAGGGACCCCCAGCACACGGGCTGCAGCTGAAGCCGTGAGAACATACACATCTTTGAGGGTAGGAGGACAGAAAAATAAAAAGGGGTTTCTTGCAGATACCTACAATGGATAGAAACGTGGGAGAAAGCACAGCAAGAGACACCCCCAAACTGACAGGAGGGCTCGAGAGGGCAGAAAAAAATAAGGCCAGAAAAGTGCCGAGTCAGGAAGGCCAAAAATGGAGGTGGTGCTCGGTGATCTTAAATGCCTGAGTTGGAAGATGAGGATTTGGAATGGAAGTAGCAATTTGGTGCTTGAAAGTTTTTCAAAAATTCAACTCGAGATATTGGGGGTCTGGGGGGTGGGGCGGAATTCCTTCAGAATGTTTACCAGTAACAACATCCATTTGGTGTATGAATAGAAAGGAGTCACATTTTAGTTTCTATGCATGAAACTCCTACTTCACCAATTAACAGAAATGAGTGTGAAATGATTTTTGATGCTGGAAAACTAAAAAGTGTAAGAATGTAAAGCATCTACTGGATTAGCCTTATAGAAATACAATTTGATCTTTTAAATCACAGCTCAAATATATGTCAACATAATCTGAGCAGTTATTTCACTTTTTATTTAGCAAAAAATATTCTCAGCTTTTACCTTCTCCACATTTGAGAGGCTTTTGATAAACTAAATACCAGCTTACTTTTTGCTGTGATCTATTTTACTAATTCAAAATTCCAGTCAAGGAAAAGAGTAGACAGAAACTATAAATAAGCAAAACTACAGCTATAGCCAAAGTAAAATTACATATGAATTAATTTACCAACTTCTGTCTTCAGTGGGAGTTAGCATGCAAAGAACAATGGACTGTTTTATCCCGGTTCCAACACAACTGATACAAAACATGTTCAACTAAAATCAACTTGCACTTACTGGTATTTTTAGAACATAGCACAGTCCTTGCACATATGAAGTTTCGAAAGGTCCTTGGAAACTATACCCACCCTAAAGTTTTAGAAAATGTAATACAACAATGAAGCACAAATTTTAAAGGCACAGAGCCAATCAAACAACGTACTACTGACCTTGTTCAAGTCTGAAGAGGGTCCTTTCCAGCTTTTCCATTTCGTTCAGAAGTAAAATTCTAACCTGTTTACTGTGTCCCATTTTGGCTTCTAGAGGATTTGAACTCTTTTGGCAGAATTAAAAGAATTTCACAATGGAATGGGTGACCCCTGAAACAAACACACCACAAAATATTAAGATGAAGAAAATAACCGTTATCTTAATTCTCAAAGGCTGACAGCCACACTTACATGTTCTCAATGTGTTTTAACCCTAGCAGAGCAAAGAGAAAGAATGAGTCTTATAAATAAGACCAGAGAGGGCAAATTGATAGTTTCCACACACTGAAGCACACTATGACCGAAGCACAAATACTGTTCTATAGAGTCTCACAATTAAAAATAAAAACCCAAATGCTAGAGTAAATTCCGAGAAAAGCAATGCATCTTGAATAGCAGGCGGGTGGGTGGGGGGTGAAAGTCCCAGCCCCCGGCCAGCCGGCTTGGTCTGCTCCAAATAGCACCTCTGCTTCGGGAGGTTGGCTCGTTCCAAGAGAACAGGTGGGAGATCGTCCTGTTCCCGAATTCGGGTCGGAAGCCACCAATGGGGAGATGGGACCGAGGGAAGCAGTTGCTGTCCCTGGAATAGCTGCGGTGGATATAGGCTGTGCAGACGGAGCTATAGATAGAAAGAAGGATTGTCCCCCAGAGGCCAGCGGCATTCCTCGCACTTACACCGAGCAAGTTATACGTGCGGCTCCCCGGACACTGCGGGACCCGCCACCTCGGTGTTGGAGTCGGGGAGGGGACAGGAAGGAAGGCGAAATTAAAAGCAGGCTGTCCAGGCGCAGCGAGAAGCCCAACTCACGGAGGGCCGGGCGCCTTGAAGGGCAAAGGGAGGGGCGGCTGCAGCAGGCCCCGGCCTAGACAGCTGTGGGCGTGGCCCAGGCGTTATGGGCGTGACCAGAACAGTGGGCGTGGCCGAGAGCTAGTCCGGGAGACCGCCTCGCTCCGGTCCTTGCCGAGACTCTCCGCGTCCCCGGGCCTCTAGCGCTAGTTCCGCGGGTGGCTGCGGACAGCTTTTCTCGCCCACTTCCGGAGGCGCAGCGCCCGCTACTCTCGCGAGAGCGTGGACGCAGCGGCCCGGTGCGTGCAGGTGGCTGCTGTCCAGGCAGCTGGCCACTCGCAGTTCAGTGGCTGCGGGGCAGTTGCGACAGCTGCCCTGTTCCCCGCTTCTCACAGCCGGGGCGCTGTTGAACCCTAAATGCTGCGGTAGAAGGCCGCGAGCTGGCCTGAGCTGCACTGCACGGTCGTTTTGTGGCCCGGCGACCTGGTGGGGCAAGTGACCTAGCTTCCTGGGCCGCTTCCGCCACGGGTTTTGTGTCTTTTTAGTTTTAGTTTTCTGCATGGCCTAAGTACACTTGGCCTAAGTTGTCTGAGCCTTGATTTCTCCGTGCACCAAATGAGGGGCCTGGCTCCAGCCATCCTCGATCACGTGTCCACTACCTCTGGTCCTAACACAGGGCCATCTCCCTGATGCAGCCGTGGAAGGAGGGGGAAGGTGAGGGGCGGCCAGGTAACGACCCACCAGCGTGCACACCACCTGGGATCCCAGTGTGTGACCCGAAAGTGGAAGATTCTGTGAGGTCAAGGATCTCTGCTGCCTGTAGCTGTACGTATTGTAGGCCAGGAGCTCAGGATGTGGTCCAGATGCCCAGAGAGATTTTAGGGAATCCAAAAGGAACAGGAAACCCATCTTCCAAAGGCTGGGGGCACCCGAGGCTCATGAGAGAATTGACCAGAGGTTTGGAGTATGGAGCAGAATCTTGCTTTGTTCATTGTGAAACTACTGTAGGCTAAACACTAAATGTCCTGAAATGTTTGTTTCAGTAGGTTTCTGAGAATGACGGGTTGCCAGTGGCCCAAAACCAAGTTTGGGAACCGGCAGCTCATTTACCCATCCGGCTAATGCTGAGAACCTAGTCTTTGCCCGACACGTGGGTGCTGGGGAATAAAAGCAGCGGAAGTGGACCTGTTCTTTTAGAGGAAAAGCTTTCAGTCTTTCGCCAATTTTTAGTAGGATGTTTGCTGTGAGTTTTTTCACATACGACTTTTGTTTGTTGAAGTCGTTTCTTTGTATTCCTAATTTGCCAAGGGATTTTTTTTTTTCCCATGAGTGTTGAATTTTTTCAAATGCTTTGTTCCTACACCAGTTGAAATGGCCCTTTATCTCTCTCGGAGAACATGCATTTCTTTTTCCCCTTCGGAGTTTCACAGGCAAGGCTAAGCATGGTGCTAACAATGCTGCATTTATTGTCTTTTCAAAAGTAGAACTTTTCTTATTATTAATCATGGCTAGGTTTTTCATTTTCTCAGTTATGAATAGGAGTCAATTTGACAGCTGATTTCATGGACATGTTTCCCAGCTCACAGTGGGGGAAAACAAACGAGTCTCTCAAAGTGGAAGAAGGCGTAAGGTGCGCTGACAATAACTGTCAAGGTCTGTTTCTCCTACCGGACCTTGAGCTCCACCAGGGGACACATGTCTTCTTCTCTTACTCCCCAGTCCCTGGAACTGGAGACCTCAGCCTGTCGCGCAGCAATGTCTTCTTAAACCGTCCTGGGAGAGGACTCAAGGACAATGGTGTACCCCTCGCCCTTCTCCCTCTCTTTTCCCCAAGAGAGATCACATCAAACTCAGTGACGTGCCTTCACGCACTTCATCTACCGTGAAGTGTGTCCGTGGGAGTATTCTGAGAATGGTGCAAACGCCAGCGGTCATGCCCTTTGATTTATTTAAGTGTTGGTGTTTAGAGAAGGCTGTACTCTCATTCACTGTGTCTGCAGTTGCTCTCTTGTTTCAAAGCTATATTGACTCGTGCATTATTCAGTTCTCAGAAGTTAAGCTGAGCCCTGGCTGGTGTAGCTCAGCGGATTGAGCATAGGCCTGCGAACCAAAGGATTGCAGTTCGATTCCCAGTCAGGGCACATGCCTGGGTTGCAGGCCAGTTCCCAGCAGAGGATGCACGAGAGGCAACCACACATTGATATTTCTCTTCCTCTCTCCTTCCCTTCCCCTCTAAAGCTAAATAAATAAAATCTTTTTAAAAAAAGTTAGGTTGACCGCCCGTCTGAGGGTGGAGGGCCAAACAGGAACACAGAGCCGGAGTGGAAACGCAGATCGTTGGACCAGTCCCTCCGAGCAGGTCGCCATTTCACAGAGCATCGCCTGGTGCGCTGCGAAAATAAATTAGGCGGCGTAGCCTCTCTGAGTGAAACCTGCTGTATCAATTCTCAGTTTCATGACCAACAGGCCCGAATTTACCGGAACGCCTGACTGACATATTTCACAGCCGACCGTGTCAACGCAGAGGAAAGGTCAAGTGTATAACTACAAAGGCCAATCTATTTTAATTGCCCACGGTTTAAAAAAAGCCCTCCTCTCAACTTACACACAGGCTGTGGGAATCGTTTTCCCGCTCACACACAGTGACACGGGGTTTGTGTGTTATGAACGCAGCGCAGTGGCTAATACGTGAAACCTGGAGGTTAAACTAAATTAACCTGCACTTTGGAAAGTTTATCCCATGAACATAGGTCACGTGTCCTGTCAAGGCAAACCACTGCTCTGGTTACACAGAAAAATACCGATGAGCTTTCACTAAAAAAAAAAAAAAAAAAAGTTTTACTGGAAAGAATTTATGTAGAGATTTGACCACTGAAGTTACATTTTAAAGGTATATGAGGCCTGTGCTCGCTTTGATGGCACAAACCCTGAAACTGGGCTGACACAGATCCGCGTGGCCCCAGTGCCAGGAGAGCAGGCAAATTCACGAGGCCCCCCACCAAAAAAAAACCCACGTGGCTTAAATTTGATAACCATGACATTTTTCAAGTAAAATATATGAAAACACATGCTAAATTCAGAGCAGATTTAATATTTAGCCGTTGAACTAATTTCATAAATAATGCTGGATTCCTTCAATGTATTCCTGAGGGCCTATCTTGACTTCTCCTTCCCAAGGCTTACTGTTTCTTTGCTATTTTAAAATACATTTTAAAAGGTGACCTTTGCTTGGTGTGCTTTCCGAGGGAAAACCTGCGTGAGGAATAGAATCCAGAGTGAGGTGCTGTGTCCGCAGTGTGGAGACCAGAGGGGTCTGCACTGAACACATGCAATGAGACCGCGTTCCAGGGCGACTGGGGTGGGGTGGCGGTGGGGGGCTCCTGAGCAACTGAACCCGCAAGATAGCTGCCTTCTGGGGCAGGTGAATGGAGGAAGCTCTGTTGTGGGCACCCTGACATGCCCTCACTCGGGGAGAAAGGAGGCAGGGACCGTGCAGGGAGGAGAGACTCGGGATGTTGGGACTCCCAGTGCGTCCCGTCCCCCACAGAACTTACAGGGATCCTGGGACCCCTATGCGGGCCCAGCAGAGCGAGCTCTGATCCTGAGGGCGTGCTCATTGCGCTGTCTGCCATGTAGCGCCTCCACTGGGGCCAGTCTGGCAGCGTTCCTGGTGAGCCTCGGAGGCGCTTCTCGGCCCTGCCCCCCCTGCCTGGAGGTGCAGCCTGACGCCATCGCCACCCCTCCCCAAGCTGGGCCACTCAGAGCCTCGGCCCCCAGGAGTCCTGGGCCCCATGTTGTTCTAAATGGGTACGAGATACTATGAGTTTGACCAGAATTGAATCACTTGGCCACACTAAGAAATATTTAGTGAATAATGTGATTTTTTAATAGGAATACCATGGAACCAAGTTATACTTTTTATATGCATTTTCCCAATTTTTTTTTACTGGAAAATGAATATAGGTTGTATGAATAATTCATATAGTCAGATATGCCTTAGGTTGCATCAGCTTGGTGTTAGTTGACAAAGCTCTTTGACGCTTAAATCACTTAGTGTAATACAGGGCGGGGCAAACATAGGTTTACAGTTCATATGAAAAATAATACAAGAATTAATAATAATACAAAAATAAACTGGGTTTCACATACTCATAACCGTGCTCCGACATTTGCCCCACCCTGTAATTTTCTGAAACCTACACAGTGCAAGACAACCTCATTGTCTTAACAATATTTTGTAATAATCTCATGGGCTAATTATATAAAAAACAAAAATAATCAAAATTCTGAAAGTGCAGAACTAATTTTCCTGCGAAGCATGAGCGAACCATAGGATGCGGTGACACCCAAGGACTCAACGGGCGTGTCTCCTCGGCCGGTCCCCAGAGGGGTGCCCACACCTGTGCAGGTGGCCACATTTTCCTCGGCAGCCCAGGCAGGGATCAGGTCGTCCCCTGGTCCTTGGTGTTCAGGAGGTGGAACGTGATGCTACCTGTCACGTCATTACTCCAGGCTTAGAGGAGTTGCTTGTAAAAGTGGTTTATTCATCTGGTAAATTAAACTTGTAATATCACTTGATAATATTTGATAACATTATCAAATAATAACAGTACTTGATAATAACAGTAGTTTATAGATATTCAAAGTACTGCAATATTCATGATTCCATGTAACCATCATAATTTTGTGAAGATGAGGTGGTTACTGGCTCCAGGTTATAGACAAGAAGAGTGAGGTCCTAAAATGTAACCTGGTGCGGCCAACATGGTGCAGCTGGTCGGCCAACATGGTCCAGCTGGTTGGCCAACATGGTTAGGTTTATTTCATCTCCAGGTGTGGCCGGCAGTCACTATGGGTCACACAGAGATTAAGGGAGCAGGCTAGGCCGTGCAGCTAATTTTTTGTGGAACAGAACAGTTTCTGAGATGGCATGGGATCCCCTTCAGTCAGCATAAATAGATACGGATTTGATCTGATTGGGTGAAAGGTGGTAACGGTAGCCCAGACTACAATACTTTTGGTCAGATGTCAGCATCCTGGTTCCCGGGGTCGGAGCTGGACCACAGGGGGTAGGTACAGACAGCATCTACTGTTGAAGCCTGTCAGAAAGACGAGTCGCCATTAATTTCAGCATTTGCGTGTTGTAGGCAGCTTTGGAGCACACTTAAAAGTAAAACCACTGAAAGGACTACTTGGTACCTCTCTCTGCCATATTCAATGTCTTGTTTTGTTCGGCTTTTCCCGATGTCACAGGAACTAGCAGCTCCCAGCAGCAGTGGTATTTTCTGCGTCTCAGCTGTAAGTCTTCCGTTATCTCACTCTAGAACTTGAACCAGGGAAGGGAAAAGTCTGTATTGGACATTTCCTTCTCTCTGTTCTCTTTGTTGTCTGTTTTTTCCCTAACTTTGTTATAAAAGGAAAAACCCTCACGGAACATGTTGCCACTTCCAAGTTCAGGTATGCCTGCATATGCCACTTTTGCCTATGGGTCAGGAGTCACGTGTAAAAATTGTCTCTGTAAGTTGCACCGAAACCTTTGTCGCTGATCAGTGCCAACACCGCTACAGTTTGTTTCACAAGACTCCTCTTCACTTTGAAACCACACCGTCTAATTCTTCCTTTTCTCTTAAAACCACACAGGATAATGAAGAAATAAAGTGAGGGACAGCCGTTGAAATACACTTACAACAAGCTATTCTACAGGTTATTAATGGAACGCTATACAGACTTTCAGGACACAAGAAGCGAGACTGTCTGAACATGACCCCAAGAGCTCATTCTTGGTTACCTGAGCCAGTGTGCGTGCACAAGAAGCCAGGAATCCCCCTTCTGTCACGGGAGAAGCCACACCTGAACTCAGCTTCCTGAGACGGTTGGCATTGTTTTACCCTCTTGCAGGAGCCATGACTCTCGGTGGTCCCTGCTGTCCTCTGGTGCTGGCCCACTAGCTTTCACAGGGGCTTCCCTTAAAGGAGCAGCACGCAAACAGGCTGCCTAACATTCAAGTCAGCCGCTTGTGTCGTCTAACCAGCTTGTCCTGTGGGAAAGGGGAGCCGACCTGGGCCGGCCCAGGCTCCTGCGCTCTTCTCTATGGGAAAAAGGGCGAGCCAAAAGACTGCGATTGTCCTGGCTGCTCACCCCCTGAGTTTCCTCAATAAAGCTTTTTTTTAAACCCTTACAATATGATACTGTCAAATTCACCCTGAGCTCTGATGAGCCTCGGATGGCCACCACCGAGGGACCCGTGGTACACGACGCATTGACTGATGACGAAGCTTCGTTCTGCCTACCCAGCTTCGTGACATTCATGTCTTAGTTTGCATACTTGTAACACAGACTGAAGTCACCGGCCATACTCGTATTTTGCCTTGGATAAGTTTTTTTCTATATGTTTGTTAACTCACGCCTTCTATTCCCACGCATCTCTCTCCCTTATTCACGTTCCTCCTTGCCCAGCTGAGATTCCACTCCCTTCCCCTCCTGTCTTGTCTTTGGCATCTGCTAAGCCCTGCAGCCGCAGTGACAAGCAGACAAGTCTGCAGGTGTTGCCAAATGGCTGCTCTGTGGAGACGCCAACCGCAGTCGGGAATCACTGCTCCGTCCCCAGGGCTGCCGTTAAGGTTACCAGTGACTCTGGGGACACCGAATCCCATTTATCTCGCTCCGTGACATCCGACACCATCTACCTCTCACGGCTTGAAACGTTTTCCTGTTGCTTCCAATGACTCGGCCTTCCCACAGTTTTCTTTCTCTCTCTTAGATCATCCCTAACTCCTTTCTTCCCTTCCCTCCCTTCCTCAAAGCCCCTTGGCAGACCCTGCCCACAGCTAAGTTGCGGCATTCCTGTCTTATTCAGCCCTCCTTCTGGGGAACCTCAGCCACATCCAGAGGCGTCGTTTCCATCTCTGTGCTTCTGCTTCGAGTCTCCGGACCAAAACGCTGGATACGGCACCACACCTCGCCCGCAGCTGGGGAGCGTGTATCTCCGTGGAGGGCCTTTCCGTTTACAGGGGCCTCCTGCTTTCGGTTCCACCTGGCGAAGGGGAAACCAGTTTTTCATCAGAACAGTGCAGACAAAGATGAAGAGGGTATTCCTGCAATGGGCCTGCAAGGACCTGAACGATCCACCTTTCACCCCTCAGTTCTCCCCAACCTCACCTGCACCCTCATCCCTCTTGTAGACCCCGGGCAGGTGCAGTCCCTTGTCCCCACCAGGCTCCAGCGCAGGGCCCTTCCCCTCGGGCCCTTTGTCTAGAACTCTCTTCTCCGGGCCTGGGCCACCTTCAGGACCCAGCCCCAGCACACTGCCGGCCTCCGTGCGACCTTTCCAGCCCCCTGCGGTGTGCGGTTGCTGTGTGCAGCCCAGCACAGCACGGTTTTACGGCTCCTTGGGTGATCGGCGAGACTGCGGGCACAGCTGAGGGCAGAGAACAGGGGTTTGGGAGCCAGAACTTAGAATCCTGCCTCTTAAATTTCCGATGCCTGAGTTTTCTCATCTCTCAAATGGGGGTAGTAATAGAACCTACCTCTAAGGGTTGTTGAGTCTTAAGTGATTTAATGTATCAACAGCGCTTGCAGTGGTGGCTGGAGGCAGCGGGCGCTATGTATACAGATCGCGGCTGTAATTTTAGAAGCTGTCCATCTGCAGCTCCCACAACCTTTGCTCACCATTCCCCCCAGCGCCAATACACATGCTAGTCATGTAGTAACTGTCAGGGTATTAAATGGACACATTTACACAAAGTAGGTGTAAATGAAAATGCTCGGAAAAATGCTTGATGAATGCAACGCATACCAAAAAGATCGACGCACCATTTATGTAGATGAGGAGTAGAAATTTTACATTGTGCTGTTAAAAGGATTCCACTCATTCACGATGCTCACTTGCACAGCCTGTACTAGGAGAACGGCGATTTTCTAATTCTGGGACAATTCAAACAGTATCTTATGCTGTTGAATTCATTGTAACAGAAGTAGTGAAGTCAGAGTTTTTTTTGACTCAGAATACTAAAAATTTGAAGAGTGTATTCAAATTCCTGTATTAAATACATGAGAAGTGGATACAATTTTCCGTAACAGATAATGAAAACAAACGTCTTACTCTTAGAGAGTAAGCATTATATAACAATAAATCATTTTTTAAAGATTCTATTTATTTATTTTTAGACAAAGGGGAAGGGAAGGAGAAAGAAAGGAAGAGAAACATCAATGTGTGGTTGCCTCTCGCAAGTCCCCTGCTGGGAACTGGCCTGCAACCCAGGCCTGTGCCCTGACTGGGAATATAACCTGCGATCCTTTGGTTCGCAGGCCCGAGCTCAATCCACTGAGTTACGCCAGCCAGGCAATAAACCATTTTAGTTGTAAAATATCACAGATCTTGCCAACAAACTTGCAAGGACTGACTTTTTGATGACAAGGTAACAAACAGAAACCCGACAAGCAGGGTCAAGTCTGTGGGTATCACCTTCGAGTATTCGCCCAACACTCAGGTCTCTGGACTTTTTGATCGTTATGAATTATTAGACATTAGGAATCTGAGATACAACCCTGTCACCTGAGCAGCGATAATGCAAAAAATCCAAGGCCTTGAAGAGATTTTGATAAAGGAGGACATCACCATCCGTGATAGTCCGGCCGCCGCTGCAAAGGACCATGGCCCGGCTTCAGCACCAGAATGTGTTCTCACAGCTCGGGGGTCTGGGGCTCTGAGGTCAAGGTACCGACTGATTTTGCTCTTGGCAAGAGCTCTGTCCTGGTTTGCAGACAGATGTCCTCTCACTGTGTCATCGAAAAGTGGAGGGAGGGGGAGAGAGGAGGAGAGGGGGAAAGAGAGAAAGAGAGATCAAGTGAACTGTGTGGTTTCTGTCTCTTTGTACAAGGGCCACAACCCTATCAGGTTAGGGCCCTGCCCTAATGACCTCATTTAACCTTTATCACCTCATTACTGATTGAAAAGCAGGATCTCTACCAATGTGTAAGGGATGTAGAAAAAATGGTCTAAAAATCACCCATTGTATAATGCTCTAAATTTCAGAGCATCAGCTTTATGAAGATTAATCCCTTCTATGATGTTAGTAAGTTTATTTTAATGATCAGGCGCACAATATATACTTAATGTATTTATGTTTTGCTAACAAAACTTTCATTGTCATTACTTATAGACAACAACAAAGTATTTTGGTGTTATAAATGTAAACAAAAAACAGAAATAGCTAATCCTGACTCATTCTAGCACTAAAGTAATATTAACCCATGGATACATAAACTTTTAAACATATTTAAAAATGTTAGGTTGTCAACTTAAAACATACATGAAGGATTCATAGGTTTTAGATTTCTTTTCAGGGCTCACAGGCGAAAGCATATGCAGACGAGCGCTCTGCACAAAGACCCACGGAAGGCTGGGTAAGCCACGCAGCTCCTCTGAGGGTGTCCCCATCGATTGCCACTGTCCTGTCCGCAGGTCCCAGCAGACGGCTGGGTCCGGTGGTGGGGGCCGCCTATGGGTATGGAGGAGCCCTGTGGCGGCCCACTTTCACACGTGGGAGCTTCCTTTCAAACCCTAGTGTTTAAAAGACACACTGGAGGCCAGCATCTGTGGTTTGGGGAGGACACAGCGCCCCGAGTGCCGTGGGACAGAAATGGACAGGCCTCTGCTGGCAGCCATCCTGGTCCGCTTCCCCCAAGCCTCCGTTCATGCGTCCCCTGGTCGGGACAAAGTCCTCAGGCAGGGTCACGCCCCCTGTGTGTGAGCAGCCTGCATGGCTGGAGCTGGAGAGGACAGAGAGGGAGCGAGAGCCGATTGCTGTGAGGATGGTTAGAAGGACGTGGCTTTTCCTGAGTGCAGCAAGGCACGACTGGGGCTTCCAGACACAGAAAGTGACCTGGTCTGATCTGCTTAAAACCACGTCACTGGGACTGCTGGGACCGCAGCAGCCTGGGGGAGGGCAAGGGCGTCAGTGGGGGACCTCGCTGGCGGCCTCTCCAGGGGAGGTGGTGATGCGTTTGCCAGAGATGGCAACAGTGCCTGCGGTCGTCTCTCGGGGCCCAGCTCAGGTTAGAGTTCAAAGGCAGGGTCAATGGGGCTCCCTAGTGGGTCAGATGGGAGAGGGAGGGAGCACAGGACTTCAGGTGTTTGGACCGAGAATGGGAAGTACGGAGTCGCCCTTAAATGAGATCAGGAAAATCAGAGATGGGGCAGATCTGGGGCTGTTCGGGAGTTCAGTTTTGGGCGTGTTAGACGTGAAATACGCATTGGAAACCGATGTGGGGATGCTGTGGTGTAGTTGGATGTAGGAATCTGGGTTCAGTGCGGGGGCCGGGGACCCTGATATGAACTTGGGACCCCAAAAATGGTATGAAATGCCCGGGACTGGGTGAGAGCCCCACTCGGAGCCTACGGCAACTGTGGGGGAGCCAGGCTGGCGAGTGATGTTAAAGTAGCTGGCGTTCTAGCTCCATAGCCCCGGGGAAAAGAGTGACCACTTCTTATGTTTAGCACCAAAAGATTTAATTATCTTTAGAGGGGAAGGGAAGGAGAGAGGGAGAGAAACATCAATGTTGGTTGCCTTTCCCCCCTGCGAAATGCCTGAGGTAACTCGAAACGCGATTCGCCACCAATCCACTGAGCTACACCAGCCAGGGCTGAGTGGCCACTTCTGAAAGGGGAAAAGGACTCGCTAGCTTTCACCCTTGTCATTCCTGCAAAACCAAACATGGCTGCTCAGGTTTGCTAAGGCCCCGCTCGCACATGTTCACCAAGGAGAACCTTCTGTGACCTCGAGGGAGAACACAGAGCGGTGAGGCCTTCTCACTTCGACAAACCAAACTGCCCCCGTGGGACATGCCGTCATTGCCAGGCACCCTCTCCCTGGGTGTGGTTATTAAGAGGATGTGATTGGAGGAGGCTTATTACTGTTCTGAGTTTACACCTAAACGCAGGTAATGAAGCTCCTTGGATGGTAACACTTTCCCCAGAGCTTTCCAATCTGCAGAGTTTTCTGCTGTTTCCTTGGTGTCAGATCTACCAGCTCCAACTGGGTCCTGCTGGCTGTGAATCTCCGTACAGCAGGGGTGTGTGTGTGTGTGTGTGTGTGTGTACCATGCACAGCGCACTAAGCCTTTCTCCTTTCGTATTCTGTTCCTAGAGACAACATTCCCTATTGTATTTGATACTTCCTACCCCACCACCCCTGGGATGTCCCCAGGAGTGTCAACTCTGAACCAGGCTGGCTTCGCACCAGACCAAGTGTGGCATGTTTGACCGTCACGGAGCTCTGAGACATTGGGCTACTCGGTAGGAGACGTCTTCCTAAGTGTTTCAGGAGGCCTCCTTCTCCCTCCCTGAAGCCCTTCCTCACATCTTAGGAATTTCGGGAGGAAAACAATGGGTTGCAAGGTGGGAACTCGGATGAGCTCTTCTGGAGCCTGCGGCCGTTACACTCAGTGTCCTGGCAGCTACTGCCACCGTGTGGATGTCGGCGATTACTGCATGCAAACGAGAGAGCTGTTCAGGCTGGTTCTGAGCCAAACGGCAATCCTTCCGCCCCTGGCTGTCTCCCCTGTGGTTCCCTGTGCTTTCTGGCTCAGGGAGGTCCCTCCAAGACCTGCTTTTCTCTGTGGCGTTGCTCTGTGTTGAAGCAGGACTGAGTGTTTGAGAAATCGGGGCGAGTCAGAGAGGCTCCAGCGCGGTCCCCAGTGATCTGTTTCCTAGTAGTCATGCCCGTGTGACCCCTGCACTTTGAGTGTGGTGGGACCTGTGACTAGCTTGTGACCAGTGGAGGGTAGCAGAAGTGACGAGACGAGAAGGCATATTCTGGGGGGCCCCTGGGGAGCCTTAGGGAGTGGATGGGATGGCTGCATTTTACGCACTGGGAGCCCTGACCGGCCTAGCCAGCCGCGTCCTGCCCAGTGAGGTTCTGGTCCATCTGATCCCCGCTCTCATTCCACTGTTCAGGGCACAGCTCGCGTTCCCCTACTCATTTCAGGAAGATCGTTTTGGGATCTCACCTCTGGTGTTTGCCTTCAGGTCTCAGGCACCTGAAGGCATCTGCTCCTGTCTTCAACTTCGGGGCGCTGCGGGGTGGACGCTGTGCCCTCAGGTGGGGGTGAAGGGTGGGGACCCTGTGCCCCTGGATCCACCCGTTCTGGGGGTATTTTCCATTCTTCCGGCACTCGGTGCTGCTTCACACACATGCAACACAAGCGGGTTTTTGCCCCACTTGCTCTTTTCTCTGTCCAGGTGCGTGCTCCTCCCCACCATGTGCCGGGGGACACGCCTCCGTGGTCCCTCCTCCTACGCGTTCCCTCCCCTGTGCAGACTCAGGCAGGCAGCTCCCGCGGCACCTGGCCCAGCGTGCACCTGGTTATCTCCCTTGTTTCTCTCTGCCCCACTGAGCCAGGAGCTCCTGGGGGCGGGGATCTCACCGTAGTCAGGGCTCTAAGTTCTCAAAGTTCAAATCCCACCACCACGAAAGTCTACCTGACAGAGAAAATGATTCTTGCAGAAAAGCTTAGGTGAGCAGCGAGCAGGCGGAATATCACGGCGAAGCCACCACCCACTTGGAAATTAACGGGAGGCAGTGTCCTGTCCCCGCACAGAGCCACCCACCGTCCACTTACCTGGGATTGAACAACTTCAGTGCAGCCCCACAGGCTTCCGCAGCCCATGGAAACAATGGTGAAACTATGAAATACTTCTGAAAAGATTAACTTTATCTCCATGAGTCGAAACTGGGTCTCAGTAACGATTGCCTTTTTGAAGACACAGGCAGCTGTGGCCGGGGCTGTGGGTAACGTGTGAACGTCCCCAGGACCGGGCATCAGGGGGAAGTCACATTGCGCTGAGTAATTTAAGGAACAGGCTTCATTCCTTCAAACGCCCTGGAACTGGTGGGGGAGAGAAACACGAAGCATATCGCTGCCACTGGTCTGAAGCTGGGGATGGTGCAGTCAGAGGACGCGGAGTGGAGTAGGGACTTCGAGAACAGCGTCTGGCGAGAAGGCTGTGGGTGACTTCGGAACGGTCAGCTATTTATAGCCCTGCGGAGACTCGGCCTTTAATTGGCGAAGCAACCCCTTAGAACTTTGTTTCCTTTCAACTACTATTTATTAAATACTTGCCTCTGTGCCACGTACCGTGTTTTGCAGACATCATTTCACTGGACCCTCCAGAATCCGGACATTCATTCATTGAGTGACAGGCAGTCAGTGAAGATTCCCTGAGCAGGAGAATTGTGTGCTGTTCCTGACATTGTCAGAAGATTAACAGGAGAGCTAGTTCGGTGACGGGCAGCTGGAGGCCCTGAGTAGATGGGGAGACGTGATGGGGACATAAGCCAGAGGACGGCAGTGGAGCTGGGTGCAGGGGGTGCATTTGGCTGTTCGGACGACAGGGACACAATGACAGCCCCAGAGAGGACGAGGCCACTGTAGGTGTTGGGCTTGGACTTCCTGAGCTGCAGCAGGGGGGCTACTCAAACTCAGACCCTCTCCTCCTCTGATGTAATCTTTGGTGACGTGCGGAGTGTGGAGGAAGGTTTGTAGGTTGGTCCGTTGGACCTCACCGAGACTTGGCAGTGAGGTTCAGGAGAGGGGCTGGTAGATGGGGCTGAGGACCCCGTCTGCCGCTCCTCTCTCCCTGCCTTTGGGCAGAGCACCGAGCCACTCGCCCCTCAGCATCCTCAGCCGCGGGAACTTCACAGTAACTAACGCCTTCCACTTGGACTCCTTGTGCAACTCCGTGTCACACACGTGTCTTGGTCAAGGTGCTTCACAGACGGGAATTATTGTTCTTGCTACACTTTATTTGCCTTATTCATTTTCAGTGTCTTGTGAGTGTACAGAGGAGTTTTTCCAGTGGCCACCGGGGTTCTCTGACATAAGAGCAGATTGAAGAAGGAAGCAGACTGGGGGATTCAGCTGCGTTACAGCGAGCCAGGCGATGAAGAGACACACAAAAATGTAAACAATACCACTCTCCTCACGAAGTTCTTCTTTTCTAAAACAAGCACAAAAGCCAGAGTAAAAAGTATTATTATGCTAACACGCAATGGGTTTGTTTTTCATTTAAAATGAATTTGTGAGCGAGAATTTAAATCTTTGTTTTCATTTTTAATGTGATAGATATTGCTACATATTACCCACATAAACAAGAGCCTCTGGGGGTGTACACCAGGTTTTGGGAGCTGTGAAGTGGTCCCGAGACCCACAGGTTTGGGGGCAGCCAGGTCAGAGGCTGGGGAGAGCTGGGTCTGCGCTGTCCAAGTGCAGGGCTCAAACCCTCCCCTGCTTTTTTTAATTCAAAGGAAAAAAAAAAGTTCTGAACGGAATCCTGTAGCTTTGCAAGGAAACGCTCCGGATGACTCCTTTACGAATTGGAAAACCCCCACTGCCCCAGGGCAGATGATGAGACAGGAAAAATTGCAGGCGGAGGCTCCGGGAAAATCTGAAGGTGCATCAGGGGTGGGGGTTGGTGGGAGCCAAAAGTTCTACCTTGAAAGACACTTTAAAAGCCAGGTGAGGCTCCAAGTAACCTTCATACAGGTCATTGTGTCAGGCTGTGTAAGAATAAGAGGGAATTCCCACGGTCCAGGAGGGTCAGCCTCTCAGAGTCCAAGCTGCTTTGACCGTGGTAATGAGTTTGCTTTCCTTTCTGACGGCTGACAGGCAGTAAGGAGCCCAGGAGACAGGCAGCTGAGCTTTGTGGGGGGGGGGGGGGGGGGACCTTCAGGGAAAGGTGGAGTCTGGCTGGGGGCAGGGCGGAGGGTGGAGTAGGGAGGACCTGCTAACAGCCATAGGTCAGTCCCTGCTTAGGCCCTGCTGCGTCCTGTGGTCCCTTCAGGATGAAAGGTTACGATCACCTATTCAGAGAGCTATTTGTTTTATGGACTTTTAAAAATTGTGCTTTTGGCTCACAGTGTCCACTCCTTGGGGACTCTTCCTGGAAAGGGTCTAATTATAGCTGCAGAAGCTCTGTCACCACCCGAGGCTCTGCAAGGCTCCTCGTTGGGGACTGAGGGTCAGCTGGGTTCCTTTCATCCGTCGGGGGTCCAAGCAGCTGTAGGGGAAACGGCTCTGGCTGTGCCTCGCTGTTCTTTGAAGTCCCTCCTGTACAGGGGCTTTTGTTTACTGGGACTAGTTCTTCCGGAGAAAGATTAAAATGCTGGTGTTTCCCCCCTCTCTTATCTCCTCAATAAAATATACTGAAAAAAAAAAAAAAAAAGAGACAGAGAAAAGAGTGATTGAGAGAATGGGCTGCAGCTGGTTGTGAGCCCGGCGCCCAGACGTATGTGAGGGGCCTGGTCTCCAGGCTGCCCGAGTTAGCCACCGTCTGAAGCCGGGTGTTTAATATTTTCATGTACATTGCCCTTTCCTAGTGCTATTTTATTTTTATTTTTGCCAAAGAAGCTTGTGGAAGTCAAGATGAAAGGCTTAAAAAGAAACAAAACTCCTACATTTCAGCATAAAATTTCCAAAATAAAATAATACTTTAGCTCTGTGATAGTCACACTTTCAAAGGTTTCAGTTCTATGCAACCTGGTCCTGTTAGGTCTTGTAGTTCATTAAAATAGTTCGCTATCGTAGTTACTATGATCTCCTACAGAGTTGCCAGGTGAAATACAGGACACCCAGGGTACATTGGAATCACTTTTTAGTATAAGTCTGCACCAATTCACATTTCATCAGGTACCTTGTATTTTAATTTGCTAAGTCTGGCCACCCTACCTAATTGCAAGTAGGTTCTGTTTGTCTTAGCATTCTATAGCATATTTTCAAATGCTTTAGTAGTTAAAGACAAAAACACAATCTTCTCGGGAAAAAAAGTTACCAGTAGGCAAAAATTGTTCCTTTGCATAAGACAGAACACTCAGTTCTCAGAATTGGAGCCCTAAAACTGCACCCAGTACTGGCCTCGCAAATCGAGTTTGGCTGCTTCTTCTGGGAGAAGTCCCTTCTGGAGGCAGGATAAACTGGCTCCTCCCAGCTGCCGAAATGTGATACAAGTTGTCACAGAACCGGAAGTTGGCTGGCTGTCTTGGTTCTCGAGGTAAGTGTTTCTTTACCTTCTCTTGTCAGAGCTCTTTGCAAAGCAAAGCGTTTAAAATTGGAATCCAGCTAAGTGACCACAGGGGTTGATGGCGGGGGCAGGAGGAGGGGTACAGTTGGCGACACAGGATGGACGCTTGATTAACAAACAGTGCCCCACAGTGTGTGTGGAGCTCACCAACGCTCTCTAACGAGTGCGGTCAGAACTTGTCCCTGTGACTTTGACTAAGGAGCTTTAGTCCCCACGAGAGGGTGATTCCCAGTAGAGCCGCAGTGGAGATCCCGAACAGCAGTGACTCTGTTGAGGCACGGCTGTGTTTTTTGTTTTTGTTTTTGAATTTAAACTATGGGAACTCTCTTTTATCTTTACACAGAATGACACAGTTGCCTGTATGAAGATTACTTGGAGGCTTACTTGGTATTTAAAGTGTCTTTCAAGGTAGAACTTTTAGCTCCCACCAACCCCCACCCCTGATTGCACCTTTAGATTTTCCCAGAGCCTCCGCCCTCAGTTTTTTTGCTTGCTGCCCTGGGGGCGATGGGGATTTTCCAATTTGTAAATGAGTTTATCGGGAGCATTTCCTTGCAAAGCTACAGGATCCTGTTCAGCAATTTTCTTTTTCCTTTGAATTTAAAAAGAAAAAGGGAGGAGATGATGACCTGCACTCAGACCGTGCAGGGACAGGAGACTAAAAGGGGGCCCAGAGTTTATCCACAACACTGAGCTAGACTTTTAAAGGATGGCTTTGTGGAAAGAGATGAGCCCTGACAAGTTGCTGTTTTCAGTGTGGTCTGCTCGCCCTTGCTATTGCAAAACAGCATCAAAGTGGGGCACATTGGCTGCTTCCAGGAATTTGCCAAAAGGCAGGTCATTGGTTGTGCAAGAGAATTGGGACACGCCCTGGCTGGGCGGCTCAATGGGTCGCAGTGTCCCCCCCCCCCCACCACAGGGTCTCAGGTGCGGTCCAGGTTGGGGGCAGGTAAAGGAGGCAACGGATCCATGTTTCTCTCGCACGTGGATAGTTTTCTCTCGTTCCCTCAACTCCTCCCTCTCTCTCTAAAATGAATAATAATAATAAAATTCTCAAGCGAGGGTTATAAAAATAACACTGAAAAGATGGTCTGTGTGTTCTCGTTGTCCCTGTGAAGGCAGTGGGGGCTTTTTTTAAAAAAGAGATTTTATTTATTTATCTTTAGAGGGGAAGGGAAGGAGAGAGGGAGAGAAACATCAATGTATGGTTGCCTTTCGTGTGTCCCCTGCTGGGAACTGGCCTGCAACCCAGGCATGTGCCCTGACTGGGAATGGAACCGCGATCCTTTGGTTCGCAGGCCTGCGCTCAATCCACTGAGCTACACCAGCCAGGGGCAGTGGGGGCTTTAAGCAGATGCACATGTAATGGGTGGAGAGACCACATCCTCTTTAAGCAGAGACCCCGACCCGGGTCAGACTTTACCTGTCCTGTGCCTTTATTACACCTGCCGGAGCATTTGGTCAGCTGGTTGCTGGAAGCAGGTGGTTCTCCAGAGTTGCTGCCCCGTGGCAGGAAGGTCACCCGTTCTGTTTCGGTGACACCTGACACTAACGCCTGTTCCTCTCCTTTCTGAGATGGCGGTGCCGGGACTTGCGGTTGGCGCCGCCGTCCTCCTGCTGCGCGTGGCTCTCGTGGCTCCTTACCCCGGGGGCAAAGTCACCGAGTCCTGCCACGACATGGTTCCTCGGCACGGCCACACCCCGCACCCCAATCCTGTGCACAGCGTCACCGTGAATCAGGCCACGTTCGCGCCGGGGGATCGTCTCGAAGGTACCGGCTGGGCTCGCTGTCGCTGTTTTTTGTTTCACTCTCTCCCTGTGAGTCGAATGTTCATTGCTGCTGGCGTTACACGGTTCCAGTAGAACCCCGTCACCTACTTGGTGAGATGCCCATAGTCACTGTCACACCGTTTTTTCGTGGCGCCACCACAAAGGACAGTATTTTGTCAGTAGTTCACCTGCTCCCGATTCGAGACAGGTTTTAAAACACGTTCTTATCATAAGTAATATGTTTTTGTTAACAATACTTTTGACTCAATAGGAAAGAAAAGAAAGTTGACTTTATCTGGTTTAAGATGTAATAAGCCCTTATTGTCCTTTTTTTCTCCCTTTATATCGAACTTTTATGTTGCTTCTCGTAGTGAAATCTCGTCTGTCATCCTGATTCTTTTGGCAGAATGTAGGCTGGCTGTTAAAGGCGTATCTGTAATCATGCTTGGAAAACTCCATTTTCCGCGATTCTGGAAATGCAAACTTTGTAGGTACTCCCTAACCAAGGAGTACATGCGCTTTGTGTTACATATGTGTTACTTCGTAGAGATTCCCCCTGCACGGTCAGGCTGTTAAAGCCCTAAGGATCCGCAGTAAAGAAACCAACACTTTCATCCAGCACTTTCCAAACTAATCTGGCCTCAGGGGCCAGCCCCTGACCGCCCGCTGCTGTCTGCCTTGTGTCCCCTGCAGACTGGCCTGCGGACCGGGTGTCCCGGGTGGAACCTGGCTGGGAACACACCCCCTTTCTGTCGGGGGGCAGCTTTGGCTTGAACACCCGGTTCGACCTCTGACCTGCCTCCTCTGAGCAGTTTCCTTTCAGGGAATTTGCTAACTGCTCGCCCCGCCCTGTCGTCTGTGCCTCAGTTACGCTGTCGGGGCCGGAGTTCAAAGGTTTTCTCTTGGAGGCGCGCAACGCGGAAGATTTGGACGGCCCGCCGGTCGGCTCCTTCACACTAATCGACAGTGAAGTGTCCCAGCTCCTGACCTGTGGGGACAGACAGGTTGGTGTCCAGCGTGAGACGGATTTCTGTCGGTTCCCACGGGTCTCTTCGCAATAGGGCGGCGTTTGCCGGGTGGACGGCGACATTGCCGACGTACTGCAGACATCTAAGTAGATTTGCAGGGGGTCCAACTGGCGCGCTCCTGTCACCACTGGCAAAATATTTGGACACATCAGCCGAGAAAGGTGGGGCCATAGCTTGAAGAGTGTATAGCTCGTGATATTTTATGTGACATCGACCGTTATTATACTGATTTTCGAAGGGTGTTTAAGTGTTGATGGTAGAGCTCTAGAGAGGGACAGAAACCTAATTTTTGTCATTCATTTCATAAACATTTATTACGCCAGAAACTGCCCCAGGCGGCAAGGGTTAGGGCGATGAACCAGATTCACTCTTGTTCCTTGAAGAGCTCACAGGCTTTCACGTGAGTCAGGCATGTGGACATGTGACATGTGGCACTTGGGAAGAGGGCTGACACCTGAGTGAACAGTGTGAGACCTTCATGAGAAGCACCCACAGGACGGGAAGCGTGGCTGGGGTGCCTCACACACGCCCGAGGGAATGGAAGGGGAGCTTCTTGGAGGAGGGGACCCCAAAGCTGGGCCACACGGAGGGAGTAGGGGGAGGCCAGGTGAATGGACTCGGGAGATAAGGTTGTTCAAGAGAAAGCGATTACCGAAGTGGAATTACTGCATCTTTGGAGGCAAGATCTTCTTTTGAGAAATCCTGTGTATTGCTTATGTGTATTAATGGAGGGAATACAAATTTGTAGCGTAAATGAAATAACAAGCAAGTCTACGGAGCATGGACACACCCAGTATTCATAACTCTCTTTAGTTCTTGAATTTTCTCTGACTCTAATCTATTCTCAGAACCAGCTGCTAATCTGGTCTTAACCAGTCGACATGAGAACGTGAGTCCCAGTTCCAAACAAAATGGTCTTTGCCACAATGTCAAGGTCGTGCAGCAATAAATCCCTGCACCAAACGGCAGCAGTTCCAGCCCCGCTGAGCTGTCGCTCGACTGACTGGTGGCTCTTTTCCGTCTCATTTCAGGGGTCGGCTGTGAGCCACACAAATCCACACAAGAAAACAGAGATTCACGTCCACTGGACTGCTCCACAGAGGGCCCCGAATCACATGCAGTTCCTGTGAGTGGAAGGCAGAGTTAGCAGCTTTGGAACTGGGCTAGCTGACGTGATAATGGTCTGCATTATGTCCTTATACCCGTTTTTACCCAGATAGGGGACGTTCGGTGTAGCTCCAACAGCCCCTCCCCGATGTAAGCAGGGGTGGTGCTCATTCTGTTTTTCCACCCGTGTACCCCCCGCACCCGGCACACGCCCCTCCTTGAAGGCTCTTCACAGACATTTGTTGAGTGAAGGAAGCATCACCGTCACACTAGCAGCTGTCGATGACAATCCTTGAATCTGGAGGGAGCTGGGCTGCACCTTTTACTGATTTGCTCCTGTCTTGGTGTGAGAATATGAAGAAAAATAAAATGGTCCTGAAATCCGGGTGACTTTGATGCAGCATTATAAAGGGCAGACGAGATGGTTAGGGTACTTGTCCCTTTAACAGAATGCAGTCATGTCATAGGATGAGTGGCTCCCGAGGGCTGCCACGGAATTGCCCTTTCAACGTGGCTCCGTTTGCTGCTCTGCTTTGTGTGCAAGGTCCCAGTGCTCAGTAACGCAGCTGTGCCCTTGTGGGTCATGTGACCTGCAAAGAAGGGGTGTCACCCGGTCACAGCTTCTGTGGCCTCTGTGTAGCCTCTTGCTCTGGTGGTCTGCTACCCGTGCTCTCTGAACCGAGCACAGTGAGATGAGTGAGCGGCGGTAGGGTTTACAGGTCGGGAGGGGGACCTGTGGGGTTCATTGTTTGGGTCTGGCATTGGAAGCATACTCTCCAAATAAGGCAGAGAGCAGAGGGGGACCGAGGAGGGGAGGGACTCACCGGGGATTTGTTAAGCACTACCACGTCCTGTGTCCCTATGTCACTCCTTTTTTCCCCTTTGAAGTTTTGCTTCGACTGCAATAGGCCACGGTCCGGGCTCCGGCTAACCTCCCTGGTACTGCATTTCAGAGCCACGGTTGTTGAGAAGTACAAAACCTACTGGGTGAAGATTCCTAGTGCTGTGATTTCACAAGCAAACGCGCCTCCCTTTTCAACACCCAAAGCTACAGCGGCACCTTTGTCCACCTCGACTCTCGTCTCCCGTTTAACCAAACCAGTGAGTAACCTCCACGGCTTTCCCGAGGGCAGCCTGGGACAGCGGCCTCCCTGGAAACCGTGTTCTGGGCTCGGCGAAGTGTGTGCTAGCTGCAGCTGACCAGCCGGCACAGGGCGGGGTGGCAGCATTTCAGGTTCTCCATGGGAACTCTGAAGGGAGCCTTCATTGCCACGTGGCGACTTGCAGGACAGAGTAAAGGGAGTGCAGGCCCCTGCGTTCAAGCCATGGTCGTGGCGTTGACACCCAGTCTCTACCAGCAGTGCGCACATTTTCCTCTGAAAATGAATCTGACGAAGCAGCGGGAAGAACTCCCTCCCTCTCTCCTGCCCTTCCTCCCCCTGCTTTCTTTCTACCACCAAAGATCAAACGTGGAGAGGGAGCTTGATGCTTAAGCTACTTTTAGGCAAGATTTGGAGCACAGTCGTGGTTCAGGAAGGCCCCTGAGTCCTGGGGAACTCTTGGGCTGGAGCGCAGGGACCCCTGCTGGCTTGTCAGCGGGCACTCCACGTGGGTTCCCTGGGTCAGAAGAGTTACCAGCCAGCAAGCAGATCCTGCAAAGGGGGATGAATATTAGGAACAGAAAGGTTTGTCGAAGGCAGTTCTGATAAGTTGGACTTACTACTTCCGAAGTCAATATACTGGAAAACGCCTTAAGGCAGGTGTTCACGGCCAGAAGAACCAACTTGGGCCTGAACCCTGACCTGTCTACCTTGTGTGTGACTTTGGGCAAATTGCTTAATTCTCCAAGTCTGTTTCTTCTCCTATAAAATGAGAATACTATCTAACTCATAGCTGGCATTACTGTGAGAATTAAACAATACAGTGAAATAGAAGGCTTCTAATCGTTCCGCGCTAAATGGTTATTCAATAAATATTAGTTCCTTTTTTCTTTCCCTCCCCTTATCTTTTTATAATTTTCTGTTCTTTTAGGGAAGACCATGCAAAAGACCTGTAGTTCTGTGTAATATCGTTTTGTTCTCTTTTCCTCCCACGTTTTACAATAGACGAGAATTAGACTTGATTATGTTGTTATGAACGTTGTGCTTTTGTTGACCATACACTTAGATCTATCATTTGTACTACTTTTTAGTTTATTTACTCTTAATGTCGATTTACCTTAGAAGCTGTGTTAAGGGAAGGAACGGTCCTTGTGAACCTGAGCGCCCCCTAGTGGGAGTCCGCTGACGAGACTGTGATTTTTCCCTGTATTCACACGGGAGGCATGTGATCCCCGAGCTTGTATCATGTCTCTGCGCCGAGTGTCCAGTCTATCAGTGTGGAGGGGTCACTCGGAGCCACAGGGTGAGACGAGGGCGCTTGTGGGTCAGGAAGAGCCCCCAGGTCTGTCCTGTTCTGTTCCTGCGGCAGGGCTGAAGGTGCGGGAGTGATGGAGCCGAGGAAGGAGCCGGGACCTGAGCCAGCTCCCAGGTTCCTCACAGCCTGTTCTCCACCGGCTCTGTTTCTCATTGTGTTTCTGGGAGGTAATAGGACGTGCGCACAGGTATCGGTCCCTGCCCTCGGTCCCGCTGATCTTTGACCCTTGTCCCGCACAGAGCTCCCAGCCCCTTAAATTGCGGAGTGACCGGAGTGTGGGCCATGGAGTGCCTCTGTCTCCCAGAATTTCCAGGGTGATAGGAACGTGCTTTGTTCTAACGAGGGGACCCCGGGCGGCTCCTGGACGGGGCTGGTCCCCAGAAAGACCAAGCGAGAAATAGAAGCTTGGAACTTTCAGTCCCCCCCGCCCCCCCCCCCGCCCGTTCCCCAGACAGGTGAGAGGAGCTCAACACTGAGTTACAATCCGTCATGCCGACTTGATAAAACCTCTGTAAAAATCCAAACAGTAGGGGTTTCAGAGCGCTCCTGGGTCACTGGTCCAACCCCTGGATGTTTGGGCAGGGCGGAGCCTGAGCAGGCCTGGCCTTTGGCACTGCCCCCCCCCCCCCCCCCCGGTTCTGGGTTGTGTCCTTTCAGCAACCTGTGATCTAGTGAGTCAACCCTTTGCTTGACGCCTGTGAGCCATCTCAGTACCTTGTCAACCCAGGGAGGGGGTTGCAGGAAGCTCCAATGTGCGGCTGACCAGTACGAAGCACAGGGGCGGCCGGGGGCTTGGGACTGGCCTCTGAAGTGGGGCAGACCTATGGGACGAGCCTGTCACCTGTCGGTCTGACACAAACCTCAGGTCCGAGTGGAACCGAATTGCAGGACACCCACAGAGACCTGCAGAATTGCTTACTGTGGGAAAAGTCCCCCAACCCTCACGTTTGGTGGCTAGGAGTGTCAGTAGAATAGAAGAAGAAATGAGTGTGTTCTGTACGGTTCCTGTAAAACCTGGTTACGTGAAGTAATGTTTAGCTGTCTGCCCAAATGCACCGTTAGGGAGCATTCCAGCAAGACGCCTGCTCATTTGCTCTGTCATATTGGACAGCCGACGTTTTTGATTCACCTCTTACCCTCCGGGCCAAGAGGCCCTAAACTAACTCTGTAGGTGGTTCTTGTTCCTTCCCACTAAGTTGTTGCTCTGGTTGGGAGTGGTCCTATATGTAGGACTTGTATAGGAGGGTCCCTCTTCTCTTCCATTATTTTAATATCAAATTTGAGTGGAATTCTAGAAGCAGAGTCCAAGATCCAAATATAGAACTTTGCAAAGGTTTTGCTTGTTTGCTTTTGAAAATCCCACCTCTGAAAGCTAGAGGGCACCCTCTCGGCAAGAATGCCAATGTGGACATATTCCCGGAGAACAAGTTTCTCAGAATTTACCAGAAGCTTTGCTTGGGAACATAATTAAAGTGAAAATATTTTGTGTATTAAAGGAAACTTACTACTCGTGCATAATTACAGTCCAGCTACCGTGCCTTCCAAATTTTAATTAAAATTAATTAAGTTTGAAAGTTCATGACCTCAGTGCTGCCCTGGTCCGTTCTAATCCGGCCTGAGTCTTTTGTTCCCTTAATTGAATCCTATTATGAGAAGGGGTCTCGTTAAAACCTGTCATTGGAGACTGAACTGCCTGTTTGATGACGAAGACTCCCCCCTGTCATTTTTCTAGTTCAGTGCCTCCGGCTGTGGGAACAAGAAGTTCTGTGTCCGGAGTCCTTCGGCCTGTGACCCGGAGAAGGAGCACGACTGCATCTTTCTGTCCTTCACACGAGACGGCCAGTCCGTGGTGGCCGAGCTGAGCGGTCCCAGCAAAGGCTACTTGTCCTTCGCCTTTTCTCACGACAGATGGATGGTTTGTACCTCTCACCGACGCGCGTGGCAATGAACTTAGAGTCGCTGCAGCCGATGATGCTGTAGCTGTTTGTTGCAGAGTCAGACCATGGCACCTCAAGGGGAGGGAGGACGGGACCGAGTCACCGAGGACAGATCCTAAGCCCGATGGCTTCGGCTTTGGGTGTTCCCTGCCTGCGTCAGAGAGCAGGCTGTGCTCAGGAAAGCTGGTCATTTCATTTCCAGGGGACTTGCTGCTCTGTCCTTCTGTCCATCTCTGTCTGTCTGTCTGTCTCGCTGTAATGAAGTGGGCTGTGTAGTTAAAAAAAAAGTTCTCTGCCTGAAGTCTCCATTCGTCTGTGATGCTTTCCAACCCCTTGTGGTTTTCTCACGTGGCCGCCCCACAGCCACGGACTGAGCTCTGGTCTTCTTTCTGGTGGTCACAGGTGGGTTTCCCAAGCAGGGACTTTGGCCAGGGTGTCAGGCAGAACTGTGGGCGCTGTCCTGGTCGGCGCCTTTGTCTGAGCCACAGGAGGTGGCACCATGTGCGGCCGATGCCCCTCTCCCTGGGCAGTGGGTGCTGCAGGCTCCCATGGTTTTCTGCCAGCGGCAGCCTTGAGCTGTTGGTGCTGCGGTGTCCTGATTTCCATGGGGCAGCCACCAAGGGCATGGGACCGGGACCTGTTCAGAGTTGGCACTGAGGGGCGGGGATGCCCTCAGGGGGAGGAAGCGTCTGGCCTGCAGGTCAGTGGAGGCTCAGGGTCTGTTCTTGAGGGTTTTCATCCTGTCGGGTTCTACACTTACAGCCACATTTCAGAAGAGAAAACAGGGGCTCTCCGATGGTGGGGTTGGGGAGCTAACGTACCCCTCAAAGTGCGTGCCGATCCCATTGCTGTTTGTGCACAGCCGACAAGTATTCTAGGAAGCCAGGCGCTGCTTCTGTTTGGGGGCACAGTGCGGTCCCCGCACCTGACCTCTGTATTTCATTACGTGGTTCTAGGAGGCACTTGACTTCCTTCAAGAAAGGAGGTGCACTTAAACCCGCCAGATACAGGTCATAATGCTTTTAAAAACATGTAAGAAATGATGACTCCCTTTCAAAGTTGCTTCTATGGGAAACATCAGTTTTGCTCAGGGGACGATGCCATTGTTCAAACACGTCCCACATTTCTCGGTGGCACCTGCCAGCAAAACTGTGGCCCGGCCAAAAGGCCACATCTGGTGCACCAGGTGGACGACGAATCTGGGTTCAAAATACAATGGGGGGAGGGGCTGTAGCACAAGAAGGAGAGACGTGAATGGGATGGAGCTGGCCATGGGGAAGGCGGGCTGCTGCGTCTGACGGGTGTAACAGTGGTACCTGGTGAACACCTGTGCAGTTTCATCCGGGTTCATCTTTGTGGCATCGTCCTAACCTAGGTGTGGGCCCTGGTCACTCAAATAAAATGCTCTCCAGCCACGTCCTCGCCCAGCCTGCAGTGCCCTGAGTCTACCAGCAGGAGGGAGAGACCCTGCTGTGGCTTCCTGTGCAGAGATGAGGAGCCCGCGGGTCGACCAGTTAGCTGCGTTCTAAGTTGTACGCATAAAAGCATTTATCTCTAATTCAGGGAGTATTTATCTTACTTATGTTTCTGGCATAGTACTCATCAAAAGTGTTTAGGAAAAAGACTTAATTATACAGGTGCAGTTGATTTACAGAGCGGTCCTATTTAATGATTCAAATCATCTGTACACCTGTCAGCCTGAATAAATCATCCTCAAAAATATTTTTACAGTGGTTATTTCTATTTTCAGTTATTTTTAAACTTTTAGGATATTTTTGTGATCTGCTATGTCTTCTCAGGATGTGATGTAAATTTAAATGCTGAAGGTATGTCAGGAATACTGATTAAATAACCTAAGTGATACCTTTTTTTTCAAATCAGCTTGTAAATTAACGATAGCAATTGTTTTGATAGCAGACCTCATCATTAAAATTGATGACAAGTATAATTTCTCCTATTTTTGCTAGTAATGACTTGTTAACATCTGACTTTTAACTGACTTGCAAAGAATATACATCTTCCTCATCTCAGGTATTTTTAAAAATAGTAATAAAGTGTATCAGGTATACCTACTATGGTAACTTCTGTTCTCTGCCCTTCTGTGCCCAGTATCATCTTGTTCTATGAACAGTTTCTCAGCATTCAAATTCCAGAATGTTCCCCGGCCTCCCTGCATTCCAGGCTGGGAGGTCCGGCTGCTTTGTCCAGACGAGTGTGTCGCTGGGTACCACAAACCGCCTTCCCTAGCACTGAGCATGCTCTCGCCCTCTCTGATGTCCTCTGCGTCCCTAGTTCTTGGTGACCGACAATAATGAAAAAGCAGCTATTCTCACCCATGGCTTCTGCTCAGATACCGTCCTGGGAAACTTGTGGACTGTCTCACTCACCACTGCCAGCACCTTCTCTGGCGTCCAGGGCATTTTGGGTGACGACTTAGATTTCTCCCGTCTGTGCGCCTCACAGGTCCTCCTTCCTCTGACCTACCCAAGCTTGCTTTGAGAAGTTTTAGATTGCGCGAAGGTTGAAAGAATACTATAGCAAACACCAGTAAGCCCTTCATCTCCAGTTGCCACTTTGTCCACCCTTCTCTCTCTTTCTCCATGTCTTTTTTTTGTGTGTGTATAGATTGATTTATGATACATATATAAAAGAATTCTTATGGTTCATTGATGATAGACATCCTTGAAAAGGCACACAGCTTGTTTAAATTAGAGCTCAGCCAGCTTTTAGAATCTGTGAGCCACACGGTCTTGGCTGCAACGACCCAACTCTGCCGTTGTAGCACCAAAGCAGCCAGACAGCCCATAAATGAATAGGCGTGCTATGTTCCAATGAAACTTTATTTTCGGACCCTGAAATTTGGATTTCACCTATTTTTACCTTCCATGAGACAATGTCATTCTTCCTTTAATTAAAGGAAAAACACTGGGTTATGTAAAGACTATTGTCAGCCTGTGGCCTGTGCAAGAGCAGGCTTAGGGTTGAATTTGGTCTGTGTGCCCTCGTTTCTGAAGTCCTGGTTTAATTCAGGACGAGGCCAAATTTCTCATCTTGAGTTGGGCTGATTCTGAGTTGAAGATAAGATGTGTAACAGTGAAGAATTGCTTTGCTAAGGTTATGTACTCGAGAGTTCTCAAAAGTGGAACTTTTGAAAATCCAATTAAAATATGTTAGAATCGCGACATTGATTTTCACTGGCTATTCTGGGAGCTTGTTTAAGGAGCTTAGTGACTAAAGCACATAAAATACCTTGTTAGATAGTTTATGGAGAATGATTTAGAATAAGTGAAAGAACTAAAACTATGTGCGATCATTTAAAATCTAGGTTATTCATTTGTACCTTAAAGGGATACCATGCCCTTTGAAGGTGCAGTCCACCCTTGGGGAGTCAGTTAAAGAAGATGTAGCTTTTAGAGCCAGGGAGTATTCGAGGTGGAAGGATGCATGGGAACTGACCTGGCAAAGAACTTCCCCTTGAGCACTGACTTTTGGGCCTCAGTCTGTCATGCCGAACCTCTGGACTGAGCACCTTCTAAGCAGTATTTGTGTCCTGTCTTAAAGGTTACCCCCAAACCCAGTATAATGCTGTGCACTCACAGTCATGAAATTTGTAAGGCATAGACGTTTATTTACAAATATCCAAAACAATGTTCCTGATAAATTAAAAAAGGCAGCAAAACTATGCGTTTTCTTATTTGGAGAGATAAAACAGGCATAAATATAAATAGATTTGGACATATGTGTATGAAAGTGTTAACAGCATATTGAATTGATGATAAGGATAGGTTTATGGGGGGCATAAATGTGTTGTATGTCTATTTTAGCCTAATATTAATACTGAATTTATATTGCTTTCATATGATAAAATCATTTTTAATTTTAAAAATATTTTATTTATTTATTTATTTTTAGAGAGAGGGAAGGAGAGGAAAAAGAGAGGGAAACATCAGTATGTGGTTGCGTCTCATGCACCCCCTACTGGGGATCTGGCCTGAAACTCAGGCATGTGCCCTGACTGGGATTCGAACTGGCAACCCTTTGGTTCTCAGGCCCATGCTTGATCCACTGAACTACACCAGCCAGGATAACAAAATCGTTTTGATTCATAAACTGGACAGCCAATTCTCTAGAATGATAGTATCCTGTAAGACTGCCAGTAAATAATGTTTTTACAATATCAAGTACGATTTGATTTTATCAAGGACTTAAAAAAATAAAATGTTGAAATTCCTGTAAACGTTTCCCATCTGCAATTGTTTTCCAGGGAAATGATGATGCTTACCTGTGTGTTCAGGAAGGTCACGCTGTGCGCATCCAACCCTCCCACCTGACGGGGCGGAGCCACCCCGTGCTGGACACCTCGGTAGGTGCACCGCTTCTAGGAGCCTCCACCTGGCCCGCCCCCTGCTGGCCACGTGGCTAACGGTGGCCTGTGTTTGTGGGGGCAGGGAAACGCGTGCTAGAGTCAGAGACTGAGCAGCCCCCTTGGGAAAAAACTCTGCACCTTGTTTTATTTATATGTACATATATAAAATAAATACATAGATAAAACGTATTTATACTTAAGGTGTGCAACATGATGTTTCAATATACATAGCGAAATAATGACTGCACACACGCTAATGAACACACCCATCTTCTCATGTGGGTACCATTTGTTTGCGGTGAGAGCACCTGGAATCTACTCTCTGACCAGATTTCAGTATTCAGTGCAGTATTTCTAACCATAGTCACCGTGCTGTACGTGAGGTCTCCAGGCGTGTTCATCCTACGGAACTTCAAGCCGGTCCCCTTTCCTGCGCTTCAGGGAGCGCAAAACAAGTTTCTCTTGGAGGAAGACATGACTGGTTGGTCGTGCCACTTAAATCTCGTTTATGGCATTGCGCAGAAAGTAATCTATGGCTTGTTGGGACACTCTAAGTGTCCACCCTTTCCATCAGCTCGTAGGCAGATGTCTAAGAAGTGGTTTGTGTTCGTGACACAAGGATTTCTTGCCCCGTGACAAAGCAGAGACACAGGGTGGCACCAGGTGCAGTGCCTGGGCAGTTGTCTTCTGTGGCCCTCACTGGCATCTGTGCCAAAGGCAGCCCATTTCTGGTAGAGACATGGATTTTTGACAAGGGTAGTCGGCCAGCACATGAGCTCCAAGTGAGCAGTAGCCATCGGCTAATGAGAGGGCAAGTTCTCCCCGCTGCTCTCCCCCGGGGGTTGACTCCCACGGGTGGGCGGGACCCCTCCCTGGCTGCATGGTGCATTTGGGCCACTAGGGGCCACTAGAGTTTTGTTTGCTCATTGTGTCTTCAGTGTTGGAGATTGTTAGCGGCCAGATGGAGTTTTACGTTTCTCGCCTGGGCAGGGGGATTGATTGGTGGGGTTTTGACTCAAAGTAAAAAAATCATACTTTTGGCAAGCGGGATAAAGACAAATAAACCAGGAGGCATTGTGTCTCGTACCCGTCAAACAGGAAGTGGACTGACAAGGACACTGTAGATGGAACATGCACACAGGACCTGAGAGAAGGGAAATGGCACAGGGCGGGTTTTCGATCGCGTCTCATTTTTAGCAGACTTTGAAGTGCAGAGACCCTTTCTGCCTGTTTGCAGGATGCCCTGGAAGAAATGGCCTGGAGGCTGGAGGACGGGGTCATGCAGTGCTCTTTCAGAAGAAACATGACCCTTCCCGGGGCTAAGAACAGATTTGCTCTAAACACAAGCTACTACATATTTCTAGCATCTGGTGCCGTTGAAGAAGGTAGGTACTATGTATTGATAAAAACTGTCTTTTCAAGGTATTTTTCTCTTCTCCCCCCTCACTCCTGGCTTTGGAGAGACTACTGTGATTGCTCATTTTAAAGATATGTGTATACTTGTGGGTGAAGATTTATCAAAACCTTTTTCCATTTTTGCCTTCCATTTTGACCTTGGTTGAGCTTCAGGCTTTGTTTCCTTAGAAACCAGATAAAAGAAGTGTCAACTATGTGATGAGGCAACAGGCTTACCACACAAGAGATTTCTGGCTGGTCCATGGCACTGAGGCTGTGAGTGAGCGAGAAGGCGTATCTCAGGCCGGCCGTCCAGAGTGCAGTGACGTTGACAGATCTTTTGCAGGGACGCTAGATGTGGTGACTTGGGGGTCGTTGCAAGCCGTGTTGGCTCTTGTGGTGTAACCAGTTCCATGTGGGCTTCCTCTCCTTGGATCTGAGCTGTCTCTCGGGAGATGGAGACGGTGAGAGGCGGGGGTCCTCCAGGACCTCTGGGTTCGCGCTGCGGGATGTCCTGTGGAGGCGGAGACCCCCGGTACCCTGGGGGCGCGCTCTCCGGGCCCCACATCCTCCCCCGTGGGCCTGGTGGCAGCCGCAGCCGGGAGTCGTTTTAGGCATTCGAGTGCTTGTTTCATCCTTCAGAAGACCACCGGGGTGGGCACCGCAACCCATGTCAATGGGAAAGATTAGATTTTGTTCAAGGTCTTTGCTAGTGATGTTTGGAAGAACAGCTGGAAATGAATGCCAAGGCAGTATTTAGTGACTCACCTCTCAGAAGGTAATATTCCTCCCAGACTTGTCTTGTATGGCTTTTCTCAAAGGGTGGGGCTCCCACGACCAGCCTTCAGAAGCCCCTGGAGTGACTGTCCACGTGCAGGTCTCTGAGCCCCAGCCGGGACCCACCGAATCTCTGTGGGCGGTGCTTGGAGTCTGCGTTCTCAGGTGGGAGTTCTGTGGGCTGTGGTTGGATAACTCACTGCTGTAGGACAGGGTTCTCCCCAAAGGTGCCCATACTGGAAGGCAGTCTAGGGGTACGGGGAGGGACCAACACCAGAACTTTCTATTTTGATATATTTTGTGTCATTAAAAAAATTCTATTTTAATGTATTTTACAACGTTCATTATATAGTAAAACAGTGGTGCATGAATAGTGTATTCACGTACCAGACATATCTGCCATATATAGTACATATTATACCTGTATGTATGTATACATACTATACATATATATAAATATATACTGTACATATACTGTACAAATATAAATATACATATACGGGACACAGACTCTTTTTTTTAAACTGATGGAATGCAAAGCAGACAAGCAAAACCGCAGCAAACCTCAGGAGAACACATCTGGACATTGCTACTGCAGGGGACTCCCTTTCCAGCTGTCTTCCAGTTTTGGGGACAGAGCGCAGTCACCACTGAAGTTGCTGTCTCTTCTGTCATCTGTGTTATGCATGCGTCTGGGCCGGTTATAAGTTGCATTCTGCTTATTAGAAGCAGGAAGACGCTGTTTCCCAGGGCATTCGCATCATCTCTGTGACCCGTGTGTGTGAGCAGCGCACCCCACATCAGAAAGACCCATTTAGGAAGCCTTTCTAACCACAGCTCTCTCCTCATGGCCGACACAGGCCTGTGTGAGGGGAGCAGCCCAGAGAACGGCTGTGTGTCTGAGCCGAAAGGCAGACAGGACTTGTTTCGGTGAAGTGGTTCCCAGTTGGGAAATCTCCCAGTTTGAGTAATGAACGAAGTAGGGACCCTGTTATCACATGGCCTGTGCTTCGAACAGTCGAGGAATCCTGAGGGTCTCCTGGTCCCAGAGAGCTTTGTGCTGCACATGCGCTCCCCTCCCGTGGACAGGACGGTCACGTTCTCACGGGGCTGTCCAGTGGAGCTCGGACACGGTCCAGGGTCCTCAGTGAAGGCTCGGCTCGGGCTCAGTCCGCGGCTCCGCAGTAAATCGGGGTGGCAAACACTTCCTTCCCACTGGATGCTTCAGTGGCTCTCTGGTCACACTCAGCAGTCTCCCTTATCTTTTTCTGGGACAGTTTTGTAGCTCCTGACGGTGTCTCTTCTCCACTTTCTTCTCTAGGCACTGAGGACGTGAAACCTCTGGTTTTCTGCTGCGGCTCTCATCATCTCGGTTACAAAGAGCCGTGATACAATAGCATTGGCCAAACGAGCAGTCAGGTGTCCTAACTTTTATCCTGACTGCTTCGAAAACTTTTAATTTGACCCTGAAAATCTATCAGTAAACCCAACTATGTGCAGCTTATTTTTTCGTTGATCTGTTTTTCTGTTTCTGCACTGGTTGAATTACTGTAGCTTTATAACGGGTTGGGAATTTTGATAGCCTCCCGGCCTTCTTATTCAGGAATTCTTGCTTGGGTTACATAAGTGTTCTTTTGATGAACTTTAGACATGATTTGTCGAATTCCATTAAAAATCCTGCTTGAGGTGTGACTGGAACTGCAATGAAATTTTAGATTACTTCGGGGGGTAATCAACAGCTTTGCAGTAAACAGTGGGTCTTTCTGTCCCGGAATAAATACTTTGGGATGTTCCTCTGGTTTTCTTCATGTCTTCATGGAGCGTTTATGTATTTTTTATTACTTTGTTTCTAGGTATTTTATAGACTTCTAAAACTACCGTGGATGGGATTATTTTGCTTAGGTTTTCTAACCTTGTTGGCGTATAGGAGAGTTACTGATTTTTGAATGTTTACCTTGAGTTCAGCCACCTGGTTTTCTAGTTGAGTACCTTGGCTTTTCCTGGTAAACATCGTATCTTGTCCGGAGGCTACCAGGGGTAACAGCCCTCCTTCCTCATTTCACGGCTCTGTTTACTTCTCCCAGAAAAATGGGGTATGGCCGCAGTGACGTCATTTCTCACATTCTTTACGATGCTCCTTTTTGTCTTGTGACCAGAGTTGCCAAAAACTCAGTTGATTTTATTGGCTTTTTATAGACTTGATTTTTCTGATTTTTGGACTTCGACGTTTCAGTTGGTTAATTTCTACGTTGAGTTTTAATCAGTCTTTCTGATTCCTAGGCTACATTTTGTGGGTATAAATGGGTCTTAAATTAAATGACCACTTCAGTCAGTGCTTTAAGCCTTTTTTCTTTTCTTTTCTTTTTTTTTTAAGGAAATGCTTTTAGGTGATAAAGCTTGTGAATAGGACCCTGATTGTATCACCTGGGTTTTGATACGAAGTGTCTTCCTTGTCACTCGCTTTTAAGAAGACTTGTGATTTAGTTTTGATTTCCTACTTCATCCAAGGGTTATTTAGAAAAGTAGTTTTATAAATATCTAGGTAGACCATTTTTCTAGCTTTTTGTTGTTAATTTTTAGTTTTGTTGCATTTTGGATAGATCATATAATCATTTTCTGTAAGTTATTTTGTTTCTTTTTGGAAATTATTACCATGTAGTCCATGGTTTAATATGTATTTTTGTTTGGGACAAAGACTCACGTATATATGTGTTATATCAAATTTCTTAATTACTTTTACTCTTTTCATCACTTGTCTTATATTCTAAAAATAATGTATGTTCCATGATTTATTTACTAATGCTCCTAATGATATCCATTTAGCTTGTTTAAATTAAAAATATATTTTATTTACTTATTTTTAGAGAGAGGGGACAGGAAGGAGAAAGTGTGGGAGAGAAACATCAATGTGTGGTTGCCTCTCATGTGTCCCCCACTGGGGACCTGGCCCGCAACCCAGGCATGTGCCCTGACTGGGAATCAAACCGTGATCCTTTGGTTCCCAGCCTGCGCTCAATCCACTGAGCTACGCCAACCAGGGCAGTTTGTTTAAAACTTTTGAGGTTAGCATAAAAAGTCTCTGTGAACATTCTTATACATATGTCTTTGGGTGAAAGGTAAGTCCTTGTGTGGGTTAGATTCTCAGAACGAATGAACTCACACACACACACACACACACACCTACTCACATCTACAAACTGGAACAACTCTACACATCCACGGATTTAAATGTATGCACAGTAAATAATAATATAATAATCTATTCTCAAATTGTTTCTATCACTTTTCTTTGGGATTTTGGTTTATTCGTCAAACCCAGTCCAAACTGCCCGTCTGTCGCCAACTAACTTGGCATCAAAATATTTTTGTGCTTCTCCAGGGCCCAATTTCTGTTAGTTTACTCTAGGAGTCTAGATTACTTTTTAAACGTATTCTCTTTCCAGAATTGTACTTGACATTTTTAATGATTTGTGGTCATAGTAACAGTAATTATTTCGACTAAAATCGTCCATGGGTTGTTCACCATCATTTCTGCATTCCTAGTCCTTACTTTGATTCATGTCTTGGTTGGCTAAATTATTGGTATTGCTTTAATTTTGTTTTCAGTAATCTCATGTGACCTTGTATCTATATTTATGTTGCTTTTGTACGCGAACGGCATCTCCACTGATATTTCTTTTTTATTATTTTAAGCCCTTTTGTTTCCCTGTTGTGACACTGTCTTCCATTCTCCCTCTGCTGAGGAAGGAGCTCCTCTTCATCTTTTTTTCCTTCTTTCTATAATTTCAGGTCGAATTTATAGGCATTCCCAGCAACCCCTGATTACGTATGACAGACACGATGTGACGGGTCCCCCGGAGGACGTAGGAGGGTCCCAGTCTCCGCTCCTTCTGAAGGCTCATGGTGAGTGAGTCGCCTGGGGGGTCGAGTTCGGATTCTGCGGAATAGATTTACTGGATGAGTCAGCGCGGCCGGATTGGGAAGGGTGGCGAGCGTCACTCAGCAAAGCTGTTCTCGAGTCTTCCCTGTGTGGCCACTGGCCCTCGCAGGTATCAGTGCTTCCCTGAACGCTTGCTCATTTTCGTTAAAGATGGAGACCGGGGATAATTCAGTGGTTTTAACGCTGGATGCAGAGAAAAATCACCAGGGGAGCCTTTAAGGCATCTGTCATTTGGAAAAAGTGTCCTCACTGTTTCCAGCTGAATGTCATTGGTTCGTTAGACTTAACTTTTAGAAGACCTTAATTCTGCCACTTATCGTAGTAAATGCTAATAAAAAGTTGTTTGTGATTTTGATTTTATAACAGTAGCTTCGTTTCAAAGACATGGGTTGTTATTGAAGAGTGAGCCCCGAACAGGTGACCTGAGGGTATTCAACACGCTCGGTCTGAGCTTCGGTGCCTGGCATTTAACTGGGGACAGGGACCGAGTTGGGAAAGCAGTGGCCTGAGAACAGACCCTGACCTGCTGGGTCTGTGACACTGGTTCCATTTGAAAAGCAGCCCCGCCTACTGTTGAAAAGAGGGGGCTCAGAAGCAGGGGAATGATGTAATGTGTACTATACTAGTGTAAAGATTAGTGTTTGGGGGGAACGCGCCTTATTCGGTATATTTCACTTACATTCTCCAGTGTCGTCTCTTCTCATAGATTTCCAATGAATGTTGTCCTAGTTAAGCTTGGAAATAACTTTAAGCTTTATTATTGTTAATTTGCTCCTGTGCCTAAGTAACTGGATTCAGAGATAAGGTACTTGTGTTGGGTTTTGTTGTCGTTGTTTGTTTGTGCGTTTGTTTTTTGGAGTGTGATGGAGGATGCTTCCCAGGTGACTGCAGGCTGCGTCAGCATAGTGGCAGGGGCACGGTTGCTCCAGCCAGGCTGGGTCCCCAGAGTCCCAGGGGGACTGAGTCCCAGAGTCCCAGGTTGTGACCTGGGGCGGCTCCCAGAGCCCCAGTGTGCCTTCGCTTCCCATCCACAGAACTGGAGCAGCGGCCATTGTAACCATGTCACCGGACCGTCGTACAGGGGAATTAGGATCCTGACTGGAGAGCCCCTGGAGACAGCGCCTCTCTCGCAGTGGGAGTGTGGGCATGTGAGCAGTTCTCAGTCCCGCGGGGACAGCGATGCCATACTGTACGGGGCATTTGACCTTCTGCTTGTGTTGAGCGAACGTCCTTTGCGGGTCGTGCATCTTTTCTGCGCGTCCGGCTTGGTCGTCCAGAGCGGCTCGGTTGCTCTGGGATGTCATGGTGGTTTTTCCTTCCTGCAGGCGCCCTGATGTTAGTGGCCTGGGTGGCTGCCGTTAGCATAGGGGTGATCGTCGCCCGGTTCTTCAAGCCCGTGTTGTCACACCCTCTCTTTGGCGAGGCAGCTTGGTTTCAGGTAGGTAGGAGAACGCCTTCCGGCGGTTTCCGTATTAATGCACATCGCAACGGGAAGACAGATGCGTTCCTTTCCCTTTTTGTGTGTGCGGTACGGTTGTTGGAGCTTTGGAATCTTCACAGTTTCGTGTCTTTTCCCTTTGGTTTCCTAACCAAATGAGCACGGACACAAGACACCGGATAGAGCTCAGAGCAGAGACGGCTCAAAGAAGGATGGGGTTGGGCACCAGAGGGTGCTGGGGCCTGTGTGCCCCTTGTCACGTAGACTTCAGGACCCAAACGGTCCTGACTTCTGTCCCCCTCCACGCCCCCACAGGGGTGTGTCCTCTGGCTGCCGGCCACTTGTGGTCCCACCACCCTGACCCACCAGTCAAGGCCGTCTGTCCCGTCTGCGGGTGGGTGTGGGAACCAGACGTGCTTCTGTTCACGCTGCCCCTTTGCTTGGGATGAGGGCCTGACTCCCAATAGCAGCCTGACTGAGAGCCCATCAGCACCCTTAAGACAGAGCAAAACAAACCTGACCTTTTTCGGGTCACAGAGCATAGACACCTGATGATCAGAGGAAAGTCGGTGAGGATGTGCTGAGCTAGAACGCATGTCTGTCTGTAGAAAAATGGCTGCTTATCGGGACAGTGTTCGCCGGGCTGGCAGGCAAGAAAGCGTGTGTGGCATGGGAGAGGCCCAGCCTGGTGTCCGGGGCGGGGGAGCCTGGCAAACACTTGTGAATGCTGAGGACGGGGCTCAGGGCTGTCTCTGAGGTTCAGTGGGGGAGGACTCAGATTTTTAACTGACCCCACACTGGTCAGACGTCAATCAGAGGCATACCCCCAGGGAGTCTCCCGCGATCTTGTCCCCACGGCAACGCCAGCTCCCTTCTCTGACACAAGTAACTGTCCTCTCGCCCCGCCACTCCCTCTTGCAGGTGCATCGCACACTCATGCTCACCACTTGCGTCCTCACCGGCATCGCTTTTGTCCTGCCCTTTGTGTACCGGGGAGGCTGGAGTTGGGTAAGCACCGTTTAAACCACGTACAGCTTTTTACCTAAGGTCACTTAGAAGTCAATAGAGAGGCTGTGTTACTCTCCAGGGATGGGCGGAAGGGTGTTGCTGTGTGTGGTCCTCCTTCCGTGTGAATCCTCTGCAGACTGTTTCAGCCGGCGGGGGTCAGGGGAGGAGGGAGGGGGTCAGGGCCGATCGCTTAGGGACCAAATGTGTTTTTAGGCTTCGTCAAATGTTCCGTGTGCCCTGCCTGGCTGTGGGGAGTTTTCTGCCCACGGACTGGAGGGAGTTCCGCCTGTGCTGCTGTGTCGGGCGCACCGACACCGTAGGCCATCTCCTCTAGCGAACGGGGTGACTGCCACCGAGCTAACCTCGGTGCGTTCCCATCAGGGACCAGCTGTGTGACGTGTTATTGTTCAATTTAAAACCTCAAAGGCAGTGGCTGCGGCCGTGATTCCACATCACAAAGGGAGAAGCTGAGGCTGTCTCCAGGTTAGACCTCACGGCCGACTGGAGACTCACACGTTCCACCGCGTCCTGGGCACCGGAACCTGCCCCAGGCTCTCAAGCTCAGAGTGTCCAGGGTGGGGCTCCTGACCTTTCCTCCCTGTCCCGCCGCACCTGCCTCCAGCTCCCGTTAGCTGTGACTGCTCCCTTCTTGGGCTGCAGCCTTGGAATCGTCCTGAACTCTGCTCTCTGCGCACACCCCGCCCCTCGCCCGGTGTCAGAGCCGCCTGGGGATCCGTTGGCCCTACATTTACAACCCTGTGTGTAAATGGGCCTCTGTGGGCCTCAGCACCGCCCCCTGCTGCCTATCACCGACACTGCTCTGGGTGCCTCAGTACCGCCCCCTACTGCCTGGGCTGTTCCAGTGGGCGCTTCTCATTGGTTTCTCCACACCAGCCGTTGCCCACGCAGCCAAGACCGCAGAGTGATTTTTAAAAAACGTAAATCAGGTCATGCCACCCCTCTGCCCCAGACTGGTTCTCTAATGTCTCAGTTTGATTCAAAGGTACAGGTCAAGTCCATCCAACAACCTCCACGGCTGGGCCCCCAGTGACTCGCTAACCCGACCCCGCTGCCCGAACTCATCGTCCCTTTCACCCACGCTGGCCGCCTGCCAGGCGGGCCTCTGCTGGGGTCTTTGCAGAGAGGCACGGCCTCGGTCACCCCTCCTCCACCCCCAGCAGCTTCGAGTCTTCGCTCAAGACGGCTTCCCAGAGCGCCCTGCCCTGCTCTATTTTTCCCGTGTCATGCCCTACAGTTTATTTGTTATACTTTTTCTTTGTCCGCCTCCCATACGAGTATGTAAGCCCTGTGCTTGTTCACTGTGCAGCTGAAGCCCCCGGGACCGATTCTGGGGCTTAGTAGATGCTTAGTACGTATTTGCTGAATGTATGGATGAAGCTTATCAAGAGTGAGCGATGTGCTGAGGTCAGAGCCTGTGCTTCTGGTGCCCTCAGAATTCGACATTTCAGTTCTGGCTCTTGCGACGTGAGCTCAGAGGAGCGCGGTGTTGTAAACAGATCATCACAATCCCCCGGTGGTTGCTCTCGGCACGCATGCCCCAGTCTAGGGGGGCGGTGAGCGCCTGTGGTGGTGTTGGTGGTCATCTGTCACCTCCCGGGAGAGGGGCGGCATTCGGTGTGTGGGCTCCGCCACGGTGCACACACTGTGTGGCCTGGGGCATGTCACTTGGTGTCTCTGAACCTCAGCTCCCCCGTGGGTAAAAAAGCGGGTCATTCATCAGCGAGTGGGATGCGTCCGAGTGGATCTGTGTGGTGCCCTGTGTGTGGTGTGTGTGCCTGGTGCAGAGCGGACGCTCGGTGACTGGTGCCAGTCGTCGTGGTCTTCCCCGTCACCGTTGTCACAAGTCTAAGACGACGTTAGGGACACACACATGTGCACTATGTCCAACTTGGGGGTTTAACTGAAGAGCATTCACGTAACGCGATGTCCCCCTGTGCAGCGCGCAGGTTGTCACCCCTACCTGGGCTGCGCCGTGATGACCATGGCCGCCCTGCAGCCCCTGCTGGCAGGCTTCCGGCCCCCTCTGCACGACCCCAGGTAGGCACCCCCGTCTGCGGAGCCGCCCTTCCCGTGGGGTCACCAGTTGCTGACTCCTCCCTTTCCCCGGGAGACATGTTGCATTTTATGAAATTCAGTGATAAGTTCTCTTTACCTGAAAGTTTTTTTAAGGCTTTCTTTATTTATGTTTAGAAAGAGGGGAAGGGAGAGAGAGAGGGAGAGAAACATCCATGTGTGGTTGCCTCTCACGCGCCCCCTGCTGGGGACCTGGCCTGCTACCCCAGCATGTGCCTTGACTGGGCATCAAACCAGCGACCTTTCAGTTTGCAGTCCCGCGCTCAGTCCAGTGAGCCACAGCAGCCAGGGCAACTTGAAAAGCTTTAAAATGTATTCAGATAGTTAGTTCCTAGGCAGTAAGAGAAATAGCATGCTTTCTATTCTCTTGGGAAGTAATTGTCATTCCATCACTTGTAAGAATCCTGACTGCTTCTTTGTTTTGGTAGAAGGCACCTGTTTAACTGGACTCACTGGGGGCTGGGAACAGCTGCTAGAATAATAGCAGGTGAGTAATCCCGTGGCCCTCATTTGTATATATAATTGCTGGTCACCCACAGTGCTGGGTGCCCTTTGGCGTACATGATGTTTAGATGCCTTAGTAACTGGAGTAGTTGGTTGTTGAGGAGAAATCAGCCTTAATCACTGAAATCCAGAAAGTCCTTTCTAGAGGTAACTGTTGATGTCTTTATTTCAGTTTCAAGTGTAACATTTTCAAATTGACTTTAAAACTCTGCTTTTAAGACTTTTTCTTTAGCAGAATAAACTGTGTTGGCAGCCAGATATTTAAGCAACTCAAGTTGAGGGTCACTTGTGAGCTGGGTTGAGGGGGCGTCTTGGCCCTCTGTCTCCAGGCCCTTTCCATGGGACGGGGCCTTCCGGGGAAGGGTGGTCACACAGGTCAGGGGTGACTTTCCAGTGTAGTCTGACGCCTTAGGCAACACACGCCAGAGCTGGCACCTCCCCCCACACGCCCATCACTGGGGGGCTCTTTGCAGTGAGGGGGCAAAGTCCCCCGTGGGTGCCACACTCGTCTCCCTGACTCCAGTGCCGACTTCCTGCCAAGTGCGGATGCTGCTTTTGGGAGAATCAGCACAATTATCCTTTCCCATCTTACCCTTGCCAGTCTGACAGTAAGACGGGAAAACAAGGAAATATTTGACCTTAAGTATTAATTGAGTGCATCTGGTAAACTCTTTTAACTATGTTTTCCTTGCTATAATACACACAGGTAGACACCCAGTCACCTCTCTTGGTGGCGACGATGTTTACATGCATGTAATTTCTCATACGCACAGTGGCAGCGATGTTTCTGGGGATGGATCTCCCAGGGCTGAGTCTCCCCGGCCCCTGGAAAACCTATACAATGTTGGGGTTCGTGGCCTGGCATGTTGGGGCTGAGATCATCCTGGAGATACACGCTTACCAACTCTCTCGAAAAGGTAACCTGCTCACGTGACACGGAGACGCTTCCACGCAAACCAGTGGAACACAACTGGTCTCTTCCTACTCATGGAGGGTTCTTCCCTGGTAGCTCGTTAAACACTTCTGTTCTGACTGATTGCTCAGTCAGTGGTCAAAATTGTGGACATTTTCTGTTCCTCTCTTTTATGAAAGTATTAGAGATTATGAGTAAAATATAAGGGAGCGACTCTGGGCTTTGGGGGAGCAGCTTTCTCTACAAGTGCTTTGCTGAGCATGCTGGTCTGGCCTGGAGCCGGTGCACAGAGAACCCTGAGGTGGAGAGGGTAGAGATGCCCCAAGTGGGCCCAGGGCAGAGCTACGGGGCAGGTCCTGTGTGCTGGCCCTTAGGTGGCCTTGTATTCAATACATCAGGTGCAGCTTGCTCATCAGTGAGCCAGACCGACGTCCTGGCTTGGCCCGAGCTGCCTGCTTGGCCCGAGTCCCAGGCTGGGCGCTATGCCTGGAGCAGTGTGGGGTGGAGAAGGAGCAGAGAATGCGTGATCTTTCCAACTCGCTTGCATCCCGAACCAGATGTCTTTTCAGCCACCCTCCTCCCCTGCCTCTGCCCCAAGTAATAAGTAAAGGTGGCCTTTTCTAAAAACAAAACCTCTCTGTTGTCTAGTGTATATGCTGTGGATTTAGGAGCCTGGGTGGCTTTTAGGAACCGATTCATCCTGCTGCTTTTGGTTCTTGATAGGAATACAAGGGCTTTGGATGATCCCTGAGTCGTACTTAAAACTTGTCCGTGAGGAGTTTGACACGGTGCTTATTGGCTGGAGAGAGAGGGCGTGTTTTAAGTGCTTGCCCCCATTTGTGGGAGCCTGAACTAGTCAGAAATTTGCAATGTTTGGTAGCTTGAATGGGAGAATGGAATCAGCAAACTGCAAGTCAGACTGTTGTGGTGGTACGTTTGCCCGTGCGCTCACTGGCCTTACAGACTTACGCTTTTGTCCTCGACAGTTGAAATACTGGATGATACCAGAATTCAGATTATCGAGCCATTTACCATAGCTGACGCAGAAGTAAGTCCCCTCTATTTTATTTATTGACAGAAGCCTCAGGGATGGCGGTTTCTTTCTGTCACATGTCAACTTTTCTTCCAGGGCCATGCTTTTAAAAAGGCGGTGTTAGCGGTTTACATCTGCGGGAACGTCACTTTCCTGCTCATATTCTTAGCTGCCATCTACCGCCTCTGAGCAAGCCCAGGCCTCGCTGCCTCCGGCCCGGTAATCACCGTCACGGAGCCGAAGGGACTCTGGCCGTGCCCACCGCCCGGGGCGAACTCGTGAACTCTGACCTGGAAGAGCAGCGCAGGCCTTGCAAGGTGGGCCGCCAAAGCCTGGTTTCTAGAAGTCGACCCTCAGCAGGCCCCTCCAGACTCTACAGGGTTGCCAGTCTGGCCATTCTGGGTCTGGAAGGGAAGGTCCAGGAGAGGCGACCCTTGGATGATTCCATGACGAGGTTTGAAGAGCGTGAGCATCGAAGCAAGCAAACAGGACCTGCCTGCAATCGAGGGGGGGGCACCAGGGGGAGGGGAGCGGAAATGGGTTTCGGGGATGGGAGTACTGCGGGGCTTTAAACACAACAGCTCTTTCTACCAGTTTATCTCAAGGGTCTGTTTCTCAGGACTTTTGAGAAACTGTGTTTTCAGTCCAGTTTTTGGGACACTTCCCTTGCTCTGTGTTTTCTCTCTTCTCTGGTAAAGGTGGACATGGGGCCGACCCCATTGTGGGTTTTGTTAACATTTAAATGCCTTGCGGATATTACCATCTCCTCAGTTATGAAGTGTGTGCGTCTTCTGCTGCAGCGCTGAAGTGACATTTTACATGTCCGTTGTTTTGACAGCAAGATTTGGGTCCGATGCCTTTGGAGATTGTAGACTTGCATTTCAAAATTAATAAAACTTGCTCTTGTGAACACATCCAAATCACTCTGTTTCCTTGTGGTGATAAGATGTGGGTGGTTCTGTTCTGCCAGAAGTTCCCAATGTGCTAATGAATGAGAATAATCAGTGTTTCATTCCTTCCTGTTGCAAGAATTGATGTATTTTGTGGCTGGGTCTTACACCTGCTATAAGGGCTTCTAGCCAGTGGGTGGAGCCATAATACCAAAGTTCTGCTTTGTTCCCTTTCCTGAAGTTCATTGTCAGTACCCAGATGACGTCACGGGGATAGTGTGTTCCTGAAAATACACCTACACATTCTTCATTTGAAACCAACCAACAAACAAAACGCACGTTTTCTGGGGGAGTTGGGGTTATGGGTTAGAAACTGAAGTTAATTTTCTCATTTGATTTGTTTGTTTTCTAATGGCGATTATTTGTAACAATAATTTGATCCTTCTGCATTCCTAACAAATGAATACAACTATCTTAGGCAAAGGAAACAAGCAGAAGTGGGCATTTTCAGAATTAAAAAAAGTGTAGGGAGTCCTATTTTATTTTATTTTGTTTTATTTTATTTCTTTGGGTGTTCTGATTTTGTTATAGTTTCTGGTTGGCCCAAAGACCTAATTTCTGTTGGGTACAAATAAACAAAATAATAGTTTCAGCCATGTATGCTATATCTTTTACTGGGTAAAATGATACAGAAGTTTGTTTTTCTTCCTTATCTTGGTGTTTCCCAAGCAGCTTTGGGCTGAGATGTGAATTTTCTATGTTCACATTCTTTTTGTTTAACTCCAGGCTACTTCAAGTCTAAACTTCTGAATGTGTGTCAAAAAAAAAAAAAAACAAACCACACAAAAAACCTCTTTTAGTATAGAACGCTAAATGTATGCTAAAATATTTTCCTTCAGTTTTCAGTGCCAAGGGGCTTAATGGCTAATATACTTCTCTCAATAAATTATATTCTGTATGTGACAAAGAAGAACTCTTTGGAGGAGAAGACAGGCCTGGGTATGTCTGTGTTTAAGTGTGCGAACTGGCTGGGATTCCAGTGCTGAGCCTGAGATACTCTATGTTTTTCCTTTTCACTGGTTCATCTGTTGGCACTATTTTGATATATCATCAATTGATAGAGAATTGTCCAAAGAAATCTTTGTTATTTAATCTTAATGGACCAAACCTTTTCAATAATACCAAATTGACATTCTTCTGCTTATGGGTGGGTGGCTGAGATCCCCAAACTGAAAAGGCTCATTACCCACTTGTCTCAAGTTTTCTTTCTGTTTTTGTAATCAACAATCTGGGTAGTTTTTAAAAAAAAACAAATTTCTTTTGATAGGAGTGATCGTTAAATTAAATGCCTTCATATCAGGCATTTGAAATCACGTGCGTCTTAGAGACGGGTCCCCTAAAAAATAAAAGTGTGCGTTTTGGGAAAAGAACGAAACAAATTCTAGAAAACTGTGGCTGGGGGGGGCATTTGTAGTGGAGGCATTTTTATTTTTATTTTTCTGGTCTGTGGCACCGCGTGACGGCACAGGTAGCTTGTAATGTAAGTCACTGGGGAAGTGACCCGTGCACGCTCACGCTCTCGTGGTGTTCGTCAGGATTTTGGCCGTGACGTGTGTTCAGTGACACCCTTGGTTGCACACTCTGCCCCGGCCAGGGCGCAGTGGGAAAAGACAGACGTAGCCAATGCCTCCTTGGCACCTCTTGGGGCCGTGCAGCGCTTGGCTGGGCGTCTATTTATGCGTCCGGCCCCGTGGAGCAGAAGAAAGCGTGGAGGCCCTGGGTCAAGGTGACCCCTGTGGATGGGACTGAAAGAGAGGCTGCTTCTGAGCCTCACTCACATCTGGTCCAGACCCACACAGTTCCCTCCGAGTCCGGCCTCTGTCTCCTGGCCCAACCCTGCTGGTGGGGGCGTCTCTGAGCCTGGTCCCTGGTGGTCTCCCGCCCACAGTGCCCTGGGGGTTCCTGGCCAAAGCCGGCTTGCCCAGCTCAAGATGAGCCTCGTCCTTGGAGCTTCGGTGGGCCCTGTGTCCCACACACTGCCTTCCGATTCTGACCCTCCTGCAGGTTTGCAGGTTTGCAGGTTTGCAGGTCACTCATGGGTGTGGCCTGTCTCTCGGTGCAGCCCAAGGGACAGGAGCCAGCGCCAGGTGCTGTGTGGCTGGGGTCTGAGATGTCACTGTTTGATCAGAGCGCTAAACTTCAGCAGATTTTGCAAGTAGAACGTGCATTTTCTACTTTATAAAAAAGTTTGAGGTTCACTTTGAAAATGTGATGTTAAGTGAAAGAGCCAGATGTGAAAGGGCAGCTGTTGGATGGTTTTACTTATTGGGGTCATCTGGACTCGTCCAGCCCACAGGCATAGAAAGGAGCACGGGGTTCCCAGGGGCAGGGGAGCGAGGGGTCCGGCTCTGGGGACGGATGGTGGGGACGGACGGTGGCGATGCTCGCAGGTCCCCGACGGTACTTTGTGCACTGAACTGTACCCCAAAAAGTGGTTAACGCGGTGAAGGTTGCGTGGTGTCTATTTGACCACTACTGAAACACACCAGGCAAATCTGATGTAACGCTGTTACCATTCACGATAACCGAGTGATGGAACCAGACCCCAGTCCGTCAGCAGAGGGATGGACAGCTGACCGCGGGGCGCGTGCGTACCGGGGCGTGTCCTGCGGCCGCAGCGAGGCGCGAAGCATCGGGGCGGCTGCGATGTGGGCGAACCCTGGAAACGTCACCCCATGGGAACGAAGTTAGACACGCAAGGGCACAGATGTGATTCCAGTGACATGAAATGTTGGAAGAAGCGAATGCACAGAGACAGCCGAGCGCTGGCTGCTGCGCTCGGGGTGCGGGGAGGAGCGAACCGGGAGGCACGCCCTGCGCGATGGGCGCACAGTGGCGCTTCAGGGTGATGGGACTGTTTTGGAGACAGAGGGGGTGGTGGCGCAATATCGTGAACGTAAGAAACGCCACTGAATCGCTCACTTTAAGTTGTTATTTTTTTGTTATGTGAAGTTCACTTCAGGAAACAAATATTGGTCTCCTGACTGCTCTTGAATTATACATGTGGGTGGGAAGATCTGGAGGGGTGGGGTGTGGTGTTGGCTGGCCCTAAACTTGTTATCAGTTTAATTATATTGTGCCCGGTCCTGTACCTCCGGTTTGGGGGAGAAAGAATTCTCCAAGGCTGTAGAGCATGTGTTCAGAAGTATATCTTCTTCGTGTGTTCGCTCACTTCCACGTGAAAGAAATTGTATCGTATTGTATTCTGTGTTTTCCTGCAAGGATCTAAACACATGTTTTGATTCCCCACCAGACAGAACTCTGTGGTCATCAAAACTCCTGAGATAAGAATTTCCTGAGTCTCATAATGGCTAAGACCTTGTCCAATGGACCGTCCTCCAGAAAACTAATGTCCACTTCAAACACAGCTGCCCGGCACCCCCTGTGAGTGACCGGGGTGGGGCAGCCCTGGTGTGTGGGCCACACTCAGGAGGAACCGTGTGGAGGTCCTGCCCTACACTTCCCTTGGACGGAAAGTGTTCCCTCCAACAGCCTTAGCTCACAATCAACCAGGGAACCAGGGGTCGCGTGGATCTGAGTGGAAGAAAGGGTGATGTCTTTAGAAGGATACACAGGCCAGTTTTCATCAGTAAAGTCGTGGACGCTATCGAGATACTCCAAATCCAGGCCCAAAATACGAGGCTAGTTAGTGCCCGCACCTTTTGGATGTGCGCAGAATCGAATTGCCACCAGATCCACTGAGTTGGCCCGTGGTGGAAGGGTGTGCCCGTCTCAAAGCCTTGCTGGTCTGGGAGGGTGTGCTTGTGTGTCAGCGTTGAACGTGGGCATTTCTGTGATGAGGGGCAGCGGCTTCTGGGACCTCCCGCCTGAGTCAGCGGAAGTGCGGTTTCAGTGACTACACCGCAGTCAGGCTATTTTAAATAACTTTATTCTTAAATTTAACAAGCTCTTGGTAGAAATCCTTTGGTATCAATACAGTAAAAATACACTGGTTCCCGCACTGAATCACGTCAAGTCACCGGAAAAGTGAAGTGTTGGTGCTCCCCACTTTTTTTTTGCAATTTTTTCCCCACAAATAATAACTACTGCTTATTCACATGGCTTAATATGGGTATACTTTTTTGGATCTCAAAAAAAAAAAAAAAAGAAAGAAAGAAAGAAAGAAAGAAAATATCCAGCAGAGAAAGTTGCAAACATTTCTTAGTTTCTTCTCCAGAGAATGTTTACGTAGATGGGACACCTCTCAGATAACTTTTTTCCCCAGCTTTGCCATTCTCATTCTTAAAGCTGCGAAAGAAAAAAGAAAAAAAATAGTTATAAAAAAGCCTTAATGTCCACTCTAAATGGCCATTTCATGGAAGGCAGGAAAGTTTGGAACGTACCTCGGATGAGCTTCCCCAGCAATGCGACCATCAGTTTAGTAGCACAAAGAGACAGGAGAAATAATGAGCTATGATTAACTTAGGGCAGAGGCAAGTTCAGAACTAGAAGGGACCTAGTTCCATAAAGATTAGAAAAATTAGTAGCGCGAACATGGTACGAACTGAGTAAATTTAGTGTTGGTGCACAACTTCCCTATGAGCCGTAGAGAAATTCCGTTCCGGCCCACGACCGTGTGGGGCACCTGTTTCTGAGCCACAAACAGGCACCGACACAGACTCAAGTTCACGGTTAGATTATCTTTTAACTCCTCAAACTGGGGGCTCCCTCCTTGGATAGAGAAAGAGAAACAAAAGTTTATATGGTGAAACCATGTGAACCAGTAATTGGAGTGCTTATAGAATGTCTTTGTCGAGATAGAAGTGTTTTCAAATAGCGAATCTGTATTTTTGAGCATCTTCTACCACTAAGGATATACTGGCTGTAGAAACCGATTTAAAAAAAACGTTGGTTTGGGACTTGTGACATTCTCATGTTCTGCCATCGCTAGTCAGGGCTTCCGAGTGTAGGCGCCTCCATCATGGTCCAGGCAGCTGACAGGCTTGTGAGGCCACTGATCGTTAAGTCCTGTTCCACCGACTGCAAAGGTCTGTTTCTTGAGAAGAACAAGGGAAGGGGAGTTCTCTCATTTCTCGGCCCCGTGCTATCCATGATCTGTTAACAAATGAAATGACTGGATCTCCAAGAAGCTGTTGTTCAGGAACAGGACAAGGGATAGGGGCCCAGTACTGGAAGGGGAGTGTGGTCATTTTTCTTGTCTCTCTACTGGCGTGTGATGTTTTCATCTGAATGAAAAAGAAAAGTCATATTCCCTTTGGGACTTGAAGGGGCATGGTCACTTCTGGCAGACAGGGTCAAGCATGCCCCTTGAGTTTAGGATCAGACTGGGAGCGTGTTCTCTGTCGTTGGTGGGTGTGGGTGCAGACCACCGAGCACCCCGTTCGTCCACAGTGGGAGGGGACCGAGGCAGACTCTTGGACCGCACGCACCTCTCTCCTGCCCTTAGCAAGAAAGAGAGCAGGGGCGAGCTTCCTTTTAAAGTTCCTCCTCAAAGGCTCCTTCCTCACGATATGAGTGTTGCTTTAGTAGCACAGAAAAACAGTTAACTGGAGGCAGAAGCAGGCGGAGCACTAGAAGGAACCTATTTCTATAAAGATGCAAAAAAAAAAAAAAAACAGCGCAAACACAGCGTGACATCCAGTGATATTCTTCACGGGCATCTTGGACAGGTGCCTTCTTGGGAGTGGGGCAACCCAGCCCCCACTCTCACTGTCCCCTTTCTTCAGGGGGACAGTGAACTCTAGGTCCTCAGAGCATGCCGTTTCCTCTCCCGGTGCCTGCGGAAATCGGTGGTGTGAGTGTCAAGTACAGGCTTGGGGCCGGAGCAACCGGGAGGCTCTGCGGGGCCCACCTGCAAACCTGGGCCGTGGGTCCTCCCTTGTGCTTCTCCTTCCCGCCCTTCTCTGCTCTCTACCCGCCCTCCCCACAGCAGTCAGAGTCCTGGTCCGGCTGCTGGAACTCGGAGGAGGAAGGCGTGCCCCCTCCCCCTCAGCATCTCCCGGCTCCTTGGGCTGCCAAGGTTGGCAATATTGGCACCAACAGCCTGTGAACCCCCCTGGAGCTGGGGGTCCCTGCCTTTTCCTCCTGACACGTCACTGCTGTCTCGAAGAAGGGAGAACAGAGCTGGAGAAGTCCCAGAATAAGTGGGTGAGGGGGCCGGAGGGGCCAGCCGTCTAGTTGGGGGCGGGGTGGGTAGTCCAGAAGTCCCAGGAAAAGCTTGCCGGGGCCGCTCACGGTGGGGAGTGCCTGGCACTGAACTGTGCCCTGGATCACGACTCTTTGTGTTTCCATTAGCAGGTAGGCACAGCTTTGCCTCGATGTTCTTGTCGTGGCCCATCCTATTCAAAGTTTGGACTGAAAAATATTGCCGATGGGTTCTCGAGCCTCCACCTGTTCCATTTTTCTTCCTCTTCCACGCTCTTTGCCAAGTTAAGAGCTGCCGTTAGCTGCAGCTTCCATAACAACATTTACCCCCAGAGGAAACCAGTTCTGAACGATTACACCTTCCGGAAGTATTTAGATTCAGCAGGGGACCTATTCTATAAGTAAAGGAATTGACTGAAGTGGTGGATGTTTAAGTACTAACAATAGCATTTTGGGGGGCTTGTGGGGAGAAGCTTACTCTACTTGGTGCTTGTGAAATCGGGGTGCATAGGTGGCTGTATGTTCTCATCTACGGGTGTCCCCCCAAGGGCATGTGCCAACAGGATGCGCTTTCTCAACCCACTGCAAACCTGTCAGCTCTGTAATCCACGCACGGACCTAGAGAACAGCAACACAGAACGACGTCAGGAGCACTGGAAGGAATCTGGAGTTTTCTGTTTATGAGACGCCTTGTGTTGGTAGCACAGACCTTGTATTGTTACTTCGTCTGGAAGACGTCTTCCTGTTTTCATTATTTCCATTCTGTGGCATAATTAGTGTTTTCTGGAAACGTGACTCACTTCCTGCCTTTTTCTGTGAGGTCAGCGTGTTGACCCGGCGGGGGTGAGGGGACCAGGGTGTTCGGGAGGGGCTGCCGCCCACGTCCACGATCCGGAGGTTTCAGGGTGGGGTACAGTCACCGCTCTCAACCTCACACAGTGTGCTCCCCGAAGTCTCCTGAATTTAAGGCGTGACGTTTGCTCAGCAAACAAAGCTCATTCTCAAAGCAGAAGGGGACATTTAGTCTTAGCAGGTTTCTTGTAGGGGACACACTACTCAGCTCGGTGTTGGAAGGTGACATAAGTGTCCGCTTACCCAGAGGCTAGAAATTTTTCCGAAAATTAAGTTCACAGTCGGTAAGCCTAATTTAACTGCGCAAAAGATGGGAACGGACCCATTGTATTGTAATTTCAGCAAAAAGAGACCCGGTTTCGCGGGTGCAGAGGGGGCACCCTCCCGGCGGTACAGGAGCAGCAAACTTCTGTGTGCAAGCAAGTTCTGCTTGCTCGACCAGCCGGGATGCAAGTTATTGCTTTTCCGTGACAATTCCTCTGTTAGAGACGTTTAAAATGACTGTCCCTTTCGTATTGCCTGGATGTCTGGGTAGTGCGACTATGTCTTAAAAGTACACCTATTTCAGCTGATAGGTCGGAGTCTTATCTAAATAAGACTAAATAGTGTACAGGAATATACTATTCCGGTACTAACAAGGAATCCAAAATGGAAGGATAATCACTTTTGTAGAAAAAAAGTGTTATTTTCCATTCAGTGCTAAGAAAGACAGATCGCTATAAAACGTTATAGAGAATGAGAAACACCAATATATAGAAAATAGAAAATAGAAATTTGCTGGGTTCAGGAAGACTATGCAAAATAAAATGTTATAGATAGTGTTTGATAGGTAAATTGACACTCTATTGTAAAATATAGAAAAATAAAGGAAATAATAAAACTATGCAAGTAGAGAAAAACAAGATATAGCCGAGTAATAAAATATTACACCAAAAATAAGGTTTGTGTCTTGTTCTTTCTTGCAAAAGTAAGGCAATTTGTTAGCGTGTGTAGGAAGTTTAGGTCCCAGAGAGGCGGGCACCCAGTTCTGGAGGGAAAAGATACGATCCTTACGATCCAACTTATGAGTGATCCACATACTTTCAGACACAGCATGTCACCATGTTAGAAGACAAATGTCATGTTACCAATGTCAGTCAATGCAATCTCCAAATAAGGCAACAATTAAAAAAGTAATTTTTCCTTATGGTTTGAATTGACTGAACCACTCATGGTGGCAATAAAACTAGCCTTAATGATAAATCTCAGTGTGTGCATTAGTCTACGGGGCGGTCAGAAACGCTGAAAGCAGGAGGGTTGGTCGACAACCCAAAGGCAAGACGGTCACATGACTAGACAGCAGCGGCAAGCCTTGTCGTTTTTATTACCTGTCAGGGACGGGTCCTCCGTTCCATCCCCAGCACCCTGGACGGCCTGCAGAGACCGGCGGGCAGGGCTGCCCAAGCTTTCTTCTTGCTCTTGCAGGGAAATGGAGTTTTTGTGGGGAGGTGGATGGTGCGTGTTCTCACGGTGGTTGACGTCTGCTCTCTTTCTAGGAAGCGGTGTTGGTTTGGTGAGCTGGTTGCCCCGGCTGTGGGGGGTGGAGGGGCGGGAGGATGGTTTCTTTTCCTCCGCCTCCTCCTCCTCCTCATCAATCACAACCAGCTCCGCGTGGATGATCCCGTCGTACCCCGTCAGAAGCCTCTTTTCTTCTTCATCATCTTCTGCCTGCTGGTACCCCATGAAAATCATCGTCACGGGCTCTGCCCCATCCATGTCCGGAGGCAGGGAATGAACGATATTGTATCTGACGTCTTCCTCATACCCCTGGCAAGCTGGCGAGGGGCCCTGGTGTTCTGACCCCCCAACCAGCGCCTCCCTGGGACTCAGCCTCGCCGTCGGAGAGGGTGTGTTCTTGTCCTGCATCCCATCTGACTCTTCCCAAGTTGTCGCCAGCCTCTTCTGGAGAGAGTGGGGCGTCTCCTGGCCTCGCTGAGACATCGATCGGGGGTGAGGGATTGGCCGGGTGGGACTGACGTGATTCCAGCAGTGGCCTCTGTCCTCGGAAAGCCCGTTGTCCACGTGGTGTGGGGACACGGCCCTCTCGTTTACCAGTGCGTCCGCTTTAGTCTTGATCCTGTCTTGCAAGTTTCGTCCAGGGCTCGCCTGCCCTCGCTGCGGGGTCGCAGGCCTGCAAAACGGGTTGGCGTAGACGGGCTCGTGGTACTCGGTCGGGCATTTGGAGTTCCTCTCCGAGGCCTGTCTCAAGAGCTCCTCCACCTCCACAGGGGCCAGGCCGTCGGTGCCGTTGACCTCGGCCTGGGGACTGGCGCTCACTGCGTACACCGACTTCTGCCCGTCATCATAGACTTTGACGCCTGCCCCTCGGAAGTCCTCGGACGGGAGGGGTATGGACGACAGGACCGTGCTTTCTCCGGTCTTCAGGTCCTTTTTGACTTTGATTTCCATGGCGTACAAAGCTGTCGAGAGACAAATTTGATCTTTGAGTTCAGTTAACTTTTACTCTTGTAAACTAGCCTGTTTTCATGGGGTTTATTTTTTCAATGTTTTTTAAAGATGTTATTTATTTATTTTTAGAGAGAGGGGAAGGAGGGAGAAAGAGGGAGAGAAACATCAATATGTGGTTGCCTCTTGGGTGCCCCCTACTGGGGACCTGGCCAGCAACCCAGGCATGTGCCCTGACTGGGAATCAAACTGGTGACCCTTTGGTTTTCAGGCTGGTGCTCATTCACTAAACCACACCAGCCAGGGCTATTTTTTTTATGTTAAGTTCCCCTTTGATGGTTTTCATGGGGGATGTCTAGGTTTTAATTTCTGATTCTATTCCTTAACTACATAGTGACCAGTACTGTAATGACATGGGTTTTCAGGTCAGGATGCATGAAATCAGTGGGAAATGGGGAGGACTGAGGAAGAGAAGCGGACGGTTTCACTGCAGACCCAAAGATACGCTCTTTGTCATGAATAAACCCGACGAGACAGATTTCCACTCTTTTACATGACTCAGCGGGAGGAGTCAGGGCTCCCCTCTGTTTAGGGAGGTGTGTGCCTCACCACCGGTAAAGGCCTAGCACCGGGTGCGTGTGTCATTAAGTTGCCTCCTTGCTGCGCAGGTCGCCCAGCAGCCTGGTGAAACCAAGGAGGAGAGAGTTCCTCTAAGTTTTCACTGCACGGGGCTCATCCCTAACTCTGCTGGTGGCTCACACACCTCCAGGAAGTTCGCAAACTGGACCCCTGCTTACCCGGGAAGCTCAGGATGTCATAGCAAGTTGCTGATACTGGTCACGGTAAAGTCTGAATTTGAGACCCTGCCTTTGGAGACGGATCACTCACATACCTTTCCTATCTTGTTCATCATCTTCTGTTCCATCATTTCTTTCCTTCCTCAATCTGGAAGGTACATAGGATTTTGGAAGGTCGGGGATGTTAGCATAGATGTCTTCAATCGACTCTGTAAAATTAACATTAATTCAGAGTACATCCAGGATGGATTTAGAACAATGGAAACATTTCAGTGGCTAATCAAAAGATAGCATCATCAGACATAGACTAGAATGCTCAAAAACATACCTCTGGTCGTTTCTTCCTTCTCCACCTTCACGGACTATAAGAAAAAAGAATTCTTTATGTCAATACAGTTGAAAAATGAATTCTAAATGTGGTTCTACTTTGAAGAGTCATATACTGTGCAAAGAGTTATGTACTTCGAGCGGAAGTCACGAGTCTGAGATTGGTTGATGCTCACCCTTATTATGTCCTCTGTCGTCCTCTCAACTGATTTCAGTTTCTTTAAAATCGCCTCCTCGTTAGCTGAGATTTGCAGTTCAGCCTTTTCCAGATCCTGGATCTCTCCCTCAAGTCTGACAATGGAAAGATGCACTTTTTATCGCTTCAGACAATGCCAAGGCAGGGTTCTCAAATACGTCTTCCCTTTATCTAAACGTTCCTTGGCATATTGCATGGAAGGATCTCTGTACCCTCTGGGAACACAGCATCACACCGGACACCACACTGAGTACCTAGAAGGAACCTAGTGCCTGACTTTCATTGAACAATTTTCGATTCAAGTTACAAATATTTTTTTGGATAAAAAGAATTCTTGGGTAAAGTGTTTGACCCTTGCCCCATTTCTTCATTGTGGTTACTACTGTTTATTCCGAAGGAAATACAGAAAGTTCTTTCATAAAGAGACTTATGTTTAAAGTTGAACCCACAGGAACGGCGCACCTGTAGTTCACTGACGTTCCTTACCCAAGTCTCCGTGTGAGTCATTGGGGAAAATCATGATAATAATTTTTCCTAGCCAATCAACACTTTAAAACATCAGAGTTATTAAACTTGATTTAATAATCATAGCTATTTAACACTTAAAGACCCTGCATGTCGTCACACTGAGAACGACACTTAGTTTTAAATTCATGGTGTCCTACGGGTTGTGCCATGTGACAGTGAGTGGGGTGAAGAGAGGAAAAGTGGACAAAACCTAGGACAGTGGCCTCAGCTGCTGCCGTTGATAAAATGTAAATGCTGGGAAAAAATGGCGCATATGACCTGACGAAGCATAAGGGACACTGAGACAGAGACGTCTGAAATGGGACCGCTGCGAACAACCCAAGTGGCTCTCCTGACCCGTGTACAGCTGCATGTCAGATTCAAGTTCACTGCCGGGTGTGGCATCGCCATAGGCGTCCTGTGTAAACACCTACAGACACCGGCAGACAGCCTACAGACATCTACAGACAGCCGGGACAGCGCCTGGCAGCTGGGACACGCTCGTCGTTTCTCAGCCAAATGCTCTGAAGCTCTCAAGTCAGCTGCCTGCGGGGATGGCCCACGAGAAGCGGCAGCTGGGCCTGGAGATGACAGCTGCGGTGGAGAGCGTCGGCGGAGGTGTTTGTCGGTTGTCTCGGCTTCCTTCTTCGAGACCGTCATGGACCTGGCCGCGGGAAGGCCCTGCGTGATTGTCATACCGCCCACGTCCCCGGGTTTGCATTCTCGACGATTCTCCCACCCATTGCTCCGGTGTCAAAGTTCTGACTGCGGCCGCCTCTGGTCACTGGCAGGTGCCTGTTTGCAGGGGAGGAGGTTTGCCTCCTGCAAATAACAAGCGGCACCTCTGGCTTCTGAGGAGGTGCCGAGGTGTGACCGCCGTTCTATTAAAATCCCTCGTATCCATGGCAATGCATCAACATTGCTGTGGGAACATGTGTTGGCTGGTGGAGTGGAAAGTTCTATGCCCTAAGTGACAAATCCAGATTATTCTGTTTCTGCCACTGATTATTTGTGAGAGGCGATTCCCGGAACCTCCCCGACTCTCGGTTTCACAGTGTGTACAGTGAGAATACAGTACCTGCCTCGCTTTATTGGTGAAGCTGAGAAGAGATGATGAATGTGAAAGCACGTGCAATATGGTTGGTGTCAGTGTCGAAGGTTTTTTGCAACACCCTGTGTCTCTCTCCATGTGTGTCAAAGACCCTGTCCTGCAGCACCTTCGGGTGAAACGCAAGGAAGTTCAAGTTGTTGCTGCAACATCTCCTGCACCTCAGGCTCCAGCTGCAGAAGCAGGTGACCCTGGGTCTGAATCTTAGTTCATTGCCACTTTCCTGGGGGACCCCAGACACGTCACCAGAGCTTGCTAAGCCTCGTTGTCTTCATTCACTGATTCCCTCGTTCATTCACAAATACACAGCATCACCTCTGTACCAGGCACTGTCCAGGTGTGGGGGACACTACAGAGAACGAGGCGTTTCCCTCCTGGTGGGGGGACGGGATAATGCAGCCTTCTCCGGGAAGGGCATTATAATCCTGTACTAACATAAACACCAGTTTTAGCTCATGGCTGTACAACAACAGGTCAGGGCTAGGTTTGATTCTGGGCTAGAGTTTGCCAGCTCCTGCAAATGTGTGTGTACGTATATATAAAAATATATATTCAATAAACAAATGAGTATATGTATGTACACATGCATTTAACTATGAAGAAACCTATTTCCATGAAAAAGTAGAATAAGGGCTATAAAAGAAGAACGAGGGGGAAAGACAGTGGCTGGGGACAGGGCACTAACTTGCACCATGTGGTCACGAGAGTCTCTCTGACAAAGCGTCACTTCAGCAGAGACCTGAAGGGAATGAGGGGGGCCTTGGTGGGTTTGGGGGGTTGCTTCAGAGAGAGGGGAGATGATGCAAAAGGTGGAGGCAGGCAGAGTGAAGTGACGTCAGCGTCTGGCGGCAGCTAGATGGCGGTGGGCCTTGGGCACCATAAGGCCGTCAGGGAGCAGAGAAGGGACAGGGTGTGACTTGCAATGTAAGCAGGGACAGACATGGGCTGCTGTCCTGAAGGCAGACGGGAGGTGCAAGCCCAGAGGTCGTGGTGCTCACCCGGAAGAAGACAGCTTGACCAGGGCGCTTGCCAGTAGCTGGGAGAGAAGGGACTGGACTCTGGAAATATTTCAAAGGCAGAGCAGTGGCTGGGATTTGTTGATAGACTTTACATGCAAGGTACGAGACAAAGTGATGTCACAGGTGATTCTAATGACTGTGACCTGAATAACTGGACAACTGTGACCACAACTGGCTGAACAGAAATCTGGGAGAGAAGAGAGGAGGTCGGTGGCACGTGCTTTAAATTTGAGTCAGTCAAGGAGTGACGTGGGGAAGACGTCCAGGTCTAGGAGTCGGAGTTCAGAGAGGTCTGGGTTGGAAGATACACATTTGGGACTTGGTATTTTTCTCTGCAGACATGGGTAACATTTCCCAGAAAGCCAGGACTCCAAGAGCTGAACCCTGGCCAGTTAAACATTTAGGAGTCTGGGCCTTGCTCACGACTTCCCAGGTTGAATAAGGAAGAAGAAATAGTGGGCTCTCAGCTGCTACCAGTGTCCTCCTGTCCCTGCCCCTTCCTGGTCCTGGGGCACCGAGGAGGCTTGGTCTGGCCTATGGCCTGCCTCCCAGGGAACTGGGCAGATGCTCTGGGATCTGCTGCTCTTTCCCTCTGGAGAGAAGCCCACGAGTAATGGGATGTCACGCATATGCACAGGCACATATTCATCTGCGTGTGTGTATTTAAAAATGTAGGTTTAGATCTGTGTACAGGGGAACTTTGGGGGGAGGTCGCGGGAGGCGGATTCTCTAACCTTCACCTTTTCACCTCTCTGCCGACGGGTTTGAATTTCATAGTTGCTGCCGCCTCATCTTTAGAAGGGGTTACCTTTCTGAGAGGGCATTGAGTTCCTGGAAATGCTGATTCATTTGGGTGAGAACCAGGTGGGAAAGAGAAATATCACCCCCCCCCCGCCTCCGGGCTATTCGGTGGGGCCCCGTGCATGAGCGAGTCCCTCTCACGGGCCTGAGAGATTTGGGGCAGGTGCCAATTTAGATAAGCAGAGTACATGAAAAAGGGTTTGTAATGCTCTCCATTATTGAAATCTTTCCCCTTGCCTATCTGCTGGGGAAATAGAGGGTTATTTTCCAGAGTTCCCCAGGTGAAAGCAGGTAGCTTTCATTTCGAGCACTGGTCTGGTAATGACCTCCCTTCGTCACCACGAGATAATGTCCCCATTCCAATTCCGACACGCAATTTCTTTCTTTGCCTTAGAAAAAAAAAGGACAGAATATAAGTGCTGGATGTGCCAAGCAGGGGTTATTTCAGTCGGCCATTTTTTTGCTGCTAAGGGTCCATTCATCTCTTTCAATTTTTGGTGGAGTTAACCAAAGAGTAAAACCACCGGATGGAGTTTGCACGTAAGGGCCAAACAGAGCAGAACTCAGGAGGAAAAACAATCAACAGCGTTCGACGTCCGGTTTCGCAGCATCCCTTGTTAGCAATTATAACAACACGAGGTCTGTATGGAGTGTTCACACCGTACCAGGCGCTGGCCAACAAGCCCCACGAGTCCTGCCAACAGCTCTGATTGACAGATGCGCAGGCTGCACTGAGAGGCGCCCATCCTGGGGGCCACGCACCTGCGGCCAGACGCAGCCCGAAATCACGTCTCCGCCTTCGGGCCTGAGCTCCTAACTCCTGCCTAATTAGCCACTGTGGGAGCCAAACTTCTAGCGATGGATCCTTACGAACACAGACACAGCATTCTTTTCCCTCAGCCGTAGGAAAGGATTTCTTACTTTTTACATAATAAAGAAAGTGAGGACTGAAGTGCTCGCCGGGCTCCGCCCACGTGGAAAGGTGTGGACTCAGTGCATGCAAAAGGGGCATTTCTGTCCTGACCTTCGTTAGAGGGATTTTGCTGGACTAGGAATGTCTCTGCTCGGTGGGACCATTCAGTCTGACCAGGACCGAAGTCCCGGCTCTACCCATCTCTTCTCTGGCAGCTTCAGTTTGGTTTTTGATCAGCATTTCAGAACAGTCTTCTTCCAAGAGCCGTGGGTTTCCTAAGCGAGAGAACCGCTTTATGGGGAGACCTTCTTTGCTTGGACGCAGGACTGGCGTTCCCAGTAAGAAGCTTCAGGAATTAAGTATAAAGCCGGCTGATGCAGTTTGATTATAATAGCGCAGTTTGGATGTAATTGCTGGTGCTGTGTTTGCTGTGCAGTTTATGACCGGCTTCACGGTGCACTTTGAAAGGACGGAGGAATTACTGCATCTCGGGAGCCCCAGCTCTCTGATTAAGACCCAGGGCTCCACCCAAAGAGGGCCCGGTGGTGCTTCTCTGGGGCCGCCTGAGTCAGCAGGGGCTGAGACCAGGGCTGTGCTCTGAGACCAGCTGATGGAACATAAGAGGACACCCCCAGCCCTCACCCACACCCCGAGCTTGACAAAGGGGGACCCGGAGTCTCTGGGACTCACAGGCCCTCGGAACGTGTTTGCCCCCAGCAGGTGCTGAATTCCGCCCATAGTGGTGGG